AGGCTTTGCAACGGTCACGGTGAATAAAATAGGGGACACCTGGAGATATGAAGAGAGTGGAACATTCTCGCGCAGCTAGAATTAATGTCTCATAAGAGACTGCAGTGTTCAAGGACTTGATGCTTGGGTTCCAGCAGTTTAAGAGATACCCCAGACGAGGAGGAAAACTCAAGAAAGTTGTGGAAAACACCAGAACCTGCATGATGCTAGAGCCGTGAATGCCGCTGAAGCTTGAAGCGATGTCAATAGTGTGCTTACTGTGAAACTTTTAGCCGAGGACATTGTGACAGTTCTTCAACTGTGTGGTGTAGGTGTCTTACACTCCCGGAGGATTGGCAGCTGACAGACGACAATCCAAGAAACTTAGGCTTGAATGAGCATAATTAGCTTAAAAGCATGCAAAAGGTTTGAGCTCCAGATGGAATGAAGGACGTGCACCATGCTGAATTTTTCCTCGAAAACCCTCGTTTGCCTCCGCCGCACTGAGATTACCAACGATTTCTTGTAGGCCCCGGTGGTGCAGTATCTTTCGTCTGCTCATACAAAGAATAGAATATTTTGATTCTGCTTTTAAAATAATAAAGTATCTCGCTGTAAGCCAAAAACAGTTGAAACTTTTACTTTTGAGGAACTATATCAAGTATTCTCCACTGGCACACCAGTGGTCCATGCAAGTCGCATGCATGAAAACAGCATCAACGGTGTTATACTTGACGTAAAGGCTCAAAATACAAAGCGAGTGTATTTTAAATGAAGTTTTGAAAGTATATTTGTAAAATTTTGACGGGTTTACGCAATACTGATGTGTGCGCTGGAAACATTCAGTGCAAGTGGATTGGTGAAACCCCTGCTGGGCTGCCACAACGAAAAGCACACAAACTACAGGACATCACCGACTTTTGAGCTTTTCTGATCGATTAGATCCACGGTTGATGCTTTGTGCGGTTCACAACTTGGATATCCAGACAATTGACTCGACCGTCACTCCTTCCTCAAACAGGAAAGAGGCATTTTTAGGCCATCTGGTGCACAGGTCAAGGCTCCTTAGCTTTTTCTGGCTTAATTGTAAGGCTTCATTATCCACACGCAGTTTCGCACAATGTCTTCCCAATGCACAACTTTGTAACCCCCCTGATAAACAGTCTCTAATTCAGTCGGCCATATGTCAAGTGCGCTGCTTTCCTCAGACTGCCTATCGGGGGATAGCGGCGAGAGTTTTAGCTGCGAAGAGCCAAGATGTCGTTTAAAAAGTCAACAGCAGAGCCGATGGCTGCCAACCGAGCAACATCGAGCATGGAATGTGGAGGTCCAAGTCTGTATACTCATTTTGGAACCTTTCCCTCCGAACTGGAGGCCCAGCGTATGTCTTCTTTCTTGTATCTTACTTTGCTTTCCATCCAGCAGTCATTAACTTGCCCTAATGCATTATGCAAGTAGTCTAGGTGCCTTATGTGCCTTTGCAGCTGCAAATTTACTGACAACTCTTTTTGAATTTGCTCGTGTAGTACTAGCCATTTGTTTGTTTGTCAGGCTGTGTTCAGTGCTTAGAAAGGTGACTCTTTCAAACCAGACGCCATACCGGAGAATACAGTCTGGGTTCTCCCCAGAAAACACGGGGGTCCTCCTTGGACAACGTGACTTTGCCGCAACTCTTAGTCGACCAGGTAAAGACTTCATTGCGAAGTTTTTTTGAAATGGACCCTTTGATGATTATGTTTTCCATTTGTGTAAAAGTCAAGTGGTACATTTGAAGCTTTCTGCGGCGCCATGCGTGCAGCCGTGCAAAGGTTTGCTTCGTTACAGCGGGTGTCCCATGAAGTAGCCCAAGCACCCCGTGCTCTAAGCTCTTGCCGTGGGAGGGCAACCTGGGATAAAATATGCTGCTGCGGGCGAAGTACGTTGGAAAGCATAAAAGATGGAGAACTCAATAGCAGAAGAAGTGTAGGAGAGGGACCAACAACGCTGAATGAGCCACTTCTGAGGGGTCAGGAAGCATTCACAAGAGGTGGACGACGCAGGTCCGTGTGCAATTCCTCATATTCCCCGCTATGTCCGAAAATTTACCATAAAGCAATGCATCCCGCTCCTGTTGACTCTAGGGGCTGCTTAGACATCTTGTATCCTGTGGAAGCATACAGTACTGCCAGATCTGAGAGACTTGAACATCTTAATGGGTACTTACATTTGAAATTTTCTCGTGCTTTAGCAACAACGAGGAGGCTTATCAAGTTGGATTGTAAGCATAGCAGAGATACAAACTACATGTGAGTACGCTGTACTCTTAGTAAAATAAGGACAGGTACCAAGTGGTCTTTAAGTACATATAGCACTATCTGTCCGGTTTTCATCAAATCCTTTGCATGCTGTTGGCTATGCCTTGTGATCATCTGTGCTTTCAGAGTGTCACATTTTCTGCATTTGGCAGTAGGTGACCTGGAAAGCGTGTCCACGGTGCCGCCTTAAACGCAGCCAGCTCATATGCCGCGACTGACGGTCCCAGTTCCGGTTTTCTTCTCGTTTTGCAGTGAAAGCCGTAAATCCGGCCTCTATGTGTTTGTTCCTGCGGAAGTGCTGGGGTGTTGCCGCAAAGTTGTCATTGTTCGCAGAAATCGACCTCGATAGAGCAAATGCTTTCTTGCGGCTTTCATACACCGCGTTGAATAGTGCAGCTGTTAGACCTTTTGGCGCTTTCTTGCTGCGTGACCACATGGACCCTATTTTTTGGCCTGACTTGCAGTGCATCGGATCACTTGCAGATAATGGGTTATGAACTGTATCCGGGGTGTTGAGGGGAAAAGCTAAATGATTTTTGTACTCATTGGTTCCTTTGAAAGGGCTTTACCAGCTCTAAGCGCCGCTGTAAGGCCAGGGCCCTCACCCATAAGCCACCTACTGATGTGATACCACACAGCAGCTCTAACGCCTGCATCATATCTCCCTATTTGCAGCCACAATATTCCGCTTGGGCTAAAAGGATAATGCCTGCATGTTTCTAATATAAACCTTTGGCAGTGCTCTGAATTTCTCTGGCATCATGTAGAATTGTTGCGGGACCTGGTGATGATGGGCCTAGGCAGTGTTCGTCATTTGTGTCGAATGGTTGAATGAGAGTTGTTCTCGATTGTTTAAGGGCTTCTATGAAGCTTGTTCAGACGCCGACAAACACCTTTCCTACTAGTTTTCTGGACATTCTTTGCTACTAGGGTACTAAGTTGCTTTGATGTGTAATATCATACATGTGCAACATTCCTGACGTTCAGGTATCAATCCAAAAAGAATCCAATTTACTCCAAGTACCTGTTGATGTCAGGGTTTTGATGCTCGTATTGACCTGCACCTTTGCCCAGACGCCTCCAAATATAGTAACAAGTACAAATACAATATGATGGTGTTCGCCATCTTAGCAACCTCAAGGGACCTCGTTCCATACGTTTTGCTAAGTAAACGCACTTATCAAGCCAAATCGGCGAAGAGCAACAGTAAAAGTAAGCATGGGAGTCTGTTGACACTACAGAGCCTACTATGCCGTACCCTTTTGTCTTGCGCCCTGAAAAGATACTGTCACCGTTTCGCAGGGGTTGGGAAAGGTGCCATCTGTGGGACTTTTCTCGAGTCTGCGTTAGGAAGTTTTTGCAGCCGAGAACCGTTAAAAGCTTGAGAAAAATATTTGCTCCTCATCGAAATTAAATCCTCCCGTTTCTACTCCATTAATATGTTCCTAAGGCTGAAGAATAACAAAACGGATACACATTGCTGCACTTGACAATTAGCTGCATAGTCCCTCGTTTTCACGCGCCCTAGCATAGTTCACAGGGGGAGAAACAAATATTTTAATTGGGTGAAAATGGCTCTGATTCATCCAAAAATATATAAAGAGCGGGTTCTTGCGGGTACGGCGTTCGACATTTTGATTAAACATGAGCGAGCCGAGCCTAAGGGAAACGGTCTAACTGCAGCGTTCCGCCACACTGTCGAGGTCACGAACCCTGTCAATGTTCTTCACCTGCTTCTATTATGTTCACTGCACGCGCTTCTGAGTTGAAAAGCATTACACAACCACTATCTTTGCTTCTGAGCTCTAAGACGATAATTGCTTGCTCTGGCATCGACTTGCCACTCAGCTACCAAATGAGGAATGGAACAATGCACAACTAAATTGAGTACATAGTCAACATAATTAAAAGCAAAATCCGGTCAATAGTCTTGATGGATTCTAAATCAAGGGAAAGGATTTCATGTGTCTGGTAGCATGTGTTGATCACAGCCTGACAACTTGTACAAGGCCAAAGCTCTAGAGAGTCGGTGTGGTGAGCCGCTCATTTTGATCTACACATTATCCAATGGATATCAATTAAAGTTAAATGAGTGTGTCATGTGAATTCTAGGGTTGAAGCACTTTACTTTTGCTACTTTCGCGAAATGCAAGTAAGAGCTGCTGTCGTCGATTGGCACACCACTGGCCTGCCCCAGTCGCATGCGTGAGGCTTAGTAGGGTCACTCCCTGGGTGTGCCCCGTGAAGGGAAAAACACATACAACATAGTATAATTATATGCATGATTAACGAAATTGGAGTGGCGTTTTCATACAAGTGGTGTACTCAATCGGAACGACAAGAGCAATTGAGTTACGAGCATCACGTGGTGGGTTAATTCATGGATAAGTGCTCAGTTCAAGAATATAACCAACTTTTTTTTAATTCATCTATTTTGAAAAGTCCTTTTTTGTGTTCTACAGGTCACATGATCCAACCATCGAAAGAAGCATTTGCAGTGCCACCCCTTCCGCGAACAGGAAGCATCCAAATTTTAGCCATACAGGCTCGTAGCCACATGAATGGCTTTTCGTGAGACATCCTCCGCCACACACATTTTTGCCAGTGTGTAGGCTCCGTCGCAAATAGCTGCCACTGGCCTAGGTTTCTGAATGGCGTTTTTGTGTTGTTATGTCCTCTACAGAAGACTGTGCACGTTAAAGAAGGTTTGGAGAATCGGCCATGAAAATGCCATCGAGTGAGTCATCAGCTCCACCGGCTCTTGGTCCGCCGGCATTGTCGGGCGTTGCAGGACGCTTGTCAAGTTTTCCTGCCCCTCCAGGCGTCTTTTCGCAGCCTATCGAAGCAGAATGTAAGCATTCTCCTTCCTTTGTGTTTACTGAGAAAAGCAATCTTCGCATTATTTTATTGGCCAGAGTTTACGACAGCGCTCTTTTTGATGTCTGTACCGGATTTCCCTAGCAAGGTTTCCACGATCCCCTTCAGCATACCAGGGCAACTATTTGCTTGCCTGCCTACGCATGCGTGCAGTACAAACACAGTTATCTCTTTCAAAACAGACGCCCTATCAGCGATTGCAATCTGGAATTAGCCGAGGCGACACAGCTATTCTTCTGGGTCAAAGAGACTTCGCCGCAACGTTGAATCGGCCAAGTGAGAGCCATGTACATCCTTGTACTTGGGAAATCTACTGTCTGTTGTTGCATACCTGAACACTTTATCACGCTTAGTGACCGAACAGCTGCGATATGTTCCCGCAGTCTCGATCAGTGTTTACACGGCTATATTACAACAAGGTGATATGCTCAACAACGAGTTTTGTGCATATCATGTTAAACGCCTTTTTGCTGTATCTGGTTCACAGCAGCCAAGTTAACTACCCTTCTTATTGTTTCAGCTTAAGCAACCTCTTCAGCTTCATCATTGTTGTGCTGAGACATTTGGTCCTTTGTATGACCGAAAAACAGAATGCGGCCTTACAGTGGACAAGTTGAAATGGTCGTATGTATGCGTTTTGCTGCTTCAATAGTCAAGCTCATCTTTGAATCTGCAGTTGAAATCACGATGTCGTGGGAGAGCATATGTCGCACCGATGGGGCATTTTTCAGCTGTTCGCTGAATATTATAACTCTTTCCAGTAATCAGACGCCTGAAGGGTGCTGCCTTGTGTCACTTTTGTGCACAGTTGCCGGAGGAGGCATCGGACCAGATGGGAGGGCATCCACAGTAGGGCCTTCAGCAATATCTCAAATGTTTTTACCTGCGCCGTCGTCTTATGATGGTAGGACTAGCGTTACTAGGTTGCTCAGGCTTCCCCTTCTAAGTACACAGATGGTAGTCCGGGAGAGCTGCTGAAAGCAACGTAGCGTAAAGGGACAAGCTGTTAAAGTTAGGGGTGCCTGATTTGATTCAACTACCATAGTTCATTGTCGTTTGAAGAATGCGAGTTGACTTTATTCATCACTGCAGGCTCAGAGTTCCCGGCCGCCGAGCCACATCCGGATGATAATCAAGAAGCACTGAGCAAGAGGCACGTGCGCATGTTGTATATTATATTTTGCGCTCAAAAATTCTTCTGTGAACTTCTTGGCACTCTTTTTCTTGTCACATCCATTGCTTTGGCAGAAAAAGGTAGCCATGGGACCCTTTCACCGTTTTCTGTGTCTGCGGTGGTATATGTATTGACATTTTTGTTTGTGCCCATAAGTGGAGCTCATTTCAACCCAGCAGTGTCTACTGCGATGTTCCTAACATCCAAGCAGTTCCACTTCTTCGAATATTGCTCATACTTCCTATGCCAGCTGATAGGAGGCACCGGCGGAGCCATAATTGGCTGGGCAATTATGGGAGAGCCGCTTAACATCCTTCCTCTTGATCCTGGGGCGTCGTCGGCTAGGTCCATATTCCACGAGGTCATCCCCACAATCCTGCTTATCTATACATGTCTTGTGCTTACTTTCGCAACGAGCGCTGGGGATGTTAGCCTTCTCACCATCCCCTTGACTGCCTCTATGGTTGTACTGTTCGGTGCCATTGCCGGAGCAACAATGAACCCCGCGGTAGCGACCGGTATCTACATGTCTCATATCATTGTAGGGAATTACCATGTCCTAACTCGAGAGATTCTGATCGGTATCTTATGCCCTTTCCTGGGAGCGCTCCTTTCCGTCATTGGCTTTGTAGTCACCCATGCATATACTCATCCCCTTGAGCTCCGCTTTATCCATTTTACATAAAAATACCATGCGGCCGCTGAACACATGCCAGCTATATTGCGTTTTGAAGCTGCTCATGCTCTTCTGTCCTCGACCCCAAACTCAGCTGCAGAATCCCCTGCCCCTGGGACTCGCACACCTGTTTAGCGTCGCGCAGCCTGCTTGTTCGTCACTTTGCGAAATGGCGAATGCAGACTGGCGGAATACGAAGCTTCGCTTCCACCTTTCGTCAGGGACGAAGAGTTTTGCTATAATTTATGCAACGAAGATACATCAAGGCGGGAGGGTTTTCTCACCACCCCAGCAAGGCGCTCCTCCAAAACTTTGATTTGCACGCCCTTTATTGGGACACACCATAAGTGCCTTTCTAGAGCTGTATGTGCAGAGATTGGCTTGTGAGATGCGGCTCGGGTATATCCTGTACACCTTCCGAACAACTGCATCTTAATGCCAGCACACCGTGATCATGCTTCGCCACTTACCAGGGTTTAACCACGGCGTGACACGGTTTTTTTAAACGCTAGAAGTGATGCATCTCATTGGCCGTGTGCTGCGACCAGATGGTTCGGCCAGTGAATAATAGGCTCGGCAGACCCTCGGCCATGACTGCCACTTATCTGGCGCGCTATCGGTGTCCGAATTGCATTCGATATTGTGTGACGTGCCAGACATGTCAAGGTTTGCTCACACTTGCTACAGTCCAGTTGCCCACTAGGCGTTGTTCACCTAAAGGTACGAGCAGTCCCCTTTGCAACTCGAGGTGACAGATCCGTAGAAATGATACTTCCCAAGTATTTCATGGCCCTTCATATGCAAACAACGTGCAACTGCACGCGCCAGCGTCTGCGGCCACGGGTACACAGCAGCGGACAAATGCACCGCCTGCGAAGGAGCCATTGCAATTAAGTGATTTGCATCTAGATCAGGTGCTGACGGATGGCGGAACGGCTCCACTACAGCCCCGCTAGTTCGCATTCTTTGTTGAATGCCAAGATCGCCTCCAAGTCCTGTTGATCAGAAGGGTCATACGGCTCTGCATGTTGTCCACTTTCTGTCTCCTCAGTAGCTGACGTAGCTGATTGTGCTTCGGCTGAGGCTGGAGCATCCGCTGGAGCTTCATCCTGAACCGTATCATACTGATGTAACTGCTTTCTCCACTTCTGATAAGCTCTCTGAAAATGAGCCTTGCTGCATCGCAATTTTGCATCTGGGGTCATTGGATCCCCTTCAGAACGGCGCTCCGTCCCAACCTGCTTCAGGAAATTACGGTAGCCAGCAGTAGCCTTGCCGATGGCGATGTCTTTCATTCTTGCACATTCGCGTCGCTGCCATTCTTCTTCATCCTCCTGCTCCTGTTGCTCCTTGCTACTATTCACTCTCGCCTGCTGCTGCTGCACCACTTGAGGATGCAGCAAGCCAGGTAGCGGAGCAGCTGTGCCGGGGGGCAACCCGACCGGCATGAACATAGGAGAAACGAGACCTGGCAACTGTAGGAAAGCAGGGGCACCCATCTGAAGTAGCAAGCCTACACTGGATGATCCTTCTGATGACGTGCGCGTAGTGCCTGATCGGCGTCGATTCGCGCCCTTCGCGCTGCGGCGCTTCGCCTGCTGTCCATGAGAAACAATGGCAGCATCGATACTACCGGCTTTTTCGGGAAATTGGCCATCTACGGACCGGCGAGAGAGTGCAGATTTGCGTCTCTTGCTATGGGGGAGTCGCTGACATGGAACCTCCTGAGCAGCCGATGAACACCCGTCTTGCGCAGGAGCCTCCGAGTTTTGCATGACCGCAGAGGGGCCTCCGCTTGGAGCATCAGAAGTCCTCCTATTCCTCTTGGCTGGCGTTAGAGTAGCCGAGTCCAATGCTCCATTCGCCAGGTTCCGCTCCCGTCTACCAGCTGTCTGATGCTCTTCGCCAGCGCCTGAACTGCTTCCATCGTTTGGCGATCCCACCAGCAACCCTTTGAACCCCGGCATTTTCTCAGCACCCTTCCTCTCTTCTGCAGGACTTGCCTTGCTAGAATCCGACTTGATCGATGAACAGGCAGCTGCTGCATTATCCGTGCCTTCGCTACAAGGGGCTCCAGGCTTGCTGGAATCCTCACCAAGCGCAGCCGCAGCAAGGAAGTACTGGTTCATCCCTGCCTGACTGTTTTCAAACTCAGGGAGAACAACAGCCTCGCCTGGGGCATAAGACTGATCTGCCTGCTCAGCCTGAAGCAACAGGGCCGCATTCGCAGTGCTCCCTGGCGCTGTTTTGCTGCGGCTAAATGACTCCGTTGACATGTCCGCCCAGCGGATTCCCGCACGAAAAGCCGCCATCTTCTTGGCAGGACGGAAGAGAGCGGATGCGCAAAATAATATAGTGATAGCGGTTTCACAGTGCCACCTGAGACTACGGAACATCACATGCACATAAGCGCCAACGCTCCACGACAGACACCCTAGCCGTAATATCTACCCTATGATAGAATCCGCACCAGATGGAATCATGAGCCTTTGCTGCACATTCCCTTGCCCCCCCCCCTTTCCCGTCGCCTTGACAAGTGGTACGCTTTGTGTTATCCACTAATCGCCATAATCCAACCAGTACATACACTTAGGGCAAAAGGCTCCTGGTAACCGCCGAGCTGTTCTCATATTCTAAGACATACCACTGCTCACATCCACCCCTCAATCTTATCAGGGGCAGTATGGCTCTACCAGCCAAGCCCACACAAACATCAAAGTGTCTGAATATGTTATAGAAATGATATCTGCGATTTGACTGTGGTTATCCGCTATCTCACCTGAACTCGAGGGGGCTGCTTGGGGGCGTGTAGGCACTGCGTGAGACAGAGTCAGTGCGCGGCACTGGATCCAGCAGGTGAAACAATCTGGAGGTTGGTAAGACGGATAGCAGCACAATGCGAATGAGCAAATGAACTTTTAGGCTTGCTCGTCGGAGGTGTTCGTTCTGGTCTTTACAGTGGTCGGTTCATTTCCTGAGGCGGCTCCAAATGGATTTTTAGCGCCCCAGATTGAAATGTTAATATAGAAGAAGCCACTTTGCAGCCATCCAAAATGAATCTACAAAGCAGAAAATGAAGAAACTACACACCTGAAGGGTCGTCGAAGGGCAGTAGATGCACCCTGGAGGCAGCGGGAAAGAGCACTGTCAATTAGCAAGAAGTAGGTGAAAGAGCAGGATTACAGTGGATGGCGATGAAGTAAAGTAGGCCTGAGGAAGCCCCTGCTGTCATTTAAATACTATGCTTCTACAGGAAATGCAGCTGGGTGCCTTTTAGCATCGTGAAAGGGTGGGTGGGATGTACACCCTCCCCATGCCGGACTGGAGGGGGCCGAGCGAAAATCCTCTATGTGCACAGCGACCCTGCTTAATTCGCTACAGGATCTGTTTGCTGAACTGACTCCTTCTATTTGCACAGCAGAGGCTAATTTCGAAGAAATACATTTGTGAAACTGTAAAGTACGCCAGTTCGTCACCCTTGAGTCCCTTTGGCTGTGCTTTAGATAACAAAGTAGCAGACTAGGAAGTTTACGAAGCAGGGATAACCAGACTCAGATGCGAGCCAGCACAAATTCAGTGTCCTGCTTACAGGAGTTAAAAGGGTGAACTTGAAAGAATGGTTTCAAAGCTAGCTGTTTCAGTACTGGGCAACTTACTACGGGGATTCCGCAATACATTATCGAACCACTACCACATAGTAAGTGAGCTACGATCACTAACAACCTCCGTATATAAATCAAATTCAGTGTAGCGGACTCTGTGCATTTGATAGGTGGAAACAATACCGATATGCATATAGTACAGTGGATGTATAGTATAAAGGTTTATGGAAGGTGCTCGTAGGCCAACGCCACTGTGCGCATGCCTCTGTCCGTAAGGTCAAGTGGCTGCCGTAGCCTTCACTCTGGCCATTCACCCCCTCTTCATCTTTGGACTATAGAGCTGTGTGGAAAAGGGGGCGACAGCTCCTTTTGGGGGGCACAAAGTAGACGTCCCTTCGCTTGGCGAGAGTCTAAATAGCCACAGCTCTTAAACAGCCAAACTACATGGAGCGAAGCTCCCAGACCTTCGCCCTCTTCCTTGAGTTCATGCTGTGCTTGTCGTTTGCAGAGGAAAGCAGACTACTACACAAGTATAGCCGACTTAGCAAACAATTTCACAACCTACATTAATTGATTAAAGCACTACACGCACATCACTACAAATAAACTATAGTAACACTTCTGAAGATAAATTAGAGTGTGTCCTAGTTGTTAACCAGTTCAAAAGGTGCCAATACAGAAAAAAAATAATATCCCTCATCATATGTGCTCTTTTGAAGCCGCTGTCTCGATCTCTACGCTGCAGGGATCGTTGTGAATGATCAATATGCATTTGTGACGATGAAAAGAACATATAAAAGTTTGCTATTGTTTGGCTTATCTTCAATATAGTTTGTTGTAGCGGGCTTATTTGCACTAAACCACTTTTACTGCACGGGTAACGGTTAGCAAGTATTTCGTAAATAACTGGCACACTGACTTGTCATTTAATACATCCTATTTGTTTCAGGCTAGCCTTAGTTTGATATAAGAGGACGCAATGGTGCGTGTGTGTGTATAGTCTGAAGGCTATGTGCAACTAGCAGTGAACGCTCAGAGTGTATCAAGGATGCAGCTGCGCGAGCCTACCTGTTCCTCCCCCTTCCACGTAAACTCCGAGCGGCATAGGCAGGGGAAAAAGAAGCCTCTTGTCTAAAATCCAGCTAATGGCGTCTTAGTAACCTTGACCCTGAGCCACAATTCATTTGCATACCTACAGAAAGCCTTGGATGGTGCGTTGCAGTTGGCAGTAACGCATGGTTATCTGCAGTTCTTCATTCCTTCATCCGCTGGCTGCGGATTCAGTGGGCTATGACGTTTGCCTAGAACAAGTGTCTGGCTTTTGTCATGCTTTTAGCAGACCGATAGGCTAACCATAGCTGGAAATAGGCTGAACAAGACCTTTGGGCGATGGAGTTGACAGTAGCGCAACGCCTACTGGGGCGGCAAAGGCCGGCCTACAAGCTGATGTGAACGCAGTAGCTCCACTTCTGCTTAGAAAGTCCTGATATGTCACCCAATTGAAAAAATTGTGGATGAGTGGATGAGGTTATGCTTACCGAGAAAAATGACGGCCGACCCGATGGGCCAGAAATCGAGGATTTTATCAGCTTATTGGAGGTGTACTTCGCTTTGTACCCCTAGACGAGCAGAAACGCGTAGGCTTTCCTGAAAATGCCTCGAAGGGAGGATAGCTTTTATTGTGGCTCCAGAATGGAGAGGAATTCTTTTGCCTGCATGACTCCTAACGTTCAAACCTTCATAGACACTCTGCCACATCGGTGTACCCCGAGATCAGCTCAACAATAGGGCGTGGAAGAACTGGGGAAGTTCAAGCATGGTAATCTATCAATAAATTTATATATCGACAAATACAAGACTCTGGGTTGTTAAAGCCACAACATGGGCAAACAGCTGCATAATCAGTGGGTCATTTCAAGTCTACGTGGTGTCCTGCGAGGTAGTTGCACAATGGACAGCGACATAGCGATTAAACAGTCGACCGCTGACTCCGCAAAACATGGATGATATGAGCTTTAGTGAGCAAATAAGTACAATCCATGCATCTTTGGCTATAGTAGGAGCCAACTGGCCACTTAGAGTCAATGGACATCGGGGCTGTGCCAACCGGCCATACCTCACAGGCTACGCTAAACGAGGAAAAGAGCAAGAGAAAAACCAGCGCTCCTATGCAACCCCAGAAAACCCCGAGAACCTCTCAACAACGTACTTGCTTTTTTTCGAAAGTTTGGCTCCTGAAATTCGGAGCTGCAAACACTTTCAGATTGCCTTAATCTCGAACAACGGGACTAGACCCAGCGGAAGAAAGTTGCGCCGTAGGCAAAAAAGCTGCATCAGGGAGACTAAATACCCCCAGTAGGCTGCGCCATAGTGAAGGGAGGAACGAAGGCTAGATCCGCAAGCGGGGACCCACCACCGCTCATCCCTGCACTAACACAAGTTCACATTGATGGCCAAGTGTAAGAATATTACTCAACACTGGTTATTGGGTGAGTGTGTCAATCGAGGAAAAGCCACAGAAGTCCGATCTACCTGCTCACGCCTTAGGGTAGTCCTTGGACTAAATTTGTTGACGGGCAGCAGACTGGAATGATTGGCATGGCTGTGGCGGTCAACTGTCTTTGCACGTCGGGATGTGGGCGTACTAACGCAGTCAGTAGATTGTAATTTCCACCTGCGCACCATGATGTGGTCGTAGGTATGCCATCAGTGGCCCAGTGGAAAGTGTGCGTGAGGCCACAGCTGCGTGATGTATAGGTCAGTGTGCCAGGAAGCTCTAGGAATCGTTCATTTTCTTTGTGAAGAGCAGGCTGCAATTAGTGCCTCAACGCGGTGGGGTAGATTATTCATGAGGTCAGCTCGGCAGCGCAGTAAGGGAGTATTCTGAGCGTGCGTCCCGTCTATGTCAGGTGATTTTAAGTACGGAGTCCAATTGAACCTACAGCCGAGAAAAAACAGAAATGGACATGCACTGAAGAAAATATCGCTGGTGTGCTAGACGAATAGGGCTTACTAGTAGGCCAGCCACTTGTTAGTCGTCCATCTCTTCGTTTTAAGCAAATGCCTAGGTAAGCCCCAAGTTATGCTCCGCTGTATTAAATGCTCTCACAGCATGGATAAAAGATTGAAGAGTATGCGAATTCTTCGAAAAAAAATCACATCACATAGGAATCGGCCAGCACTCTGGGCATAATCCGGCGGTGGTGCCAGGAAACAATGGAAAGTGGCGCATGTCGAATAACATGAAATCCCCTCCAAAGACTAATGTGGAGAGGCACTTGATGCCTCATATTGGCGAATATCTTGACAAATTACACGGTGGGTGAATTCGTGCCAATTTATTAACCCTATTGACGGACACAAAACGGTGTTCCAGGCTTGCGCTCGCAAACTCGAATCTTCCTCTATTCCGTTTAGACTTGCCAAGACCCTAGATGAAAGATAAGGGCGTTGGTCGGGACTACAGTGATTCTTTTAAGAAGGATTGGACGACAGCCAAATTTAATGAGTTCTTAGTATTTAACCAAAACGCTCAAGAACACACACAACACCTGCGGCGCACACAGCAGATTCTGCGGGACAAGCAGTGGTATAAAAACACATGCGAGTGTTCGTTTTTCACGTCAGCTAGTCTGTTTCCGAAATTACGTGTTCTGAGGGCAGTTTTCGAGCAGAATAGGCAAAAATGAAAGCAACAGAGGAGTTTCCCTTTTCGCACTCGAAAGGACGTTGCAAAGTTCTACCGGTCTGCAACTCACCACCGAGACTTCCTTCCTGGACTTGCACGGGTCTCTTTTCTTTGATATTGATCTGCTTGGAAGTCCAGTGTCTGTGAATCAGGCAGAGGACACTGCTGCTGCAGAGAAGACACTTATCGACCTCCTGAAAACTTCTTCGGTACTTTTGCTGCCCAATATGATTGTCGACTTTGTCTGACAACCGATGCTAGTTACACAGCGGTAGGTACTGCTCTGTTTTAGCACGTTAGGCTCTTTAAAATATTATATTATTGCTTATTACTCCACCGAAAGCGAGCAGTGGCATTCAATGCGGGAAAGGGAACCCTATGCGGCCTGATGCGGTGTGAAGATGCCGGCTGTAGTAAATAGGCGGCAATGTACTGTCCGGACGGGCTACTACCCTTCAATGTACCGCCTAAGAAGTTTTAAATACCTCTTTTATTGCTATCAACTGGATTGGGCGCATTCTGCAGGCGCCGCTTGACATGGAAGTAATGAAGAATATCATCCATGTAGTAGCGGAGGGGCTCTCGCGATGCCAAGCAAAGGACCATGGTACACGACAATCGTCCTTGTCCATAATAATAAAACTTTTCAGTCTAGATAGTGGTAGTACCATTTTTTGGCATCCGTGAATCCACCACAACCGCCACAATCAAAAATGGCAAAAGGATGGAGCACTACCGCGTTGAGGGTGGCTTGCCGCAGTTCGAACAAAGCAGGGTCTCCCTCTGCTGTGCATCCCGACTTCGGCTCATAGTGCCATTCCGCGCAAAGTACGTGTATATGCTCTGTAGGGGCATAACGGAATTCATATTGCACTGAAAGGCCTCGGCTTGTCTATTTGGTGGCAAGGGATATTCCCCGCGGCAAAGGTGTATTCATCGAAATGCCCAAATCTTCCGGCAGCTAAAGCCATGGAAGTCTTTTAAATCTAGTCGTTGCCAAACCTCACGCCTTCTGATAAAATTTGGACTGACCTGACTACGAACTTTATTGTCGGACTGCGAGAGATCAGGGGTTATAACAGCATCTACGTTGTTCTCGACCGACTCAGCAAGCATTCTCATTTCACCCTTTTGTTCCAGCTCTGAAAAGGCTCAGGAAGCTGCACATTTATTTTAAGCTCATAACTGGATGCTCCATGGATCGCCTAAGGGTGTCAATACCGATAGAGATCTGAAGATAGATCGCTAGTGTGTCCTGGCGTGCCTTTTTATGACTTGCTTGCACAGTGACCCTACAGCCTACTACGAATAACCCTAAAGGAGAGGGGCAGACGATGCGCACCAGCCGCGCGCGTCTGCAGTATTTCCGATTCTTTGCTCACGAATAGTTCAAGTGCTCGGGTCAATTTTCTTCCTATTGATGAATGGGCTTTCATACAGCAATAGTCGAGGTTGCTCTCCCGCCTCGCTGAGGTGTGATGAGAAACGCGTATTTGACAGGGCCCTCAACCTTATGGTTCGAAGCCAGCAGCCACCGCAGCAGCAGAGGGCCTTAGAGAGGTGCTAGCTAGTGCGCCCCAATGGTTGCGCAGAGTCAAATAGAGGCAAGCACGGAATTAGGATAAGCCGCGGTTGACCGTGTATTCTGAGCGTTAATATTTGGTCCTGGTAGAGCGCCTAGGTGCGCGAGAAGTGGATTCCATGAAGAGGCTAGAGGGCAGGCGGCTAGGATCATTTGCCATTCTCTCAGGAGTCAATGCTCCGTCCTACTCCATCCACTTCCTTGAGAGTTGAGCAAGCCACAAATTTATCAAATTTGCTTTTCTAGAAACGTTCCGTAACTTTTAAGTTATTTGCAGACTTTCTTGCGTAGGCAAGCTATCCGCGTGTAGGCGAGAGATCTACAGGGTGCCATAGAAATGCTGGATTGTAAGACGATGGTACGCCGAGAGAGCACCCTAGACGGTAATTCCTGTGAAACATTTTGGGAAGCGCAAATATCTGTGATTGACGAAGGAGTATGTGCTTGCTATATTGCACGCTAAAAATTTCAAGGTTTTGTCTGCTTAACAAGGCTAGCACTTATAGACGGAGTCCCTCGAATTCCTTGACAGTTCTCCTTCCCCGGTGCACGCGCTGCCTGATATACCGACCTTCCTATGGTTACTGCTCGAAAAGTTGGTTATTGTTGTGAAGATGTTCTCCTCGGTCGGCTGGATAAGCAGGATTTATCAGGCATGCTGTCTATACTCTTTTCCTCATGCCTTTCGGGTTTTGAAGCCGACAATACTGCATGCGCTCGCTGTATTCGCATGCAGATCTACAATATGAGCCGCGGACGCACTGCTCCACTAGTGATGATTACCTTCACAGAGCTTAATTGTATTCCGTTTCATCGTGGCACTAGGCTCACGCATTTCAGCTCTCCTAGGACAGCAAGCCATCACACCGACACGGTCATGTTAATTTGGAATCATGTTCGTTGTGTTTTAGTCCTTGTTTCCAGCGGGTTGACTTGAGCAGTTAGTTTGCACTGCTTTCTCATTTGCACCTTAATCATGTTTTCCGCCTTCCGGTGAAGTGGCGATACTGCAGGAACGCTTCCGCTGTTCTGGAGATAATTGTCTTCCTCGTGCAGGCATGAGACACAAAGGCGTGTGTTTCGAAGTGTGCGGGACAAGATGTAGCGGGCTAACTACCACTTACGCACTTTTGACTACAGTGGTTACCTTCTGCTGAGAACTCAAAGAATTGCCTACTCGGCTTTTCTGTGTGTACACCTTGTTTACTCCGGAGTACAGTAAGCTGCGTACAAGGCAATATTGTATGCGTGTGTGCTAGGTGTTATGCGCAACTTTTGTGGGAGCTCGGAATGCTTGAAGAGTGCAGCTATGTGAACCCTAGCTGTCTCTCTTCCCTCGTATTGGGAACTCTGAGTGTGCGGGTAGGGGAAGGATGGAATTCTTTTGGAAAATGGTCAATAACCCTAGGAAGCATGTAAGGAGTGTGAACTTCGGTGTCTTCCTACGGATTCATCAAATGGAGCTTTGCATTTTTTGTGTGAGTTTTGAGTTGTGATGCGCGGTCGAATTTGTGTGACGCCTGGATCTGTGGCATCCGGGTATAGTTATTTTGTGTTCGCTGACGACTAACATTAGCCTTATGGCTAGCAGTCCGGCCAAACACAATCCTATTAATACTTCGGGTTATCCTGCCTGAAAGTCCGAGCTATTCAGCCACCACCATTAGGTAGGCTCAAAAAAACTGCTTTTAAGCGGCCATAAAAGCCCTCAATAAGTAAAAGGTTCCAGATAAATTAGTTGTGCACTTTCCAGCCGTTTAAAACCAGAATAAACCACACTTAAATATTTTGGAGGAAAAGAATCGACTCAAAGGCCAGGGGAGTTAGGTGAAGCGTGACTTTCAAGGATCGATTGAAATCAGTGGGACTAATTTCTTGGGGGAAGCTGGCAAGAAGGCAACTGATGCAGCCACCACACTTCATCGAATGTAGAAGGTGACATTGCACTCTAAAGTCCATAAACGCTGCAAATGCTACAGCATATTGAGCTTCAATGTTGCTTTTCGAAGGCACATGTGCATGCCGTGCACGCAGTAATTCTCGCCAAAGCGCTCCATGTGTGGAACTTCCCGTTTCAGAGTTTTGTCAGCCTTAATCATTCCACGCTATGTGTTGCTTGTCGAAAGCTTTACAATGACACTGAAATAGCTGGTTGCTATAGCCCATAAGCTATGCATGCGACTGGGCAGCCCATTGGTGACTCTGACCTGTGGGATACCATCAAACACTCATGAAGCGGCCCACGAAGTGGAGCAAAGTGCATTTATCAAGCGTCATGTTGAAATATTATTTGTAAAATCCTCATATTTAGGAAATTCTAACGGTGAATCGTGGCTAGAGACATGCTTTGTGACAAGAGCTGATGGTCACTACCACCTTTATCCGCGGGTACGCGCCGCGTTATCCAGTAGCCTGGTCATCTGGTTCTATAATGTTCAGCCGATTCCTTGTGCATTAGGCGTGTGGATCTGGTAATGAGGATATGAGTTGTATTTGCATTTCTTTTCTCGTCAAGTTGTATTGTAGCGCAACCTGATTGCCTCTGTTTCCGGGCCGGCGCCGTCAGCCCAACCAAGAGCTGCTCATATTCTTAAATACTTCACACTCACATGTTCTTCCATCTTGGCTTACCATGCAATTCAACAGCAAATGACTCAGCTAAATACCTAAGCCGCACTCGGCTCGTTTTCTCACTGAACCGCGCTTTTTCAGAACCACTTCTTACTTTCCGTTACAATCAGCTTCTACACCGAAGCGAACGCTGTTTCCAGCTAAACTCTAGACGCGTTGATTCACAGTTGTGTAGGGTTTGGCCGTATTTTGAAGGGCTGTGACCCTGAAAGAAGTACCGAACAGGATTCCTATTCCACGAGCGGCACACGATGAAGCATCAAGACTTGCCCAAGGCTGCGGATTCCACTTCATTTACTATGATGGAAGATGAGATTGAGAATCTACCAGTCTTCGTGTCGCCAGTACGGATCCACCCCTCCTCGGCATTGACCAGGGTTTCAACAGTTGGTGACCGCATGGCTCCTCTAGAGACAGAGGCCCTGCTTCCAGCGTGGAAAGAGCAGCTACGTCGTTCTAAGTCAAACGAAGGGAAGACGCGCATTCAATACTCACTTTTTCCGGGAACTCAGAGGAGCACTGTCTTGGCGGGCTATGAAAACAGTGAGTTGGGTGGGCACTGGATGCCCCAAAGAATCAACAAAAGAGGCGGAGTCAGCCTGACTGATGAAGGTAAAACGGCGGCTACAGTTGCAGCTGTTGTTGCCGCAACATCCTCTCCGAGGATGAGCGACGCGACGCACGCGTTTCTTCACACGATTGCGGGAGCAGCCGGTGCTGTAGTGGCTATGGCAGTGGTGTATCCACTGGACTCTCTCCGTACCATTCAGTCTGTCCAAGGGGGGAGCGCCTGGGAAGTGCTGAAGCTTCACTTACGTCATGGTGGTTGGAGGCGACTTTACAAGGGGATGAGGGCGGCGGTCGCTGGAGTCATTTTCAGCTGGGGCACATACTTTTTCGTGTACACTTTAGCCAAGCAGAAGGAGAAAAATCGGTAGGCGTCTGTTCCTTTAGAGGATTAGATACATGACGCGGACATTGTCTCCTGGGAATGTTCTACATTAATATGACAAGGCAAGCACCGAAGAATTCAACTGTGCTCCATGATATCTTGCCTTAGGAGAGGCTCAAAGGCCAAAGCGGGAACGAACCTCCCAATGGCGATCGGAGCAGGAGTTTGTTCTACTATCATTAGCAATCCATGTAAGAGCTCACGAAGTAGTTACTGCTGGATACTGCACAACGGCAAGCAGCAAATGCATCATGCAATCCCAGCTGACCATTAAATGCTTGTTTAGTTGCTCGACAATGTGAAGTACTGTGACCGTACAGTTTGGGTTGCTAACACTCGTCTCAAGCTGGATTTCTCCTCGAAGACAGACGAACATGTGGGCCTCTCAAAACAAATCCCTTCTGCGCTGCAATTTCGCCATGTAATCTCTTACAGAGGAGTGCTGGCACTCAGATGGATCTTAGACGCTTGTCCAGGGTGTCTACGACGTGCTGGTCGACAAGTGTGTGTGTTGACGGTTTGCAGAGCATCTTTGTGATGCTAGTCGAAATTTTGCGCAAGGAGGGATTTCGTGGTTGGCTTGCGGGGATTGTGCCAGCGCTGGTTCTGGTCTTAAACCCTGCTATTCAGTTCGCTCTGTACGATCACCTGCGGGCAAAGGTGCTACAGCTGAAACAGGTCAGTCAGAAGTCTTTTAGATTTTTTGTGCCCTCAGAATCGAGATACCTGTTTTTGCCTCATTCAAAATCCATTGAAGGGACTTAAGTAACACCTCAGCTCTTTTCGTGCTTTCTGCCTTATAGTCGCTCAAGAAGTCCAGTCTGCATGTTATATGGTGGCAGAGGTGGCGCACATCACCGGCCTCTTCATCAAACTCTTTCGGTACTCAGCACAGCAGCAGTGGGTCGCTCACCTCGGACAGGTTGCTACGGTCCCGCGTCACACCTGCCGAGTCGTTCCTCATGGGTGCGTTCGATGTGGCATCAAGACAGCTGAGCCTATAAATACACTTCTGTGGTTTTCAAATAAGTGGTGGTTGTGGCGCAAAGGTAGAATAGCTGGACAGTGCAAAAGCACATGCGTGCATTGCATGCATGAGGAAACCTGAATATGTGGATCGTGCGTGGGGCCCAGGTCTTGCAGCCAAGCTGGTGGCTACGCTTGTGACATACCCCTATCTTGTTGTCAAGACCCGAGCGCAAAGCAAAGTGTTTAATGTTAAAGACTACTCCTGTAAGGAACTTTGACATGGTCTCCCTGAGGACGCTTGTTCGCATGATGGAAGTAGCCCAAAGTAGTCGGTAGTCCCCCTAAAATGGAGCCAGAGAGGTCTGGTCTCGGCGCACTAGCAAACAATGATCAATAGCCCCTTCGCGTGAAGTCCATTATCTGTGCAGCAAGCGTGCGAAGCTTGATAATGATTCTTGAGACGGAGGGCCTACCAGGACTTTTCGCAGGCTTGCCGTCGAAGTTGACAGCTACACTGCTGTCATCTGCCATAATGTTCACGGTGTACGAGCAGTTACTACCCCTCGTTGTCAAGATATCCAGGCCTCTGATGACCAAAAGTCGGAATGCCGATTCCATGCATCGTAAAAGGGCTAGTTAACTGCGGCAGTAATTACTGGTTAAGCGTATGTATCACCAGGCGAGGTTTTACCTAATATTGAGGTGAAACAGACCTTCTGGTAGCTACATGAAATCATGAACCCAAAGGCACCTGACATCCGTGAGGTGTCAATTATTTTGGGCAAGCAAATGCTACAAAGGATCTCACAACACGCGCTCAAACTATGCTACCCGAGGCATGACTCCTCATCTGGGCTCCCAAGTTTTCTAACACCAAAAGCTCTTGTGCGTAACGGACCCTCGTAACTAGTATCTTCCGAGAGCAATGCTCCGCAAGTGTGCCGTCATCTCCCGGCAGTTATGAAGCCGTTTGCCAGCAGGATCTGACGTAGAACTTGGAGAGTGGCGAAGCAAGTGTGTAAAAGCGAACGTTGGCCGACAGTTTGGAAGAGCTCATGTCCACAGGATATCCCCGCTATGTACTACGGGGAGTGTCGCTGGGAGAGCACTCGCCAACAGTCTCATATTTGATACTCTGGGCGCAAGGCGGCACAGCCGATCGACAGAGTTTCCAATGCCTGGAAAAGCTCAGAAGAAAAATCCGAGGATCTTTCCACCGGTGTGCTTTCTGCGGGCCTCTTCATGATCCATAATGCCGTATGCGGTTGTGAGCACCAAGTGGCCGAACTGTCGAGAAGGCAGCAAGTTTGAGCAGTACTTCTCGATGTTTGATACTTTCACATCGTACCTGAGAACAAACGATAGTACATCTTATTACAAACATTTTACTGTGGCATCTCGAAGCTGAAAACAATTTCTCCAGACACATAGGCACCCTCTGGCCATAGGAATTTAAATGTGCGGACACAAAGCTTAGGAATACACAGTGAGGCCTACGTTTAAAATGCCGCATAACGTCAAAATTTACGCTGTGGAATCTTACCTCGGGCTTATGACACCGCATTTGTTGATGCGCCCAAGGAGGTCTACAACAATCTTCTTGGAGCGATGATCATCAACAATCTCGAATTCACCTATGTAGCCGCGCCGCTGCATGCACTGCAGAAACTTTACAACCACCTTGCTAGAAGGGCGAATAAGGACCTGACGGCGCCCCCGCTTCTCTGCGTTGACGATCGTCTTCAGGCAGTCGGCTAAAACGGACATGCGCACCATCTGAAGAACGGAAAAGCACACATCACCTCCAAAACTCTCGATTTGTCGAAGAGATGGAGACCTTGATAAGAATCTACCGACGAGTACGGATACATGCAACATAATGTCGATGCACATAATGACCAGAAATATGGTGGAGGAAAGCACCACGCCTACTATGAGCAATGTGCCCATGGCAACAGCGTATGACACAAAGAGCCACCACCGCGGTAGCTTGTACTATCAACAGTGCCGGACTATCAGAAAACACCTCATTTTGCCCCTCGCATAATAAACAAGCGCATGCGCATGTGCCAAGCCAGAACCATACGGTTCCCGGCGATACATTCTTCGGAGAACAGCCTCCAGCATATGGAGTTGGCACTAAGGCACTAACTCCAATACGAAATATGGGTGATGACTGCAATCCCGTGCGTAAACATACAAGTGTCGGAGGAGACCCGGAATAGCACAGCCGATTCCGTCTGGCTGGAGGCAGAAGTGGCTGGCGCAGTTCCCAGACAATCAATTCCCCTAAGCTCTGGGATAACGCCTTTAAAATCTATGGATACAACCAAGGAAAAGGCCACGAATTCAGCACCGGCAAAAAAACACATGCAGGTACCCCACAATCTCCAGCATATTGCCCTTTTGTTCCTTCCTTGGACGAGAATGCAGCATCCAGGGATCGAATCACCAACTTGCCTTCGCTAGTTCATTGATTACGAGGAGACGCAATAGCCACAGTCCGACCGCAAAAGAATTTAGCCTCATAAGCCTGGAGTGCACGGGCGCCCACTATTGCTCTCATGGCAGCCATTTCAGCCCCATTGGTGGGGCGGGTGGCTCGCACCCCGCAAGTGAACCTGCTGGGGCTGGAATTTTTTCTCTGGTGGTTTCCTCATGATCTAATGTCAAGATAATACTGTAGTACTCCAAGACCCAAATATATGGGTATGCCCTCCAATACGCTGCATGTGTAGCCGCCGATGGCTCTTGGACTCCTCTTTGATGGGCAAATGCAAGCCTTACACTCTAATTCCTCTGAGGCATATAAAGCATGGCTGATACTAAAATTAAGTTGGTTCCATTCGGAGGTGTATTTTAGCAGTAATGTGTGGCTATATGAGCGAGCAAAGGGGTTATAATTGATACGTTTGGCTGACTGTACCAGTGGAAAAGTGGAAAAATCTACAAACACTCACAGAGAGAAGAAAGGATGGATGTCCGCACTTGTAGAGGCAATCATTTTCTCAGTTTGCCTGATTACGAGCTTGGATTGGTCTCCGGATACTTCTTAATTGGTGACGTGGTAAGGCGCAACATGCCAAACTCGTTGTACAGGGCTACACACCGGAACATCCGTGTCCATATCGATTGACAATGTCGCCTTCCTCAGAGAGGGACTTGGTAACATAGCTAGCATTTGGGCTGGCGCCGGACACTGTTGCCGCCCTGAGCCTAAGTAAGCAGTGAAAGGCCTTTTCGGGTCATGCACTGGTCCTTGACCAATTGGGAAGCATACTTAGGAATGCCACAAAATGCCTGACATGTTGCAAAGCTGCTGAGTCCATAATCCGGCGAGACTAAATCGTCTCTCAGGTTCTTATTCGCTCAGAGCTGTCTGTCGATTGGCGTTAGTGCAGCCAAGCACCAGGTCCAACTACAGAGTGCCGCACTTCCTATCTAGCATGAAGCATGTATGTCACTCAGCCAAGAGACTAATTTATGGCTAAGATATAATCCATGAATTCCTCGCTTGCCACTTTTTTGCAGAAAATGCAACTCTTGGGGGCACTGCCACGAGTTAAAACTAGTACTGTGCTTCAAAGGCGATCGTGCACCCCTTTTGCATGAAAAAATAGCATATCTCCTACAGTTGAACACGATTCATTATTTAGGCAGAGCAGCTTTAGTTCTAGTGCATAGAGTGCTCACTACATCGCTTAAAGGCAAGAGCTAGTTTGCTAGATTGTTGGGTTTCACTGTTCAGAGTGCGTGAGGAACCCATAGCTGCAGAGCTGATGGGCGGACACCCTTGCCTTAAAAAATACAACGAACGCAGGTAAAAGAAATGCAAACCTTGTCCCCAACAAAAAACTAGCTGGCTGGAAACAAACTCGCTCCAACTCTTCAAGCAAAACCTGTTAACTGAGGACCGGGAGACACGGAACCGCACGTGTCAGGAAGTGCACAATGCGCTAGATAAACATTGTTAGATCAATGGTTTACCGCAGAATACATTTTCTAAATAAAGGCTACCTGCGGGAGCACGCGGTGGTGTTGGCGCGGTTGCTGATTCAGCTGCACTAGCCAATTAAACCGCTCCACCACTTTCCCATCTTCGTTATCAGAGATTTCGATTCCCGTAGGCTCGCGTTTGTTTCTTCTGCGTGGCGATTTGCTCGCTGGATGCTCTCTCTTTGCATGTACAAATTGCAGAGGATGTTCGCACCGACTTCCTCAGTTTCTTCAGCGAGTTTCCTTGTGCTATCCAGCTGCAGAAACACACTAAACAAAGTCTCGAGCGTACAGCGAAGCTCAGGTCATGGATGAATAGTTTTACCTTGAAGCACATCGAAGCCTGGATAGAATAGACTGCTCACCTGCACGCTTGCATTATGTAGCTTTTTTATTGTTTGTTCACATCTTCTGCTATCTGCAAGCTCCGATGCCTCTCGGCCACGAGAGGTCGACATGAGGCACCTGCGAAAGTGAATAACGCGGTAGATTACCACGCACAAGAGAACTCATTATACTACCAAACAATGTTGGCCAAACGCATTGAAACATGGCTTTCCTGTTAGTATATTGAGTGTCTCCTCGTGATATAAATATAGATCTATATACCTGCGTTGAAGCGATGCGAAATCATCACGGCAGCTCTGCAGCTGACTCAAATAGCCGCTTCGCTGGGCTGGTGACATGGACCGCAACTCCATTTCAAGTGCTCCCAGGCAGTCTGAAAGACGTCAAACACCTAGAATTAGTACAATGGGTTAGAGCCTGGATCGAAGCAGAAGAGAAAGAGCGCCGTTGACAAACTTCGAATGCTTTTGCTTTAACATTGCTTCACATACTGCATCTACTTACCTTTGATTTCTCGCAGCTTCGCGTCCACAGCTGCTGGAATTTCCTCTCCAGATCCTATTTTCTGAAGCATGCGTTCCAGTTCAGCCCGTAGGCTGCGGAACTCCGCCAAATAATCATTTAACATTTCAGGAAAGTTTTGTCTACGAGAAAACTGGGGAGATCAAGATCAACAAGCATAGTAGCATGCAATGCACCGATTTGAGACGGATATTATATTCGTTGAGTGCGGATTTGCTGGCGATACGTTCGTCTGGTAGGACAAGAGGGGTTCAAGTCGGTTAGCGAGGCATTTGGGACCAATTGGGCCCCATCGGATTAGGCATTTAAAATATCATATGAATCGCGGCGTCCCGCAAGTGTCTACAAAATAACAACTCAATGGCAAGAAGAGAACTTTTTAAAGGTATTCTGGAATAGCGTTGTCACATTCCTGACTGATGATCGAGGACCTGGGAGACCCCCCGCAAGCCTTCCTCCAGAGACCTTAAAGAGAATTGAAAGGCACGCAAGGTGTCCAAAATAGTTCCCTTGTTTGAGTGGTGAGATCGTGCTTCGCAGCCTCCTGGCCTTAGTCCATGCTGATATTTACCCGAGAGAATGTCAGGCCAGCATTTTCTCTGTCAGGGCTCTGAAAGCCCTGTCAATAGAATAAGTGTAAAATATCCATGAAAATACGAGAGAAGTCGTAATCTTACCCAAGTAGCAATGTCGATGGATAGAAAAACCGGCTTTGGCGGCCCATGGGTACCAGGGCCCTACATGCACGATGGCAGGCACGAGAGTGCTGTGTAGCATGGTAGTGATCTCGTGGACTGCGAAAGCCAATTAAAGAATGGCGTGAAAATTGCTTACGGCTTTTCCTGCATTCTCGAGAATATATGAGACCGAAGTGCTTGAAGACATCGGTTCCAGGTACTCCATGGCAGGCAGCTGTGCAACGTCCCTACCAACCGTCTCATAAAGGTGGTTGCATCAAAAGAAAACGTGAAAACACTGCCCAGTAAAACGCTTGCCATCTCATGATCCAAGCCTCTGCATTGATCTTCGCCATGGGTCAATGAACTCTTACACGGCAAAGCTGAATATTCCTTCATATTCTGGCCTGCTATTGGAGTGACCCCAAGAGGAATCGCTTTTGTGTGCTCTCAGAGACTGCAGTAGTTAGTGGCTTGTAGAGGCTTCTCACTTCCCTTAATCGCAGCATTAACCTGTTGCAGGAGGGCAGAAAATAGCAGTTTATTTGAATGAAGCGATGCAGCGTGCTGGCTGTAAATCCGCAAAGCATTTACGTTGCCTATCTAAACGCTTTTGTCACGTGAGTATGCCAACGGAGTCCAAAGTGTATCTCTGAGCCTCATGTTTCGCCAGGACAAGCAAAGCTTTCTGCGAGACACTTTGGATTAGTTGCCCCCTAAACTAAATTGCAGGTCATCCCACCCAACCTTCGCTTTCGTTCCTCAGTGCACACTCTGCCACAATGCCAGAAGGCAAGAACAGAAATAGAAAGGGAGGGCGAAGACCTCGAATAGAACCTACGGATGAGCAACGAGCAGATATAAAGGAAGCTTTTGACCTATTTGACACTGAGGGCACTGGAACAATTGATGCAAAGGAAATAAGAGTGGCTCTGAGAGCCTTGGGGTTCGAACCTTCAAGGGACGAGATTAAAAGGCTAGTTTCAGAAGTCGAGCGAAACAAGAAAGCCGTAGGCAATACCGAAGGAGTTGACAAGCATAGAAACTGTACGCAAACTCCCACCATTGCACAAAACGTCTTTCTACTGCTAGCACCACAGGATGCCACGTATGCATGTGGTTCCAATGTTACTAATCTTAATATCTGAATGAGAGGAGCTTGCTTCATATGCAACGGGAAATGAGGGCTCACGGGGCGCGAATGCTTATTTAACACCACTGCGGCAGTGCCCCTAATTGTGGCAAGGCGTGTGGCGCAGCAGTTAGAGAGGCAGGGCAGCCCTCCGTCAGTCAATTGGACTACAATGACTTTTTGGAGATTATGACGATAAAAATGAACGAAAAGCCGACTCGAGAGCAGCTCAGCAAGGGTCAGCCACCGTCGAACTGCATTGTAGCTCCGGTGTTCTCAGCACTATGACTTCAAGTACTGCTAATCCTTGTGATTGTCTTTGTTGCAGGATTTCTAGCCCTTGCGAATGGTAAGGATGTTATTACATGGGATGATCTGAAGAAAGCCTCCATTGATTTGGGAGAAAAACTTTCAGACGAGGAACTACGGGAAATGCTTGCACATGCCTGCCGGAACAGGTCCACGCATGTAACCGAAGAAGACTTTTTTCGAATACTTAGGGGCTGACATCCAAACTTTGTCCGTGTCAAACCAAGACCCCGATTTGTCCTTAAATCTACGGATACTGTTCAGGTTGTCAGGGTCTGTGGCGAAAGCTATGGTCCAATTAGTTCGAGCTGATGGCACCCACAGTATAATTCAGTTACTTGGTTTATTCCAACTAGTAATTCTTATACAGAGGAATACAAGAATGAAGCCAACATGTGAACGGGGCTCAACAGCCATTCTGACGTACTGTGGAAACCATGATCTCAGGCCTTAGTATCTATGAAGATTGGCAAAATTTACGACAGCCAGTTTTTGGTGGCGTTGTTTATTAAGAGGAAAATCAAACTGCATAGAGGCAATTCACAAGGATCGTGGTTAGAAAAGTATGGGATACTATAGTTCTGCACCAGACATGGTCAATCGGACCTACCGAAGTGGCATGAAGTGCTGCTAAATCAGAGCGCAGGGACAGGGAGAACAGTGCACGTTAAGTTTCCCCCAAAGCTCATATGACATACAGCTAGAGCACCGGCATTCGCTAGACAGAGACTTTGTTGCTGACATAGCCACCGCTCCTCACACTGGAGTTTTTGGCATGGAACATGAGCACGACTACTTGAGAGGCTGCGTGGCTGTTAGCAGCTAAGTTGAATAAACAAGCACTGCCCCTCGACCTTTTGTCTATAACAAGCGGAGTAAACCAAGTATTACGCGAATCCGACCAAGGATGCCTACATATGCAAACAAGGATTGAATGAGGGATAAGCGCGTCGGCGAGCTAGAGTGATTGATCAGCGTACCATGGATCTGCAACTCCTCCCTGAACATTACCCAGAAGAAAGGCATCTAGTGGTTGGGCCGTCAAACGATGTAATGCTGTTCTTGAAACAATGTGTTCTGCCGAAATTGCGAGAGGAGTTCTTATCAGCTGGAGCAAGTTTCTAAGTGCTTCTCTAGACGTAGTAAACGCGATTGGTGGCCGCTGCCGTATCCAGCATAACGTCTGTCAGTAGTGAGCCAAACCAAAATATACTGGCACTGAAGACAATGTCCGTTAAGCTGCCGAAATCGCTTGCAGGACCTGATTGCAATCAATGTTGAATACTTGTTGTAAGTGCTTTAGACACCTTATCGTGCTAGGGAAAGTAAACTCGGTACTTCGACTACAGGAAAAGGGTGTGCGGAATCAGTAAGTTCCGCCACTCTTGCCTTCAATCTTGCTAGCAGTACGTAATGAGATACGCTTGGGCACCTAAATGGCATGCTGTATGTTGAAGTTGATGCGGCAGAAACTCCCGAGATATTTGTGGATGAAGCAGCTAAACTGGCTCTGTGATGCCACAGCGACTTATAACTAGAGCCTGGAGACTGTAAACTGCTCATACGAGAAGGAAAGGGTCGGTCAGCTGCATGGAGACTCTGTAGAAGCGCTCTCAGAGATATACTTATTGCATTAAGCATCCCACGCGCGACCAGAGCTGCGCAAAAAGCTTCCGTGCTTGCAAGGTCCTTTGCCAAATTGCAATTTAGATCATGTCACTCCACATGCTGCGGGGCCATTAGATCAGGAAGATCCCAGCCCCGCAGGAGTTTGTAACGGTAATGGATACGTCTTCGGGCCTGCTCGAAGGCCGTGTCTAGGTCCTGAACCAAACAAGTTACATGCGGCAAGCACGCAAGGTTGAGCTTATATGGATCTGCCAATTGCGCTGGCTACATTGAATTCATGCTCATCTCATAGGCTAAAGTGGAAAGGCATCGAAGGTTTTTGCTGCAGCTGTAGGATGATGGGGAGTAAGCAGCACTCGCTAGGGCGTCCCAAGTAGTGATACAGTGTAGGTGTCCACTTACAGCTCCGCCCATCAAATCGAAGCCTCTGAAGGCATTGCGTAACTCATGGGGAAAGCGAACAAGCACTTCGTCGAAGTGTTCTGCTGAAAGGCGTGCCAACGCTGTAAACGTTTGTGCTTTTACCGTTGCCGAACGCCTCGTACCTACCAGGCGACAGGTGATGAAATACATCAGCGGAAAGAGTCTAGGCAGTTGCTGTACAACAAAAAGATAGGGTGGGTACTAGTTGACCATAGTTTCCGTTGTTTCATGAACTCACCAACGGTCAGAAGAGCAAGTTCTCCGAAGTAATCGCCACCAGATTTGATCATAATGACCTTGCCGTCAGCGGACAGAACCTCTACATTACCCTTTAAAACCCATCACAGCGTGACACTCTGCCGCTTTTAGCGCTAGCACTCTACCGCGCATACCCTTACAGCTTCCGTGAACAATTTAATATACCGTCCCTAAACGCTACTCGACATCTTGGTACACTACTGCAAAGTGAGACACTAGGTATGCAAAGAATCCACGTTCTCGCTGTAGAGAGCAGTAAGGAAAGAGGAAATACGCCGGGCAGCAGGGGAGGAGGGTGTGCACACCTTTATAATGAAGAACATGCAATCTCCTTCCTGCCCGGCGCGAATGATGTAGTCTCCTGGGGAATAAATTTTGTCTTGAAGCCGCATAACGACGTGCTTTGTAAACTCTGGATCGCAGTGCTGAACGAATGGCGCTAGCAGTGCAAACAAAACGCTTATTCAGCTGAGGAGCTGGCCCCGACTTTCGAAAGAAATTTCTGGTCTTTTTTACTGAGCTCGTGACAGGGTAGCTTAGACCAGCGAGAGAACCACAAGGGGCATGCCTTAAAAAATTTTGCCTTGCTGACGAGCCCCTTATAGAGATGTAGCTTTAGCTCTTCTAGCAAGGGATCGTTTAACGAGCTCATCAACTTTGTCAAAGCAAATGTATCGCGGCTCGAGTGGACATATCTGTACGGATAAAATTATAGAGAAAAATCGCTGTGGTGTAGATCCGCATTATAACCAACGAAGAGCTCAAAAGGGCGACAGTATTACAGTTTAGCAGACCCCCCCCATGCATTAAAGGACCTCTGCGATCTGCGACTGTCCTCCTGGGCAGCTTATGCTTACCGGAAGTACTGGTCTACTCGCTTCTGCATCTCTGGAGGAACGCGCAGTATACGCATGGCTTCAAGCGAGAATGCCATGTCATCTGAGTGCTGACCCTCAAGGAGATTCAGCCGCTGGTAGAGAACTGTGATTTCTCCAAATGCCATAGCCGAAATGAGTGTACCGACGGGAGCAACGATACAATACTGTGAAAGCGCATTGGAATTCTGTTCAGAGGCATCAATTCTGCATAGTTCTTTGTGTTGCTGTCTTTTCGGCTGCTTCAACAATGCTTGAAGGACACGAAGAAGCAGTCACACTCCCACAAACAACTGCCGTCCTCCGTCTTTGTACCCGGTGTGCGTACAGGCTAGCGCGGTGCCCATGAGCGTGGCCTCTTACCAACAAAAGTTCTTCAAAACTTAAAATATCTGCCTTCGCGACCTGGGCGTGAATCATATTGATGCCATAGGTATAGCTGAAGGTATACTCATCGATTGGGGCTGCATAGGAGAGCGCACATTGCGATGCTCTGCCACTTTGACTCGTTTAAACTTACAATGTTAGCCTTGAACTACGTAGAGCTGTGGGTAGCTTAAGGAGCACTGGAAACTGACGGTCAAGCACGGCAACATGCCGGTCCCAGAGACCTTGAGATTCAATAATCATGAAATAGATGCAACCAACCACGTGGTTCACGAGAACAAGGACGATAACAAGCCAGATCACTTGAAACCATGGATTTCGGCGGATCCTATCCATGCAGTGGGGCAGCCAGAGAAGTCGGTGAAACCGGAAGTATTTTGCCAGGATTAAAAGTAGAAAGCTACTTTGCCCTGAACAAAACATGACGCATTACAGAAAAGCCACATGTGTATGTTAAGCACTACTTAAGCGCCAACTAGGAAGCAGTCTGGAAGTGATAGCGTAAAAGTGGATACGAAAGCCTTGGCGCATTGATCTGCTGTTTCAGTGATTTACTTTTAGCTATAGGCTGAAAGGCCGAATCTAGCGGATGCGACCTACTTAGGCTGCCATTCAAAAGCAGTGGGGATATCATACAGGAAATCAGATCACCATAAAACGTAGGAGAATTAAGATGAATCTCAATTATTGTTCCCCTATGCTGGATCTCAGTTCTGCGCTCGAGATCAATAACGCTAATATTAAACTCCAAAGCAACACCAGCTATATACAGCAGATCAAGAGCGACGTCTAAGTAAAGCAGATGCTGGCAGACGGGGTACACGTTAGCAAAAGCCGCAAGAAATGGCGCAAACCACAGGGTCCAGAGGGAGATGATGCATAAAAATATTCCAACAAGCTTCGCGATCCACGAAAGGTAAGACCAAACATTTTCGTCGACTGGCTCTTCCAGCTGATAGATTCGCCTAAGCTCTTTGGCAGTCGCAGGAGTTGTAGGTTCTCTGATATCGAATGTCGGGATTGATGCCATAACAGAACTTCGAGCAGGAGTAGAGCGGCGTGATTTCCTGCCTCCGGCTTTTGCATAAGAGATTGCATGATTTAACGTGCTTTGCAAGCGATCCGGAAGGCGCGTACTCCCTGGCCTGATCTTGGATTCTCTTCTCTCATTTAGGGTGCTTACACGTACATGTTGGGACCCCAGAGAGCGATCTGCTCCTGTCGAAACAATACAGCTTCGGCGGGGTTCCCTCCTGACCTCGGATACCCATGCATGTTCCTGGCTACCCTGTCCCACACGCGAAGGGTGTGGGCCCCACGGCTCCAAATCCACACCTGCATTATCGGGGCCACTGCTCGGCACCTCGGCAACATTGTCTGCTACATCTTTACAGGAGACTGATGGCTCGAGGGAGGGACTTCTTTCTACCCAGCCGGCAATCATGGGTGTGAAAGTGCAGTGAACTCTGTTTGCCTCTATGACTAGATATCAGTTATTGCAGAGTAGCGAGAAAGCTTCTTAATGCGAAGACGACTATGAATAGGAGTGCAGACAAAAGCACCCATGTGCCTGCATTTTAGTTCACCATTTCAGCACGCAAGAGATCGGTGATCCTATCGAACAACGCATTGAATGCCGCTTGTTTTTTGCAGATGAGGCTCGGGAATCAAAACTAGCTACATAAACTTGTATGCATCCACTGGCATAAATCCGGGAGGCGCGCAGTGAGGCACTTTGTAGCAATGGGGTTTTGAACAAAGGGTACCTCTCCTCCCACTCAAGAGGGTTACGCGCTGCACGCCATTGTGTATAGGTAATGTCTTTGAGACCGGTTCAATGTAAAACGTATTAGGGAGTACATCTTAAAAGTGTGGATTCACGATGCCGGCATGGGTTGCAGTTCGGTGATTCAAACATCATTTGTGCATGAAGTATATTACTAGGGGGTTATGGACTGGCACTCAGCTCTGGTAAGAGAGCCACAGCAACGCCTTCCTAGTAATGACCTTCAGGACCATGATTGTCTTGGGAAAACGTAAATTTGACAAGACGATGAATGTGAAGGAAATGCAGGACCATGAGCTGCACAGCTACAGAAATCCATCAAGCTGCTACATATATCTACTCCGATGCCATCGCAATGCCATGGCGTACAAAATTGACAAAGATGCAGCGTGATTCAAAATTTGCTGTCTTATTCGTACACTTTTCTTGTTTTGCACAAGTCAGGGCAATAAGATGGTTCATAGTCTTCGAAGGTCGTTGAACGGCACTGCGTCCAGTGTAGAAGTGACCCTTGTGGGGGTCAAGAGTCCGTGCCAAGAGGCTTGAGAAGCATTGTCAAGGTCCTCTACTGGGTTTAAATAGATAAAAAAGGTAAAATGCGTTACTAATATTGCTTTTTACCTCGCTTTTAGTTAGGGCTGTTGGTTTTGCAACAGAGTGTGCGTTCCTCCAATTTGAAATGTCTGGCGCGCTACTTAGTATCAACCCCGAAAGTCTCGGGTATGCGGCAGCTTTGATAAGTCCCCATAAAGAAGATTGATAGACAGCCTGCTTTTGATAAGTGAGACTTTGAAGTAAACGTGTCCCTCTATGCCCACAAAGAAGTGAACCTCACTCCGAGAAACTCCGAGGTGAATACAACACTGTTGCCTTTCATCATGCCCAAAATTAACTACAACAAAAACAGGAAAAATATGCTGTACCGAGGTATTCTATTTTGCTGCTAAATGGAAACTTTATTTTCCAAAATTCGCCAGATTCCAATGAAGTTCTACGCAAATAAGTTAACTTCTTTTTTCACCGGCAACCGCTACACAGGCAACTCTACTAGAAAGGGGAGCATCCACAACTCACAGGCGCTCGTAAAGCACGCAAAGAAAGGGCCGTGGCCTCCGATTTTAGGCACGTGGAGTTTCCTGCAGCGTCCCACGGAGCAGCACACCTCGTGAGACATACGATGATATCCAGCGGTGGCAGAAGACGCTAGCACGCTCCACTTTTCCCGCTGATAGCCGAATCGGAAAGCCATCCCTCAGCCTGCATTCTGCTTAAAGCAACCCGGTTCGGTAATGGCAGATCGAGTCTGGTGAGACCTTCGGATTTCGCCTAGCCTGCATCGGGTGAATTCCAGCAGAAGGACCAGTAAAGTATCCCGTGGGGCACAACTGTGCACCGCAAAACGCCTCTACGGCAACTATGATCGTGCGTTTTCTCCATACGCCACTCATGTGCTAGCGCTCGGCGCCTAACTTGTCGATTACCACAAGCTGCAATGGACGTTCATTGTTAGAGATACCACTCATGCATCAGGAAGCCCTAGACTTGGAAGTGTGGTTTAAAGCCCAGGCAGAGCATAGCCTCTACAAGCACGTTCCCTAGCTTCGGTCCGCCACGCTCGTGGAAAACCAGCCCATCTGAAATAGCCGTACCATCAATGTAGGCGAGTAAACATATCTGCTGCAAGGAAATTGCATGTGCGAACACGCCGCAAAAGTTAGGCCAGCTGTGCTTTGCATCTCGTTTGCAATGAAAGCAACGCTCCGACATGACGCAGCAGACACCGCCGACAATGGCATGAGCAGCCGTAATGCTTCGCTATACGCAAGACGCTGTTCTGTTAGGTTGGGGTGCTGCAGCATTGAATTCGGGGCTGCGATTGGATGCTCATACGAGTCAACCAATTTGTGAGCAGCCAGCAAAAGATGCGCCAAATATACAAATAGCAACCATCGAAAGCCTCTAGACAACCGAATAACGCCCCACTGACTGGCGCTGAGTTGCTGTCAGATTGAGCGACTTTAAGGCAATAGACTCGACCAACTCATACACCGCATGCCTGCGTCACATCAGGGTAACAGAGACGGCAGCCGTTTTAGGAAGATTGACTCCTCTTGTGTTAAGGAATATTTTCCGCACAGTTAGGACTTTGAACAGCACGTAACACTCCCCCAGCAGTAAGCTGCCATCTGAGCAAACCATCGATTCTGTGCGCCCCCGGGTGGTGTAAAAAATACGAACCTGGCTCTCTGGACTTGAATGGGCGTTGGGGCTATGATTTCCACATGCAAAAACTTAACCCCAGGGGCCAGCTGTGTGCGGTGTTTAAGTGCCGGCTCCACATGCTGCCCTTTCACGTACAGCACTGCCCCCGTTTCCTCCATGATGCGCGACATTAACTCCTATACCACACAGACGATAAGCAAGCACTTTTAAAACTTCTCAGCATGCGTGATTACACTCCAATCGCACAGCACGCTTTATCGAAGGCAGATTGGGCGGGCAACTCATGAGCCAGCGAGTTACACGGCACAAAAAGCTCATCAGTATTTGCGGGGGTAAGCGCAACCCCAATACAAGTCGCTGTCGGGCAACAAAGAAACATCCTGTAGACAACTGCACTAGTAGCTACACAACCACAGGCAACTGACCTTCTGTGTAAGTTTGTAGCGCGCCACTTGTGGGTAATCGTTGATTTCAAGTTCATCAACAAAGTTCCCTGTCTCCGGGCAGACAAAGCCCTTTTCCGAAAGCCCAGGGACCTTGCCTAGCGTTGGATTAGAGGGTGCCGACACACTGCTGATAGCTGCCGCCAGTTCTCCCGAGTCCTGCAGCAGAACTCCATCATAGAGTCAACCACGAGGCGCTGCACTGCCTAGGCACTAGTCTTTCGAAGCATTTCAGCCCTCGACCCTTTCCTACTCACTTTAATGAGCTGCCAGTCAACTAATGATCGGTATGCTACAAGGCAGGTGTGTCTGTACCCATACGACGATGTTACACAAGCAGACGAGCAATATATATATATATATACATATCTACACCGAGTTACAGCTAATAAAGCGTACAGAAAATGCCTTGATCTTGTCCAGAGCCGCCTGTAGCTGAGTCGAACTTGCAGTGGTGCCCTGTTTGAGAATAGACAGCGCTTCCGCGGCCGCCTCGATGAAAGGGTCTTTCTCCGTTGGAATTGCCTGTCCTGTAACAGAGCTCGCTAACGCTAGCTGCATGCCCGGCGCAACCTTCTGCTGAACTTTGGGACGCGGTGACAAGTGCTTCTTGTATGCGTCGCGCAGCTTCTCTTTGTACTGCCCTCTGTCTGCCTCCGGAAGGCCTTTCAGTGCTTGTTGCAGCATGAGCTCCACCTGAGTTTGCATGGAAACAAGGCGCCTGGAGATAAATGCAGTGATCGGACGATTTCAAATAATGCAGCAGACACTCAGTCAAATTCCACACGTCAAAAAGGCCCTTGCCAAAGAGCCCAGCCGAGTTACTACATTCGCCAGCACACCAACCTCAACAGGATGTTTTACACCTCCATGCAATCCCCACATTAAGAAAATGCGCTAAACAGATCCGCCTGATCAGCTGCTGGGCAAAAACATGTACAAAGAAACTAAGTTGCAGGCCACACGAAGAGATGCACCAAGCTGACATGAGGGTGAAGACACTCCAACAGGTCTCATGGAAAGGGTCAAACATTCTAAATATGCCAAGGGTACATCTATGTATCGAATGACACATCAAATCGGCCAGCTGGCCATTCAACAGCAACACACCATGACGGTAACCCCCTATTTACAAAATTCAATACAACGACCTTTGCACCGCAGCCCTAGAGCACGCATGTCCCGATATATATATATAAATATAAATATATATATATATATATATACATATCACGCGTCAACCCGCACTCACTGTTCGGGCTGCCGGCAGAATGGAGGAATGGCAGCCACATGCAAGAGAGCAGCACTACTAGGGCGTTTAGAGCAGTTGTGCAAGTGGTTGGCCTAAAGCACCTGCTGATCGATTGTTAGCTTCGTCTTTTCGCTGCCTGGAGGTGGCAAGCCGGGAGGGGCAGGAGGTGGTGTAGGAGGCGGGCGCTTTGCGAGTTCTGTGTCTTGAAGCTTCAGGATTTTGGCAACGAGTTTAACGCGGGCAACAGCCTCAGTGGAGCTGCGTGGCTGCATGACGGAGTCGGTTCCCACCAGCTGGTGTTTCGCCAGCAAGGCAGCCTTTGCAGCAGCTGCTTCGACGGCGGACTGCAGGGAGCCAGAAGACGTTCCGGCTCCGCCACCTCGCGCAGCGGCAGCAGCAGCAGCAGCAGCCATTGCTGCATCCATTGTAGACATGGTGTTCGTGAGTGCGAGTGGGGTTTGGGGGACGTTAGGGGGAGGCGCGAAATCGTCCCGCTGTAGCAGCAGCTCGACTTCTTCAACTTCGTCAAAGTCGTTCGCCCCCGAAAGTTCCTTCTTGGCCTGCTGCATCTGCTGCTGCTGCCGGCTCCTCTCCGTGACAGAAAACGTAAATCCCTTACCTCCGAATCCCCCCCGTTTCTTCCTCTGCGCCAGGCCCATGTTGCACTGCACGCGAAACTCCGAACTGAGAGCTGCCAAGGCAGGGGGCACCGTCTGACCGGACTGGATGAGAGCCTGAGAGAAATAATGGAGAGCAGCCGCAGACTGTCGAGCACAAAAGTTCAGAAAAATCACGAAAAAAAACGCTTCATGGCACTTCCTTCCCCTTCCTTGGCTTGCCCCTGCACAGGCCGACGCTACGGGGTAGGCAACGCGGCGAAAATCGAGTAGAAAACAAGGAAGGGGGCATCTGTAGGCGAAGAGAAAGCTCCGCTAGCCGCAGAAGAACAGCGCGGGCAAGACTAGGTCACGCGCGAAGAAAGGCCGTAAACTAGAGAAAAGACTAGAGCACATCTTTACCCCTTCGAGCTCCTCCGCCTTGTCTGCTTCCTGAGGCGTTATAAACGTGTAAGAAACTCCAATGTTGCCCGCCCTCCCTGTGCGCCCGATCCGGTGCACGTAGTCTTCAATATGCGAAGGGCAGCAGTAATTGATTACCAGAACCACAGAAGGAACGTCAAGGCCTCGGGCCGCTACACTAGTCGCGATTAAGAGTGTTTTTGTGCCATCCTAAACAGCAAACAAAGATCGCCCCAGAACGAAAAAACAAGAAAATTCATGCGATTCAGGCGCGAAAAATGTTTCGAATCCTCTATACATATATATATGCACATGTATATACATATATGTATATATATATATATATATAGATATATATATATATATATATATTGATACGTGCCAATGTGAAAATGTGTATATGTAAATATGTATGTACATATGCACACACAACTAGAAAAGGAGACACTAGGCGAATGCTGCGTCTGGAATCGATAGCCCCTGCTTGTAATGCTGCACCGAAAGCAACTCGCTTCGCGGGTGCCGTGCCGGGCAGCACCGAGCCGCAGGAGGCAGGCAGTTTTGCTCGAAAGGAAGGGGCCATTGAAAACCTTAAATCACGCAAGCACCCTTACTTTGAACTCCTGGATTGTGAATTCCCGGTCCGTTTGGTCTTGCCCTCCATGAAGAACAAGGGCCTGGTATCCGTACTGAAAGCATTTCGACAGACACGGCAACGCGGGAGCAAGCGGGATATTCAAAAGGCGGCAGTTGTGCGAAGAAACGTTGTGATCGAAGGATGCGCATCAAAAGGACAGGCGAGAAAGGACACTGAACAGGGAGAGGCAACACCCCGGAAGCCGAGCATATACGTCAAAAAAGCCTCTTCGGCTTGTACGCAGGCAGGCAGGCAGGCAGGCAGGCAGGCAGACTCACACACAGAGCTTCGAAGGCATCAGCACTCCCCCCTAGGCATACGCAGGCCTGTGTTTGCCCATCGATGTCACGAACGAACGAAACAAGACGAGACAATGCTTCAGGCAGCGATACAGCAGGAAACTGAGGACTAGGCGGACTGACCTTCAAAAGCTCCGCAAACAGCTCGTCAGCCTCGATCTGCTTGTTTACGAAAATGATGATCGAGCCATAGTCCTGCCAGTCTCCAAGCAGTTGCAGCAGCCTGCATATCAGCAAGCAACACACACCATTTCGTCCCGTTGCAAAAACACGGAAACACACACACCACCACCTACACAGTGCCGTACACGACACCCCGCGGTCTTCTCCCCCTGTCTCGTGCCTCTCGAACAGGCTGCGCATCCGTCCTCCTAGCCCTCGTGCATGCAATAATAACACTGGCCGCGTGTATGAAACAGGAGACATTCGCCCTTCGCAAGCCTTTAATCCTTGAACAGGGAAGGAAACCCCTTTCTTGGGCTACACGCACAAATAGAGGGCCTCAAAAGCTCCTTGTCATGTGTGCAGACTCGGGAAGATACATTACCTGTAGAACTTGCGTTCTTCATCCATGACTTCAACGTACTGCTGCACCTTGGCAGCTGTACGGCCCTTCTCGCCAACGACAACTTCAATTGGCTTGTAGAGGATCCGGCGAGCAAGCGCTGAGGCACCCCAAATTGATTGCACACACGCGGCAAGCGGCGAGAACTTAGTCGCGCAAAAAAACATGCTTTCCTATTTTGTAAAAAGTAACGGTAAAAGAAGCAGGCCGCTACCCCTCCTCCCCCGCCCTCATCCGACACCCCTGCCTTCTGTACTAGCTCCCCAACTTTTCCTCCACGAAAGGCAGAAGGCTTAGTGGGGACACACATTCGATATGCGAGGGAAACGTAGCAGAAAACAGACACGTCTGCCTGTCGAGGCGGGTGCTTCTCAGGATTGACGAGATCTGCGGCTCGAAGCCGTAATCAAACATTCGGTCCGCCTCGTCAAGCACAACAAAGGTGACACGCTGCGCGACACACATGGCACCCCACACACACATAAACACATATATTCACACATAAACACATATATTCACACATAAACACATACATTCACACATAAACACATACATTCACACATAAACACATACATCCACACATAAACACATACATCCACACATAAACACTTACATCCACACATACATCCACACATAACACAAGCGCGCGCAGATAATCAGCACGCCCGTATAAATCCTCTCGCGGCAAAGCGATGAGAGGAGACGTGAGATACGCAGGGCAGTAGCACAAAGGCAACGAATATTACGACTGCACAAAATACGCACAACCCAATACGCAGCAGCTCGTTAAGCCCTCTCTCGCGCGCGTTGGTTTCTCTCTCCCTCTCTGTCTTTCTGAGTGAGTGAGTGTATATGTATATATATATATATATGTACATGTGTATATGCGTATATGTATATATAAATGCCGCCTAACATACCTTCAAGCTCGTAAATTTGCACGAGTTAAGAGTCAAAACGTCGATAAGGCGCCCCGGCGTTCCCACAACAACATCGACACCCCGGCGGATCTGCCCGAGCTGACTGCAGGAGAATGAAAGTCGCAGACTGCCGAAGAATGTGAAATTTAGACAGCAGAAAAAGTGAGGCCTAGGCAACACAGCTCTAACGAAGAAGCGCCGCTTTGCTTCGTGCGAAAGGCGGCCAGGAAACGGATGTGCGGCTTTTCGGGGGGCGGGAAGGGCGCACGCTTCCAAGCAGCAACGCAACAACGGGCAGCATCTATTCCCACGCAGCAATGAGCAGCCAGAGAAGCGTGCGAGAAACTCCGACATGAGAGAAGTAGGGACTGGGGGAGGCGAGGCTGCTCTCGCACGGCCTTCCCCGGGGAGCACGTGCAATGCGAGACAGGGTTGCATGCTCCAAGCCAGGGAGCCAGAGAGGAAAGAAAGAGGGGAAAAGCAAGAGGGGAGTGGAGAAGGGAGCAGCGAGAGTGAGCAGACGATGATGCGAGCAGCGCATATATATATATATATATACTTATATATATGCAACACACATTCCTCAGCAAAGGGGCGTCTTACCCTCCGATGCCTGCACCTCCATACAGGGAGGCCACGTTCAGATCCACCAGCTTGCACAGCCGCGAAACTTCTTTTGAAATCTGGAGCGACAATTCTCGCGTGGGGGCGATCACCTAAAAAATACGGAGATATTTTACACACAACGGAAGGCAACCTGGAAGGCAGCGCACATGAGGCTCCCTCAAGGCCACTCCTCACTACCCAGGAAACCGTTCCCTTGCAGCCGCTTGTCTCCTTCTTGCATGCGAGCATCACATCCGCAGTATTAGACAGCACGTGGATGCTTGCCCGAAGAATGCGAGATAGATAGAGCTAGATAGAGAACAATAAGCCTGCATGCTATAAAAACGCTTACCAGGCCGATCATGCCTTCCTTAAAATTTCCGTAAATGAGCATCCTCTCGCCTTTCTCATTTTTCCTGAATCTATCGCGGTCCTGATCATCTCCGTCCTGTGCGTTCTGCCTTCCACGTGGCTTGCCCTTCGATTCGGCAGCAGCGGCTGCGGAATCGGGGGTAGAGGTGACGCGGTTGGCGTCCCCGTCAGCTGCAGCGTCGACGAGCTCCTGCTGCTGCTGCTGCTGCAGCTTCTCTTCCTTTTGTTTAGCCAAGTAATCCTTGTACTGCCGCTTAACACTCAGCACGTGCCGCACCAGGGGCAGGGTGTAAGCAAGAGTCTTGCCGCTGCCCGTCTCCGCCACAGCTATGAGATCTCTCCCACACATCAAAATAGGCATGCACTGACTCTGTACGGGGAACGGCTTTTCGAACCCCCGCATTTCCAGGTGCTGCACAACGCGAACCACACGCAGTGCAACGCAAAAGCAACTGTCTCTACAGCCGTTCAATTCAAACGCATCCGCCTTCCGCGCCAGCCTTCCCGCCTCTCAGGATTGAGACGCCCTCCAGCTTGCGCAGTGAAAAACGGCAGGAAGGCGGCTCGAGGGAAAGACGCAGCGAGCACGACAGTCTTCTAGAAGAGATGGCAAGGCTACAAACAAACGCACTCTAAGAACCTTCTCCGGCAGCCCACACTGGTGAAATGCACTGACAGGACGAGGACACTGTTTCCCCCGAACCTAAGAAATGCCTCACACACACACAGAGGCCACCTATGCGTGTCGCCAGAAACACAAACTCCACAGCGCAATAAGCCCCCACCCCTACAAAGAAAAATCAATTTCCCTTCGCCTCCCCTCTAACCAACACCACTGGCGCGTCCTCTAGCCGCTTCCCAAGCCTGTCCAGAGCAGCAACACTTCGCTGCTCTCTGCCCCCCCAAACAATAACAAGCAATAAGCAGCACTTCGCTGCTCTCTGGTGGTTGCATGCACCTTTATGTTCCCATTTGTTTTGCGTAGAGCCTCGACTTCGTGGTCTTTCAGATCCGTCAGCTCCTTTACCTACGCCACGCCCATAAACACAAGCACAGACACACACACACACACACAGACATACATATTTACAACACATACAGACACATACAACACATACAGACACAACACATAGAGCCACATACAGCACATACACACATCAGTACATACACAATACTGATATACACATGCACAAGAGATAAATATTCACATGCACAAGAGATAAATATACACATACACAAGAGATAAATATACACATGCACAACACATAAATATACACATACACAATACAGATAAATACACAACACATAAATATACACATGCACAATGCAGATAAATACACACCTGCACAACACAGATAAAGATACACATGCACAATACACATACATACACAACACATTCACAAACGCACACACACACAAACACATATATAGATGTACATGCCACATGCATACCCAACATATATAGACACACACCCACATTCACACAAGTCTACACACAACATGTGCATACACAAATCCATCCCCGAACTGATGGGCATCATGTTTCGAGGCAGGCAGGAGGGCACCCTCAACCGACTAGCCTTCACACAGGTGCCTGATATTTCGACGAATCGCCGCGAAAAAGCCAGAAGGTGAGGACTTGGGCTCAGCAGCGCAATCGGAAGACTACAAACGACGGGAGAATTAGCGGAATATTGCAGCCCCCTTCCCTCAAGAGTTCGCTAGACAATCTAGAAAAAAAGCGTCTGCCGCCTTCGGAATCTCCCATCCCAGCTGCCCCATCCGTATATATCTAGATCTCTCTTTATCGCTCAATATATCTCTCTCTTTCTCGCTGGCTGCACCTCCAAGCTGCCAGAAAGGCTTCCCATGAACAAAGCGCATGCAACGCAAGGGGACAGGGGCAGACGGCCACCAACCTGAACATAAAGATTCTTCTTGATGGGAGGAAACTTGCAGGAGGCATGATCCACGAGCGGCAGCTCCTTTTTCAGTCCAACGCGCTGCATCACCAGCCAAGCACGCAGCACCCACAGGCATCCTCCCCTGTCCATGCTCGGCAGCCTCACACATGCGACTCCCTCCCACTGCCTAAGAGACCCCCTCCCACTGCAGCATCGCCAAAGAAAGATCTCTTTTGCAGCCTTTCGAAGCCTCTGCACTCCACCACCACGAACCCGCGCACCTTCACGAGGTCAAAATACGACAAATTCGCCAACTGCTCTTTCGCCTGCGTGTCGTTGTCTTCTCCGGCTGTATTCTGCTCTAAAGCCGCAGCAGCCTCAGCAGCGGCTGCGGCCTCTTGAGCCGCCGCTGCTGCCTCCTCCTCCTCTTCCTCATGATCCGAATACAGCAGCACCTCTTCCTCCTCGACATCTGCGTCCTTAGAGGAAGCCTCCGCCTTGTCCTCTTTCCCCCCCCCGCCTTTCGTCCCCCTCTCGCGCGGAAGCTGCTTCTGGCGACCTTTCCGCAAAGTTTCAAGAAACAGCTCGTGATACTTTTCGTCCTCGTCATTAGGACCCTCGCCTCCTGCCAGTGACAGCGCTGTCGCCGTCGATGCCTCTGAGGCTTCGCCTTCGGCTTTGACGCCTCCTTCCCCCTCGTCAGTAGCTGCACTCTGCGCTGCTGCTGTTTTTCCCGCAGAGGCTGTTTGTCGTGCTGCCCCGACGGAAGCCGACGGAGCTGCTGCGTCCGCTTCCAGCTCCTGCTTCACGCGCGGCGAGTCAGAGGAAACACAAGCAGCAGCTGCTGCTTGTGTTTCCTCTGACTCCATTGCTACCAATGACTCCTGCTGCTCGCCTTCACCCTTCACACCCTCCGCTGCAGGGGGCGTCGCAGCCTCTGTTGTCGACGCTGGTGCTACGGCCGCGTTTGCCCCTGCTGCCTTTGCAACAGCCGCAGGAGGGAGATAGTTCGCCTCTACCTCTTGCCACCTACTGATTTCCTCCAAGGAGATGCTTTGAAGTCGTGGCGGCTCTGCAGCCCGGCTGGAGATACACTCGAGCGCTTCGACTTGGCCTTCGTCCTCGGCCTTTGCTGCGCTCAGCTGCAGCAGCAGAGACAGCAACAGCAACCGCGAGTCAACATGCATGTGCAGGAAGCAAGGAAAAGACTTCAGGATGCTGTTTCACAGGCAGCTCCTCCGAAACAGCGCCGTCTGAACGGCCCGCCGTGTGAAAGTGGCAGCAGCAGCCGCAGTTTTCAGGAGACTACCTCCAGCAGCGTCCACACAAAGTTTCCGCAAATGCAGCCATCAGAACGCACCACGAAAACGGCAAATGCGAGGCGCAAATCACAGCCGAGACAAGGGGGTCACCTACCTCTTCCTTCGCTTCGGACTCAAGGGCTGACATGAACGCATCCAGAAGATCGGTGTCTTCCTTCGCTTCTGGAGCAGCCGTTGTAGTTTTCTGCTGCAGCTGCTTCAGCAGCAGCGCCTGCTGATGCTTTTTGAGGCGATTTCGAGACATCGGCTTGGGTGGCTTCATGACACTCTCCTCAACGCCCTCTGCTGCCGCAGTGGCTGTTCCCATCGCAGCGGCAGCATCTTCTCCCTCGACGGCCAATGCTGGGGTGTCTACTGATCCCACAGATGCTGCTGCTTGCTGCGCTTCTCCAGCGGAAAGGCGTTTGCTCTCGGAGGCTTCCTGCTGCTGCTGCGATTGCTGCTGCTGCCGCCTTTCTTCAGGCGCAGCCACAGCTGCAGCCGATGCTGCTGCTGTGGCGGCAGCAGCTGCAGCGGCGGAAGCAACGGCTTGCGCAGCAGCAATTGCAGCAGCAGCTGCTGCTTTCGACGCCACGCCATTCCTCGCAGGTGTCGCACCAGCAGCTCCTTCCCCTTTGGTGCCGTTGTGGCTGCCCCCTGTCCCTCTGCTGCTGCTGCCGCTGCTGCCTACAGCGAACTTCACATTTGGAGCAGCGGGTAGCCAATCGTTGAAGGCGTTGCTGCTGCTGCTGCTGCCGGAGGAGAAGGAAGTGCCCTTCCCGGAGGTCCCCCCTTCTGGCTGTTGCTTCTGCCTTTTAAGAGCTCTAAACCGCTCCAACCGGCTGATCTTGTCGCTGCTGTTGCTACTACTACTGCTGCTGTTGCTGCTGCCGCCGCTGCTATTACTGGCAGGAGCGTCTTGCTTTTGCACGTCTGCTGATGCCTCCTCGGTGTCACCCCTGCCCGAAAAAGCAGCAGAAAGTGCTGCCTTATCGGCTGTGTTCCTGCTACTCCCGCTGCTACTGCTACTCCCGCTGCTACTGCTGCTGCTGCTGCTCAGCGCTGGAGATGCACTGCGTTCTTCCGAGACTTTACGAGAGGCCTTTGAGGATGCCGCGGCAAGCTCCCTATCCTCGGCTGGCTCCTCTAAGACTCGCTTGGGGAGGCGGCTGCCCCTTGCCGAGTCACCAGCGCCGTCATCGGTGTCTCGCACAGCCGAGGAAGAAGTCTGACATCGCATCTCCTCCTTCTCGCCACTGCGATCTTTGGATTTGCTGCTGCTCAAGCGGGAAGGGCTTTGGCGACAAGTTCTATGATCCCCCTCTCCTCGCCTGTCAGCGCGCGAGGGCAGCCTCCTGCAGTCCTCCTCGCCAACCCGGCTGCTGCTGTCTTTGCCTTCCACACGATGTCTGCTTCTGCTTCTGCTGCGTTGTCTGCTGCTACCACTTCCACGGCTAGGAGGTCCTCCTTCGCGTTGTCTCTCCCTTGAACGGGAGCGCATGTGGTTCTCGCGCCGGGTGTCTCGCAGTTCTCGCGTATGGCCGTCACGTTCCAGAGTGCCGCTGCCTCCGCCTCTGCTGCTGCTGCTCTTCGTGCTGCCGCCGTATATATTCGCACTGCTGCTGCTAGTGTTGCTGCTAGTGTTGCTGCTGCCATCTCCTTCCATCCAGCCGCGCATGCGCCCCAAGGGACGGCGGCTGGAGTGTGGCCGGTACCTCTCAGCGCGTGCTTCCTCAGCCTCTCTGCTACTGTACCTGCTGCTATCTGCCGCTTTGCAGTAAGCATCTTCGCTGGACCGGTAGCTGCCCCTACCCTCTCTGGGGTTCCCATCGCTCCGTCCGTCCTCCCTGTTTCTGCTCTCGAGACTCCTGCTGCTGCGCCTGCGGCGTGACGCATTGCCTGCTTCTGGCCGCCGACCAGACGCGCGGCTGGCATCCGAAGATGACATTCTCGAGCCTTAGAGCAGCAAGTGCGCAGCCTCGCGGCTCCGCGGCAGCGGGGGAATACAGGATTGGAGGGCCTAGGGAGCAGAAGAGCCTAACAGGACAGGCGCAGCCGCCGCAGCCAGGAGTAGCAAGAAATAATCAGCGCTTCCACCTGCTTGCTCGAAGTGAATTGCGAGCACTTGACAGGTCCTCTGCTCGCTCCTGGCATGTTGAGAAGCGGCCTCGGGTGTAAAGACACCGAAGAGGCCCCGGCGAGAGGGAGTCCACTAGCTACTTCTGGAGAGGAGGCGCGTAGCAGATACAGCTGGAAGAACCTGGGCTCTGCGAGCAGAAGGACAATTCTAATAAGCAAACTCGAAAGTCACGTGCAGAATGGGAGGGGAGCCATCTGAGCTGCCAGGGTCTAGCTTGGGCGGTCTCTGCTCTAGAAGCTAGCCACCGGTTTCCTCCCGAACATATTTAATATTCCATATATGCGCTTATTTCCAAAAAAAAACCGTCTGTTAGAACACCCCGCCCCCTTGGGGCGTAGCCCAAGTAACACGGGCATGCAGCTTCGGCTGCCACGACGACTTCGATGCGTTTCACTTGGCAAACACAAAAAATTCACTAATTGGTACGAATGTTACATATTTAACTATGGAATTACTCGCGTTTTTAGGCCGTAAAAGCCTGACATAGACTGGCCTTCTCGTCCTCTCCTTCATTCGAGATAGCACACAGACGCCTGGATACCAGCACTCAACGCCCAAGGAGACGAAGAAACCGCCTGTAGGGACTCAATGCCATAACTGTCGACTCACGAAGCTCACAGGCACACTTGCACTGTATTGTGCACTCTGCAGATGCACAGCATCCCATCGCGCTTGCCTAGAATCCTTAGGCCGTCAGGTATCTCCCTTATTTTAAATATGCGCTTGTAGGTACGTTGCAACGCATAACTGGACTGTTGCTATCTTCGAAAACATATAAAAGCAGCTCACATTGCTCACGCAAACCACCATACGCCATCGGTCTTCAGCCCCTAGTGCATGGGGGCAATACATTGGGAGGAAACTGTTATGGCGGAACTCGAAGACCTTAGCAACAGTAGAGAAAAACAATGCTCTCTTGATGTGTGCATGGGTGAGTAGTGCAGATGCAGGGGATCTCTAACCTGTCTCCGTGGGTCCACAGTTGTTAGTAGTTAAAGCTGTGACAGCACTCTGTGGGAGAGTTTTATGAAAGCGGCATTCAACTAGAAACAGCTGCTGAGTAAAGAACGACTCTTTGGCAATGATTAATGAAACAGGTACTGATCAGTACTGCCCTGAACTTCACGCTTGCTAGGAGGTTTGTTTTGGTCATGCCTAACACAAAATACTTTTTGGTAATCACGTGCGCATCTATTTCAATATACCTCAGCTGCATTCGTTATCGAGAGCATTATTGTTGCCTCTAAGGTCTCTTCTCAGCTATAATGGGGAAACGTTTTTCTTCAGTGTTGGGGTCCGTGGACACGTAGAGTGTTGGAATAACGGTGCCGCTGCCCCTCCACATATTCCGACATGACGAGCAGCCTCTGACACGGCATCGACATTATTCTGTAAAGTACTGCAAGGGAGTACTCCAAGAATATTTCTGTGCTTACGTGAGGCAGAACACAATGTGGGCACGCACACACCTGGTCGTGCCTCCCTTTTACGCCAGCATGTGTGCATTGATCTTACGCACAGCAGGAGACTTAGCAGCGTGGAAGGAGCACGACAGGTACTGCGTAGTCCGTTCGGGCGGTCTGTAACTCCCCTCTGCAGTTACACCATCATGAAAAGTCTACAAAGGCACAACGCCGCGGGAGTAAACTGCAACTTCTGCAGAATTGGACCTGAAAGGCTCCAAAAAGCGCTTGAAAGAGTTCCGGTCACTTATTGTGGTTGTGTTCCTAGGTGCCGAAAACCTCATATAGCTGTCATGACTGCCTTTGTCCAGCCGCTCTGCTGCTTAAAGAGGCACCTTAAATTGGTTCGCAAATTTTCAAACCACCAAAAATAGTGGAAACGCTGATGGCTGGTACTTACGCTAACGACATGCGGCTCACGAAAGCGCAAGCACCCGCTTGTATGCAAGCAGAAAATCTGCTACATGAGGAGCTACTTGACCAGCACATGCCCGCACAATGCATGTGTGCGTGTGTGGGGTGTGTGTGTGCGCAATGCGCAAAATGATGTAATTCATATATCCTATCAAACAATGTATGTATATGTCCCTTCGTTCGATAGGAAGGGACAAGCAAAGCACCTACACTGTAATGCCGCATGCTAGAGACGCACAGAGGTGCTCAACGAAAGGCAAACGGTTCATGCGCAACATGCTTTCTCTCGAAAGAGGAACGTGCTTGTGACTGTAAGCCTTTCTGACGTCAATGCAAGTTGTTTTCTATAGTCCAATGTAGAGCCTTCCAACGCCGGACATGGGCTATATACGGAATTCCGGGGGCTAAAAGAGGCTCCCACCACTCACTTGTGTTCGCGTACACTCCACAGAACACCTTAAGTTGGGTACGACTCGTGACGTTTCTGCATGCAGCAGTATGTATCACATGCGTTCAAGTGCGTGCGCATGGCAGCTCATTCGATTGGGTGTTGCGGCGCGGCGGAGATGCGGTGGTGAAATGTGCTGTCTTCGTCTTGAAACTGGAAGTACGCCCAAATTCCGATGAGAGCGACCAGAAATATCGCAATAAAAACACCCGTAGAGGGAGATCCTTTGGCAGCCTTTGGCACACAAGCACACAGACACAGCAAAGTGCTAACAACAGGCTCTGCCCGAATGCCGCCTCACACGCGTGAAATATACACAGGATGACCATGACTCCAGGAGGCGTCGCGAATGCGCCAGCATAGCATTTGACACGGAGATTGCTGAGACAATAGTGGAGTGCCACTCTGTGCAGAGGACGGAGGGGCCTGGGAAGAAAGACGTGGAAAGTTTCCAAGACGCTTCTAAAATTGTTTCAGGGGAACACAGATGAGCAGTTCCGTCTTTCAACCTAGGGTCTAGAAATTTAAAGAAGCATTACCGAAACAACGCAGCGTTCCGCTTTTGCCTCAGGCTTGCATCGTCGAATATTGGTGGCGCCCTCAACCCTGCCGATGATGTACTCATCGGCCATAATGCGAGCTTCTAAAGAATGTCCAATATCCTCGAAGGCATCTGTCGCGTCTCGGCCTGAGAAACCAAAGCAGCGAATACTGGGGAAGCTTATGAACAGAAGTGACCTTCATGCGCTGAGAGACGCCACGGAGTCCACAAATTAATGGCTGCGAAGCAAGGGCACGCGGCGTGCACGCAGTAGGCAGATGCAGCTGCTAGAAGGCCAGGGGAGAATAAATAGGAGGAACTGATGAGTAAGAAAGCGTACAGCATATCTTGCGGCAAGGTACATACATTACATGAGAAAAAGGCACCACGGTACAATTGCTGGAAGGCGCAGTGTGTGTGCGTGTGTGTGTGTGTGTGTGTGTGTGTGTGTGTGCGTGTGTGTGTGTATTTTTTTTGTAAACTCGAGAGTGCGGCACAGCCCTGGCCCATGTAGGTGCGATATGGGCGTTAGAAGTAAGGAGACGTGTGTTTTCAAGCAGACCTGCAGTCTCAATAATGATGTGAGATCCTCCTGGATGCTTGTTCAAGAACTTCGTCAAGTCATAGACCAGGCCATGGAAGACGCACCAGCAGCTCTCTGCGCTCGTGTGTTTTCGTATCTCCTCCCACGACAGCTCGGGCAGCTTCATTAGGTCCTCCATAGTGCTCCGTTCCTTAAAAAGCGCGTTGAACCTGCAGACTATGGAGAGAGGAGCGGAAAGGGTCCTCTTGCACTAGAGGGTGCCAACACGCCTTGTGAAGAGTGGCAACAGCACCAGAGGAGAGGGAAATCTCGAGAGAAGCGCGGAATACACACATTGAATACATTAGACACAGAAGCCTCGAAGTTTAAAGATGATACACGGGTATTAAAGAACCTGCTTGCCTTCGGTATCCGTCTTCGCGGGTGCAGGGCTGTGACTCGGGTTCGGGGGCCCTGGCTGGAAGAATGGAGTTTCAAAGTGGAATCGACCAGATAATCACGAGCGTAAGTAGCACAATACGGGAAGAAAGTAACGGCTAAAGCAACATTGAGGTAGTCTGCGTGGATATTCATAGTAGAGGCATCTACCACGGTCTTCTGGCACAGCAACAGACCTCGCACTCAGAATTGTCTTGGCCTCCCAGTGTGTCACAGGCATAGTCCTCATGCAGTTCTCTTATTTACAGTGGATGTGGGCACCCCGTTAGATGCAAAGGTCAAGGGTGTAGTTTTCAGAACGCAAACGGGCTGTCAGGCAGTCCCGTGTCTGCTCTGTGTTGCATATCCGATACAGCTCCGATCTCGTCTCTGGACCTCCGTCCGTGCTGTCTTCGACGGCTCAGTCAATGCATGGAATGCTCGAGGGCATCTCCGTTTCGTTTTGTGTCTTCGTGGGCTGTTCTCTGCAGTGAGGCCGATCCCGCTGGCGCAGGCGCATTATCTCCCCCACACCGCCGACCGGTGTCTCAGGCCCGAGCATGTCTTAGCAGAGGCTGGAGTCAGGCCTCACCACTGGACTGATTATTGAAGGGAAGTTCGGCAGGGCAAGGCGGAAGCGCGCACGTCTCCCGCGGCTTAGCAGCGCTACCCGTCGCAACTGTCTGTGGATACAGCGCTGCTCTGTGTAAACACACCAAGGCGTTACAATGGGCACGCGACAGCGAAAGGATAGGAAAGGAGGTGCAGCTGGCAACAGCGATCCTCGAGAATCCAAACAACAGTCACAGCAAGCTGCAGTGTCTGATGACTGCGCGCCGTCCAAAGACCAAGGGCCGCCTCAGGGGTTCTCCATGAAGCCGGATCTGAAGGATCTCGGCAAACGCAGTACAAGTACCTTTGCTAAAGCAGCAAGCCTCGACCTTGGGGGTGAAGACGATGGCTTGATCTGGTGCGTCTTCTTGCATTTGTTCAGGCACTTCTGGGCCTTTTCAGTTGGCTGCGCATGTAGACTTGTGAAGGCTTCTTGCAATACCCTTCATCGGTGTTTGGTATTCTGCTGTTGGCGAGCTTCTCGTCCTGCTTAGGGATCGGGGGAGTCGGTTCCTCTTCGTGTACAGCACGTGCAGGCAGTCCGGAGGAACGGGCCTTATGTAGTTTAGAGGTGGGAGGGAAGGGGGAGGGGGGGCAGGCAGATGGCAGACTACGCTGCTGTGACTAAGCTCATGCCGCCTATGGGGTTCCTTTTGCTTCCTGTGTTAAGCCGTATGAATGGCTGCATTCGCTTAAGGAACGTCAACTGCACCACCTAGCATACGCTCAAGAGGCACAGGGATACGGAGGAAGCCAGTGAATGAGCAGGGCGTTTTTTTTGAAAAGGGGTAGCCTGGGGAGGAAGTTGAGCGCCTCTCGGAGGCAGGTGCATGGCTATGTGCATGCATTGCGCTATCCGGGAAGTCCAGCCCGCGATATTGTGCGCAAATGCGTTTTTCTCAGGTCTGCCTCGAAGAGATCTCCCTTGGACGTTGCGGTAGATCAAGAGCGCCTCCGCAAGGAGAAGGAACGGAAGAAGGCCAAACGAGAGCAAGTGGGTAGACGCCACTCAGCTACTGGGAACACGAGAGGAGGGGCAGAGGGGGGAAGGGGTCAGCGCGGATGGTGTGCTGCAGTGCGTTGCTGCCTGCATTGGACCCAGCCCAGAGTTCAGCTGCCATGGTCTTGCAGATTTTTCGCAAAAGCTCTCCGAGCGCTTCTATTTCGAACTCTGCTACGTGTCTGGTGCCGCAGGAGCGGGCAAGAGGAAACAGGGAGGGCTTCGGGAAGCAGAAGAAGGGGGCGAAGGGCCTCTCGATGTCTGGCTTGCAGCTGAAATTTCCTGGGTGGGATGTTCGCTCTCGGCTAACGACTTGGCTAATGTACTTCTTCGTGGCTGCTTCGATTCTCGGTGGGAACTCCTGAGCACCTTCCGTTCACAAGCAGGCTCTCCCGAGCCGGTAACAGTCCTTCTTGCGACGCTGCTCCATGATGCAATGTGACGCCGCATCTACACAGGCTGCAAATGCAAAGGGCTGCTAAGCTCCATGACGAAGGAAAGCGGTGCCTTTTGGAGGCACACCTTCAATTTCCTTTCTGCTGCCTTTATTACCCCCATCTGCCCCTGTGCGTTGCATTGCTGGCGACGCAGGCATTTTTGTGCTTCGCGCCCTCGAGGAGTATTACTCGATGGACGGAGATGTCAGCGGAGAGCAGCGGCTCCAGCATTTGGCTTCTCTTGGCCTCGAAGACGGTGCATTAGAAGCCGATATTAAGAGGGCCTATAGAACCCTTTCCATCCGGTGGTAGGGAGGTGGCTTCTGGCCTCACTGCGTCTCTTCTGCCCCCGTAGTTCAAGTGCTGATGATCTGAATCGAGATGCATTCTGAGAGTCTCACAGAGACTTCGAGTGCAATCTCTACGGCTTTTATTGGTGTGCCTTCTCGCTTCCACGCCGTCGTCAAGAATCGCGGTTGAAAACTTGAAACACGGGAAAGAATTGTTTTATTTAAGGTGTCTACGACGATTGTGGAGTGCGGCCTGCCTCAGGCATCCGGATCGAAATCCCAACTGCGGAACAAATTGCCAGCAGCGCTTTCATGAGGTGGCGACTGCTTACGAGTTCCTTATGCGCCAGCAGCGGCGAGAGAAGACTGGGGAAGAAGGGGTCGACATGCGGTCTGAAGGGGCAGAATTTTTTGACGGATCAGAGGGACTTACAGGCGTGAAGGTCACTTCTCAAGGCATTGCGGATTTCTCGTCTCTAGGACCTCATGAGGTGTTTCTGCCGACAGCAGACACCAAGAATGTATGGTCAATCATGGTAAGCAGAGTCTTGGTGTCTCACGGGCAGAGTCAAGGATAGCAAGAGGAGCTCGATGGCCTTCCCCTGCGCCGCGCATAAACATGCAGTTGCCGCAGATGACTGCACGCAGCAGTAGCCTTGCTTGCAACCGGACACGAGAACTCCTCTTCCCTGCGGGAGAGCGAATTCGTGCTCGTCAAGATTCAGTGTGCTTCTACTAGGCCTCCATTTGGACGTTCCAAGGATGCGCGATTTTCGGGGTGTCGGCTCCGCTGCATGCGTTCTTTTTTCAGATTCACCAGGACACAGACGATTGGAGTAAATCGGTCTACGAGATATGGCAAGAGTCATGTGCGTGTGCTCCCCCTCTTTCGATCATTGGCCTTATTTCCTCTCGCCCCTTTCTGCGCATGCATGATGCATGCACTCGTACTGTATGTACATGTACACGTTGCTCATACTATGTACATGTACACGTTGCTCATACTTCCGCGCACCTCCGAGACTGCGGCCTTCTCGGAGCGGTCGTGCTGCAGCTGCATGGCTTCTCGCGCTTCGCAGTGTTTGTCTCTAGTTTTTAATAGTGAATTATCTCGCATGTACTCAAACAGGTACTTCTCCTGTGCGAGGGGGCCTGGCGTCTGTAAGACCCTTCCACAGCCACCCTCGCATCGTTTCTCGTTTGCGTTGTGTATGCGCCCCTCAGACCGGGCATTGGGCAAGTATGTGAAGTTTGGGGTGATCATAATTCGAGGAAGAAGCGGCAAGGATGTACTGAAGAGACTGCCAATCAACGTCAAGTGCGTTTCCGTGACTGTGCACCTTAATGCGCTATTGGGGTGCCCCATGCGTCTAAATCCAAAGAACGCCACTGAACAGGTCGTTAGGGGGGACTTTGTGCTGCAGATTTGGGGTATTCCAGGAAGGGAGGGACGGGAGCACAGCTGTTGATCGCGAGTTGCTATCGCCTTGAAGGATTAATCAGGCTGCCACTCAGTTCCTCTTAGGTCTGTCTTGCGTTCTTCTGCTTTTTGCTGCTCTTCCGGGATATGTCTCGTGGTCTCTCTATTTCCTGCCTTTCTCTGCTGCTGCTAAATGCCGCAGGATCTTCCCTGCTATTTTGCTGCTAACAGCTGGCATGCACCCGGAAGTACGTGCACTGTTCTAGGTGGCCTCTGTGGCACCCTTTCCTTGAGGCCAGTGCTCAGTAGAAGAATGTTTAAATTTTAGCCTTCGTTCGTGCTTTTGTATTTGCCGCGGCGGATGCAGGCAACTAAGCAGCAGCTGTGCATACTTGCTGCGGCAGGCGGAGTATTTGCGCCGCACGATTTGCCCTACATATGTGGTCTGCGAAATACATGCGTTTTTTTGCAGCAATATCCAAACATCATGCGGCCTTCAGTGGAGTCTCTGAACCGCTTTATTGCGGACGCCTTCCCCTCCAGTGTTGATATAGTTGAGAGCGGTTAGTAGTCAATCAACCTAAGCAGTTAGTAGAGTGAACACAGCACACAAGGCGCATGTGGCGCAAGCCGCCAAGCATGCTGGCGTGCTAGCCGCATCTAGCTTTGCGCTGCCCTTGGCTATAGCAGGGAGCAGGCAACCCTGTAGTGGCTAAGGCAGTGGTTTGAGCCATTCGCCCTTTGGTCTCCGAGCCCGTTCGTTTAGACGGAGGTTGCAAGACGCCGTGCAGTCAGACGCCACGGACTGGCTGCCAGGTCGTCTGACATGCGTCGAGGCACAGCAGGGGGGAGGAGTGAGGATTTGGCTTTTTGCGGAGAGCTTTGCATACACGGCGCAGCTTCGTGTAGTTTGTGAATTTTCGCTGTGTTCAGCTCATGCGTTGAGATCGTGGCTAGCCTCTCCGCCTTCTTCATCGCAGCCTTTGGCTGCTCAGTACAAAGCGGTGCTGATTCCTTCTGCTGGCTCAGCGAGCAAGCCTTCTCTCCTTGTAAAGCACGCGGCGTTTGTGAACAAGCAGCTCATGAGTTTCTGCTTTCTCGCAAATGCAAGGTCGGTCTTATCACGAGAAAAGGAGGCGGTAATCGCTGTCCTCAAGGATCCACCCGCATGGATCACTCCGATTTCGGCACAGCCCACCGCCTCCAGCGCGCTGAAGCTGCCCGTTCACATGAACGACCTTCAAGAGGAAGCGCTCGAACAAGGCTCTAACCTTCTGCTCTTCATGGATGAAGGCAGAGGCGTCTCTCGCGTGCAGGCTGTCCTTCACACTGTTCGCTCGAAACTGCTGAATCCTGCGACGTCGCTGTCTCTTGCGATAGATCGCTTCAAGGAGGTAGGCTGAACGGCGAGCGGTTTTTCGTGCTTGGCGAAAGCCCCGAGAGAGAGAAAAACTTTTCCTCCCTGTTTGGTCACTCTCAGAGTATCTATGTGCTGGATCTAGAGGGCGTATTGCACGTGAAAACTGCTGCTGCAGAGGCTTGCAGGGGCACTCCAATTTTCACCGTGATGGACGTCGACATCTGTGCGTCTTTGCCGCGACCCCACGTCTGTCTGGATGCGTTTGCAGGCCTTGCAGCCGCTGCTTTACCAGCAGAATAGTGCGTCGCTTTGCAAGAGCTCACTGCAGCGCCAAGTCTTTTGCCTTGTGGTTCTGGAGCCGGCAGAAGACGTTTCTAGAAGCGACAGCCCGGAGGGCAGCACCAACCAAACCCTTGATCTTGAACGCATGAAAGCGCTTTTGCAGCTTTCCAAAAAGAAGTATTTACTGGGTACGTAAAGACGAGGCGCTCAAATGCACAGGGTGTGGCTCTTCGAGATGGTGCTAATTCAAGTCAGGTTCTGTTTTCATCCTGCGTAACTCCGAGTCTGTGAACGGGGATTTGTGTACATGCAAGTGGATGCCTCGCCCCCGGTCTAGGGGACTCGTCTTTCTAATACGCGCACCGCACATGTAGAGCAAGCGTGCAAAGCAGAGTGTAGAGGTGGTGCTATGTTAGCTGCTTGTTGCGCGTAACTTCTAACGATCAAAGCTCCAAGTCAGCCCTCCGATGTGTGTTCCTTACGGTGTACGTGGTGCCCCAGAGAATCCGCAGAAAGATATGGAATTAATTTGGGAGCGCGCAGTGCAAACGGCGAAGATGCACGAAAAGCCGCATGCCCAGAAGGACGCAGAGGACGCGGATGAAACGAGCACCTCCACGAACGAACCGGAAGATGTGCATATCGTACAGCCAGACAACACGGAAGAAGATGTCATACACATTCAAGTGGTATGTTTTAGCCTAAACACCCACAAAGTTTCCACCTTTGCTTTGGGGGGAGAAGGCGAAATTTCGCGGCGAAATGTTCCTTTTCTCTCACTCCCAATATTACTGAAGCGCGGTACAGAGATCCTGTTGAGGGCACACGGCAATGCTGTTTCCCACACAATCCATCCCCAGGCTTTCTTTTCCAACGGTGGTGTAGGCAGCTGCTGCATTTTCGGAGAACATTTGCACTGCTCAATGGGGAAGTGAGAGAGTGCTTCCTGGTTTGGAAATACAACAAGCAGAGGGGTGTGCGGGATGACACTCTGGCCCTGCAGGTCCGCGTGTCGGTGGGAAAGCCCGCTGCGGCGCAGTCTCTGCCAGGCCTACCCAAGGAAAGCCTGTTATTGCGAATGGTCAAGGAGGAACTAGACGACACTCCCGTCTTTTTGCTGGACCTGGAGAGCTCCCGTGTAGCAGCGTTACCTCCGCTGTATGTGGAGGAGACGGGGAAAGCGAACGAGAGCAAGGAGAACGTGTACAAGCGACTCTATCAGGCCCTTGAAGACCTGAAGAGCGCCACTGATGACGAGGAGGAAACAGGCCTGCTGTCTTTTTCTCCACTGCCAGAGTACTGTTCTGGACAAAACTTTGCAAGACAGTGTCTGGCCAGTGTACAAAACTCTTGGTGGATGCTCCTTAGTGCTGGGTGGTGGCTGCAGGTAAGAGGCCGGAGTTTAGTTCAGGGCTCCTCAGTGTGCTAGGTAGCAGCTTAAAATTGTATCGCGGAGCAGGGTATTATGTTTGCCGAAGTATTAAGGGATGAGAGGCCTTCAATTTTATGGAACCTATGCTGCGGCATCGGCTCGGTAGCTTTAGGTCTTTTGGCACTCATATGCCCATGCGCCTGTGTCCCAGATCCTACTGCTGCTTTGCATCGGAATAGCCACATTTATGTTTTGGAACAAGATTACAGCTGAGGTAGGGCCACGAACAAGAACAAATGCGTGACTCCAGCAGTTCAGTCACGCTGCTGCTGCATCCTTCAAGTGGTTTATGCTTCCGAGTTCGCACTGCTCACGTGTTACAGAGTCAATGGGTTGTGGCTTCCTGTTTTGTATTCTGCCTTCAGATGTTCCTGTGTGGCATGGTGCTGTTGTCGCTTGGCATCGGCGCGTGGTCAGCAATTCAACCTCTTGTAGGTTATGTTTTCAGAAATATTTAACCGATTCCCCCTTTGTAAATGCACAGAGCCGGTGGAGTATAACTCTCAGATCAAGCTGAGGCCATTGAAGGTCAGTGGTTTTCGTTTCATGGTCTCTGTGCGATCGTAGCAACGTGCTGCTCTGCAGCTGTTCGAATTACCCGATCTTACATAGAGCGTGGCATCGAGCTAGTGACCTTTATCATATGCTGTTTTACCAATATATCCTTCAGTAACGGTATATAGGCAATGTTAACGATACCATATATTTTTATTAATAAGGAGCAACAACTGTCAGGCCAGTGGGCAAAGCTAGTGTTCCACGCACTTCGCAGCATATTCGTCGGAACTCTACTGCGGCTGTAGCCGCTGTTGCGCTTTTCTTCATTTTGTCCTCTATCATAGACTCGTATTATTGCCGGTGTAATCCGGCGTGGTATGTGCGGTCAGTTCTTGAACCGTTGTGTGTTGCCGGCTAAATAGTCGTAAGAGCTTCCGTCAGGCTTGGCACATAGCTGTCGTGGCGCAGTTAGATTCCTCGAGCACTCGATAGTGGTTTTGCGAAGAAAATGAATAATTACTTGCATTCCAGTCTAGCTAGAGATGCATTTGCGGACGAACAGAGGTTCTATGTATTAAGCCATAGGGAATGAAATATTTACGGTTTGACAGTAGAGCATTGTACTGAAGAGGGCTGAAAGATCTAAACTGGTGCAGAACGAAGGTGCATGGTGTAGCACTACGCTGTGCAACGCGGACGATGAGTGAAAACGTTCGATAGTCACGGGAATTTGTTGCTAGGTGTGCATCCTCAGCAACATGTAGCTGATTAGTTCACGTTTATATACTGTTTTATCTCCAGTGTATGGCAGTGTATCTTTTTATTTACAAGGCGTTTCCGTGCCAATGGTGATCTGCTTACCTTGGGGCATGAGGAGGTATCTTTCGGCAAGTTATTTGCGAAGGCATTCGGGTTATACCTCCCCCCTACTCCTTTCGTGTACACGGGCTAACTGAACGGTTCCTAATAAAGCATTGTACTTTGTGAGCTCTGAGTAGTGTCAGGAACTGGGGAATTCGAATGATCAAAACACATGAACCAAAAAGTCGGGTCCAGTCGACCGAGGGAGGACGATGCATGGTATCGAACAATACCAGAAACAGATAAACATCCAGATCCATCCTGTTCAAAGTATTAGCGCATCAGCTGTCATGGCAATCAACCTTTAATATCTTTTCCGTTTGTTTTCCGATCGTTGCTTGATGCCCCTAGATTTGTCCATAGGGACGGACCGGTGGCCTCTGGACGTTGTCCGCGTCGCGTGTCTTCTGGAATTCCTTCCTTACGAGATGAAAACTTCCCGTTTAGTATGGAGAAAATTGCAAATATATAAAATTAAACGCCGAGTTCGATCTCAGGGCAATCACGGATACTCCATTTATGCAAGTCGTAGTCCGCAGGCACAAGACCTCCCGCTGTGGCGCACTCTGAAGATCACGGCGAATTCACATCCTTCTTCTCTTGTCCCCCATAATCTTTCGTGACATTGAATTCAGGCCTAATTCTTGGTGCCATATGCTTCACATAAGCAAGCGTCTCCCATTTCGAGCGTTACCCCGCTGCGGTGTGTAATTTGCTGCTTCGGAGCATCGCCTGGTACTTGAGGTTTTTCCCCGGGTGTTTCGGAGGCGTTGCCATGCTGAATAGCTTGCATTTTTTCCATTTAATCTACCCAGAATACTTTTAAACTCGTTCCATCCGGCTGAGGGAGTCAGGAGCAGCTGCAACACACAGAAAGAAGCATGCCGCTGTCTGCATTCTACGCTTCTGGCATTTACCGACTTTGAGTTTTGCGTTTCTCGGGGTCAGTACGGAACCAAACGATCTGCAGAGTCCTTTAATTTTTTTTGGGCTGGTGTGCACTGGGGAGCCTACCAGCCACTACATTTCGATGAGGCTCGCACAGGAATTTTTTTTGTCCTGTGTGTCCCCATTTTGCGTCAAATCACCACCCTGATTTCTCGGTCATTTCTTCGCGGCCAACCCGCAAACAACCACTGGCACAATGGATCCGCATTTGCGCTCGAGCTGTAGCTCCAAGGCAGGCTCCAAGGCACCCCATGGACGGCGGGAGCACTGTGTCTGGACAGCAGATGTGAGAGAACGCCGCTGTTCTCTCGAGTCAAACACAAATTGTTTGGTAGCAGCACGGTCAGATAAGGCAAAATCTGTCCTTCTAGACGAAGGCCCGACAGGGACCCCCTCCGTGCAGTTGAAAACACAAAGCGACCCAGAGAAGGGAAAAATGACCACCTGTACAGGCAGTGGCATCGCTCGTAAGGCGTTCCCCTTGCTCTTCTGCGGCCCTATGCTGAAGCCCTTTAAAATTAAGTACCTTCCTTACACAAACGCCGCGCCATCCTTTTGCTTGTCTTCGACTATAACGCCCGTGTGTGTGTGTGTGTGTGTGTGTGTGTGTGTGTGTGTGTTTGTCCTTTTAAATGCAGTGGAGAGCGATGCCGTGTCTCCAGCTAGCTCCAAGAGGCATGCCATCGAAAACGAGCGCTCTAAGTGCCTCTTTCCCAATGCTTTGACATGTGGTCAGGGCAAACCACAGAGCACCTCGGTGGGGAGCCGAGAACAGATTGCGAACACGGGAATGGGTTCCATCGGCAAAGACCCCAGTCGTGGCGTCGAGCAGCGGCGTCTGAAGAGAAATTCAGCGCTGAACTTCGCCCCGAAGAGAGAGGCCTGTAGCGGCGGAAATAATGCAAGGAGGGGGGGAGTTGAGAGTTCACGCTGGACGCCTTTGCGCCGCATCTCGATAACGCAAGGCAGTGCGGCTAGCCATAGGCTCGTAAAGTGTGTGCGACGCCGGCTCTGCCTTTTAAAGCAGGCGGTGCTTGAAAGGCCTTGGAGATCTGACATAGCCCTCCAAGTGAGGAGCGAGCGCTTGAGGGCCTCCCTGCTGGGGACGTCAAAAGAGGTGCAGCGCGTCAGCAGGCAATACTCGAGGGCACTACTAAAAAAATTGGCTGCGGCTGGGCGTTCTGGGAAAGCCGTGGCGAGCTGGAGGGCACACCAAGTACTGACGGCCCTCCAAGAGGTGCGTGGTAGCGTGTTGCAGCCGGCGAGGCGGAAGCTTTGGGGGCTTAAGCGGCAGTGTAAGACGCTCCGTCCCCGAGTTGCAGCGCGCATAGATCCGGCAAGGGAAGGCCGAATGTGTGACACAGGAGCGGAAGAACACGGCTTCTACCGCTGCCGCGGGATGGCTCTCAAGGAGGCCTCCCTTTTCTTGGGGGCGGCAAGTAGGGGCCATCCTTCGCCGAGTGCACCACGATCTGCAGAGGGACAGAGCGGCTGTCGCCTTTCAACCCCTCAAGGTCACTTCGCAGCAGTTCCCTCCACGCCGCCGCCTTCTCAGGGGAGTCGTGCCTGCGATGGGACGGTGAGGCAGTGGAAAACAATGTCTGCACAATCCTCGGCCTTCCCAGTTCACTTGGCGGATCCTTGCTCGCAAAGTGCAGTTTCCGGAACCTCGCGTGGAGAATCGAGGCGGAGCTGCACTCCACCTTGCCAGGAAGGACCTCCGGAGTGTCTTCAGAGAGCGCGAAACGCACTGCTCTTCCAGGCGCTATCGGCTCACGCTGCTGAGACGGCCGACGCCTCGCCAGAGATGACGGCTCCCCCTAACAACGCTGAGAGGCCAGAAAGCCAGAACGGCCTCAACAGCCCTCCAGCGGAAGGCCTTCAAGCCACTGGTGACAAGGAGGGGGAGAGCTCCGGAGAACTGGAAAATCCCGATTTGTGCAAGGCCAACAGTTGCAACGAATTCGAACAGGTTCTCAAGACGTGGCAATCAAAGGAACTGCACGTCATGGCGCGGAAGCGCCGAGGCTTTTACTCTGCATCTTCTGCGCAGGACCCTTCTCACCCTGCGGCAGCTCAGGCGGACAGTACTGAGGCGAATGTTGCGGCAATATTGGCTTCCTCGGAATGCGTAGTAGGCGGTACGGATGCGATGAAGGATCCCGCAGAGGACACTGCAAATGCCTCAGGAGAAACGCACGTGAGAGAAGCTCCCATGGCAGAACAGGCAGAAGCACCAACGCCGCTTGCCTCATCGCCTCTGAGTGAACCAGCACAAGCGGTGATAGCCACATCGCCACCAGCTGAAACTCGCGCGGCAGGAACCCCAGCAGACGCATCGCTACCTGCTGATGCGATAGTACACGCCAGAACACCGCCAACCTTGCTTCACACTGCCAACGAGAGCCTTTCCGAGCTAAAACCAGCGATTCCCTCTGATCCTGCAAATCTGGAAAGCGCCGACGAAAAAGAAACCGGACTTTGGCTGGGGATGGAGGGGGCTTGTGAACACGGAGACGATGAAGCTAGCTCGAGCAATACGAGTGCGCTGGCAGGCGTAGCCGGACTAGCTCGTGAGGGCGAAGAGTTTGGAAAAGGCAAGGGAGAAGAGGGAGGGCGAGAGCTCTACAAAAAAACCACCATCGCAAAACAAGAGCACCGCCAGTTTGCGTCAAGTGCGATGCTCCCGACCAAGTGGGAAGTGTTCGCGCTGTTCTTGGGAGCCCTGTTCACCTATGTACTGGTTCTGCTGTGCACCAGGGGCGTGCCGCACGCCATTCTTCTGCTTTTCTGTTGCCTCTTCGGGCTAAGGATTCGCGCGAAAGGCAGCGGTAGCACCAGTGGTGGCAGCTACACGGCGCTGTGGCTTTTACTGCTGCAGTTGATGCTGATTGCAGCCTTGTGCATTGTGAGTCTCATAAAGGAAGTGGCAAATACAAACCAGATGCTTCGACAGATCAATGATAATACTCTCTACGCCGCGGATATTCGTATCAGTAAGTGCACTGTTGTCTCTGTGAGCGATCGCTTCGGGGCACATAACCTCTTTTGCCCTCATGTTGCCTCGGAGAAAGATACTTTGTTGTACCAGCGTCGGGTTTAATAAGCCGAGGTTTTTGATTTGGTTGCTGGGTACCACAAGCGTTTTTGTTTTCAACCCCCCAGTGGACACGAGTTCAGAGTTAGAAGAGGGCAAATGGAATGTTGTGGTGCTGCCTGTTCGTGTGGTGGTGCGTACAGCCAGCACGTTGCTCTTTGTGGCTCTCTCGTTTGCGGGGTTCCTTCTTGGCTTTATCATTTTGGGATATTTGGGCTTCAGCAGTTTCTACAGCTTTGTGTTTCAGCCCATTGAGTTGTGCCTCTTTGGGAGCTCAGATATCCGCAGTTCCAACTTCGGCGTACAGGCGACGGCTGCCATCTGCCTGTTTTGTCTTGGTGGCTACGGCACGAGCGCAGGGCTGTTGCTGTTTTTGGCCCTTGTAGTGACTGGGGGTCGCCTCGTCGTGAATGTATTTGTGATGAAGGAAGGAGACAGACTAGAGGTCAAGGAATTGGGGACCAGGAGGAGGCTCACTCGCTGCTTCCTCGCGAGTTCACTGCTGCAAATTGCAGCTCAACTGGGCGCCGTTGCTTTAATTTGCTGCACGGGGCACTCTGGTGTACAGCCACTGCAGCGGCAGGCAGCGAAGGCCATCTTGGGGGTGACCGGCTTTTGTTCCCTCCTAGATGTCTTGCTCCTTGCAGCTCAACTGGCCGCGTTCAAGTGTGACTGTCCAAAGCAGACACTAGGCAAAGCCGCAGCCATCCTGTTAGCTGGGGGCCGCTTCGATGCACCATCAGCTTATTTGTGCATTGCTGGACGCCTCGAGGTGCTTTGGGACGAGGAAGCTGCTGCTTACACAAGCACGTAAGGAAGCGCATCCCATTGTGTGTAGAGCGCAGCGTGCGCACCAGACTGCGGACAGTGCTATGTTGTGGGGGTGCTTTTATATACTCTGGCTATTGCATGCATGGTTGCATGTATCTCCTGATGATGGGTTGCGATCGTACTCTATGCGAGTTTGTATGCGTATCTCTTTGCTCAAAGAGGCGCGAGTAAAGTCACTTGATAGTGTTCTCTTCGTGGAGCACGTTTTCCGATTTATTCTTTGTCATTTTGCGCATTGGTCACGGCCTAGCGACCAGGTGTCTTGAGAGAGGTAACCCTTCGTGGTTTGTGCACATCGCGCGTCGCAGTCTTCAGAATCCCTGTACATTATGGCTGTTCAAGGTGTTTTATTCCATGATCGTTTATTTTTCACCCTGTAGGGTCTCACGTAGGATGCGGTGTAGCCTTGGGTCACTGTGAGCGATGTGCGCCTGTGGGCTGGGGCGTTCGGCGGTGAGGCTCCAAGCTGGTTACGACCCTTGTGAGAAGCAAGTCTCTCGACGAATGCCTCAATTTTCACATTTCTAGTACTTGTTTACTGCTATGTGCATGCGAGTGCGCTCCGAATCCGGGGCAAAGAGGACAGACGACCCTGAAGCTGGGGCCATGCCGACAGGGCCCGTCGGGCGGCGCCAGCCTTACATTTCTGTACTTCTTGTTCAGTATTTGCTATTTTATGATCGAAAGCTAAAAATCCGTCCAATTTTTTCAGTAAATGCATAGCGCCTGCACTGGGAGCCTTCTTTTCCAGAGAACCCCCAAGGCAGCGCGCCCCTGCGTGCATCGAAGTTTAGGCCTCGCAGCCTCGACGTGAAAAGAGGTCTCCTGTCCTTTTTTTCAATGCTGGATTATGTGTGCCTCGTACCACCGTTTCTCTCTAATTTTCCATAATTCAGTGCCTTGGGGGGCCGGAGAGGTCTGAGATATCCAACCCTAGGTGACCCCAGAACTGCCGCGGTGCGCGCCGGCATCTGGTGGCACTCACCCTAGGAGGCCTCACTGGCTGGTTCTTTTCTGTCAGTGCCTCGAAGACTTTTGGGTGATTTCGCTGCAGCTGGTTTTTTTAAATGGTCGCTGCCTCACCTCTGCAGGAGAAGACCCCTCTCACGTCCCTTTTGTTTGTTTACTCCGCAGCTACACCTACCACCTCGTCGCTCAGAGGTACATTGGCAAGGTGTTTTGGTCTAAGAAACTGCTGAGCTTCCCAGTTCCCCTGCCCAAGTGCTTGAGAGACCAGCAAGTGCTGCAGCAGAAGCTGCAGGAGCTTCCTCCCCCGCCACAGGGGCACCCTCTTCACGGCGCTGCCCGCAAGGCAAGAAGACTCCCCACTGACGTGTCTATCCTCCTACCCCTTCAGTCAAGGGGGCTAGCACACGAGGCGGGCCTAGCCGTAGACGCGGAGACGGTCCAGAGGCTGCAAACCCTGGCACGTAAAGCGTAAATCCTAGACCCCTTACACCTACTGCCATATTCCCCCCTCCTCCTCCCTCCTAGGCCTTTCCCTCGCATTTCCTTACCCCTCAATAAGCCGTTTCCACTCCCACGTCCGCCATTCGTCTGCTCTTTCTCTCCCCAGTCCTCGTTTTTCTTTTTGCTTGTCATAAATATTAAGACGCGATGAGGGTCTCCTGAAGTGCGTGCTTCTTGCACCCACAGGCACTCACCGCACGAACACCTGAAGACAAGCAAGCCTCCCAGCCTTCAAAGGCTACCCACCGACGTGAGGCTCCGCACGGATTAGCGGCTTGCTATAGCTGCTGCGGAACCCTTGGCCCCAATACGTCTAACCTCGAGAGAACAGCCTTTTCCCAGCGCTCTTCCACGAAACTGCAGTCATCACAGTTGCTCCCCTGCACAGAAGTACACGACACCGCAGGAAAGTGTCCTCCGATTCCCTTGACGGCAACCGTCATGAACAATACAGAAAAAAGGGCCTCTCCCCGTAGAAGCCTCTGCGAAACTGTGCCGGAGGGGGAGACTCCCGGCTCGCAGGCCCTCTCAAGAGTCGCCAACAATGCGACAGAAGACAGCAAGGCTTCACAAAATGTGTGCGAGGAAAAGTCTTCCAAAGCAACGGATCACGGTGATAATAGCATCATAGCACCTGTAGAGGTAGAACTCCAGAGACCGCCTTCCACGATGAAATACACTGAAACTGATGTTGCGCAGCACCAGACGCCAAAGGAAGTTCCCGGTGCGACGGCTGCAGACGGGCTTACGCAGCCTTTAGAGGACGCAGGGGCGGCAGCGGCATTACGCTCACAGAAATCAACGAACCCTTTCGACTCAGACACGGAGGAGGAGGAAGAGGGAGCTTTGCTGCCCTCTGGTGCCTCTGGGGTTACAGAACAGCCCCTGCCTACGTGTATGTGCATCGAGACGCCCCCTGCTGATGCTGCTGCAAATGCCGCAGCAGCAGCTTCTCCCAGAGTGGTTAAAACGCCGAGTACTGAGCAACTTGCAACTGCAGCAGCTGTTCCGGTCGATGCAGAGGCAGTGCTGCTGCGGAGCGTCATTGAGCTACTGCAGCGCTTAGAGCAGAAGGGCTCGCAGGTGCTTGCAGGAGCTCCTTGTTTTTCTCATAGACTGAGGCAAGGCGAGGGTGAAGAGGCGTTGAAAGAGCTACTTCAGATGGCGACGAGCAGAGAATCCCTTCTAGAAACGCTGCGGGGGTGTCTCTCGGCTGCGCAGGACGTGTCTGAGGAAGTGCACACACAGGAACTTCTGCAGTTCATAATCGCCGCAGAAGAAAAGCAGCAGCAGGAAGCACTGAAGAACGAAGAATCACGGCACATGTGTCAAGAGGAGGAGCAGCAGCGGCAGCTGCGGGGTCAAGAAGAAAGCTCCTCGGAAGAACAGACCGAGCGGCAGGAAGCAGACGCGCAGCGTGAGCAGCAGCAAATGCAAGAGGAGGAAGAAAGGCAGCAACATGACCGCCAAGTGCAGCAGCGAGACGAGCAGCAGCAAATGCAGCAGGAGGAACTTTTACAGCAACGGCTGGCGCAGCAAGAAAAGGAGCAGGAGACAGAAGAGCAGCAACGATATTCGGACTGTCAAGATGCGCCTGAGGAGCAGCAGCACACAGGGGAAGAGGCAGCACAGGAGCCCCCCCCTCCACGGGAGCCGCAGCAGGTCGAAGCTACAACAGCCAAAGACATGAACACGGCTGCTGCTGCGCCTGCCGACGAGGAGGAAGCCGCAGGTGGAGATACGCATCGCAGCCGCTCGGAAATCGACACTGCAGCAGCACCAAAAGAAGAGGGAGGAAGCGCCTCTCCTTCGGGGCAAGAGGTCCCTCCCAGCGCTACCGCTGCAGAGGATCGCGTTGCTGCAGAGCAAGAAGCAGGGGCGGCTGTCGAGCAGGATGTAGCAGCTGGCCCTCCTCATTGCAAGGGAGTCGAAGATTCTCCTCTTCCTACAGGGTCCAGCGAGGATGTCGGTGTTAGCTGGCAAGTTCTGCGGGCTGCTGGCGAGCAGACGACAGAAGGCTGTGTAAATGCCTCCCCACCGGTGCAAGAGGTTCCCGAGGCGCTCTCGCCTCTTGAAAGCCGTGGATCTCTAGGGGGCCCCCTCGGATCCCTCCCAATTGCGGAGGACGAAGCCGAAGAGATTCAGGAGCGGCTGCTGCATCACGTCGCACAGCAGCAGCAGTCAGCTGCCTGCAGCAGCAGCAGCCTGGTGTTTCTGCCTTGCGGCGGGGAAGTCGACGCTCTTCTACGGGAGGCAGAGAAAGAGGGAGCTGCGCCTCCAAGAGGCCACACGACGCTCTCTGACGGGGAGGACGAGGCTGAGGCAATCTTCTCCGTATTCCTCGCAAATCGAAGCGAGGTCTGCGATCAGGGGAGCCGTCAACTCCGGAGTGCCTCAGCCTCCCCTCGGCTAGATTTTTCGAGTGCTTCCCCCCGTGCGGACCTCTCCCAGACGCATTCTGGAGGCGCCTTGCGGAGCAGTCAGTCGCTAGCGCGATTCGCGCAGTCCCCACTGCAGCAGCAACAGCATGTGCTTCCAGAGAGCCTCGACGCGAGGCACAGGGGCCTCGTGGGGCTCTCGGCAGACGAGCTCTCGAGGCACCTGCATGCAACGGAGAATCCTTTGTCTTCCTCGGATCTCTTCTCCTCGGGAACCGTCCTGTCGAGCGCAAGACCCTCCTTTCAGTCCACGAGGCTCTCTGTGGGAAGCACGCGAACAGGAACGCAAGTCGACGTTCCCTGCCGGCTGGCCTACACCTGGGGTCCTCCTACCCCGCTGCATGTCGAAGAAGAGCACCTGCACGGCGTGCCAATGCTGCAGCGCCGTCGAGGAGCAGTCTCAGGGTATGATGAGGACGTGCCAAATGCAGCCCTCGCGGCTGCTGCAGGAATTCTAAGATCCTCAAGAAGCAGAAGCAACGAGTGGCGAGGACGCAGGGGGAGTGAGGATCTTGTTTCTGCTCAGTCTGTGCGCCTTGTCAGCAACGCTCTCCCGAGTGCCTCCTCGACCTTTTACGCATGCAGGGCCATGTCGTCACTCGCTGCTCAAGCGGCAGCGACACGCGTTGCTGCGTCTCCTGTCTCTGCACCCGCAAACGCTTCGAGTGAGGGCTTGCCCATGCGCAGCAGGGTGGTCCTCGCTGGCGGAGCCGCAGAGGACGCGCGAACTCCTGTGAGGAGGCACAGGGGGCCCCCTTTGGCGCGAATACCTGAGGTGCATGCGAGTCATGCCGCTTCGATTCCAGAATCCTATGAGGAACTTGGCGAGACGACGCCTCGAGGGAGATGGCGAGGGGAGATTCGCACTGCTGGTTGCCCCTCGACTATGAGGCCTCTTAGCAGATATGCTCCTTCACAGCTGGAGAAGCAGCCGTCTCAGGCAGAGTTCGCAGCGGCAGGGACGTGTGTCTCGCCAAAATTTTCTGCCAGTTGCCGCAGCTTCTCACGCATAGGCAGGAGCAGGCAGGCCCTAGTGCGCTCTGAACTGCAAGGAATCCCCCTCAGGGAGAGCTGCCGCCGCAAGCGACAAAGTCGCGCTGAGCGGCGAAGACGGACAGTCAGCAACTCCTCAAGAGACCCTTTTCCAAGGGAAGTCGGAGCACGAGGAGCGGTTACCCCAGAAGAGAGCACCGACGACTTGGCTGCTGCTTATTGCGTAGCTGGAAGAAAAACCTACAAACGAGATCAGGAGACGCAGGCTCTTATCGGCGGAAGCACAGCGATTCTATCGAAGGAGGAGAGACTGAGGGATCGCGAGCTGCAGGAACGTTTCGAGCGCCTCACGGCGCAAGAGAGACGCGATCAAGAGCACCGCAGGCAGAAGCAAAGCGAGCTCGTGCCGCAGGAAGACCCCGACGACGCACTCAGAAGCGCGCAAACCTTTCTTCTTCGTGGTGAAAGCAGACCTTTGCAATGGCAGCCACAGGAACGGCTGCAACGGAGCTTGTCGGAGAGGAGCAGTGTCGGACGGATTGGTAAAAGGCACTCTACGGCAGGGGCTTTCCCCGATAATCGCTGCAGCACTGCACAGCTTTCTGAGGCCGTCGAAGAGGAAAGCGTAAGGCTAGCAAACTCAGTGCACAGTGCGCAGCTGGAGGTGCAGCAGGAGGAGGGAGCCCGGGTGTACGAGCAACTTGAGCAGGAGAAACAGAAGCAAGGTGAGGAGGAGACTCGCTGGCTGCTGCAACAGCAGCAAGAGGGGGCCCGGCTGCTCCAAAAGCGGCGACAGCAGTTCGAGGCAGTGCAGCAACGGCAGCAAGAATTTCTTTGTGCGCGTCGGCAAGAAAGGGAGCTCAAGGCAATGGCTAGCAGGGAAGGGGACGGCATTCAGAGCCGGGGAGAAGAGAAGGAGGCCTGTGGGGCGGAGGCTGTGCGGAGTGACACTCGGAGTGCCGCCTGGTGCGCGATGGAGACCCCAGAAGAAGCCTTTGAAGGGTCCCCTGATGCCTTGAAGCCTCCGCAAGGAGGAGGCACAGCCGAGCGGCGAGGCAGCCGACTACGTGCTGAAGTGACCCCTAGGGCCCCTACAGGGGAAGGCAAGAGCGGAGCCAACGCAGCCCATGTTCGGGAAGGAGCAGGGCGCCAGGCGCTGCAGAGGAGACTCGAAGAAGGGGCAATGAGTGGTGGAGTCTTCGAGATCGCCTCCGGCGCGGATCTGAGAGATGCAGATCTTGAAGGCCTCGACGCGCGAAGCCCTCCAGCTGCTACAGCTGCGTTGCATCTTGGGTATACCGCCCCTTCAAAGCGCTCGCCAGAGGTCGGAGCCGACGACGATCAGTTGGTCTTTAGGAGCCTAGAGAGCGGGGAGACGTTCGGGAAGGCCAGAAGCGAGGTCGAAGCAGGGGGGGGCGGCGGCAAGACTAAGGAGTTTAAGGCCTCTCTCGATCGACTGCAGGAGGCGACCTACGGCTTTGGAAGTACTGAGGAGGGTCAGGAGGGCTGCTGCGAGCTGCGTGCAGAAGAAGTCTGGACCCGTGAGAGGGGCTTCACGACGCAGCAGCATGCGTCACAGACGGCTGAAGCACCACGGCTGGACCCTCCCAAAGGGCACACGACAGACGTGGGCGTAGAGACAGACCTGACAGTGCAGACGCCGCTGCCGGACGTCTTCGAGCTGGAGAAGGAGGACGCAGACATCAACGAGGAGCATGTCGCAGCGGGCGCTCGGCAGTCTCAGCACCAGCCAGGCGCCAGGACAGGCCCTGCTGCTGCTGCCACCGACAAGCCTCGAAAAGGGAAGGGCTTGAGCAGTGTGCAGGAAGACTCTGAGGTGTTTGGCGTCCCTTTTGAGGCGGAGCAGCAACACCAGCAGTGGGTAGCTAACATTAGAGCAGCGGAGGAGGCACGGCAGCAGGTAGCTGCGGCTGCGGCTGCGGCTTCTGCTGCCGCGGCAGCTGCTCGCGAAGCCGTTGCTGCAGCGAACGAGGCAGCTGTAGATCCCTCCGAGGTTCTTACCCCGGAAATCCTGAAGACGGCGGTTGAGTCGTTCCAGCTGGAAGAAGCGGCGGCAGCTCTCCATCCACCATCGCCGAGGCGTCCCCCCTCGGCAGCAAAGAAGGTCCGCAGCAGGCCAGTCCAGAGCGGCAGTTTCACCAGCACGAGCGGCGACAACAAAGAGACCTCGAGAGAAAAAACAGCTACCAGTGGAGGCGGGTGTGCTTGCGAAGGGGGTGACTGGGGAGAGGGCTTCCCGAGAAGGCGCCGCGCGCTTCCGCTGGCGGCTGCCTACTGCCAGGAGGAACAGCAGCAGAAACAGAAACAGCAGCAGAAACAGAAACAGCTGCAGCGGCAGGCGCCTTCTTCTGCGCAAATGCATCCGCAGGATCTTTGCGGTGGTGCTCTAACTAGGGGGCGGGGTCCCCCCAGCGTTGCGGGCAAGGGGGATCGCTGCGCGCTTAAGCCTCCCATGGACGTCAGGGAAGGGTCGACTTCCTCCAAAGGAAGAGAGAAATGCCTTCCCGCAGAGCACCCCGTCTCCACGTGGCCTTTAACTGCTACTCCCTTCAAAAATGAGGGCCTCCCTTTTATCCCGCAGCAGTTTGTTGACCAGTACTACTTGCAGGACCGCAGAAAGAGCGACGGGGGAATAAGAGGCCCCCCCCTGCTGAGCTCCGAGCAGGAGCCTCAGGTGCTGCAGCCGTACAGGGGGGGGAGGGCGTCAAGAAGCCTCAGCAGAAGAGGAAGCCTCTTGGATTTTTCCAATGCGCCAGCAGCAGCGAAGGCTCTTGCTAGCAGGCTGCGGGACAGACTGAGGCCTCTACTCTCTCGCCAAGAATACGGGGGAGGTTCCCAAGGGGGCCTCCACCCTCGGGAAACCTGCCTGCAGTCTGGTGGACTGCAGCAGCCGCGAGTCTACGATGCAGCGGGAGCAGCAGCAGCTGCTGCTGCAGAGCTGAACTTTGCCGAGATGCCCACGCTCGCGCGCGCTAAGCAGCAGAGACAGCTCAATAGAAGGCGCTCGACTAGAAGAAACAATGGCGCGCAGGTGCTTTTCTAAGGGCCGAGTCATCGGCAGCAAAACAGTATCTAGCAGCTTTTGCTAGAGCCGGGGCGGAGGCAGCACCTGTGTGAACACCGATCTATAATTTGTTTTCATGGCTGGGCAGGCGTGCGTGGGCTGCTGCTGAAGATGCCTTGAAAGGCGTGCAGCTATTTAAGGGGGAATCGCAGGGAGAGTGCGCAAGGCACGGCGGCACTAAGAGTTCAGACTGCTGCACTCTCGAATTCTTAGTAGGGCTAGAAAAGTAGATGGCGAGCGAACTAGGCAGTGGTGGCGCCTTTTGTGGCGCACAGTTATAGACGTTTCCCTTTGATTTTGAGAAAATAGGTAACGAAGGCCCAGTGAGCTCGCAGTTTCCTGCAGCTTGGTCTCTGTAGAGAAAAGCCCTCGGAGCGCCACAATTGTTGCGTCTCCCCTGCCTTTTGGTGCCCCCAACTACCCTTCACTTAGAATCCTCGCGATCCCTACTCACAAGACACTACCGATGCCGGAAAAGAAGGGCTAATGAGGGGTGCACGATGCCTGCTAGACGAAAGGAAAGCCTCAGTGCGCCCTGCCTCGAGGCCAGCACCAAACCAGACAAACAAAATCGCCTAAAGCCCTCCTCAAGTTCCCCTTTTCTTCCCTGCTTCGTTCCCAATGCGAGCGACACCAAGGAATGCCATCCCATGAAGCTCTAGCAGGGTCCCTTTTGGCCCAGAGGCTTGTAATTCAGCTCGTCGACTCGGCCTATAGCAGCACAGCGTCTCCTGACGTCGTGGCTCAGAGAGCTCCCGAGATATGGGATGACTTGAGGCTTGACGCGTTCCACCCTCCCTCCTAGAATCGGAAAAAAAGAGACTGCGCTTTTTATTTCTTCTGCTTCTTTTTCCTTTTGCCTGTCCATCCTGCCGAGTGTCTGCTGTTGTTTTTCTCCTGGATTTCTCTGTACTTTCTCTTTGTCCAGCTGTTGACTTCAGGATCTTTCAGCAGCTCGTGCAGCAGAGACGACGCATGACCCCGCCTCCCTGCGCCTTTGTTGAAAGTTCCCGCAGCCTGCGACTCAGCGCCGCCTCCTACACCCCGCAAACCTCCACCGACAACTCTGGCTACCTGCAGGTAAGCACTATGCAGAGGAGGCCCCCCCTCCTTGCTCTTGTGCTTTTGCAAGGGCAGAAAGGAAGCTCTGCTTTTGCCTCCGAAGACTTTCGCCGATGCGTGACCCCGTAATTGCAGCACGCGCAGTTCCCGCACCAGCTGGGGAGATAAGTCCTTCAAAGGCATCCCGAACCACTGCTGCAACTGCTGCTTCTCCTTGGCCTTCCTCTGCGCCTTCTCCTCCTTCCGCAAAGTCTCGAGATCGGGAGACAAGGCGTCTGGACCCCCTTCCGCAAGGGGCCCCTGCTGCAAGGCAGCCACCGTCATGAGGGGCGGAGAACACCCCGCCGCCACACGCGCCGCTACCTCTGATCTGTTGCGCTCCGCACTCTTGCCGCACTTGCCACTGGGCATGGCAGCAGGCAGCAACGCTGCATTGGTAGGTTCTAACGGGCAGAGTCTGACAATCCCCGGAGCCGTCGTGGTGTCGAGGAAGTCAGCTGCTCCTCGATCTCCCGATGCAAGCTTCCGAAGGGGCCTTAGCAGCGGCTGAGGGGTGTGCGAACCCAACGAAAGACGGCTAAAGGCCGTCGGTATGGCAATATCCCCGCCTCCTGAGTTGCCCGTAGAAGTTTCCTCGCTGGAGGAGGCTGCTCTAGCGGAGACGTCCAAAAAAGAAGTTTTAGGAGAAGGGCGGACCGCTGCACGCAAGAGGCCAAGGGAAACTCGTGGCATCACAGACATCGATGGCTGGAAAGGGCCCTTGCTGCTGGTGCCGCTGCTCTTGTTGCTTTCAGTACCAGCGCTGGTCGTGGTGGTGGTGGTGGTGGTGTTGCTACCGTCGCTGGTGGTAATGGTGGTTGCTGTTTTTGTTGCCGTGCCGGCAGCAGCACCTCTCTCCTTGCTGTCAAGCTTGGTCATGCTGCGCTTGCTCTTGCTGCAACCCGTGTTGTTATCTGCGGAGTGGCTCGTGGCCAAGGCACTGGTATTCTCGCCTTGCTGCGCTTCCTTCGCTCTTGCGCTGCGGGTCATAACGCCGCGAGTGGAGCTCCTTGTGCTCCTGCTGCTTCCACTATCTGCAGCAGCATCTGGACTGTTGCCACCCTCTGCAGCAGCGCCAAGATCGTTTGCTGCGCCCTCACAACATGCCGCAGCTGCACCACGCCGCGGCCGTGCCATTGACAAGAGAAGCTGCTCCTCACGAAGGCAGGAAAAAGCGAAGCTAAGAAAACAAGAAATGCGCACAGAGCGCAGACTTAGCGCCTGCAGGAGGTCCAGCAGATACAGAGGACAGCAGTGGCACAAACATCCAGTAAAACGAAGGCGAAGGAGGGACGGCAAGGCGGGCACGAATGTCACGCAAAAAGGTGAAAGAGAAAAAGAGAAAGAAATAAAAGAAAGAAAGAAAGAAAGCGAAGAAGAAAGAAAGAGAAAAAGAATGAGAGAGAGAGAAAGCGCGAACACCGCAGAAGGCCGATTGCCCGGGGACGGCAGAATGCAGGGGTCACCTAGCGCATCCAAGTGCTTAAATGCATTGTTTGAAATAATAAGAAAACAAATTTGCCGATTTCCAAAGCCAGGCAGGCACGCCAGAAGGAGGATCCCCACAAATTGGGCCCGTGGCGGCGGATTTCCTTACTGGGGGCCCCTAAAGCGGGGGGCCCTTCCCTTGAGGCCCTCTCTCTGTGGTGTGTCTGCATGGCAATCATGCACTATTGTGTGCTAGAAAAGCAGCATTTTTCTTCATTTCTGGCGTGCTTGAGCGCGTGCGTGGGGCGAGGGCTTCCCTCTTTCTTTGTTTTGCATGTGTTCTTCTCTCTCCTGGTAGGACAGACTTCCCCCATGGGACCAGCGCGTCACCTACCCTAGGCTACTGGCTTCCAGTCAGCTAGGGGAAGGGGGGAGAAGGGGGGTGTCATAGAAGGCGTAGATGCCCTCTGCTGAACCTCGAGGCTCAACCGGCTAGCAGGTCGATACCCCAGCTGGCGGCGAGGCTCCTAGAACACTGCATGCAATCCTCACGCGGCAGACGGACTACAATGCTCGCGTACTGCTGCAGACCCTGTCAGCCACACCCTCGGGAGTCCAGAAGAGTGTCTTCTGCATGCCGGCAGCGTCGCAGCAGCGCATCGCGGGAGAAGGGGCCGCCGCAGCCCGCTGCGTCCAGTAGACGACTGCGCGGTGGCGTCCTCGCTTCGCTGGTGCTGCTTTTGCTCCTGTTGCATGCGCAGCCGTGTAGGCTTCTGCAGCAGCGCAAGCACTTTGGAACTGGCAGCAAGGGCCGTCGGTTCGTGCAGGCCTCCCTCGGTTGGCTGCACACGAGGCTTCCTGCAGGCCTGCGCGTAATGCCGTCTTGCTATGCGTCACCTCCAAAGCAGACAGCAGCGCAAACAGCGGCATTAGCAGCAGCAGCAGCAACCCCTCCCCCCCCGGCTTCCCCACCAGGAGCCGCGATTACTCCGCAGCTCTGTCGCCGCGTTTGTCTCCTGGGCCGCCCCAATGTCGGAAAAAGTGCGTTGTTTAACCGCATCTGCTTTGGAGGGCCTTTGGGAGGAGCACGCGGAGGCGCGTTGGTGAGCGCCACGGCAGGAACCACAAGAGACTGCCTCATTGCTGCCCTCGAGTGGCGGGGAGAACACGTCGAAATCGCCGATACGGGAGGCCTTTTGATGGACGACAAGGAGTTGGGGCCGTTAGCCTTGCAGGTACGTACTGGCGCTTCCCTGGTCAAGGTTTTGTAGACAATGCCCTTGTAGTCAGACACCAACTTGACGGGAGGGCCTTTGATACCGTGCTGGTGTGCTGCTTCGGCTGCACATCTGTTTGGCGAGAACGACATCGACAGCGCATACTTTTTTGCCGGCTGCTCTTGCCGTCAGTCATCGCGGTCCGTAGTCTCTTTTGCGGTGGCGCAGTTGTGCATCGTCGCCCATGTAGATAGCCCCCCCTCATGACCCCCATGCCTAAATATGATGCACAAATCCATGGAGATATGGGCCGCTTTTTGCGCCTGTTTCCGGCCGTCTTGAGAGAACGCCCTTCTTCTCGCCTGCCTCTGTGCGGGCTGCTTTGTATTGTGCAGTTGAGGGATCAAGTCGCCTTCGCTCTGCAGCAGGCTGCTTGTGCCGTATTGGTAGTGGACGGCCGGGTGCGTGCAGGAGCCTCGGGGGGAGACACGGAAGAGGGAGGGAGGGAGGGCGGAAACTCGCGGATTAAATCTTCAAGCGGTCCTCCTTCTTTTCGTGAAACGCCTGGCTTCGCGTCCACAGCACGATCCAGCTTGGCAAGGCAGCACCTTGCTGAAACCCTGCCGAAACTCCCATGGAGCGCGGTGTCTGTACACCGTATTTGGTCTCGGTTCTTGTTTTGTGTTGTCAGGCCGGCGTACAGAGCGACGATGAATACCTCGCGGAGATGGCAAGACACCTGAAGCTGCCCGTTGTGTTGTGTGTCAACAAGATGGAAAATCCCAAGACGGCAGCAACCGAGGCGCAGGTACATACATGCTACGTTTTTGGCCGCCGCTAATGGTGCAGCAAGGGCTGCAGGATGAGCTTCCTTCAAGGAGAAGGCTTTGACAGCCCAATGACAGACAACGGGAGCGCCCGCGTGCAGCCGTTAGGCTGGGGGAATATGCTAAGCACCATGCCACGGGCCTGTTCCGGCCTTCTGTGTGGTTCTGTTGGCGTGGGGGGTGGGGTATGCAGTCTTTACGGGCCTGCATGCCTTTTCTCAGGTCTTTTGGCGACTTGGTCTTGGAGAACCCCTGGCGTGCAGCGCGGCTACTGGGACGGGTGTCGGCGAGCTTCTCGACAAGTGCGCAGTATCAAAGTCTCAGTTCTCAGACGCTTGGTGGCTACTGGTATTTGAAGTGGTGAAGCTCTCTCGCGCGCGCTTCGGCCTTGGAAAGGAGCACGGCAAGCGCATGTGTGTGTCCGGCACCCATGAACGATCCCAGGTTCGCGTGTGCCTTCTGTTCAGATGTATGGACCTGATGGCGAAGCTGGGGAAGCCATCGAGTCGCCCCTCCCTCCGCACAACAAAGTCCTCGATGGAGGGGCTTAGGGAGCACGTAACGGTGGCTCTGGTGGGCAGGTAGGCCTGCCCTCGAATGCTCGCTGCGTAGTTCCTCTTTAGGGGGCTTCGGAATACAGGCCGTGTTGTGTGTCATGAGGAAGCTGCCTGAATGCGCACAGGCCTAACGCAGGTAAATCGCGGCTGCTCAACCGCCTTTTGGATTGCCAGCGAAGTGTTGTCAGTCCCCTGCCGGGGACCACGAGGGACGCAGTCGACGAGTTCGTCATGCGAGGTGCGTCTTTCGGCGAGCCTCGAGGCAGAGGCAACTCCTGCAGGAATGCTTCTCGGCCACTGATCCCAGAGCAGCGGGGCTGTTTGGGTTTCTGTAGTGTCTTGCACTGCACTGCAAGCACTTAAGCGGCATGGCTTTGGCGTGCTGCCTAAAAGCAGCCATAAACGGAATAAAGGCGTGTAGTCTTTGCAAATCTGAAAGTAGGGGGACGCGCACCCTTTAACCACGCACCGTCTGACGAATACGCGTTCCTATGCTTTTCTCCGGGTATACGCCAGGCAACACCCGCATCCGATAGCGTGTACATTCTGGTCTTTTGCCTCAGGAGAGCAGCTCTACTGCCTGGTAGACACTGCCGGGATCCGAAGGGCCAGCATGATTCGCAGGAATTCTTCGGGCGACTTGCAGATGGCTGCTCGCGCTAAAACTGTGGGTGCCTGGCGCCTCCAGTGTCAACTCTGCTGCTTACTTGTTCTCGCGTGTCATGCGCGGGGGGTTGTCGCATCGTTAATTTCAATGACTAGCGCGCACGGCTCCCGTTTCGTCGCTGCTTGCCGCAGGCGGCGCTAAGGGCAGATGTTTGCCTGCTAGTGATTGACGCCTCGGTTGGATTGACGCACCAGGATGTGAATTTGGCGAAGATGTTGGAGGCACTTGGTCGAGCAGTAGTTGTTGTCCTTAACAAATGGGATGTAGCCCTCCAGACGGAGGCCTTCAAGCAGAATGAGGTGCAGCGCACATAGAACGTTCGCACTCATCAACTCCGTTCCTTGCCCTCCCTTCCCTCCCTCCCCCCTCCCACACTCTCCTTCCCTCAGCGGTGGGAGCAGCCTCGGCTTCCGTCACTGTCCCTCTATAAGCCTTTTCCAGCAATAATCTTGCAGACCATCAGGCACTCATCCCTTGCTTGCCGCCGCCCCTGTGTGTGTATGTGTGGGGGCGTGTCTGTCTGTCCCTCTTGGTGTGGGTTGGCACCCTTAGCTTTCCGTGGAGGGGGCTGCTGTCGCTACGGCATGCTGGTCCGTGTGCAGTGTCTTTCTGCCTATGCTTATGTATGCGTGGAGTCTGCGCTCTTCTTTTCTACTAGGCAGTAGACTACGTGCGCAGAGTCTTGTTCCCCGTACACTGGGCCGAGGTTCTTTTTGTCTCGGCAGAAACCGGCAGCGGAGTAGCAAAGATATGGTCGGCAGTGGACGCCGCAGCCCAGCAGGTAAAGCTGCACATGCGTTGTTTGGCATGTGTGTTGGGTTTCTTGTGGCTACCCCGACTGCCGATGCGTGCTGCCCTAAGTGAGCTTCTGCAGCCTCTTTCGTGGTCGATGCATGGGGAGTAGTGCATACTCTTGCTTCTCCCTCCCTTGCCGTGCTTTGCCAGCCACCAGAGATATGGGAAAAGGCCTTGTGGACATCTGCGTGTTTATTCTGATACAGCACAAGCGACGGTTGACGACGGCGCTCTTAAACTTTGTAGTGCGGGACGCTGTGGCAGTCTTTCCTCCTCCGTTGACCAAGGACGGCAAAAGAGGAAAGATTTATTTGGCTCAGCAGGTAAGCTTGATAGGGACTCTACGCGGCATGACGTGCTCTTTCTGGGGGAAGCACCTCAAGAATATCTCTTTCTCCCTCTATACATATATAAATGGACGTATCCACAGTACGAATGAGCGAACGGATGAAAGACACGGCGAGAGAGGAATGAGGAAAAAACGAAACTGGGACAGCTATTGACCCTTAAAAGCGCATTTAATTTTTTTGAGGGTATTTGAAATTGCAGGCTATAGTGTGTTTTATGTATGTCGGATACAGGGTGATGTAATTCTTCCCGGAGGCAGCGTGCTGGTACACTCCTTCAGTGGTCGGACTCAGTCGAAAGGAGAATAAGGGAAGAGTGCCGTGTCCCTGTGTATCCGCTACGCAGGTTGCGTCTGAGGTGCCCACAATGGTTGTTTTCTGCAACAAGGGAGAATTTTTTCCGGAGGCGTACAGGCGTTACCTAGACTTTGCAGTCCGTAGTGCCTTCAAGATGACAGGAACGCCGATCCGGTAAGGCCTTTCTCACGACCCCTCTAGCTGAGTGTGCTGCAGCAGGAGGGGCAGCAGTAGCAACAAAGGAGGTCCTAACTGTTTGAGCGTTGCTTGATATTCCTAGATTCTAGCTCACCATTCCAATTTGGAAGCGCAAGCTCCTTCGCTCGGGCACAAAATATTGCAGGGTAGCCATACTTCAAAGCAACAGCCACTGTAAAAGCCAAGCGCTCAGGGCAGAGAAATTTCTCCGATGGCTTGCCGTTCAGGTGGATCTTTCGGGACAAGCGCCTGCGTACCATGCAACAGTTCCTGAGACAGCGGAGAACGCACAGCAGGCCGCCCTGACGGCCTAAGGAAGAAACCTGCGCCGTTCTTGGCGACGTCTGTTTACCTTCATTGATACCTACAGAACCATGTACCAAATCCTTTTCAGAAGCAAAGTTCAGAAAGACGCTAAGACAGGCACTAAGTGGGGTTCTGAATAGGTCCATGCATGATGGGTGGCAAAGCCGTGTGTTTTGTCCTTAAGCAGAGGTATTCAGGTCTCTTAAAGTGGTAAGGAATTCAATGCTTAGTTTGCATACACTCTACCACAGAAGTACTTAGGGGAAACCTGAGAGACGGACCATTTATTGGGGTTCATAGGAGAAAAGACGGAGGAAGTTCTCCTCGTTGCTGAAACGGAACGTGGTGCAGCTCCTGGTGTTCCCGCTGCCGGAGCAACACAATTTACTCCGGATGCGGGTCTAGAAAGAGCGCTTCGGGACGCGACGCCTGAGCTTTTAGCTGCTCGTATTTAACGAAGGGGGTGTGGAATGCAGGCAAGCGCGCCTCAAGGGGAATCGATGCTACAGTGCTCCCGCATGTGTGGTCTGTTTTGACTAGAGGTCGTGGACAAACTCGGATACTGCGAGCTGCACAGAGCAGAAACAACCCGTGTGTTCTGGCCTATAGGCCTGCTGAACGTCCGCTTGCCCCTAAGAGGGCGCTAGGGGTGGGGGGGCAGAAGAGGTCGGAAGGCACGGGGGTTAGCAAAAGCCTCTTGGGGGGTGTCATACAGTCAGATAGCACAGGGTGACAGGTGATCGCGTTACACTGAAAGGCATGGAGGACAGCAGAGACGCAGGAACAGAACAGAGACGTAGAAACGCCGCACGGTATGTGCATATATAGCTCATACAGGTAGAGGCTTCATGGGGGACAAGGCGCCAGGGTGGAACTGGCAGCAAAGACACAGGATGATATTTTGAAGTTGTCTCTGTACAAGGCCGGGAACAGAGAGGACTAGGCATGACTGGAGAACAGCAGAGCGACCCCCCTTTCAACGTCCGGCTTTCTTTAAGCTCCACAGGCGCTTTCTGAAGACGCTATGAGCAGCACTGACTCGGCGTCTGTTAAGGCGGCCTTAAGCCGGCTGACGTCAGAGCAGACACAGGTGTCTTAGAGTGCTTTGGGCGTATTGGTGTACTGGAAATCCTGGTAAAACGTGCAGGCAGCGATGAGAGAGCTAGCTACAGTTTTAAGCATTTGCCGACCCACATTCCTAGCTTTCTTAATGCACAGAACATGAAATCTGCCGCCGAGGCAAATACACAGCACCTTTTTAATCTGCCCGCCTGAACTCACATCCCCACGCCCCCAACCTCCCCAAAGTATCTATTGTGAAGTCTAACTCGAGAGTTCCGCGCGGCAGAGGCTGAACCTCCAACGGCACGGTGTGGCTGCCTAGATGTTGGCGTTGAAGGGGGCGTCCTACACGGCATGCCAGAAAACCACCCTACCCAGTAAGCATATTCTGCGAAATTCCACTTTAATACGCTTCTTTTGTAGTATTTTCAGCTTGCGTTGCAGCTTTCTTAGCTGGGTTCGGAGTATCTAAGGGCCGGCCCGCCGCATGCAGCCAAGCCCTCCGCAACTGTCTACCCCGTAAAGACCTCTCAAGACCCTCTACCCTCTAAACGCATTCCATACATTCAGACCAAGACCGGCTTCTTTGAAGCAGCGGCTTTCGTGGGGATGCCAAGACAGCCCGCTTCCTGAACTGGCTTCGCTGTGCTGCGTTGACGTTTCTCTGCGCATAGCGTTTCGCTTTTAAATGCTCACTTTGTCAAAAAGAGGACGCGCATGCTTCTCGCCTCTCCGAACAGCATGCTCTGACATGAGAAGCCCGCGCAAACCGCGGCTTGGCTATTCACTTAACGTCAAGGGATCTTACGGACGCTTCGCTCTCTGCAACGTCTGAAGCGAGGAAACCTCGTGTGCAGCAGCAGCAGCTGCTGCTGCAACAACGCCAGCGCTGCCATCTGCAGGAGTAACTCTTGCTGCCTCTGCATCAGAAAGATGCAAGGACTCCCGGCTGCGACACCAGCAGAAACAACCGCAACAGGCGATGCGGCAACGGCCTGTGCTGCCGCTGCTGCTGCTGCCACAGCAGGAGCCTCCCGTGACATCCTGATCTCTCTGCTACAGCCTGTGCAGCGTTGCCTGAAGGAATTCCAGTCCTCTTGCGCCTGCTGCAACGGCAATCCGCAAACGAAGCAGCACCAGCACCAGCAACACCAGCAGCAAAGGCAGGTGCTCGGTTGTTGCTGCAGCAGCGCGCAGCAGCAGCTTCTGCGGCAGCACATGCAAAGCACCCTACTGTTGCTGAAGCTCCTCTTGCAGGTTGATGCACTTGGGTACAAAGTGCAGCAGCAAATTACGCAAAGCCTTCCCTCAGCAGCACTGACAGGAGCTGTCTGCGCAGCTACCTCTGAAGGCCTTTGTGAAGATCTGTATGCGACAGGGCTTATTTCAGAAGGCCAGGTGACTGAGCGTTTTGCATTTGCGTCGGCGTGTGTGTGTTGCTTGCGAACACGAGCACATTGGCTGCAGAAGGCGGAATTGTAGCAACACCAGCCCAGCGTCAGCATCTTCCGTTTCCTCGCTGCTGTGTGTATGCATGTCGCTAAGGCATTCCTGGCAGCCTTCGCTCGCTACCGCTCGGTGCGGTGTCTGCTCGCGGTCAGGCTATGGCTGCAACAGCAGCACCAGCAGGAGCATCTGCAGGACGCTGCTGCTCTGGGCAGGGGCGATTTCTCAGGGAGTGCTGCCGATCTGCAGCAGCAGCTCAGTGCGTTGGCATCAGCGTCGAGCTCCCTCTCCTTCTCCTTCTCCCTTCCGCAGAAGGAAGCCGTGAGGTCCCCTGCTTGGCTGTGCAGAGGCAGCACGAGCGGAGGACAGCTGCCGCAGGAAGCTGTGTAATGCCTTATTTGTGTGCGGATGTTGTGCTGCTGCATGCAGCCATCAGGGGGGAGCAAGGATTTTATCACATGGATTGGCCATATGGCCTCCCTGGGCAGCAGGCGCGGCAGATACAACAGCAGCTGCTGCTAGCTGCAGCTCCAGCAGAGAGTCATGCCTGTGCTGCAGGTCTTGTGGACGTCTCGATTTCAGCGGCGGACAGAAAGGCAGCGAGTTGCCTGTATGCCTCGATTTGGAGGCGTCTGCGAGGGGGGGAGCTGCGGAAAGCTGAGGCGCTTGCAGCAGCGAAGGGGGCCTCTTGGCTTGTGCAAGTTTTGCGGGGTAAGCTGCCTGCGCCTCTCGACTGCTGCCGAATCTGCCGTTGCCGCGGGCAGGTGGCTGCCGCTTGCCTGTGCTTATAGTTGTTTGACGCGTGCTTGCTTGCTGCAGTCTTGAAACGGTGCCTTTTGTCGCTTGTGAACTGTCTCTTCAGGGGCCGAACCTTGGCTCGATGCACACGGCACCGAGGGCTTTTCCCTGCCTGGAGGCGATGGTCTTTGTGATGCGCAAGACATTGAATTCTTTTCTAATGCCTCTTCGGTTCTTAGGGTTAGCTGCCTTGCTGCTTTTTTGCGTTCTTGCCATCGGAAAGAGGGCCGCTGGCGCTGGCAGGCGTCGTGTAGGGGTGGTGAGACTTCGCTGCTGCTGCTGCTCTGTTTGTCGGTGCTGCTTTTTTTCTAGAGCGCCTTATGGCCATGCGGCCTAACACTGAAAGACTTGTTACAAGAAAACATCGGCTCCAGCGAGAACAGGAAGCGAGGAGGTGCGCATGCGTGTCTCGAGACAGCAATGGGATACGACGTGCAGGGCACCGACAGCAGCAGCAATTTCGACAGCAGCAGCAATTTCGACAGCAGCAGCAGCCTTTTGGCCAGCACTGAAGCATCAACTCTTGGAAGACAAGGTGAGGGGAAGCCGCAGCGGGCTCTGCTGCAGTATACCTGCAGCCAAATTCTGCGAAGCATCAGGAGCACGTTGCGAGGCAGCGCGAACAAGGTTCCCGGCAGCGGCGGCAGTAACTCCGCCATCGACAACACCACTAGCAGATTTGGTCATTGCGAGAGTCATTACTGCATGAGTCAAGAGGAAGCCGGCGTCTACGGCTACATCGCGGCAGACGTCGAGGCTTTATTTGCTGTCGTTGAGCAATGGAGTGACGCAGTATTTTCCCTTTGCCATTCTATCCATGTGAGGAGCTGCCACTGCTGTTCGCAGTGCTGCCGCTGCTGCTAGGGGCCTCTACTGCTCTTCCCCATGCCGCCACGGGTGCACTGGAAGTGCTACATGGCTGGCTTCGCTGGACTGCGTTGGTTTGCGCAGGAGGAGCTGCTGCGGTGCCTCGTAGGCGTGATACGGAAGCAACAGCCGCGCAGCCTTTTTAGCGGCGAAGTTGCTGCTGTTTCTGCGGCTTCGGCGGCAGCAGAAGCTGCAGCGACTGCGGCTGCGCCTCATGCTGCCCCTTGCCTTCTATCATCGGAAAAGCGGTGTGATACGCTACAGCGATCGCACCAACGGCAGCTGCAGCAAGGCGCTACAGACGCGTTTGGCGAGACAGTGCTGTCGCTGCTGCCTGGCTTTGCTTGCGCTGTTATCAAAGCAGTGGGGGGCCAAGCTGAAGGGCTGTTGCTGCACGATGTGGGAGATGCCAGCCTCTCAGCAGCGCAGGGAGGTCTCCCCGAACCTGTTGCTTTCGACAAGGCCGTGGCGATCCTCTTCTCCCACCTGCTTCAGGTACTGTGTGGCAGCGCAGCTGATGCTCGGTGCTGTGGGTGTGCGTGGCGGAAGCAGCTGCGTTGGTTGAGCAGCTGCCGTTGTCTTGCTGTGAACTTTCTGGCGCAGCGTCTGCCGGTTCTGTCGGACGCTCTGACTGGCAGCAGCAGCGGCAAGCAGCGCGTTGCTTCTGAGCATCAAGATTCTTTCAGGTTACTGCAAATACACCTGATTGCAGCCTACATGGAGTCTCCCATAGCCGGCCTGTGTGAAGCAGAGGCCGACGGGCTTGGCGCTGCAGCGGGAGCGACGGCAGGAGCAGAGGAAGGGATGCATACCCGCTTGCTCTTGCAGCAGCTGCTGCAGATGGTCACTACGGGAGCTACAGTGTACTGCGCGGCGCCTCGCAACGGAGGGAGGGCCTTGGGGTGAGGCAGCAGACGCGGATACGCTATTGGGGGGAAGAAGGCTGATATATGGTGTTTTGCGGCAGTTCGGGGAGGATGGGCGGGTGTGACAGGTGTATAGGTTGCACTGCGAACTCGGGGGAGGTATGCAGCATTGCACAGGCACCGAAGGGGGCATGCGCAGGGCACGTCAAGAGCAGCAGGTGCAAAGAGCGGCCTCGCTAGCCGCACCAGGTCGTTGAGCGTGAGCTGTGTGTGTGTGGCATCTTTGTGGGGGAACGTCTCAGGTCGAGCGGCGTTAGTCCGGAGATTCAGCGGTTCGCTGCTCTCTTGCTCTGCACCCTGCGAGACATGGGGCAGCTGCAGCTGCAGCAGCACACGGGGAGAGAGGCAGTTGTCTTGCAGCGACACAGTCTCTTTGCGATCGGTGCCGAAAGCATCGACGAGATCGTGGGGTACGGAGGGAAGCCGGAAGGAGTGTTTGCTATTTGGTGCTGGCAGCGGTGTGAATGAGGCGGTAGCTAGGTGTTGCGAGCCCAGCTGAAGGCAGAGTCGCTTTGCGTGCTGCTGATGCTTCGAGTTCAGCGGTGTCGTGGCGAAGCGCGCTGGCGAAATCGCTGCAGCAGCTAAGGCTTCGCGTTGCACATTGCTGCGTTTGCTTCAAGCCCCCTGCAGGCCGCCTCCAGTGCTGCTGCTGTTGTCTTCGCTGTTTTCGTTGTTTTCATGCAGACAGTACGTGTATGGCGCTTTGAGGAACTGGGGGCCTCTCGACGTGTCTTTGGCACGGATTACTCAGCAGCTGTCTCCTGACCGGCGGGTGAGGAGGAGTGCAACACGCGTCTGTCTGTTTGGCATGCACTTCGCTGCTCCCCCTATAGGGACGTGGGGGAAGGGTGGTGCCTTGTCTTGCAGCTGCCCATGGTGGCAACCCTCTAGATCCGCTTATGCCAGAGCCTTGGCTGCAGTAGGGGAGCAGCGGCTGTTTTTGATTGCCTCGCTCTCGTCGGAGGGCTTGCTGCTGCTTCTGCTGCTGCAGGCTGTGCTGGTAGGAGAGGTGCTCTGGTCTCGCAGCTCTGTAGCGTGGGGGGGAGCTTCGGATGATCGTTTGGATTCGTTCGTTGCCTGGATGTGCAATAGCTTTCCTTCCGTAAGGTGGCAGTTATTCGAGCAAAGGGGTACAGGGGCAGTATCAGCGAAGGCGGCAGTCTGCAGGAAGAACACGAGGCTGGAACCCTCATATGGACTCCTTCGGGGTGCGCCTCGTGGTCAGCCTGGGTACGTGGGTTTGCATGCGTATGCGCCGCTGCTTCGAGAGCGTTTGCTGCCGCAGGATGTATTGACCGTTGCTTGTCGAGTAGCCGAGTTGCTTTGGGAGTCTGCTGCTGAGGTGCTGCCTGCCCTCAACGCTACGGCCCCGTCCACGGAAACGGCGCGTGTCTTGCAGCATCATGAGGAGTGAGTGAGGGGCTGTTGTTGTCTCTGATGCTTCGCTGCATGCTGCCAGCTGAGACCATAAAAGGCCTTTCCCTGCTGATATCGGTGGGAATCTCGCGGTGCTTGAGTGGTGATGGCGGCGCGTCCAACGGGCGATGCGTGCCTTGCCTTGCGTCTTTTTTGCGGCTTCTGCAGGACGCGAGTGCTGCGGGGTGTCCAGTTCTTGCTGCAGCTGCTGCTCTCTATCTTTGGCTTCTTTTACCTCGATTCACAATCGCAGCACAAGGCAGCGCTGCCTCTGCTTCGGGTCGCCCGCACACCGCAGCCTTCTCTCATTGCAGCAGCCACAGCTGCAGTCACAGGTGCTCAGGGAGCGCCTCGTGTTGCGGCAGGTGTCACTGTTCACGCACAAAGCAAGCTGGACGCCGACCAGCAGTATGCACTTTGCCTTTTGGGATTCTTCTGCTTGTCCCTTTGCTCCTACGGGGCGTTTCTTGGCATCGCTGTGGAAGCTGCTGCAGCGCGGCGTGCTGCAGTCGGTCACACCGCCGCTGCGGCGCTGCCTGCTGCAGCTGCCGCATCTGCTGCTGCTGCTGCTGCTCCTGCTGCTGCTGTGGACGGGGAGGAGGCACCTGGAAGAGCTGCGACTGCGCAAGCCAAACGCAACGAGCGCTACAGTGTGACGGAGTGGCTGCACCAGGCTTTGCTGCCAGGACTCGTTATCCCACTCGTTGTTGAATCGCTTGCTTTCTGCAAGAGCAGCAGTGCCGCTCGTGCCCCTGCCGCTTTGGTCTTCCCTGTAAACATCGCAAACACCGGAGATACGAGCAGCAGCAGCAGCAGCAGCAGCAGCAGTGGCGCTGGCGAGAGCAGTAGCAATGACAGAAATGGCGTATTTTCACGCAACCTCGAGCTTCTGCTCGCTGCACCCCTTGCGGCGTCCCTCCCACAGGCCCTACTGTGTCTACGGCAAGAGCAAATGCAGCTTCAGACAAGGTATGGCCGTCTCCTCAAGTGTGTCGCAAAGACCACAGTACGCGATCTGCTCGCGATATGTTGGCGCATTGAGTGCTGCTCCTGGAGTTGCCGCTGCTGCTGCTGTATCTCGGCGCCCTGTGTGTTATCGAGGGGGTCTGCATTTGCGCTTTGGCTAGCTGCTTGCCAGTTTGTGAAGGCGTACCATGCTAGGTTCTCGTTTGCTGCCGCTCTGCTGCAGCACGCACAGACTGCCTCTGCTGCCGCTTCAGCAGTTCGCTGCACTTGAGGCTTTTTCTTCGCTTCTGAAGGCCGCCGCTGCCGCTCGACCCGGTAGCCGCAAGGGTTACGCCGCTGAGCATCTCGTTGCTAGCGCGCTACAGCAGCCGCAGAAGCAGCAGCACATCGCTGAGCTGCTCTGCGCATTCGCTTCGGAAAGACGAAACTTTCATTTCCCTCTGCTGCAGGACCAGGAGAACCTACAGCAGCAGCGCATTGCCGCTGCCGCGGAGCTAGAGCAACAACTTCAGGTGCAGCAGCTCTCTAGGCGTCTTGGTGCGTTAGCTCAGCAGCACTCTGCCGAATCGGCAGAGCCGATGAGCCTGTATTGCCAGCGGCAGCAGCAGCGACAGGCATTGCTGGAAGCGCTGCAGCACGAAGAGCAGCATCAGCGCGAGCGCGAGCTCCAGCAACACTTCTACATGCCCCTGTGGTGTGAAGGCGCGGGGCTGTTCGAGTCAGAAGTTTCAGATCTCGAGGCCGCAGCAGCAGGAGCAGCAGCCGCCGCATTCTTGCCGAGTGTGCGTTCGCGGCTTCTGGCAGACATCATCCTCATTGCCGCAGCTGAGTGCAGCGATGAAACAATCCCTGCGAACCGCAGCTGCAGCAGCAACAGCAGCAATGCGACGAGCCCTAATCCTTTGTGCGCCATGCTGAGTGCTGTGGGTTGCAACCCGATGCTTTCCGCCGTCATATCAGAAGACGAGTTCCCCGAGGTGCTTCTCCTAGCAACTCTCCAAGCCACCAAAGTATAAGGGTCTTTGCAGGGAACCTCACTTACGACTGTTGTCTGCAGCCTCCGCTGTAAGACTGCAGAAGACACTTGCTGCCCGAGGGTTGCAGCGAACTTAAGTATAAAGAAAGCCTCTTCAGTAGTTTCCTGAGGACGTGCCAATACGCTGCTCCCCCTAATCCCCCCTCTTCCACTATTTCTGAAAGTGTAGTGACTCCCCTTCTTTCCCGCTCCCATCCTTTCGCCACAGAGTGCAGTGAGCTCAGATTTTCACGGCAAGTCTCAGTAGGCAGAGTCAAGCCATTCATAGAATAAAATCGATAGTAGCAACAACAAACAGTCTGTCTCCGTCATGGAGTTCGTCTTTACGTTGACGAACTGTCGCCTTACCCGTAAAGCAACACAAGATTGGGGGTCCCCCTTTAGCTGGAACGACTGCGGCCTTGTTCTCTTGGTATGGCAAAAGCTTTTTGGTTGGCCTGCTATGGAAACGGGCCACACGAGGTTACTCGCTGCTCGAGCATCAATTGATACACCCCATGAATTTGTGGTGGATTATTGTGAATACATCGGAGTAAGGGCTTTGATTCGCAGCGAAACCGTTCTTACGTGGTGCTTGTTAAGGTGCTGCTGGTGCCTTGGAGAGGGTCTTACGACCGCAGCCTCTCGGGTCTCTGCTTCAACCGAGGGTGGTCTTCCTGTTCGTGCATGCTCCTCGGCTGTCGTGGCTCGGCTGGCTTCTCCGGCTCTACTATATTGAGCATGTTCTACCTCTTCAGTTATGATTTTTATTGGTAAGTGGTAACGAATTGCCTGGTTGAGTGTCTGTTAAAAATATCCTATTTATTGAAGAGCAGTAGTTCAGTGTCCGCATGATGTGAGCCCGAGTGGCAGGGGCAGGAAAGTGTGAGATCTCACTTGAAGCCTACTCAATAATTTTCTATTAGATCTGCAGTAGGTCGTGAGTAAAGCGTTTCTCAACTCTGACCTTCAGTCTAGCTTTGAGCTTCTGTGGAGCACGACGTTTGTCGCGTGGACGATGATCCCAGAGAAGACACACTGTACTCTCTCAGGATCCCCCCCAAAAGTCCCTTTTTGGAGTCCACGAATTCTGCCCTTCTAGCAGCCCTTGTTAGAGGCAAACTGCAGCATGCGCCCTGCTGCTACAGTGTAAGAGGCCAGCATCCCGCCACAGCCAACGGTGGAGCTGGTTAGCCTAAGAACCAGGAAGACTATCACTTCTGCACCACTTGTGCCTTCTGACTACGTCTGCACCCCTCGTATCTTTTGTGGACTGCCATAGGCGGCAGGGTTCAAGAAGAAGAGCAGCAGACAGAGGAAGCCGTAGGCAGCATAACGTGGGAGCAACGCCTCCTCGTAGGTTCAACTTTTCATCAAACGTTAGGAACCAGATGTAGCTTTGAATTAGGGCTTTCGGATGGCGGAACTACAAGCCCTCATCACTGTGCTTCCCGGGAATACTAGTGCCACGGGACTGAGACCATCTTTTATCTGGGCGTCCACTTTGATGGTGGAGGGAAACGAATCACATAAGAACATAGGAACTACCCAAAATTGCAAAAAGTAATGGACACCTGCTAGTGGTCAAGATGGCCTGATGACTGTCCAGTGGTCAGTCGATACATGCTTAAAACGGGTAAAAGCCGGTGTGCCACATCGCTCTTGAGGAGTGCAGCAAACCTTTCCGCAGTGAGGGAAACGTGCACATTTTGTAAAATATATAATGTTACTGCGGAAAGCATGGACTATTTGATGCCGCTTTTCGGGAATTACCGCGCAGCAGGCCCGCACCCTAAACACTCACCAGCTCCCTTGTCGGCCCTTGCTGTGGCCTTGGCAGCTTTCGTTGCCGCGGCGAAGTCCAAACCTTCGGGCAATAAAGCCTTTACCACTATTGTGTTTTGTTCCGTGGCCTGTATAGTCTCTTCTTCCTTGCATTCTCGCCCTGGTTCGCTTTCGCCTCCCCAACGGTCCCTTTTCCCCTGTGCGGCTGTGTGCAGGAGCGAATTCTGAGCCCTGCACCAGCTCGTCCATTAATGAACTCTCTACAACCTCTTTTTCTATCAGAGCAGCAGGCCGAGGCTGCCAATGAGGCATGCTTACCGCTCCCCTTCAGGGTTTGCATGCCTGTGGCGCACCCACAAATAGTTGAAAGCTGAACTTCCCTTTGTCCAGCATGAGTCAGAAGCGACTGTGCTGCTCTATATCCCTACGAGGGTCGGTATGAAAGGCCAATGATGGCATCTCCCTTGCAAGAGGGCCACAGGTGTACGGGGTGGCGCCTCACCTGGGCACGCCGTCGTCTCAGTTCAAGGCCTCACCCCTCTCGGCCCCGAGGTTTCCAGGGCGGGCAGGCTAAATGGAACAGCAGCAACGATGCTGCGGCATCTGAGGGTAGCAGTCTCTTCAGTTGCCAAACTAGCAGTGACAATGGCTTCCGTACGGGGTGTGAAGGCAGCAAGGGGTGCTGCCAGCCTAAAGCCTTGTGTCAAGGCTTTATTGATAAGGTATTCTTTCCAGAATTCTGGGTCGTGGCGTGGAAAAACCTGAAGGCGAGCTGGGTGCATCGTTTGGTTCGCTCAGTGAAGATCTCGGCGATGATGGTGTTGGCGATCCACATGAACCTGCAATTAGCGGCCGAAAACTACCTTGGGACCAACTTTTTGCTGCTTACGTACTGCCTCAACGCCACTCTTTTGCCGGAATACAGCTCTTCCTTGTACAGTGCAATTTGGGTCTGGTTGCTGACAATTGTGGTGACATTTGTGGTGACATTGCTCTCTTTCGCAGCGTTATATGTAGGCGGAGTGGGAGGCCAGTTTGTTGCCCTGGCAGTCATTTTTATTTTGCTTTCTTGGGTGACCGTTTTTCGTATACCGATGCTCTACCGGGTCCCACCCTTTAGGGAGGCGATCGATTCTACGCACCTTGGAAAATTTGCGCTAACCTTCATCCCCTATAACTCGTGCTGCATGCTGATGAAGCTGCGCAACATGATGAGCACGTTTGAAGATATCACGGACGGCATCCAATATCTCTTTACTTACCTCTTCTGGTCCATGGTCTTCACTCTCGTAGGCCTTGCACTCTTCGCCGTGCAGATAGCCACGCCACCCTGGAACTCCCAAAGGACCATCGCCAGGCGGCAGCTTAGAGACAACATGACCGAGGTGGCTGACGCTTTGAGGGCCCTTGACAGCACACTCCAGCGGTTGACTCAAACACTCAGTGAGGACCGAATACACTTTTTTGTTGCTCTATTACAACCAGTTACCCTATCCTCGTCCCTTGTGTGTTGCTTCACGTGTATGAGCTCACCAGGCCAGTAGTTTTTCTTGCTGTTCGCCCTGTTCGAGTAGCAACTTGCAGCCTTGTGTTCAGTGGTTTGCCTGGCGTGCTTTTTTTGGGGGGGGGGGGCTGTTCCGACCTTTGGAAATAACTTGAACTCGCGCTTGTCGCGTCGTTCCAGTACCTTATCCGTGATCCGCGTGTCTGCTCTTCGCAGCTTTGGCAGATGACAAGGCCTTCTCCGCATCCAAAACGGAGCTGGAAGTGGCTGCGGCTACACTGGCCAACTCCGTCTCTCCACTCCTGCACGCCTTAGGTTCTCAAAGTGCCTTAAGGGTTCGGCTCGTAGAGAGTGGAAGGGAGCCGTACTGGCTGTACCCTGGTCCCCGTATCAACGTGATGCCGGAGATGGCAAGGGTGCAGAAGGTACTGCTTCAGGCGAGCATGCATCTTGTAGGAGCCGCCAAGCAAATGGCTCTTATCGTTAAAGCCATGGATGTGTTTGTAGTTCAACGGTCTCGGGCTCTGCTCGCAAATATAGACGAAGTCAGACATTCCGTCAAGATTGCCATTCTAGTTTGCAAGGAAGGCGCTGGTGTCCTTGCTCTCAGTCCTTCTCTGCGGAGGTGGACCACGTACAATGAAAAGCTGAGTGCAGCAGCACAGCGTCTGAGTCGTTTGAGGGAACACATGGAAGGGGTGCGAGCCCGCAGTTCCTTGGGCTATGGGCCTCTTACGCGACAGCCGTCCAAAGGGGCACAGCTCGTGCAAAGAGCGCACGGACTTTTACAGCAAACAGGGGTGTTCCCTCCAAAGGATATTCAATCCTGCAGGGAAAATGAGGCCTATGACAATGAGGAGGATACTGCAGGGCCAGATGTGAGCCGATCCGTTGAGCAGTCGTTGCCAAGTATCCGCAAGCCAGGGCTAGGTAGGAAAGTAAGCTTTAGAGCCTCACAACCGGCTGATCCATCAGTTGCGCCAGACCACTATCAGCCTGCAGTTGCAGAAGTTGTGCATCCGTCCGCATGGGGAAAGACAGCTATGAAGTCTCGAATCAAGCTCTTGCATTCCAAGGCGGCAACGCAGGTCAAGCTGCCAAAGGGCAGAATGGAGCTGGACACCTCTATAGGGTCGCCTTTGGGGTCGGAGTACAACCCTTTTTTAAATCTTCCGAGTCTGGACGTGCAGTCTTCCTTTGGTCGATCGATGAGCTGCAACGTGACCAGTCCACAGGGTTCTCTGTTTGAAAATGCTTCTATCTTCGAGACGAAAGCCATGGAAATTGGTACTAACAGAGCGGGAAGAAGAAATGAGGGTGAGGACGACAAGTTGCCACTGCGTCTTGCTACGATCCCAGTGCGATCGGAAAGCATGGATGCCGGCGATATCAGAAACCAGGTGCTCTTGGAGGGCCTCGAACGAAGAGGGAAAGCCGACGAGTGGATGGAAGAGCGTGATTCAAGCGACTGCATTGAGTCCATGACTAGTGGAGCATCAGGTAACACCGAAAATCCTATTTTTGGTGGTAAGCGAATGCGGATAAACGGAACAAGTGCGGCTGCCGCGGATGCTGACGCCGAAGAACACTTTGCTGGTGGAGGATCTGCAAGAGCCAAACCGCGACGCAGAGCACAACACGATTATGTTAGAGGCCTAGGCAAAGGTTCCGCCTCCACTGGGGACCTTAGTTGTCTTCCTTCAATGGAAGTAGTGCATCTTCTGGGGCTCCTAGGCCAAGATGCTTCATACTCTGGCCGCCATGAATTGGACCAAGGCAAATCTAATCTCCGACGCACGTCTTTTAGGCGTTTCTTCAAAATGAACGACCCAGGGAAAGGGGTTCGGGGCCGTTTGGCCAGGGACGCCTTGACGGAAGTGGCAAAACCGGGGATGAATAAGTGGATGCATCAGTCTTCTTTAGCTGGGAGCTCCTTATCGTCTAGTGAGAGGAATTGGTATACTCTAGAGATGTACGAACGACATCCAAAGGCAGTACAAGATGAGAATGCACTCAAGCAACAAGTTAAACTGACTATGTTTGTTGTCTCCGTCATTCAAATTGCTAGTAAAGATACTTTGGATTTTTGTGCGGCAATAGAGGCTCTCCTCTACGCGGACAGGACGCCTTCCTGGTGCCGTAAGTTTGTATCGAGGTGTAATACACTTGTCGATACAAACGTCGCGTATAGACGGTTTCGCATGCTTGCTAAGTGTTGTTCACTACTTATTAGTAACATCATACTGCAACACTATTGTTTGCCTTCGTTCCTTGGAGTGTCGTTGCACAGAATGCACCAATGCAATTGCTTGAGCTTGTTTCCCTATAGGTGGCATCGCGTACTACATTAGACAATAACGGATTCGGCATTCGCTGATTACTCTTATCGTGCCTCACGATTCAGTATTTTGCGTGCTTTCGGTTTCTATCGTAGGTTCATCTGTTGTTTACCTGTTGTTCGCTGCAGGCTTCTGGCTGAACATTCGCATGGTTTTTCTCTCGGGCACCATCATGGGCATTCAGCTTTCTAGAGGGCTTTGGGATATTTTATATTTCTGGAGGTGGCGCTTCTCGGGGGCAGAAGCGTGGTTCAACGATGTCGACACTGTCCACTGCCTGAAGTTTGTAATTGGCATTACGGGGCTTTACGCTGTTGGAGTTTTTGCTGATAAGCAAATAACCTTGTGGCTCGTTGGTAAGAATTGGGCATGTGTTTTGTTTTACACAGCTTGGTGCGCGATATACCTTAAGCCTATTTAATGCATAGATATCTGCCGAGCCGGCTGATAAAATTGATAAGTTAACACTCTACCCAAAACTTGGTAACCACAGTCAGCCATCATATGATTCGTGTACCTGACTTTGCTTCATCTGCTTACTACTGCGCATCCTTCAGTGAACGTGAGCATCAATTATGGTGTAGAGTGGATAATTGCCTGAAAGTGGTATCATGGTAGCAAGGAGGCTAGAGTAACGCATGCTTGCTATAGCACGCCGGGTGAAACCTAGGCGTATCTTTGGCTCAACATTGTAGCTTGCGACCACATGGTGCTCTTATTTATGTGCATTCGCTATGGTTGCTTATGTGTTTCCTTACAGGCTCATTGGATCTGAAGAGCGCTATAATGCCGGTATCATCTTGGTTGATGTTGGGTTTTGTGTCTACTATGAAGTGGACGTTCGAAGGCACCGTACACACAGCCACGAGCCGTCTTCTGGGTACAGTGTTGGGATGTGGATGCATCTACGGAGCCATGATGACCACGAACGATTACGGCATGATGCTAGCATGGAACTTTATTCTCTGCTTTGCAGCATTCTTCATCTTCGCCAACTCAGCAGATGTGCACAGCACCTTTCATCCCGAGTTCGGGTATATTGGGCAAGTCTTTCTTTGGACATGTTTATTCATCTACCAAACGGTTTGGCTGTCCATGGAGAGCAGTCCCAGCACCTTTGCAGGTACGGTTATATTTTTGTATATAGAAATCTAGATTACCATAGATTATTACTGGAGTCGTGCCCGACGTTCACACTTGGTGCTATTTTCTCTCCTGGCATGCCATGCAAACAATCCCAGCAAAATAACCATATGCACTTAGTGCTCATGCAGAGTGCACTCTTTGCGCTGTACAGTTCACCATTGGTTTTGATGCTTGCCTTTATGCAGCCTTAAAGCTAAACGTGACGAATAGCCGCCTGTGGGGAAATGTTATTGGCATTGTCACAGCAGTGGCTTTGTCCCACTTTCCTCCGTATTTTTCGTCAGAGACGGAGGTGCGGTACATCTGCCAGTCTCTGATGGGCGATTGCAGTCGCTGTGTTTCCCTTATTGGGGCAGCCTTTGTCCGAAGCGTTTGCTCCTCTGCTCCGGCTCTTGCGGGGTGTCCCAACAGCAATATCTCTCATCAGCAGCAGCTGCAGTCACAAGTTACTGGGGAAGTGCCGTTGCACTACCAAGGAGCGGTCAGTGCAAAAAACAATCATCCAGATAATCTCATTGCCCGCACAAAAGATACCCAAGCCGGCGATATAAAAACGGTAGTTGATAAAACCAAGGCGGGTCTTACTTCCTCCCTTGTGTCTTCAACCGTACCCGGTGAAGATTTAGTCGTGCACTTTCAGGATATACAGGACACTTTCATCACCAACAGTGCACTCAAGCAGCCGAAAAGGGCTCAAGAGCCAAAATGGAGAAGAGGTTGCTGCGGGATTGGATTTCTTGCAATGCCGGAGACATTCAGACGGACCCCTGTCGCTACTATGCTTAGCCATCATATGATCATTCAGGAAACAATGAGAGTAGGCAGAAAACGGCGATCAAAGCTCCGTAAGAAGCTACAGCGACCTGTCAGCGCCCTGAAGTCAAGACACTTTGTTTCACATCTTCGTTCCCGCCATCAGAGATCCAGACAACTTGCATCGTGAGCTAAGCCGCTTTTGTCGTGTTCCAGATCCTTCCCAAGTTTTTTGTCGGTCTTGAAACCGTTCACCACAAACGCGGCAAAGGATAATATAATCAATGCGTGTCCATGTATGATAAGAGGCAGGGGCCTAAAAACATCATAAGCTCAAATCACTCGCCTCGAGGAGTAGAGTATATGTCAGTTCCTGGAATAATCTTTGCGGTTTTTGTCACCAACCTAGCTGTGCCTTTGTACCTACGTAACGCTTTATGTATGTTCCCCTCTGCCTGTGTGCCAGCTTTTGGATTTATTGTTAGGCTTTGTAACTGCGTGCCTGTGAACATACAACAGGCCGGCTGAGTGTCTTCAGAAGGCGACGGAGATCTTGCATCATTCTTTCGAACCAAAACTGTTCGTTTGCCGCCGTTTATTCCTAGAGGGCACTAAGTGCCCTCATTCCCCTTTGTGGTGGGTGGATGTATCCCTGGGCAGAGTGCTGGACTTGATGGATTACCTGAGGATGAGCATTGCAGATAGTTGTCAGGACTTCATGGACTGTCTTGAGGCCAACTTCTCCGACCCAAGCACGCCTGGTGCTCCTCAGGCGACTGTCGCAAACTGCAATCTTTTGATGCAAACAGCAAGTGGTAAACAGGAAGTAGCTTTTGCATCCAGTAGTACAACATTTCTTTACATCGTTGCTTTGAGAGCCGGGCAGAAAGCGCAGAGTTGCGGGGCTGGAATACGTTCTTGGGGTGCACGCGTGGGGTAGGCCATAATTTTGGCTTTTGCACTAATAACGGATGCACGCGTTCCAGGGAAGATGCCTCCTTGAGTACCTAGTGCCTGTTTTTTACGGTTTGCCCAGTACTCAAAAAAGTTTTCAGTGAATTTAGGAATGATTGAGCCATTGCTGCTGCGTCTACACTATATAAGTTGATTAGGAATCGGCACTATTTGCTGCGGCATCTCAGGCCGCCCTTTGCGGCAGCGTTTCGTAAAGCTCGTGGCAATCCAGAAAGAGGCATACATGGACATCGGGAACGAACTCGTAGCTGGTCGAGTTGGTTGTTGGAGTCGAATGCCCGCCTTCAGCTCGTGCGATTGTGGACGGCGACAAGTATCGGAGTTGTACCTCGCCTCTGCCAAAGTGAGCTTCTTTTTCATGTTGTGATACCGAATCACGCTGACATGAGTTTGCCACACGCTCATGGGTAGACCGGTAACAAGTGACCTTGTAGAATGTGCATGCTCCTGGATAACCATCCGTGGTGGTGGTAGTTTTAAAAAGGCAGCAGTCCGGCATTTACATCTTTTGGATAGGTGCTGTGTCTTTGAGCTCTAATGCTTCTCAGGAGTACATGCGGAAGAGGAAGGCGATCGAATTGACGCAGAGTGCTATCCTCTCCGATGTGGTGAAGTGCTCCCGGGAGTTGCGCAAACAAACTGGACACTCTGCTCAAGAAAGACGGATGGCTCTGTCCGTGCTCTTGCTGCTTCTGCAAAAGATTGAAATGAGGCACGCAGTCACTGATGACATCCACATGTACATTGCCAAGTGTATTTTAAGCCGAGCGCTCCCTGGTATGGATGTGGAGGAAGTGCTGATGCGTCGGTGTGGAAGCGGTGAGAGGACGAGGCATGAGGCGAGACACCATACCCACGCACTGCTCTCAAGCACATATCGAAGAACACACCTTTTTGAAATGACAGGGAGGCGCAAAGCAGTTCTCAAGGGTGGTGCTTCCCTAAGGAACTCTGTTCACTCTTGACGAGCACAAAGGGATGCTGCTTCCGAGTCCCCTGGCGATCGTTGTTACACGCACCCAGGGCTTTCAAGCGCATGCGTTGTAAAACAGCCATTTTACAATGCATGTCCGCACCAAGGAAGTTGTATTCATTCTTTTGGCCATCCGCGAAGCACTCGTTACCTGTACCGAGACCAAACTAGCCATCAGCTTAAGCCTTTAGATACGAGGCGTTATTATTATTGGTTACTAGCTTTTGGATTCATGACCATCTTAAAATGCTGGGTGTACTTTCCCATAGCTTGCATGAAGCCACATACGTAAGCGGTTATTTATCCAACACTGAGCCGCCTCACCTGCGAACGTCCCATGTGGCCATGATTGCTCATCCCTATCTGTGAATTTCAGAGCTACTGTTAACTTCTGGGCCACCTGCATCAGCATCTTTATGTAGTGAAGGGCTCCCCAGGTTTCTATATGGAAGCAACTTCTAAAAAAAAGAAAACTGGGAGCTGACCACCTAATCTGAAAAAAAAATCTCTCAAATACTCGACCCCCATTGTGCACAGCCTAAGAAGCACACGCAGGTCTGCATCCTTTGGGCAATTCGGACGTTTCACCATAGTGTCTTGGCGTGCATGCACGCAGCATATATTTTGCTAGTGTAGAGCTTCTCCTGTTCCCAAGCAACTGGAATACAAGAGTAGTCAACAACTGCAAGCAATTGAAATGACAAACTGCTTGTTGAAATCCAGCAGTTTCAGTGCTAAGGCTCTTTTTGTAGCTTCACAACTTCAAGCAATTAGGTGTTTTACTTGAGTGATTCCAAGACATTTAATAATCGTGGTGCCCAATCCAACATTAATGTTATCGGCCGCAGTTGCACGACAATATATACGATTTTCAGCATAAAAGTTATCTCATTTTTCACAGGATCGGCAGCTGACGAAACGGAAGCAGATGGGATACTGAGAAACCGGGTGGTGCGTGCCTAGTGCGGCGAAGATGAACACCAGGGAAACAATTTTCTGGTAGAATTGCAGAAAACATTGTATTTCGCTTAACCGCACATAAATGTACCAGCTGTGTACGACAGGTTCCTAAAAGGCATGCACACCAGTGTGCCGAAAAAGGGTTGTGCGGCCGTGGTGACCACTGGTACTACTTTGATGAATACATGTTTTGATTGTCGAATCACACGCTAATCAGCATTTACTGGGTAAATGCGATTCGTCGCTGTCCTTTTCTTTCTGGCTGGAGGTAGGCTGTGAGAACGCATCGCAAAAGCCATACCATTCCAGGCTTGCAACGGAAACAGATTGGCGATAGGCCCGCCTTCTGGAGCTCTGAGAGCGAACAGACTTTGCAACTACGAAAAGTGCACTTTGGCTCATTTATCGGGGAAGCACAGGTGCTTAATCTAGGTTGGCATTGAGTAGACGAGTGTCTCAACGCCACTCTAATTTTGTTCCCTCAAGGCTGACAATATTATTGGCTCATTCGGCGCTTGCCTCCTTATATTGCATTGAGCCTGAACACCTTAATATCTTTTTTTGTGTAATATCCATATTGGAGAGTGAGAGGTGCACCCAACCCATCACCAATAGCTCCTTGCAGAGTCTCCCTTTCCTTGCATGTCCATGTACCTCCGGAGACATCTTAATTGCCTTGGAACGAGCACTGAGCACGCTTTGGGTGATGGAAGAATGGCCACAGGACTGTCTTAAGGAGGCTGCCCCCGACGGAGGGAGAACCTTGCAGGGCAGTGACTCAGCTCCTTTTGCAGAGGATGCCACAAGTATATTGGGTAGTAGTGGGGAGCCTGCGGAGGCGCCCAATGTGTACCTGGAGTCTATGGCGTTTAATCAGGACGGAAGCTGTTTCATCGCTGGGACATCAGAGGGTTTCAGGGTGTATACAAGCTCCCCCCTAACGGAGTTCGTCCGCAGAGAGGGATCCAACTGGCCTGATAGAGGGGTCCATACAGCGGCAATGCTCTTTCGAACAAATGTTTTTGCGACGGTAAGTAAACTTGAAAACAGGAAAGTCAAGTTCTGGGATGACAGCAGAAGGAGGTTTATCGGAGAACTTCGGAGCAGACAGCCAGTGAAAAGCGTGTGTCTCACGCGAGATGTCCTTGCCATGGTTACCGACTTCGCGGTAAGCAGCAACCAAACTCTAAATAGAAAGTCTAGTCGAGGTTTTTCAAAAGGAGACCTCTGGCGGCAGACTCGGGAGGCAACCCTTGGGTCATTTCCCGAACATTAATATACTGCTGCGAGAGGCACTTTGCACCGATCCGCAGGTGTGCCCTTGTCGTATTTTGAGTACCCTGTGGTGCGAATCTGGTGGATTTTTGGTCCAGTGTAGTTGCTGAATTTTTACCTATTGCTGCCACTGCTTACAGAATTGGCGTTCGTTGCTTCTTGGCGCAAGGGCCAACCAACTCTGCGGACGCGGGGGGCTGCTGCTTAGGTGCAACGTATGCATGCTGCAAGGTTGTTGCCGTGCAGTTTGGCCTTTCACCTGTAGGATTCGCTAGCTGTGCAATGCGCTGGATCGACGTCCTCAGGTGTACGTGTACCTCAGCGACCAGATGCGCCCCATAAACATCATTCACACCGGGAGCAACGAACGCGGGTTGTGTGCCTTGGCTTCTGGAGGAATCTTAGGCTGCTGGCTACTTGCTTGTCCGGCTGTTGCGGGGGGAGCAGTGAGAGTTCACGGCGGCTCATCTTCCACAGCAGGGGCCCCTGATGAGGCTTCACAGGGCGGCACCACTGCAGAAAGCGGCATTGCCAACCATGTTTTCCAGGCACATAGGACTCAGCTCGCGGCTCTCGTGTTCAATTCCCAGGGGACGCTGCTCGCAACGGCCAGCGAGAAGGGAACAGTACTCCGAATATTCAGGGCCTCAGACGGACAGCTGATGCAACAGCTACGGCGGGGGACGCAGATATCTCTGATCAGTTGCATCGCAATACGGAGCGATGACCGGTTTGCTGCCATCGCTTCTTCTGAAACCCTTCATATTTTTCTTCTGTGCAGCCAACAGCCAGATGAAGGCGAACACCACCATCTATTCTTTGGCAAGCAAGACGAAACAGCCAGTGACCCCCCTTCCCGCAGTGGAAGCTCTCTAAGTTCACTGCAGCTGCCCGCAGCACTTCATTCCGGCAGAGAAATCACAAGCGCTGTATACGATGCATCCAAAGAGATGGTTCAGGACGCAATCAAAGTGAACTTCGTTCCTATGGCTGCGCTGAATGCGATTACTGAGATCTTTTTTACACATAAAATATCCTGCTGCAGATACGAACTTTGATCAATTTTGTTGTATGAACGTATTTCGATCTGTAATAAGGCACAGAACTACGGATACACACCTACACATACACACACTCATGCGTATGCCCGATGATGGCCATGCGCCCTTAATGAGCAAGGCCTACACTACAGTGGCGGGCGTATACATGTTTCGGTGAATAGCGCAACTCAGGTGCTTGCTTTTGTTCTCCCTTCTCCTTTAATTTTGTTCACGAAGGGTCTCTCAGACGCTCATAATCTGCCGCACTCTTCTTCTGCAGGCGAATGTGCGCTTCAGGGGGTCCTTGGCGGTTATTTTGGTGCCTCGCGGAGTTTTGCACAGTTTCACCTTCCACAGGACTTGAAGCTTCTCGACAGTCGGTCTCCCACTTCTACCATCAGCGGTCCATTGGTAGCTTTTGCAGGCCCAGTTTCCAACCACTTATTCCTTCTCTGCCCCTCTGGCGTCTTTTGTGAGCTCCGCTTCGACCTGAGTAAAGGCCAGGAATGCACTCTTTTAACTGCCAGCACCTGGTTCGCGCCGAGGCCAAACTTCCAGATACAGGTATAAAGTGACCCTCTCCGAAAGCCTCTCATGCCCTGCTTCTTGTGCATGATTTACATTGATGCAGGAGTCAACACTACTGCGCTTATTGCCGCTGGCTTTGCATGGCGCATCTGGTGTGCGTCTGCTTGGCTTCTCACTGCAGCCTCATTTGGGAACTGCCGCACTTCCATCCGAATTAGAAGGCGGGCACGATGGTGACCAGTGGCAGCTCGTGCTATGAGGAACGCTGCCTTTGCTTGTCCTCTCCCATTTGTTCCATTTCGAGGAGGCTCTCAGTTTATCGCCTTCCTCTAGTGCGGGCCCTTCTTCCCTCCTTCTTCTCCAATGCTCACTCCGCGCGTGCTTTCCCACTCTGTACGCGCCTTCTTAACGCCTAAATACGGAAAGTTCCCGCACTTCAAATTTGCCGTTGCATGCAGAGAACTCCCTACGGGCCACTACTTTGCAGAAAAGGCCAGGTCGTTCCCATAAGAAGGTTCACAAGATTTAGAATTTACACTTTAGGCAGCCCGTCTAACGGTCAGCAGGCTAGCTGCCAACGAGCTCAGCGAGCCTGTGCATCGAATACCGACGGCCTTGCTGAGCAACTTTATGGAACTTGAGAGAGTCACCACAGCAGCTATATCTTCAGTTCTCCTTTAGCCCACCAACTGCTCACGTTTTCCCTTAGCATACGAACTATACACGACTAGTGCTAGCCCTACGCAAAGTGAAATGGAAGCAGCGACCCTCAGACTCAATGCCAAGCACGCAGCCACGCGAAAGATCTAGCTTAGATCATAATTAAATGAAACGTTTCCCTGGGACATGCTCGTGAGGAAGCTTGTTGGTGACACATGACCACTTTGAGGCTGCGGCAGTTGCGTGTCTGCCCCTACTCAGTTCAAAGGGTAAAGGGAGACATAGGCTACGCAGGATACGACCAACGCAAAAGCTCGCGCCAAGAGGCTCCAGCGTCGTCCAAATATATGGACTCAAGACGGACCCTTATCCTCAGCTGCTGAGCAATAGTCGCCGATCTGCTGCATCCCGCAAGGCGTCCTGAGGAACCACAGACAAGATGCAAGGTGCATAGGCATACCCAGGCCAACAGTTGTTGGTGTTTTCAAGTGTCATGCCCATCAGAAGGCCAAAAAGGACATCTTTAATGAGGCCAAGGAGCTCATAAGGGGTGCTACAAGCAACAGAAGAACTGGTTTGGTGCCTAAGCTGCAGGCTGCTGGACGCTCGGCTGCTCTGGCAGCAGCATAGCACGATACCCCAGCACCACTTTGCATGCGTTCAGTCCTATAGCAGTCTAGGCTGGGATGAAGGCCCTTTTGGACTCATACGCGGGGGCGTTAAATTAGGATGCAGCTTCGAGATCCCGCAGGCAACGCACGCTGAACTCGTCAATTTTCAGGGGGAAACGAAAACGCGCGCGTGCAGTCGCAGGATCTAAGAAACTTGAACACGTGGCACCGTACCAGACAGAGCCGCCCTACCTTCATGCATTCTGCCGCCGCAAAGCATCCCCTCAAGCACATTTCAAACATCTGAAGGCAACAGACAACGCGTAAGGCACGTGAATCTATAGCTGATCAGTCACATGGGTGCAATTGTTGCAACACAAGTAGCACAAACAAACGAGCAGCTGCTGTCGTGGGGACTCTTCGGCGTCTCTGGCGTGCACCCCGCAGTCTAGCTCCTAATAGCCTACTTTGTCGAACGTTTCCTTGTCGACTTTTCCGCTGAGTTGCAGCGCCACAATCTGCAGACAGCAGTCAACCAGCGAGGCAGTGCAGGAGGCGACATATATTGACACAGCACGGCTGTCGGACTACACTAAGGGGCGTCATGAGGGCCATGCGATGATTATTTTTTGTATGAGTGAAAACGGGCCCCAAATAAGACGTCGGCTCCATAAGAAAGGTCGCGTAAGACGGAGAAGGCGCAAAAGCTCTGGAAATGCAGGAGGGGCACACACGACACGCATGCAGCTGTTGTGACAGCCTCAAACGCACACTGTTTGTTTGCGCAGTGACGCCCAAGGTGAGGCTGGGTCCCCCTGTGCGTGCCTCATCGTTTGTTGGATCTAGCAACAACACGGGCTGGTGCTGCTGCTGTTGCTGCTGATGCTGCGGCTGGTGCTGCGGCAAGAGCAGTACTGTGCAGGCAGGCAACAAGTCCCGCATGGCAACGCCTGCAGCACCGAAAACAAAAGACATTATAGAGGAGCTCTTGAGGAAGTTGCACATGGCAAACAGAGCCGCAATCCTGGAGCGCTAGCGCGGTGGTTAGGACGACACAGCAAGGCACAGAAGACGCTGCGTTCCGAAGGCACCTGCAGCGAGCGCAAAGGAGGGCTTTCTACAAAAGGAGCATCACAAATAATGGCAGCACTAATAAGGGAATGAGGAGGTCGGGGAGAGCAACAGCCGGGCAACCTGCAGTGTACCCGCATCTGCCAGCGCCAGAGAGGCGGCGATAAGTGAAGCTGAGAGAATGCCTGTCAAATCAAAACAAACAAAAATTGCAGCAACAACAACTTGAGAAGCTTTGAAGCAGCTCGTGGGAGAGAACACTTTGCCAGACAGAAGCAGAGATAAGGCGATACAAAGAACAAACGAATGCGCAGTTGGTGGGGGCAATGGAGAATTGTGCATATGTTCTGTTTTGGACCCTCCCTCTGAGTACAAATCTCCGCCTTACTTCCGTCGTCTGCGAGGACTAGGATAGAGATAGTGATTTTAGTTTGGGTGTAGAGACGCCTCAGGATGATGCCCTCCGCTGCTGCCCGGACGGCTGCAGCAACTTCTGCCGTGTCTGGGGTGTACATGCACCTCAGCCTGATGCAGCTGTCGACAAACCCTACAGAACAAACCACTGAAAGGGGGGCATTAAGATCCCCCCTTGCCTGCCCCTGCCTCCCCTCCTGTAGCATTTGGAGCGCTAGTGTCGTGGTATCACTGCTGCTGACGCTCCAGCTGCTGCTGCTGCTAATACTACTACCACTGTTGCTGCTGCTGCTGGCCGGCTGCGGTCCATAGACAAGGGCCATAACTTTAGTACAGCCAAGAGACACGACAGCGCGTCCGTCACAGCTCGTGAGACACCCTGAACCCCCCACAGTTGCAAGGACTGCGCCTTCGGGAGAAGCAGCAGCAGCGGCAGCAGCAAGCGGAGTCGTTGCTGCCAGAGGGACAGAAGTACGGCAGCGCAGCTGGCGACACTCGTGCACCAGACGGCCGTCGGCTCGAAAGCCACAGGGGTTGACGGCCTCTGCTTTGTACATCTCCGACTTCCGACAGACCAAAAAAGGAGCGGAGGAGCCGGTAGTGTAAAGACAGCTCCAGATGAAGATTCAAGGAGCAGGGGAGAAGAGCAAGACTGCTTGTTTTACCTCTCGTGCCAAATGTCGGGCAGGCGTAGTGTGACACAGCTCAAACTCACAGGAAATCTCCAGATAATGTCTCCCTCTTGCTCAACAAAGAGCGAAAAAATATTGAGCACAGAAGTCAGAGACCTGCTTCACGAATTCAAGAGTGCACGCGCAAAGCTGACGGGCTTAACATTGCTGTTTAGACGCTATAATCCCCCTATTGACGAAATTGCTAGGGTGCCGCTCAACCGGGGCAGGAGGAGAATTGGCTCTGGGAACGACTTTTGTGTCTGACTGTGACGGGCAGTAACCATGACAACACAAGAATGCATTTAGTAGAGATACAGTTGGCTAGCAGAGGAAAAGGGTTTTTAAAATATGAAGAGAAAGGACACTGAAGTCGGGATTCAGTGCGGATCTCATGCTATCGATACTCAGCAGCAAATGGCGGCAGTTGTTCTCCTGTACCCCCCGGATATTACGCCAAACAATCTAATTATTCAATTCAGGCTGTAGGAACGAGCAAATAGCGCTCTCGATGTTTTAAGGAATATGATATAGGGCTGTTCATCCACCATGTAGTAATACATGCAGACTGCTCATGCATGCAGCAGGCCCCTAGGCTCCCTCCTAATTCGCATCAAATTTTCGTGTAGATCCTTTCTATTGTTTTGTTTCTCCATTCCCATCCATTCCGATCTTCAGTAAAGGGCATACTCTCCGCCTTTGTTCCACACTCGCTGCATGCGCCCCTCCGCGCGTTGCGGCTCTTGATAATCCCATCCTGCAGCCCCTTCTTGGCAGCACCACATCCTCGTAACTGTGTGCTTGCATGTATATATCTCCTTCAAAGGTTTTGGCCTGTGTCGTGATAGGTACGCGGTGCTAGCGAAGGAAGGATACTGCTGCGCCCGGGTTAATTTGCGATTTTGCTCCCTTCCCTCCCTCGTTTTAAATCGTTATTCAGACATCTCCTTCACTTTCGCTGATCCCTGCGCTCTCTACCAGTCCAGGACAAGTCCTCATAAAATGCGGGTTTGAGAGGCTCCCTGGCAGCAGGAGTAGCAGCGAAGACCACTGTTGGGTTAGGGGCAGCGTGAGCGGCTTTCGCACGCTTTGGAGCCGCTGCAGCTTCAGCTGCAGCGGGGTGGCAGCAGAAAGATGGAGGGCTACTCGAGTCAAGGAATTGCGGAGTACGGCCTAGGTATGGGCGAGGCCTCCCCAACAGGCCTTGCAGACGACAGCGATGTGCTGCAACCAGGGAGTCGGCTCCCGCAGGAGGAAGAAGACGCTCAGCAGCAGGAAATCGACTCAGAAGACACCTGGGCAGTAGTGGGATCTTTTTTCGAGGGCAAGGGGCTTGTCTCACAGCAAGTAGAGAGCTTCAATGACTTTGCAAGCTACAAGCTTCAGGAGATCATCGATGCTCATCCCCCCATCGAAATCAGGTGATGCAGATATTCTCGTGTATCTCTCTTCTTGTGTTGTATGTCTGACTAGCCTCTACTGTCTTCTTTTGGCGCCTCTATGTAGCCGCCTTTTTGTTTGATGGGATTTTCGTCATGTCGGTGGCCGCCGCTCGGCAGTCTTATTGCGACTACTGCATTTTGCGTGCAATCGGCTTTGCAGCCCTGTCATTTGATGGACTGTATGTGTTGTATACCTGTGCATGTCGATCGGTCGAAAGGCGCAGTATATTTCGCAGGCCGGCGTCTGGGTGCTCCAAGCCGGAGGCACCTGCATGATGACGGCCTGTGGGGGAGCACTGGGGTGAGGCCAGAGTATCCGCTGCAGGTTCCCATGAAAGCAGATATATTATATCTTCAGCTTACCCCTGCATTGCGGAGCTCTCTGTGTATGCCGCGGGCTAGGGGCTGCCAGTCGAATATTATTTCGGTGTCTGTACACCCGGCAAGCACGCTTGCGCATCGTCCCGTAATGGGGCTCGGCATGCGTTTGACGCCTCTTGGTGGTCGTGCGCCTGATGTAATGAGCTGTGCGTCGGGTTTTTCTTCATGCATGCATGCGTGTTATTGCTGTCGCCATCACCACGGTCTCCCGTCCTTGGGCTTGCTTCTGCTACAGGCCCTCTCCACAGTATCGGCCGGAGGAAGATGTTGAACTGGACGTTCGATATCGTCTGAAGTTTGGCCAGCTTTCGCTGAACCGCCCAGCAGCGCAGGAGAAGGAAGGCTTGCAGAAGAATCTGTGGCCGCAGGAGTCCAGGACTCGCAATCTTACGTACAGCAGTTCCCTCTTTGTTTCTATTGATCAAACGACGTACAAGATCGACCCAATCACCAATGAGGAGGTAAGCGAAGGAGCTTTTTCGTCTATCGACGTAGTGGGGGTGTTCATATTGCTTCGGGGTTGAACGCTTGCCGGCTTGCTACGGATACAAAAGATTCTCCGCACGCGAAAAGTCCGAGGGAGGCTGTGGCCAGCGTAGCGGGAGAAGGCCTTCTTTTGCTGGCCGCTTCCAGTGAACTGTTTTTTGACTTTTTTTAACGCTTTTGCCCTTGGGGCGCTTTACCTTCTTCCCACGTATGCCCTCTCCCCGCCGTATATTGGGTCGGGCTTCTGTAAGTGGCTTCTCAGATGGAGTCACGATGCCCTTCATCTCTGTGGCTCTGCGGCCACGCATGCCTTTCCTCCCTTTTGGGGCGAATTTGTCTGCGTCTTTGCGTTGTAGATCGTAGAGGAGCGTCACTCGTATGAGCGCGTCTGCTTGGGCCGGTTGCCCATCATGCTCAAGTCCTTTTATTGCTGGACGCATGACATCGCGGCCGAGCAGCTGCCGGATGTCGGAGAGTGCAGCTACGATCAGGGGGGCTACTTTATTATCAACGGCAGTGAAAAGGTCAGTCAGTCAGTCTGTCAGTCTGAGGGAGCAGAGGGGGAGCGGGGAGTGTGCAGGTGGCGGGCAGATGGAGCCAGAAGGCGAGATTTGTACTTTGCGAAGGAAGGACTTTGGCAGGCTTTTTACGCGCGACTCGTGCGTGGCTGCGCGTGTTCGAAATGAAAGTGGGAGAAGAGGGAGGGGGGTCGGTTGGGTTTGGGTTGCATGTTTTTTCCATCTTTTTGAGAATGGCGTTTGACGTTTGTGGTCTGTGGGAGCGGCTTTCGGGGGTGTTTAGAGCTCCAAGCAGCGTGCTTGAGTGCGTGTCCTTGATGCATGCGCAGGTCCTGGTGGCGCAGGAGCGCATGGCTTCGAACTTCGTCTACGTTTTCAAGAAGGCGCAGCCTTCGAAATTCTCGTGGGTAGCTGAGGTGAGGCTAAATTGGGGAGAAGAAGGCGTTTTGCCTTGGGGTTGTCTGTGGGGAAGAGGCTTGTAGACGACGTCACCACGCAAACAGCGAGGGCCGTCTGGCCGCACGAACTGCAGTACAGCCGCCGCCGTATGAGGTGTGACGCGCGTCTCTCCTCCATTGGGGTGCACGATCAGAGAACTTACATGATGGCACACTTTTAGGGAGGGCTGTTGCGCTTAACAGGTCCGAAGTCAGATGCAGGGCAACCAGGCAACAAGCGGGTTCGCAGTGAAGAAGCGGACCATGACGGGCGATACTGGGAGGGGGAAAGGATCGGGGCAGCTTGTCGCAGCCCTTCCATACATTCGGACCGACATTCCTATTGCCATTCTCTTCCGGGCACTTGGGTAGGGATAGCAGACCTCATTCTAGCCTGCGGCATAAGAAAACGGCTTTTTTCCCTAGAGAGCAGATCTTTAAGATATATATATATATATTCGCGCACCTTTTAGAGCGTAGTCACGTGCATTTTGTACGCTTTGGCCGCAGAAGGGGAGAAGGAAAGAAGGCCCCTGCTTCGGGCACGCGGCTCAAGTTGTGTGTTTGACTGTTTGTGTGGCTTGGTGCGGTGGGTTTGTGGGTGGTGCAGCTGCGTGAGCGACTTGGATATTCTTTTGCGGGTTGCCTACGATACGCGGGACGAGCAGCTATGTGCGCTCTTGAAGCCTTCGTTAGAAGAGGGTTTCGAGTTTCATACGCAGGAGGCGTGCCTGGATTTTATTGGCAAGAGGGGGCCAACGGTAGGGGCTCAGCGGGAGAGTCGCCTGCAGTACGCTCGCGAGCTGCTGCGAAAGGAAGTGCTGCCGCACGTGGGTACTGAGCCAGGGTGCGAAGGTAAAAAGGCGTATTTTGTAGGCTACATGGTACATCGGCTGCTGCTGGCAGAGCTTGGGAGGATCAACCAAGACGATAGGGATCACTTTGGGAAAAAGCGGCTAGACCTCAGCGGCCCGCTGATGGCTGCATCTTTCGGAACTCTTTTTAGAAAGCTTGTGAAGGATGTCACGCGGATTTTGCAAAGGCAGATCGACCACGGAAAGACATTTGACGTCGCCGGCGCCGTGCGGAGCGCCAGCCCTATTACACAGGGGCTGCAGTATCAGCTGGCCACGGGCAACTGGGGGCGTGATCGCGAGGGAAAAGTCGTGCGGACGGGAGTATCGCAGGTTCTGAACAGGCTGACATTTTCCTCGGCTCTTTCACACCTAAGGCGGCTCAACACACCCCTGGGCAGAGAAGGCAAAATGGCGAAGCCCAGGCAACTCCACAACACCCACTGGGGTATGATCTGCCCTGCCGAGACACCCGAGGGTCAAGCTGTTGGACTCGTGAAAAACCTGGCACTCATGGCAAAGATTTCCGTCGGCGCGCCAACCAAGGCGATCCGCGAATTCTTAGAAGTGAGCATACACTGGTCAGCATGCCTGTGAAGAGGGCATGCAGATCATCACGCCAAGCCGCGAATTTGCGACGCCACAGATCATGGTTGTTGCTGCACACCCTTCGGTAGTCCCCGCACACGCTTTGTTGCCACCTTTCAAGCATACACCCCACAACCGAATGCTGCCAGTGCAGTGATGAGTCCATTCGAGCACAGCGCCTTTGGCAGGCGGTGCTGTTCTTCAATCTGCTATCGGTCTCTTCTTCAATCTGCTATCGGTCTCTATGAACGCCCGTGTACCGTCATGCGGTAATACCAAGGGTTCTGGCTTCGATCTACCAAAACGTTCGCCTTCCGCCTCTTCTGTGTTGCCGCCAATGTCGCAGGACTGGGGTCTAGACGGGCTAGACGAGATTTCGCCTGAAAGTATCAAGGACCGCTGCAAAGTATTTATCAATGGAGACTGGGCAGGCTGCTTCGATGAGGCAGAGACACTCTGCCACACGCTCAAGGAGATCCGCAGGAAGGGCCATATCCGCAACGACACGTCAATCGTCAGAGACATCATTAACCGGGTTAGACGCACACTGCGGACCGTGAAATCGGGACGTATCGTCATGTAATTGAGTGGGATGTGCAAGCCACAGTAGTTTGATGGGCTGGATAAGGCTGCTGTGGCGTTGGGCATGATGCTACGGTTGCCCAAGTACTGCGCCCCTCTCTAGCCAGTAGCTGTACGAGCCTCGACTCCTGCCCTGCAGAATAGCTGCTTGTTTCGCGTTTTCATGGCGTATTGGATTCCTGCATTGGGCTATTGGCATGTATTTCTTTTCAGGAAGTCAAAATTTTCACGGATGCTGGAAGAGCCATGAGGCCTCTTTATGTCGTCGACAGCGTAAGCCGCACTCCACGCAAGGCCTTTTGCGTGTTTGTAGCAAAATAGGGAATTCGCGTTGAAAGCAAGGGTTTTGCATCTTCGGAAGGCGCTATTTGGTGCATTGCGGAGCGGAGGTTGTAATGTGCACCACCAAGTCTGATTCCTTCAAGAATTGTTTACCAATCTCATGTCTATTTTCCTGGAGGCGCATTAACAGTTCATCATCTACGGGGCTGTTCGCGTGGGTGCTGCTTTTCAGGACACTGGCCAGCTGCGAATTCGAAAGTCAGATGTGAACAAAGTGCGGGATATGGCTGGCGTTGCGGAGAGGGGCGCTGGCTGGAACTATCTGATGGCCAGCGGAGTGATTGAGTACATCGACTGTGAAGAAGAGGAAACGTCGATGGTAGCCATGTTTCATAAGGACTTAGTAGAGAGGGGAAAGTAAGTGGGGCAATGGAGCAGAGGACATACCCTCACGTTTGTCGCCTGCCGTCTGGGTGGAGGGAGAGAAAGAGAGATATCTAGGTCTGTGATAGGCCCAATTGGAGCCCATGTCTTTTGTTCTGTGCTTGGTATTGCTGCCAGTTTAGGGTATGACACTTGTTGGCATAAGTATTTGCGCGCGCTGCTTCTTGCATATCCATACGCCATGTTGCTTGACCAGCGGTAGAACGCACCGAGCTGAAGATGGTACCACCCATTTGATGCGAATCTGCAAACGCGCTTTGTTGAGAACCAGGATACTTAAGTGTCATAGCTCTCTACATCTCTCTTTCCTGCATTGGTATCTCTGCCCGTGTTTACCTCAGGTCTGTTCCGTACACGCATTGCGAAATCCACCCCTCATTAATCCTTGGAGTTTGTGCTTCTATCATCCCGTTTCCCGACCACAATCAGTCGCCGCGAAATGTGTATCAGAGCGCCATGGGGAAACAAGCCATGGGCGTGTATACAACAAATTTCAATCTTCGCCTTGACACCTTGGCGCACTTGCTATATTACCCCCAGAAGCCGCTCGTCTGCACGCGTGCAATGGAACACTTAAAGTTCAGGGAACTCCCAGCGGGCATCAATACCATCGTTGCAATTCTCTGCTACTCGGGGTACAACCAGGAAGACTCCCTTATCATGAATCGCAGCAGCATTGACAGAGGCATCTTCCGCAGCCTTTTCTGCCGTACTTACTGTGCCGAAGAGAAACAGCAGGGATCTCTCGTGGTGGAGGGATTTGAACAGCCAAATCCAGAAACTACCTCGGGCATGAAGCGTGGAGACTACTCCAAACTTGACACGGATGGCCTTGTCGAACCAGGATCTAGGGTTTTAGGTGACGATGTCATAATCGGGAAAGTAAGCTCTTATGTTTCTGCCTTCACTAACAAGACTAATGAGCAAATAGAAGGAACCACCTCAGGAGATATCAAAAGACATGCTTCTTAGGAGGGGGGGAAACCGGGCTTGCTGTGCGCCTAACATGTGGCAATGCAGCTTCCTACATAGTAGTATTTCTTCCGTCCTAGTTATTTCAGCAATTTTCTTCGTTGCTCAAGACAATGATTATTTCCGTGAAACCCGTAGTCATTAACGTCTCTTAGAGTTGCGAGCATTTGTGGGGCGGCTCTTATTGTGGGTGTTTGTCATCTATGTGGCGTCGACTCGTTAATTTACCTTCATCTATGGATTTTATGACCACTATCGCTAGTTGCATTTCTTTTCAAAGCCCAGTCTTCATTCCTATCACAATTCCATCGCCTTCTCTGTTGTTCCTTTCTGTGGGCGTCGCTTTCTGTTTTCCAGTGCATGGATTTTCTGTGTCCTTTTGTCTCAGACATCCCCCAATTTCGACGATCTAGACCCTTTGGCACCGCCTGGAGCGGAGGCCCTCCTGTCGAAAACCAAAAAGGACTGCTCTCTTTGCTTAAGGTCTTCGGAAAGCGGTCCGTCCTCATTAGCTTCATTCGAAAGCTACCATCCGGCATTGCATCTTCCTAATGTAGAGTGGCTTTTCCCCTGTTGTCTACGCTATTCTCTGCACACCCTTAGGCCTTCGTTTATACAGGTGTATCTTTTGATCCGTTTGAATAATCTTCCATACCTTTCCCCTTGCGCCGATGCCTGTTCTGGTCATCCTCCTCGCATTTTTCCTCTATTGAAGTTCATGTGTGTCCTTCGTCTGCAAGCCTTTCGACGTCTTTGCAATGAGTTTCTTTGTTATTTTTGTTTGCTCACATTTCTAGTGTACTCTTTGTGCAAAATGTATGGATTCTGCGTGTGGAATCGATGATACGGCGTGGGCGTGCCAGTGTGCGTGTCAGTCCACATATGATTCGTTTACGCGGTATTCCCTTGTGTGCCATAATAGGTGTGGTCGACACTGTCATGCTGAGCGTCAACTCCAAGGGTTCGCGCTTCGTAAAGGTGAAAGTGAGAAGCGTCCGCATCCCGCAGACAGGCGACAAATTTGCGAGTCGCCACGGACAGAAAGGCACCATCGGTATCGCGTACAGGCAAGAAGATATGCCGTTTACAGAGGTGCGTTCCGTTGGCTTCCTACTGGGCTCAAATTCCTTATTCCGTTCATTGCACCTCGTTGCCCTTATTCCCGGTGTTTTGTCTTCTTAAACCACAAAAGAAGCACCTACAGAAGGCAGCGGCGACCTGTGCTTGGCATGGCACCCTGCGCACAACCGTGGTTTGGCCCTCCTTGCCCTCTTGTGTGTTTAATGGAGATTTTGACTTGTCGGCGCAATTTGGGGCTCTGCAGGACGGCGTTGTTCCCGATTTGCTCATGAACCCCCACGCCGTTCCCTCCCGCATGACTATTGGTCACCTTGTCGAGTGCCTGTTGGGGAAAACGGCGGCAATTATCGGGGGGGAGGGGGATGCCACGCCTTTCAACGATGTAAGCGGTAGCACTGAGGCGATTCGTGCTGTTCGTGTGAATAAAACTCCTAGGGAGGAAAGGCAGGGGAAAAGGCTAGGGCACTACTTTGTATTGGGGCTGCATGCATAATTTGTTGGGGGTAATTTTTGGAAGTGATGAAGTCCGTATAAACATACTAAAACATAGTTTGGCCGGTCACACGGTGGATGCCCATGGTGTATCCAACGATGTTGTGTTTTACATTATTAGAGAACACTTTATCAGGCTGTGTATATATTTTATGAGGAAATGTAGCATAATTTTTAATAGTATCACACACTCACTTTTGTGTTTGGGATTTCATGTTCTTCCTCTCGCGCTTGCCCCTGCCAAATGTTCAATTTGCACCCTCCCCACCTTTTTGAGCTTCTAAATTTACATGTGCCTGGAGCTTGATAACGTAGCAATTGTAGTACATCACGTAATTCTCGAGTTGTTCTTATTCTTACGGACTTCTATGTTTGCTGCAGTACACCGTCACATGGATTGCTGGCGAGTTGCACCGCCTGGGTTTCGAGCGCCACGGGAATGAGCGACTATACCACGGTCACACGGGCCTTCATATGCCCTCCTTAGTATTCATTGGACCGACATATTACCAGAGACTGAAGCACATGGTGGATGATAAAATACACGCAAGGGCACGGGGACCCGTGGCAGCACTGACACGGCAGCCCATGGAAGGAAAAAGCAGAGAGGGTGGCCTCCGATTTGGCGAAATGGAGCGCGACTGCATGATATCCCACGGCGCGGCGCGAATGTTGAAGGAGAGGCTCTTTGATCAAAGCGATGCGTACAGAATCCACTGCTGCGATGTATGCGGCACAATGTGCGTTGCAGACCTGCAGCGGCTTGCCTTTGAGTGCAAGCTCTGCGGGAACAGCAACAAAATATCTCAAGTGTACATCCCGTACGCTTGCAAGCTCCTCTTGCAGGAGCTCATCGCTATGTGCATATACCCCAAACTGGTTTTGCAGGTGGCGTGAGAGCAACGGACAGAATACGCCATCATTTTTACCTGTCCCCCAGATGTGATAGAATGCCGTGATTTTCTAGATCTATGCGTATTCCTTATTATCAATCTCTGCATATACCTAATGTAGGGCTATGGCACCCATAGATATAGGTGTACGCTTGTCTAATTAATTTGTATTAATATCACTCATGTGCCCTGGTACCTGACGGCGTACGAAATTGAGCTACAGCACAGTGGCAGGCCCGGAGTGGCATCGTTGCTACAAAAATGGAGAGCCCGACTAAGAGAACCTATATTGTTTTATAAGAGTATAAGTAGCACCCGGAGTGCCTTTACAAGATTTGTACAATTGCATTTAGGCATTAGGGGAGAACATACTGTGCGCAAAGGTACATCTACCTGACGGAACTCCCCGTCTTCTAAGAGGAAGCGCCTGATCAAGATGTTGCTAACCAGACGGTGAAGCTTGAGCAGCATGATGCACTTTCTGACCCAACTCTCGACATACGAATTCTTTTTCGGCTGCAGTTACAACATGCCTTAGTGACGACATTGGCAGTCGTTGCGCATGGAGCAAGGTGACAGTACGGCTTATGGCTAAGCGATGGTAAAGTGGAGAGGAGATGAAAAACAAGATAGCGTGCAGGTAAAGGTGAAAGAAGGCACAGAGGATCCCTCTGCTACAGGCCCACAAGTGCCGGCCATACAAAGTCAATAGCAGCATTTATTTCTTCGGGGCTTTTGCACCCTAAAACGAGAATCTTCCCCGTTCTAAAAATAAGGCAGGTTGGACCTTTCGCCCGTGCTGCCCGCCTACCCCTTAACTCCCTGCCCTCGCCTTCTGCGTCGAAAGCAAACAACTCGCCAGCTGCGGAAAGAGCACACAAAGTGAGAGGCAAAGAAGTCCGTCAGTCAAGCACATTAGAGCGCCGGCCTGATGGCAAAGGCTGTCGCCCTTCCAGATGAGAACAGAGAAAGTGAATCCAGCAATAAACCCAACGGAATACTCAAGCAGAACAGCAGGTAGTATAAGTATAGCCCACACAGGGTCGATGCTCTAGCTCTCACCGAGATCCTCCGCCGCATCATTCCCATTTCCACTACTTTTCTGAGATGCTGAATAACCTTGAACATTTGGGATTCTCACGGCCACACCGTCCCGTGTGTCTATTGCCAGCGCCCTGAGCTGCGGATGGTCTAGAATGGCTCTGACATTAGGCCGATAGGAACCACCCAAGTCCACACGGCACACAAGTTGTAGGACTGTAGCGGAGTGAGGGTTGAACTCTACCTCCTGCCGGCAGAGGTATTTAGCCTGTAGCTCATGTTCAGACCCTTGTAAGCACTCCGTCTGGGCAGAAACAGACAGATAGTGAATGAAAATTCAAGGCGGCTGTGGTTGTTGCGGTATGGTTGTAAACAAAAACTATTAAGGTTATATATACGAAACACCCCATATAAAAGATTGAGGACCAGTCAGCAATTACCCCCTTCTCGACTTTCTTCCCTCTCTTTCTGCCGATGTCGCGGTTGTTCGATCTCCTTACGTGTTTTGTGGGCTTCCACCAAATTCTATATTTTACTTTGTACGCCACTCTAAAGGCCTGCCACAGAGCTTGCTCTTTCGTGATTCCCCCCATGATAAAGAGTATTCCAGTGGGAGAGAGAAGTGCCGTACAAGCTGGGCGCTGCATCCTGAACACCACGGGTTGGGACGGGCAAGCCCCTAATTCGGACCTCGGCAGACTCCTCGCAATCAACAGCAACTCAGGGCGAGAGAACCCTCTCGGGCAGATTTTCACGCTGAGCCACAAGTTGGTTATGAAGGCAGAAGGGTTCAGCTGGCCACTGAGAGGCAGGGGAATCGGTTTGGGGGGTAACGCGAGGGCTACAGGCCCTGCTTCCCCGCTGGCAGGCGGTACAGGAACTAGTACGCTCATTTTAAGATAGCTGTATCCATAATTCTGTAAGGCTGTGTTAAAATGAGAGAACGGAGGTGGCAAATGAAGTATTTTCGTGGCGATCCACTGAAATCGTGCGCCGTGCCAACATTGCAGAAGAGGCTGCCATATAGCACATGGACATATTAATTCCGAGAAAAGTGAGTTTTGAGCTCAATATTTTGTGGGGTCGAACTTAGAGGTAGGCGCAAATGGTGGGTAATCGCCGCAGGGTAATTCGCGAGTCGATATCACAGTTGTGCAGTTCGACTGTTGGCACTTTCAAAAAAGACGAGTGGCTTGTAGTGGCCGTCAGATACTGAACGTAAATACAATCAGAGCCCCTAAATACTGTTTTTGTTTAAATTTTTTGCTATTCCCCTGGCAGAGGGGCTACCACAGAGAGAAGCGTAATGGCGCTGGGCCGACTGAGCATTGCCTGGGGCTTTTATGCTGCCCTAAGGTTTGAAGCTTCGCTGTCTTCCTCTATTATCGGACAAAGTACTACTTCAGTCCATATAATTGTATTCCCTTGGCATTTAAGGCACTTGATCAAGAACTTGTAGGCCGGAGATGATACCATGTGTGTGCCTAGCGGTAGCTTCTCGAGGGCCAACCGGCAGATTTATGTGCGGGACATATGCCCGGTCAAAAAGCGGGCTAGCCCACTCAAGAGTGATCAAACCTCGTCCTTCTAATTCTAAGTGAACACTATTAGGCTAGTTCTATTTCCTGCTTAATAGTAAAGCGTCCGTCTATTCTTGTTAGAGGTGTACAATGCTTGAATGTGGGTGTTCATATGGAGAAACTTTTAGCCTTAATTTCTCTAAACCACTTAATATAAAGCTAAGTAACGTCTTCATAAAAGAGCCTACATCTCCTGGTGTTGCTTAGGATACCGCCTAGGGCGAGAGAACCACCAACAGGACTGTCTGCTGCACCCTCATAATTCCAACCTACATGGTGATTTGCACATAGCAGCGATTGAGCACGGGCAAACACCACTGATTCTCGTCGATTATGCCTAGCACCACTCTGTAATAAATAGTACTTTCAAACAGCCAAAGTCAAATAGTCCATTTTGTACTACATTTTAAAGTAGTAGTGGAAAGCGCTCAAGTAGAGTTTTGGCCCTCTGCAAGAAGAGCATCAGACGACAAATCATTTACTGCATTTCTGCAGTAGAATATTCAAGTTAACATGACACTTCTTTCCTTCTTCCTGCCCTTCTGTCAGTTCCTGGGTTGCAGCTCCCGTCCGAATAACCGTCAGAATCTCGTGCTCCTAAAAGCAGTATCAATACGGACACCAGCATTGGGCACACACAGTAATCGCGCGGCAACCTAAGCATGAGCAAGGTATTGGTGTTGGGGGGGTTTGCGTCTACGAACCGGTTGCATTCCAATCTAGCCTATGTCATAGCTAATTTGTTCTCAGATCTATTGCTAAATTTTGTTTTGAGATACTGATCAAGTCGCTCCACTAAATATATCCAAGGGCCTTGTAGGCAATACTGCGTACAGTGAGCAGGCCAGAAAGCTTTTCTTTTAGAAAGTCAACGTCAATAAGGTCCCCTGACTCAGCCTGCAGCAGCGATGGAAGCGCAAATTCCACGAGCGCATTCTTCTGTGCCACAAATAGCTCAGCAGTGTGTAGTGCCACTATTGTGTCTTGGAACTGCAGTAAGAAGCAGAAGAGGGCAATGTGCATGAAGCATTTCTGGTTGAAGATCAGATTATTGCGGCAAGCTGCTAAATCGTCAGGTGTATTTCTAGGCCTGGAATTCGATGTCCAAAGACCAGTAATGTTTCGAATATATGCTTGGCTAGCCGCCAACAAGATTTTTTGATTCAAGGAAAAGGAAATCAAGCGGATGAGCTGGATTAAAAAGAAGGAAACACACACTCGCCTTTATTTTGTTCAGTTGTTCTGCTGCTTTGGCGCATACTTCGCGCGCATTCGCAAACGGGTATCTTTCAGCATGCCTCTCCATGCTCTGAGTATTATACGCAAAGGGAGTGCAGCGCATCTAACTGCCGAGAGCACTTGGATTATGACCTAATGTACATACGTTCTTATTCCTATTTGCGCTACTCGATGTTACCCAGTCGAGCTGATCGTGAGCCCTTAAACATCTATGGAGAGAGGGCATCAAGGCTGGCTACTGTGAAGTATGCATCCAGAGTTATCAGGCGCCAGAGTTCACTTCGCTTGAGGCCTTGCGCTGAATATTGCAATCTGTAGGTGGCCGGCTGTGTTCATTACCTGTAGTGTACGCTCATCGGCCTCAGTAATCCTGAACTTGTACCCATTAAGAATGACTTCAGCCCCCACAAAGAAGTCGCAAGCAGAGCAATTCCTTCCAGTCAAGGGATTTGGAAGAGAATTGGCTTCCAAGAATTTCCCTCCAGCCTGATTTACGGCAACAGCAAAAGAGCGTTTTCTGCTGCTCTTTTAGTAAAAGGCTTCTTTTCACCACTCTCGTGCATGAATTTAAAGCCTTAATATTGGCAACAAGCACATAGACAGCAGTTATCAGCAGTATTCCCCTAGTTTTGGCGCGATGGACCTGCGTTGGGGTTTTACGACTGCAAATGTTTGATTTGGGGATCGGGGAGTGCTGTGAGCGCGTACATGTCCTGAATTGCGTTTTGCGTATTCAAAGACGGTTATTTTGTCAGTTAAATGCCGAATGGATATCCTGAACTCTCTGTCCTTGTCCTCCTCGAAATTGCTCACAAGTATTGCCTGTAAGGCAGCAGCCAGATTCACAGAAAGGAGAGGACTCACACAGATTAAGTGATGCAAGCATGGCAGAACACATTCTTTTGCGGGGGGGCAGACGCAAACTTCAGTCGGTCTGGCTTAATGTCTACGGAAAGTGCAGAAAGAGAGGGATCTACCAGCCATTGTTTACCGCGCTTAGGAGGGTTGGTTAGGTGCGAAAGGCCTAAGAGCGACCAGCGAACAGCTTGCCTTGAAGTTAAGAGTGATGTCGTCTCCAAATAACAGCTCCCGTTCTCTCGGGTGCGGCCGCTTAGGGGTCTACCAGTTCAAGATGCGGGAACCCACGTAAACGCAGAAAAAGGGTGTTCACACTAAGACCAAGTTGTGCATCATCTAGAGGCTTCTCCTCTGCTAGATGTTTTACATACAGGTTTGTGAGCATGTAGAATCAATTGCCTTGACTAGTGCTTTCTTGCATTGTCACTTATTTGGCTATACATATAACAAACTATGCCAGAATTTCACACATGGAAGCAGGCCAGCGAAATATGTGCAGGTAAAAGCTAACATTGCAGAGAAGCCTATTCATCGAAAATTGCTGATAAGTTTGATACTAGTGTTGCGATCAGTGTGAATCAAAATCGATATAGCCAGATGTATCCCAGGCCCTAGTTTCCACCGTGCGTAACCATCTATCAAACCAGGCGTAGCGCAGCTCGTATCCCTTGTTGTCCTCGTTGCAGTGCGTTTCTGCTGGTGTCGTGTTCTGTTTCCTTATTGTCAGGTGAACCTATAAAAACTGTCTCCTTTTTAATCTTGGTCAAACAACCCGACGTTACTATTACTGAAGAGAAGATATGCCGAAGTTGTACTCCTCTTCGCTCAATTACATTTAAACCCGCAATCAGAGCAGACTTACGCCAGCAAGCCCTTAAACTTGTGGGACTCCATCTAGTATGAAAAATTTACTAATGTGCGTTTTCCTTCTTGTGTTTTACAGTGCACAGCGTACTATTCGGAGGCAAGACTGAATTGTGTCTTCGTCTGTTCCAATCCCTAGGGAATGACATGGCCAGTTGATTGGAGGCTCTTCCTGCACTCAGCCTTGAGCCAATAATATCTCCTCCGGTACTCTTTCGCTGCATTTGCAGTGTTCTTCCCATTCTACTGCAATGCTTCTGATGAGTATTATTAGTTTCTAGGCGACCAGACATGCGGCAGAAGTAATCCAGTTAGCAAGATAGCTGTGGAGGCAAGAACCCGCGGTATCTCTTGGTTGTTGCAGGCAGTTCGAATACTAATTTCAAAAGGCAGATAATCATGAAAATCCTTACGAATTTCTCGTCTTCAATTGTTTCTTTGCTTTGCTCAATGCTTAGGAACTCCCGGTAGAACTGGCGGGTGAATTCGTCGCAGTCGTACAAATGAAAGGAGCGCCCATACACCTCAATATTTTTTCCTACAATTAGGTCTTCCGGCCTGAAGACAAGCATAGGCGTTTAGCTACATTCTTTTTTGGGGCTGAGCGAAATGGCACTGTGGTGAACACGGCAGAGCGCACATGGAAAAGGACGACAATTGTCAAAATGACAAACCTACTGACGCAAGCGCGAATATACGAACCACTTAAAACGAAAGCATACTGGGAAAACTGATATCAGCAACGAAATTACGGTTGTCGCCTTTAGGTGCTCTTTGTTGAGCTTATTGTGTTTTTAATTTACTCCGTTCTTACACGTAGCAGTCGCTCCTTCTGTGTTTGTAATCAGACCACGTGGGCTCCTGGAGTGTCTTCGGCAGTCTCCCTCTCCTGCAGAAAGCGTAACCTTTTCAAGCTGATGCCATATATGCGCAACTAGAGCGTGATGGTTGCATTTGAGTCAAAGCGCCAAAGCACAAAGCGGCACTGTAAGTGCCTTCGAAGATGTCACATACTCGTGTACTCCAGCAAATGTAGCACCCACAGGAGACGCTTTCCAATTTGAGCATTGTTCAGGCTGTGGAGGCAAAGGTTAAAATTTTTTATTATGAGGGTTTCCTTGGATAGAAGTAAAGGTCAACTGTAATAGTGTAATGGGGCATAATGCAGGCACCTGAGAAAAGTTGCATATGAAGCGCAGCCGGAGTTCTTGATGGGTTTGACTTTTATTTCCGCCGTATCATCTACACGATAAAGCAGCAACATCTTTCCAAAATTCAAATCCTACACACTAATTTTTCAGCAGAAAATTTTTGCACAGGGTATTCCCGGAGGCTTTAGGCACCCGAATAACACTATGAAAGCGCCCTGCGTTTGGCTGGCCGCCAGTGTTTCACTTTGCAGTGCATTTGGACCGTTTGAAAGCAAAGCCACCATGGCAACGCATATTGAATGAGGAATAAGTAAACAGACCGCTGAGAAAGTAGTGGAGGTCGTAATAGGTCCGGCAGCCGAAGTTTTCTTGGTTATCCCAGTAACAACTAAACACCAGCACGTAACTGCACGTCCAAAAACCAGGGGCACTCTGCGTATTGTTATGAGCCCTCAACGATGCATCTAAAAGCATTTTATAATTGCTGAACGTTTTATCCGTAGCTTTGAATGCTAGCAGAATAAAGCTGGAGAAATTTTGCTGGCGTCTGGAATCTGCGGCAGCCTGCTTTGTAAGTCTCCTGACCGGTCGTTCTGAAGATACTGGAGGAGGCTCTTATTATTGCAGCTGCTTCCAAGAGAGGCCTCTGCAAGTGCACGTGCTGGTTTGATCTTGATTTGGAGTGTGGCAGGACGGCTCGTGGTGTTGCGTCGACTCATGACAGCCGAACGAAAGAATGGGTCATCAGGAAGCAGCTCTGCCTCCCCAACATCATGCCCTTGGCCAAGATCCACACAAACAGAGCTCTACCGCTGTTCTCAATGTATTTGAGTTACAAGGTATAGCTAGTGAAATGATCAAGAGTTCAGAGAGCATGGGAAATGCGGCAGCTATGCATTTGCCCATGTAGTACAGATGTCGTCCCATTCTCAGTTAAAGGCCTTACAACGACCAAGGCTCAGGGCAAAAAGCCAGTACGCCTCTCTGTCACCCAATCGAGCCTTCAAACGTGGGAACTTATCATCTTCAGGTGCGAGTTTACCCCTATAATGGGAAATCTTAGGTCAAGGAGACCCGAGACCGGTTGCTATCTGACAGCACATCACTTTCTAGTGCACGCTGGTTGGGTTATTGGAGCCTTGGAGGGAATTCTCAATTACCTGCGTTGAAGCAAAACCACCTTGTAAATTCGTCACACTCTACGACCCTGAAAACTCTGCCGTATAATTCAAGATCAGCCCCAAGCTGCAGGCGCATAATCCCACACTTTAGGATGCAGCCGTTGGCAGCATACCTGCGAACACTTACTATGAGTGAAAACCGGGTTTTGAAACTATTTACAAACCCTAATGTCCGTAAAGGTAATAAATCCGCTTCCATCTGCCCGCGGCATTTTATGCCTCTTCAAAAAGTATCCCTGGCGCATTGAACCGTTGTCTGTTGTAGCTTCAAAGACGCTTAAAGTTCCATCCGATAGATGAAGGGAAATAATGCAATATCGCCTCCGGCTGTTTTCAGTAGCAGTTCCCGGAAGGGGCTCTTGAAAGAACGCATAGAACCGTAGAGCTTGCCGGTCATGCTTCAGCCAGGCTGGTTCTTGGCTTGGCCTAACAATTTACCACCATAGTATGTTGTCGGAATCAAGTTTGTGAGCCAGTGGAGGTACTTTTTTTGTACAATCAAACACTCTCGCTACCAAAAGGCAGATGTGGATCTGCATTGCGCGATACTAAATAGGCTGAGGTACCGGTAAGATAGCGCTGCGGCTTCTTTTGCCGCTCTCCGCTCGTCATGTGTAAGGTGGGGTGCTTGGCAGTTCCCGTGTTGCGCTTGCTTGAACGAGGCCAATTCCTACACAGAATGGCAAAAAGAAGCGCTTTTTGGCTCGCAGACTGCGCGATAAACGATTCCAGCTCGAATCACGGCTGCGTGATTGTAGGGAGTGAAATGCACGGCAACGCCCCCCAAGGTGGTTCCGTGGATTAATATCTGCGATCAGAAGGGTTAGCAAGAGATACCTCTTCACTGAGCTTAAAAGAGGGAGCTTTCTGTCTGTCTTGCCGCCCCGAAATCGAGAAGGAAAGCGTCTGCTTTTTGAAATGGGTTTCGCGTGCACACTGATCCAGTTGCAGTTGTTGCTGTTTAATGATAAATGGTTCACACAAGGAGAGTTGCTGCTGCCCAGCAAAGACTAGCGGCCTCTGAAGTTCCATTATTTTTGCGTATGCTGTTGATATCTTCTCTAACTCGCTTAAACTGCACCTCGATTGCTGCGCGCCGCGGTAAGGTCACTTCACGAATGCCCCTAAGCATTAGCGGTGTGAACCTCTAAGACTATCACTCCATTGGAAGAGCCTTAAGCTGTCTTTAAAGGTGTATTCCTTGAAGTAGAAGCTGTGATTTCTGTTTCCCGATGGTAGGTTTAGCAAACTTTGGGCCGCAGCAGCTTCATCCCTGGGGGTCCTCGCTGGCCATGGCTCTACGTGGTACATTCTGATACTCTCTACAGTGTTTCTTGAAGGCTTTATTGACTTTGCATGACTGAGAAAGCTGGCGTTTTTGGCTGTAAATCTAAGTCCTAGAGATTACGCTGCGCAGGGCTGCGGCCGACTTCACGGAAGCGCACGAGCCACTCTTGCTGTCGTTTGGCAAATTGCAACCACTGGCATCAACTCAGAGCACTAACTAGCAAAACGAAACTACTCTATCTCTTTGCGCTATCAAACGTACCTGAAACCTAGCGGTGTTTTTCGTCGACTAGCAGTGGCACTCTACTCACGGTACCAGATACTCTCACCTGCACGAGTGCAGGCAAAATTCGGAAAAACTAGCTACAAATTTGGTTTATTTCTTATAAGAGCACTAAGGTCTTTTTCTCATTTAGAAATTCTGAATAGCACAAGTTAGCGAAGTCTCGCGAAGAGCGATCACTGTGCCACAGTTCGTGATTTACCATAGGCCCAACAATGGGTGTACTTGTATCTGTGCAGATACAGGAAAGAAAAAGTGCGAGTAGCCTATAGTCGGCGCAATATGGAAGGCCTGATCTCTGCTTGGGGGTATTCTTTGAGCGTTTTATAACGAGAGGATGTTTAGAGCCTCTAAGGTAATGTGTGCAGTGGTAAGTGTCCAACATCTTGATAAAACGTCCAATGCATGAGGCGCATCCTACGCTTAGGAACATGTGGGACCATGAGCATGCCAGGCTGTATTTGCAAATTTTATGTAGCCGTATCCATCGATGCCTACAGGGTAGTGCAGGGCAGAACAATGTGCTCGCTGCCACACCAATTCGCTGAAAATCCGAAATTCTTTTTGGCGACAAATTTGACCCAGCAGGGTCAAAACATGACTACATATTGTTTGGAATACTTTGTTAAACTACTAAAACTGGGTACCAGTTTCTTCCACCGCAGTCCTGGATGAGTTTGTGCAACAAATGTGTGCTCACAATATCCCACCTTCAATGCAGTGCCCATCTACGACCCCTATTCATTAATTTTATCCACGCCAGCAACAATGAACCTCTCTCAGGCACCAAAAAAGCAAAAGAATTAATTTAATCCCTGTCGTGAGCCGTAAATGTTATCCTGTTCACATGACAAAGGAAATTCTGGTGGGTAGACAGTAGCTTAATATGCAAGTAAAAATTGCACTTGGTGCTAGATCTGGGTGCATAGCTTTTTTCCCGGCTTTACAAGGCCCCCATGGGTGGACTGTGACTCCCCTGTACATCAACTGGTGCGCCGGGTACCGCCTGGATTCTTCTGCGGAAGGGTACTATGATGTTCATTTCCAGACACTTAAGCTTCTGCGCCCTGGGAAATGGTCCCTTCCCTCTCGAAACGCTCTGTGCCACGTTTTTGATGGCAAACCAATGAGTGACACTGGGCATTCGCGGTGGCACGTGGGCCAGCGCAATCAGTAGCCTGTGAGGGATCCATAGTCAAGCGGCCAGAGCAGCTGCTCTCCACTTCTTCCAAAGGGCCAGCTGTTACGCCGATGCAATCGTATTTATGATGAAGTAGGTTTTGGCTGCCGTCTTCCAGATTGGCAATCTGTCTAGTATGCGTGTTCCTCTGTGCTACTGTTTCATCTTGAATACTAGCCACCACGGGCGGCCCGAATTGTTGTTCGAGTAATTTCGCCGCAGAGATCACTTCTTCTTCAGATGCTGTTCGGGAGGATACCAGAATGTTGAAGTGCTGTCGCATCAAACGGGCCACCTCTGCGTCTGTGAATTCATGTTTCGCGTTGTGTTGTGGTTCGGAAATTGGAGGTGGTGTGGGCACAGCGCCCATGGATCGAGGCAAACGACTCCTACTCAACAGATTCTGGAGCACCAAGTGCAGCTTGCAGCCGAAGAAGAGCTTGCGATACCCTCTGTATGATGCTTGATGCTGACTGATCGCCTCAGAGGGCGAAGCACACGGCTGCGACAAATTGTAGGCCAAGTCTAGGCCATAAGACCCATCAAGGGACATGCCACAGTCCCCTACCATCTGAGAGGATACTTTGCTCTGAGGATCTGCCATTTGGTTTTGTAAAAGTTCCATGCGTAGCTCTCGGGGTGGCTATGTCGGCGGGACTGCTTGGGCAATCCGCCACACGGTACGCCGACTAGAACCACCCCTTAAGCCGTTCGCCGCAGATTCCACCTACAGTTGCTCATTTATTTCTCACTTTCGATCGTACTTAAGCCCCGAGAGCTGAAAGCGTGAAGCCAAGCGGGGAAGAGAACAGAGAAGTGCATGGGCAAGAGAGGAGAGCCGAATAGACTTAACTCTGGCAGCACTGACCTTGAGGCCTTGCAAAAGCTTCATACATCGTCTGTCTCATTGCTATTTCGGACATTCTAAAGAAATGATGAATTTGAATGTTTCCTTGACATGAACCATTGCATACAAAAGGGCCGCAGGATGAATCCTTTATTAGTTGGCCATACTTCTGCGACTATTGTACCTTATGCCATGAGGTAAACAGAACAATGTTATTTCAGAATATTTCGAATTCCCCTGAGCACGTTCGACCATTTATTCCCGCCGCTCGATGGGGCCTTCGTGGGGGCCCCATTGACTCAGCACATGCTTGATGCATGAAAATCGCGAAGTGTTGTGAGTTTATGCCAAAAGAACCCACCTTCAATTCTTTTTGGCGCTTTTTGGCCGCTGTAAGGATAAGGAAAAGGCCGTTCCACTACCTGATCGCACTTATTTTCTCTCCATCGAAGGATGTCCAGAGTATGTATTCCGTCTAGCGGTACTTCGTTTTACACAAATAGTACGGCACGCGTCTTTGGGTGTCCATTTGTGATTGAGGCCGGCCCGCGCTCCTGGGAGGCAGCTGCTGCCGCTCAAAGAGGCGAAGAAGACTGCTCCTCCTGCTACTTCGCCGCTCTTCCTAATGATGCCGTCGGCGACTTCAGCCAGGGCAGCAATCTCTAAAGCTGTCGCTGATGCTGTGCCCTGTGGAGCGAGCGTCTGCCAGGGCCTGGTGCAGGCCCAATCCTCTCAGCCCTCATGGGCTTGGTGTAAAACTCTGCCTGCTGGTCTCCCAGCTTCCTCTCCAGCATCTTTCCTCACCAAGGCTGCTGATGCACTACCAGGATCACAGTCCGATGATTCAAGGACACTTTGGCCGAAATCCCGTATCGGTCCTGCCCTCACTAATCGGTTGCACTGGGGTAGCGTGCTACATATCGCGCATTCGACTACGATTGCAGCGAGCAATCAGAAAAACACCGCTCGCCCTCTGGGTCCCAAACACGCCTCTGAACACGAGCACGAAGGGTCACTGGATAATGAGGAGCTCCTAGAGGCCGTGGACGCGGTTAGGAGAAGTGCAGACTCCGGCTCTCTCTATTTACTTGAATCTGTAAGCTGAGAGATATTGCCTAAGTGGAGCGTTACACTGTTCTAGCCAAAACCTTAATTTCTCATAGGATGCGTCCAATCTCAATCTGGTTTGCATGCAGCGACTCTCTAGGGTGCTGCCAGAGCATCCCGATGCTGCCACTATTAGGGAGCTCATAAGGAAGATGGAGCAGCTCAAGCAAGAGAAAGCCCGTGTATGTTTCATGATGATGCAGCAAACAATGCAACCACTGCCCTCTGCATAAGCAATTGCTCTCCCCTGGCCTCCTTGTGGCTTCCGTCAAGCTGGGCATCAAGCACGATTCTCCGCAGTGCGTTGTCGTTTCGCACAGCTCGCCATGTTCCGGCACCAAACTCCCAAGGAAATACGAAGCGAATATTTGCAAATGATGCTGACAGGACTATTCACTGGACTGGCTGCAGCAATCCATCCAATATTCTTCATCGTACGCAAAAAAACTAATGACCCATGTTCCGGCTTTCCTGTCTTACACGCAAGTAAAGCACAACAATGTGAATTGACTGGATACCTACCCTTTTACATCATTCTCCCTGCTACGTGTCTTTTGCGGTGGTCGTCTCAGGGCAGTGTATGCGGTCTCGTTCGAATGCGCCGTTCTAGGGTAGCTGAGGTGGACCGTGATTGTGAGAATGGGCTAAGGGGACAATCACAGATCCTCATAGTGGGCACTTGTAGACTTTACACTCTTTTGATGGCATGTTTGCTGTGTGTGGCGGATCGTGCATGGATTCAGCTGGAACCAAGAAGGTGGAAGAGATTAACCGGGAGATAAAAGAGATACGGGCCGATTTGAATTCCCTTCTCGATGGAATATCTGACATGGTAAGATGCTACTTTTCCTCGAGAATAGCTGTATCGCAGAGCTAGTAGCATTACAATGGCTAGCTTTGAAATCTTTAGCGTACTGTAGCAAACAAATTATCTGTCTCATGCATTGTGTCTGAACTTCCTCGTGTCCTAAGGTGAAGGCAGACCGAAGCTGACGACCATCTGCGTACCACTGAATGCAGATGAGCAAATTCTTCGCTGGCTAAACCCTACTGGACGCCTTAAAGTCTTTTCTGTTGTACAGATACCCATCAGTTGCTGGTATTTTAGCCTGGTGTTGGCCAAGGTTTGTTTCACTTGCACCTTTGCGCATGTGTTAGCGATACAACAGCCAGCGTACCGAAGCCTGTTTTTTGAATGACAAATATTGTGTCAATGAATGATCGCTCAATATCAGTTTAGGCAAAATTATAGTGTGCAAACATTATCTGATTTTTCCATAAAATCGTGTACCGTTGTCCACCGCACTGTGTACATACAGTTTTCCTGAGCTTTTAAGTCACCAAAGCTACGTTAGAATTGTGGTTATGAAAAGTCATTGTCCAACATACTACTAGAGGTTATATGTCTAAGTGATTCTACTGCGAGCAGTGCTTTCTCTTCCCAGTGGAGGCGTTCACTATGCCCGAGAGATTGCCGCCATGTGCAATAGGCAAGCAAACACACCCATCGTAACACACGGTTTCTAATAATTCCCCATTTATATTCACCAGCTTCTTCTGTTAGACATGGTGTGCGTGGGTGCACGAGGCCTTCCACACAGAGCGGTACAAAAGATGCGACGGAAAAGAATGATATCGAACCTCGGAACGACAGTTACGGCAAACAAGGGGAGGATGTGCCTTCCCCGGATGGTCTATGCAGGAAGCAGGATGCCTATCTATGCGGTAGGATGCGTGAGCCAAAAATAAAAAATCGCCACTTGACGGAAGAGCTGTAGACAGCAAAGACATTGCCAACTTTTTGAGCGTTATTGCTGCATTAGTAAGGGAGCTCGAATGCAGCAACGATAATATTCAGCAACATGTTTCTAAGATGCGAGGTGAACTTAACTGCAATGCGTGTCTGCAAAGACATAATACAGCCTAATTTGCTTCAGCACATACGGCTTCACTTGAACGAGCTCTGCGCCTCGAGGACCTGTGGATGCGCAGCTACCCCGTTGAGTGTGTTGTAGCTGTCGGCGTGCTATTGGTACTCGGTTGCCTTTACTCTTCTATGATGTGCTGAGCCACGGATGCACAGAGTCTCTGATTTGACATTGGATCTCCTATGCAATTGATGAGTTCATGAAATTGTGAAGAGTACATCCTGCATTCAGAGCGCGGCCTCTGGACACCCGTTGAGAATGAAACGGGCCAGGCTGCACAAACACTTAATTTTACATTGATTACATGTAAATAAGAATTACTACACAGCTGACTACAGGGTTTCCCCACATCTTGTATAGTACATACTCTAAAGTAGTATCGGCATGATACAAGAAAAAGCAATGTTTTGTGCTTGTTCGGTGGATGCTATGTGCACCTGGCTCTGAATGCGTGGAGTGCTTAGAGCGTGCAGTTACGGTCGTTGTAGCTCTCCCTTTAGCCCCATGTCGGTAACTGTGAGGATTGCTTCCAAGGGAGAGAGGGAGCCTTTTGAGAGGGAATACGCAATAACTTTCTACCACTTTATATTATGTCTCGAGGTAGGGGCCTCCCGACAAATATTTAAAAAAGCGAAGCTTTTCCGAGTTTGTTCCAAAATACTCCGCTTTAACCAAGGCAATTTCCATTTTGCTTATATACTAGAGCGATGCGATTGTCCGTAGTCCTGTTGCATGATCACCCGTCATTAGCAAAACTCAGCACAACTAGGCCCGCCAGTACAGTGTAACACGCTCGATGGCACCACGCTGTGCTGTGGTGACGACCAAAGGTGCAAAAAAAGTCACACAGGGAGTCTCTAAGCTGCTAGAAATTTTAATGGTCAAAGGTGTGGGTAATTCAGCAATTTTACAATTCGCTCGGTAGGCCCCCTCGCAGAAGCGTTATCGCTGCTCCCAACATGATCTAGTGAATATAAAGCTGCTGCCAGAAAAAGGAATATGAGCTGGAATGCCTTTCGAATCGATGTGGTGGTGTGTATTGCCCCTTTGTAATCCATTAAACCCATATGCCAACTCCCATTCCGTGATTTTTATCTTGGGTAGCGGCGAACGAGGAATGAATCGGTAGAAGCTCTTAAATTCAAGATCTCGTCCTTCTATGTTGATAGCAGAATGCAGACCTTGTTGCTTCCTGTCTTCAAAAAACATGTGTTGAGACAAAACAAATTTGTTAGTGTGATGACCATTCCAGCTTCCTCTATGTTGTGGCACTCAGTTCCGGAAAGCGAGAAAATGACAAAGCGTAATCATTAGCTTGTTATTGGTACAGTCGCAGGCTAAACGACATGTACAATGTTTATTTTGTGAATAAAATACATTCGTGAACGGGGGACTGGGACTACATTCATTGCCCACATGTTCCTAGGACCGAGCCGGCATGGGCCTCACTGAGGTCCAATGTCCACGGATGTGGAACGGCATCAATTCGAAGTTTCAAGTGTTTTTTTGGTTTTATAGTGCAATATTTTAGATTAGAGTTGGCAGATGGAAGGACTGATTGAAACAATTCACAAGCTAACCTTGGACTCCGCCTACAAGCCCGTGCCGTGCAGTTTGGACCGTCATTGTTAGAGGCAAAAGTTTCACCTCAAAGCGGACGACAGCGTATTTCTGGAGATGCATAATGTTAGAACGAAGCTAGTTTGATGTAGTCTAATTGCACTTGACTTTCTACTGAGACATTAGACGCAAGGATGTTTAGACCACGGGGTCGTTTATGCATAGAGCGGAACTGAGGCGCCGCTGAGATCATGGATCACGAGGATGTTTCAAAGCTGCGACGCGCAGCGAAACGAAATGCCAATGAGGAGCTTATGGGGGATAGGGTTAGCGACGGAGATGCTGATGAAGAAGGGGTTGTCCAGGAGCCCAAAGGCGTGCAGCTCTTTGACTTTGATGCCTATGGAAGGAAGATCGGAAAGCAGAAGGTCGGGCTCCACCTGGTTCAAAAGATGCATCCCCTTAAAAGGCGCAAACATTTGCTCATAATGTGCTCTCTGGCTTGCTTTAGTGTTCAATTATCCTTCCCTGCAGTCTTGCTGAGTGCTTGGGACGATTCTCGGTCGTTAGGATGCTAGAATTTCCCTATTTAATTTCGTTTGCGATTTCAGTACGAAGCTACCTTTGGAAGCTCCACCGAAAGTAGCAGCAGCGAAAGTACCAGCAGCTCAGACAGCAGCAGCAGCGCGAGCAGCAGCACCAGCGAGAGTTCCGGCAGCTTTGAATTTAACGATGAAGATTTTGCAGAGATTGGCCGCGTATGCCTCCGTTATAAATGCACCTCATTTTAGTTAGACTGAACACATAAGGTCTAGGTCGTATTCGGGTTTCTCTTGGCTCGAGTGTTAATTTGACTCAGATTTTGTCGGCACAGGCTTGCAAACTTTTAGTAGTACAATGCCTCTGGCAGGTTGATCATTGCTTCCCAGTCCACCTCAGCCAATTTCCATAGAAGTAGTGGACCGTTAAGATTCTATTTTTATTTGTATTCAGCTGCGAAGAGACAGAATGCCAAAGGCACTCGACCCAATGGATCGCCGGCGGATGTGGGAATCCTCGTTCTTCATCAACTCCTTTATGAACCTCGAAAATAAGGATCAGTACTTCTTCTACTCTATCACTTTTGGCCATGTCATCAAGTAAGAAAGATTTTGCCGGAATATTTTACTAAATCGTACCATATAGTCTTTCCCAAACCATTCAGGTCTACCACTGCCTATTCCAAAACTTTACAGTTATATCTAAAACAGCTTACAATATACAGAATGTTGGCTTCTAAATCCTTTGAAGTGCGTCTCATTCGTATTCCATGCTTTCAGGAAAAGAGAGATTCGTGGCTCTCTACGGCGCCGCTTCTTGTTTACTCCGGGCTATAGATTAGGTCCAGGAGAGTATCGTTCATTAGCTGCACCCCTAGTGGTTTGGCCCCTGAAGGTCTTTTTGCTGCCTTATAATCAGCTACACAACTTTTGCATTACGGTGGAGCAGTGGAAGATTAGTGACTTCTCTTTCAATAGCCTTTATGCATCAGCCCGTCTTACTCTTAAGGAAATAATAGACTTAGAGCCAGAGTTCCAGCTCCTTTTGAAGCGCAAGCTCCCAGGTCGCAAACGCAGCTACGAAGTTCACAAGATGCGGGTGAGACTAGCCAAAATAGTGTCTTTAGACGCAGTGGTGCAGGGCCATTCTTAAGTGCGTGCATAGACAGAGGATCTGCGTTTTACGAGGTAAAAGGAAGTTTTTGCCGTAAAAGGTGAGGTGATTTCTTCGTATGTTTCTTTTGCTTGTGAGCTTGCTTTCAGGTATCTCTCCAATTAAACGAAGTTTTTGACATTGACATGGTGTTCGACAGCTGGTGGTTTCTTCCGGACAAAACGATGCCTAATAAGCTCAGGATACATCCGAAAACATTGTCACTGAACGTTCCAGTTCAAGGAAGGTGCTACACTACACCAAATTAGAAATATTATCCTGTTTCATAACTATTACGGAAGTGTCCTTTAGGAGACAGCTGCAGTTTCAATCAGCTGACTCTGGAGAGAGCTAGATTACCTGAAACCTATCGATCTCCTGTGGTTTTGGGCTAGCATCTCATTATCAGCTGAAAGGGTTGTGTGCGGCGTGCATAGGTCTCAACGACGTGCGAACACTACAACACGAATTAGCAAGAGCAATTACTGGTCATTTGCTGGATTCTTCTCGTTTCGTGGCACACTGCCCTCCCTTGGTAACCAGTATATCGTAGTATCGGTGAGGCATTGGCGAAAACGATAAAATGAAATGTCCGACCGGTTCCACAGTAGTAGCGGTTTCTCTTTACGACTACAGAAGACGTGATCCTGGTGATAATAGTTCTGTGAAGCAACGCCTATAGTGGCCTGTGCTCAACGAAACTCTTTTCTTTGCGTAGGTTGCTTGCCAATTTGAAAGCCGTTGGCTAAGGCCACCCCTCCAGTTGGGGGTCTGCATTCTGTCGTTAAAGTCTGTCACAACATATCCCCTTTTCAGGTATGCTACCTGCACGCTGTTCTACCTCAAGCCGTGAATGCTAGGCTCCATGGATATATCCTTGTTTACTACTCACTCGGTTCATGCCACGTAGCACGTTTGAGTTGCTGCTTTGGCGACTCACAAAGAGGATTTCAGAGGTCTGCGTGAAAGACCGCTTGGAACGATTTGTTTCTGCTGCGCACAGAGGGGTCGTCAAGAAGCTTACAACAAACCCACGGAAGTTTCAGCAGGGCGAGATTATCGGCAATATTCGGTGCTTCATTCGTTCAGTGGGAATTTTGGGGCACGAAGATGTGCCTTTCCGACCCATGCAGACAGTTTCAGGCACCGCGTTGGTGACGCAACTCAACTTAAAAGAGCAATACCTTGTAGTGAGGTGAGCACTTCAGCTTCTAGCTTGTGCCTGATGACTCAGTATGCACTGAGCTCGAGCAAGAATGGCTGCACGGCATTCAGGTCCGCTTGATGCTTGTTTTTGTGCACTACTTTAGAGTTTTCAAATGCGACAATCTCCCAGTCGCAAACGCTGACTCTTTCAGCTCCAACCCAATGGTCAAGGTACGCAGGTATTTTTCTAGTAGTGCGATTTGGGACATTGCCCGGCCAGAAATTAGTGTATCCACTCATGAATTAAGCTGGGACAACTGTACCACCGCAAGTGTTTTACAAGCCTTCCTCTGGTGTTCATGCGTATTGACGCCATTGTTCAGGTTAAGTGGGATGGAATGGTTAATTCTGGAGCACCACGAGAAAACACTCTTCGCCCGGTTTTCAACCAGAGTTTTTACTTCCCAGTGCGACTCTTAGATCCAAGAGAGAGGACCAAGGTCTTGTTCAGAAAAGTAAGCTGCCCGTGTCATACCTCTAGCGTACACAAATGTTTTTGAGCCAAGAACTGCTGGATTGGGGCAATGGCTTCCTTAACTTTTGGACTCTGCGCCGCAGTATGTCTCAACATTATATTTCTGCGTTTCGGTGCAGTATACATTACCTCTAGATTTGTTCACCAAGGGCGCATTGTCCTTTGAAGTCTGGGATTCAGACGATACAACTTCTGATTTTCTTGGAGGGACAGATATAAGCCTTCACCTTCTCTGGAAAGAAGGCCAACGCGAAACAAGAAGCCTGGCAGTGGTAATACTATTTTGACAATATTTCTTTAGTTTAAAGGGTTGCACACTGACTTCATTTCATATCTCGCTCGCGGGGAACTTTCTTCTCCCGTGAAATACCTGTGAAGAGTTCCATATAGCAGTCTGCAATTTCGTGTGCTGCTGGCTCAGGGAGGTGAGGAATCGGACGAAAAGACTCGCCTTCCTGATGGTAGACCAGCAGAATTTGCCAACAGGGATGGATCCGATTATTCAGGATTCGGCGATACTGCACTTGGGGAGGAGGAGAGAGTTGTGGTTCCCCCATACGAGTGGCCATATGAAACGCTGGTCCTTAAAAGAGTTCTTGGTGAGCATTACAGGCTGAAGTGCATTTCGACCACGCAGGATACACCAACTTTTAAACACTTTCGTCTAATGTAACTGTCTAGCTTCGAACGAATTATTCTCTTGCTGTTTGTAGAACTCAAAGGGTCCACATTGCCGCAGCCTAGCGGCGAAAGAAGTTTGCTCTGGTGCGAGGTGTTTTTCATCCCTCCGATGCCTGAAGATGTTGAAATGCCTCCGCAGCCCGTAGTAAGGCCTTCAGACAATTCCTTCAATCGTGAATCGCTTCGGAAATTCATTTGGACCGCGGAAGCTCTCTGTGCAGCTGGCTCAAATTGCCATCCAGATATCCTATGAGTTTGCTCTCCTATTGGTGAAGGCGCTTCGAGGGTTCTGGTTTTGTTCTATCCCCAGGTGAAAAACTCTAATGATATTTGGATGCAAGTGGAACGCCGCTGGAACAAAGATTTCCGGCGGTGGCAGAAGATGTACTTGCAATGGTTCCCAGAGGCTCCAAAGGAAAGGAGATTCGTGACTGTTGCCGAACACTCGCAAAGCCGTTTAATCTTTCCTCTTCCCTCTTTCGTAGTGCCAATCGCCGTGCCTGCGCAGCTTGCTGTGGAGGGAGAGCTGTTGCACTGGCTAAGTAACATTGCATACCTGTTCTCGCCGAAGCAGTTGAGGGAAGGGGAGTTTCCGAGGTGGCAAAGCCCAGCCTCTTTCCTAACTACACGAAGGGGGGGCGTGAATGACCACGCCGTGCTTCTGTGTAGCTGCCTTCTCGGACTGGAGTACGACGCGTATGTCTGCAAGGGTAAGGCAAATGCTGTGCATTGCACTGGTATGCTCATGCTTGTGAAGGGGTCCTGGCTGATGCTGCTTCTGCGCTGGCAGCCGTGTGTACCGTGTCATGAAAGCTGCTGCGACTTCATCAATTCTCTCTGGCTCCTCTGAGCGTCCGGGCCTTTTGATCGGATGAGTCTATGCATGCCGCGGCATTTGCTACTAATAATATGAGGCAGTTCGGCTCAGTTGTGAGTAGTTGGTCCTCTGCGCATGCTGGCCAGGCACGGTAGATGGATGCACCACTGATCACGCGTGGGTCATGACCCGCCACGCTGGTGGATGGATCATGTTCTGGGAACCAACTAATCGAAAGAGACTCTGCCTCCCTTGTCGGTAAATTAAACAGATTGAACAAGGAGCGTAAACACACTTCGCCGTCGACCGTCAAGCCTGTACAAATTAACTCATCATACTTTAGCAATGAGCTTCTACATGCAACTTGTTTCCGTGAAGAGCATCGCATTGCTGTGCCTGTTTCACCCCAGATGGGGGTATCCACCACAAGGGCCACCGGAGACGTTCAAGCCTAAGGTAGGCATTATCGAGAATTCCGGTGGCTTGGGATTAATGCTTTTTCCGTGTACTTATTTGTTAGATTGGAGTTCCCAAAATGAATGCCATTTTTATTCGTGTGCCACTGTGTATTTTGTTTGCATTGCAGGAGTCCGTCGAAGAGGCCGCAGAGAAGTACTGGGAAGGAACGTACCTCGAAGAATGGTTTGCATGGATTGAGGTGTGTTGCCAGACGCTTGAGGCGCTTTCTGTTTTGGCGGTGCCAGTCAAGCAGCGCGGTCGACTTGATGACCCCTAACTGTGTGCAGAACCTGTTCTGCTCACCTGTTTTTTCATTTTTTGCCTTCATGCACATACATGCTTCCATAGCTGTATCCTGGAGTATTTCAAGTGTTTTGAAGCAGCTCCCATTTCATTTGCGGATTTATCGATATGGGGCTCTGTGGACTGTACAGTGCCAAGCAGCGGCTGCAGCCGATGCAGCTCGCATGGCGGCTGAAGGGGCAACTATCCCCGACACCGAAATTTGGGGAGAAGACGCAGCCCCAGATGAGACACTAGACCCCGAGGCGGTGGTAATGGAAGAGGGAGGAATCCTTGGAGAGGCGAAAGGCCCTTCAAAAACAAAGCGGGTAGTGCAAAAGGTCGACAAGGCAGAGATGAGAAAGATCATGCAGGAGCAGCTTGACAAGCTTCCCATTACACCGTTTAAGGTATGCTGTATGTGCTGCACCATTCATTGGAAATGACAAAATAATCTCGGGCGCAAGAGCGCTACGTGCAGAGTTGGGCAAGCAATCAGTTGGGAGAAAAGCATATTGGCCGCGTGCGCGTTGCATCTCTCTGCTGGATTGCAGACATAAGCCATGAAGTTTCGTAGTGTGGATTTTTTGCTTGGCGAATATGTCACTGCCTGCTTATTGACTTGCTGCACGGCTTGACCAAATCGTTCCCTTATGAAAATCCAATTCTATTCATGTGCTCACAGGATCTATTAATGCCCGATTCCACGCTCTCCTACGTACCCTACAGTTCCATTGAGGTAGTATTCAATAACTACCAGCTTTGGGGCAACCTACAAAACTTGCATCCCGCCTGCATCACTTATGACTTTGAGGACCTATGGAAATGGCGGCCCCTGCTCACAGAACCTGCTGATCCCATCGAAACGGATATCATTATCGCTACCCCAATTCGCGACAAAAAATGGTGCGTCTCTGCACTTATTCGGAGGTATACCGTACAAACATGTTGCTTTCTTCCAGGATATGTGGATGACTGTTGCCAGTGTTTCCCCTAGATCGTCAAGCATGCCTCTGTGTAGCAACCAGAGTAGCTTGAGGGCTAGATAATGAGGTAGTGCGCGGACTTGTAGTACGCAGTCACGGCTGGCACTGTTATGTTTTGGTCTGTTTTCAGCCAACTGCTTGCTGACGACCTCGTAGGAAACGTGGTGGAGCACATCCGCATGCAGCGCATTAAGAACGGAAACGACGTTTCATTTGAGCATCGAGACGACATGTTGTCCAAGCTTATTCTATATCTTGATCTTTTGGAATTCAGGTGCCCTTTGTTGCAACGATTCCCCCCCCATCATCCATTTAAGCACATTAGTTTTGTTTCTGAATGTTCCAGTATAGAGTTCTTGCACGCTGAATCTCCTGGTTCAGAATTAATCAGTCTGGCTTTGAGTACGATCGAGGTTTCTCCCTGCGCAGAGGGTTCTTGTCGATGTGTTGCCACAGACTTCATCTCGACGAAGCGCACAACCCGGGGCCGCCTCCCAATCATGTTGGATGGTCAAGCTTTCCAGAAGAAATGGCAGATGTAGACGCATCCGCTAAGACCGACTATGAGTTTTTTGATGCAATGCAAGCCTCCAATGTACCAAACTTTGAGGAAGGCATGGCACCCGATCCCACTATTCAGGGGGTGAGTCGTGTGTCTGTTGTCGGTGGAACATTATTGAAATACGCGCTCTCAGCAACGACGCTTCCCTCCCGTGTCTGACATTTTCCGTGCATACCAGTGTGCGCGCACGCTTTGCATTGCTAGGTCCGTGAAAAGGTTGTTTTCTCTGCCTTGCCTTTGTGCAGGCTTTGCAAATGATGGGCGAGGGGCATAGCCAGTCACAGGGGTTCTTTGAAACCAATCCACCTCCGGGAGAGTTTTACGATCCGTTCGCCGCAACTGGCGAGGGGGTTTACGTTGCACCTTATGTAAGATCTCTTTCCCCAGTCAACGCCTTAGCCATTAGGCACTAAACGACACGATAAACTCTTCGTTTCCATGCGGCGGCGCCTCTCGGTGCATACTTGTGTCTCTCCTTGTAGCTGACTTCTTTGTGCACAGGAGAGGCAGCCAATGAACAACGCCTGCAAGGCTGAATCTTTGTTGGCTGTGTGTTTGTCGTTCGCGAATCGTTGCAGGATGCCGCGAAGCTGGGAGGGCAGCAAGGCGGCTACTTGCACCTGCAGTCCCCAGCCACTCCTTCGGGTCCTCCGGCATATCAAGCTCCACTCAATCCTGTGGATGCTGCTGCTGCTGCCATGGTCGACTATCTCACTGAACAGCGCCGAAAAGACCAGGAGGATGAAAAATTGATGAAGGGGTATATGGCCGGGGGAGGCGGTTCCAGTTGGATGAATCTGATGAGGAGGGGCAACGAGGACAACATTGCGCCCTCCGGCCTTCAATTTAGGCAGGCGCCTCGAAACGCTGCCGAGCCCCCTTCCCGCTCCTGTAGCATCAAGTCCTTCAAAGCCTGCGAGCATGAAGCTGGGGGGGAGGGGGGGTCGCAGCTCAGCGATGCAAACCGCAGTGGGGTTGCTGCTGCGGGCAGCCGAGCGCGCAGGATACGGAAGCGCGACAGACTTAAACGGCTGCAAACCATGTTGCAGAAAGCAGCCTCAGATGGATTCCGCTTGTTGCAAGGGACCAAGAAGCAGCAACGGGAAGGAACGGACCTAGCAGAGAGTCGGTCATTCTATGCTGGGGCCACGGCAGCAGCGGCGGTCGTTACTAGCAGCAAGGGCTGCAGCGCCGATGCTATGCCACCCTCCACACCGCCGCTAGTGCCCAATGCATCCATTCCTACTGGACGTCCCAAGGGGAACACAATTCAGGGAGGTGTTGTCGTAGAGGATATGACCGGCCCAGACACCTCGACTCAGTTGATGCAGAGACTGGCCGAAGGTTCACAATTGCTGGCTGAAGAACTCAATGAGCACATCCGCAACCTGGGGTCATCGATGCCTTCTCCCAGAAAAAGCCTCGTTGCCTCGCAAATAAAGCGCCGTGCGTTGGGACCTTGGCGTCGAGCCGTTGAAGCAGTGCGGAAGCACCGCCAAGAAAAGAAGCGCCAGCCCAGCAGCCACGGACGTGCAGCAGGCCTGAATGGAGGGGTCGGCTCTCGCGTTTGCGCAGGAGGGAGTTACACTGGAAGTCCTCGTGATTCTTTAGTCCCTGCCTCTAGTGAACCCTCGGACCAGCGGAAGCGCGCACACCTTCGTCTCAAGGAAGAACTGAGGCGTCGGGTGTATGAGCAGATGGAAGCGCGCGCTGCTGCTCACTGGGTCGATGAGGGCGTCGTTTGTGCCGAAAAGAACGTAAGATCGCCCGACGACGAGGAGACACAGGGTCTGATGCGCATATTCAAAGCAGGCTTCGACAGCAATCCCCCCTCGAGCCATGGCTCGTACGAGACGGCCTCCGAATATGCATCTTCCGAGTCAGCCCCTACGGAAGCGTATGTCTCTCCTAGCAACAGCTCCAGCTGCAGCAGCCGCACTTCCAGCACCAGCGGTGCAAGCAGCCTTGACGATCGAGGAGGTGATGACTTCCTGCGGTGCATGGAAACCATAGAGCGGCCAAGTGTTTTTTCGCCGGTGGGTGTCTTCAGCAGAGACCGCCATAGCAGAGACAGTAGTATCGCCACTGCAGAAGCAAGCTGTGTTTATGCCGACGCGGCAACAACTCGAAATACATCTACGGATACAGCTGGCAGTGGCGTAGAGGCTGCCCTTTCCTCATCGGATGGAATGGGCCGGAAGAGCAAGGTCAATTCTGGATTCAAGTGGGTGGCCGCATATGAAACGGAGCAAAAGGAGACTCGAGCAGGAGCGGCTCGACACCGGCGGCATCGCGACGTTGTCCTCTCTGTGGCCACACCCGAGGAGAGTTTGCAGCAACAAATGAAGCTTTATGAGCGGCCTCAGCTGTCAGCCCCTGATTCTTCTGGCGTGGCTTCGTTGGACGAGTCTGCAGAGGAGCAGCAAAGAAGCGTGCATAGCTCCTCGGCGAAATTCGACTTGGAGGCGAATCGTGCGCAGTCCTTCATCAGCGAAAAGGGGACCTTGGATTCTCTTCCAGAAAGCGATTGCTGCGAGCGGTCTGTAGCTGATGAACGTGCATATGAACTGCCATGGCTGGTGTCTCCCCCTGTAAGCACGCTGAAGAGACGCATGCGGCGCAAATATGGTGACAGCAGCAGCAAGGCAGCCAGCAGTTGTGAGTCCATTGCTGCTCTTATCGAATCTTTCGCGCTGCCCAAGAAGGCAGCGCCATCAGCCTTTGCGAACAAACAGCTGAACGATAAAGCGCGGGTGTTCCCAGATGAGGCCGATACTGCGCCTTCACCTGTCGAAGCAGAAGGTCCCTCTGTTTTGACTCAGAAAGATGCCGAAGAGGGACCCGACGCAGCATCCCTGATGGCGACCGGAAATTCGAAGAATGGAATCTCTGAGCGGATGCAGCAAGTCTACGCGTCTTGTTTGCAGCGAGCCAAGAACTCCTTGCCCTCCGGAAAGGCGTACTGTAGGGCGTTGAGCCTTAGCGCACCGGCTTTTAAGCGCTCGATTACGTTGCCCAAGGCTGGTGCCGATTCTTCTCAGTGCTCGGCCGCGTCCCTTGTAGGCGCTGCTGCCATCCCTAGGGCAGAAGCAACCCGTTCCGAGCGTGAAGGCAGCAACTTCAGCAGCAGCAGTTCTGTGACGCTTGAAAATGCTGGAAGCGACGCCACCGCGAGTACTCCCATGGATCCCGTGTCAACAGGTGCAACTGCTGTCTCAGCACTCTCTGTTGCGGCTACTTCGTCTGCTCCGGCTGCCCCTCACTCCAGCGCCACTGAGGGAGTGCCTGCCCCCAGTTCGCTCCGGGCCACGGGTGCAGCACCTACAAGAAGAGGGCCTCTTTTTACAGCGTGCAAAGACCATGAAATGATGCTCGACATCGACTACGATCAAGTCCGCCAGAATTGGGGAGGCCCCCAGAGCTTCGCTTCAGGCCCGCCGGTACGTGTGGAGGCCACCTGAGCGCGCTTGCTGCCAGCGTCCACGGTGGCATCATTCCGAAACCCTTGGTACTTGCCCTTTTCGCTGTTTGCCTGCATTTGCCACGAGGTGGCGCGACTTTCAGCGTCTCTTCACCGAATGCGTGCGTTTTTCCCTTCTCCCGCGTTTTTTTGTCGATTGAAAAAAGCATCCGTGTGCTGCAAACCTGGAAAACTTGGATTTTTACCGAGAAATGTGCTTTGCCCCATCTTGTGATGCTGATTGGGGCTTGTTTCTCAGCCTTCACCCGAAGGAATGATATACAATCCGCTAACGGGGACGAACGAATACGACTATGCGGTGACACGTACAGGTGGAAGAGTACGCTAGCTCACACTTCTCAAACGATTGGGTGGCTCCGACATAGGGTGGAAGTTGCATCTAGCACCAACGGGGTCGTAGCACATACACTATGCTGGCACATGAATATGCCACGTGGTGAAACAGCTATATTATTGCGGTCTAGGGTCTTCAGGGCTTGGATTGTGTGTGCCTGTGCGCCTGTGTATGAATGCTCCTGTGTCTGTGTATGTACCTGTGTGCCTGTGTATGTATGTGTGTAGGTGCCTGTGTTTGTATGTGCCCGTGTGTCTATTTCTCTGCGTGGATGTGTATGTACAGCCCTACGGCAACATGCCCTTCGGCGCTACTCTGCAGGTGGCCGGGCCTGTTAACGCCATTCCGTTAAATCAAGGTACGCTGTTGTGGCTCCACTTGGATAATACGTGTAAGTGCTGCAAAGAACGAACGTACTTGCCCAGCTAATGTCGTTTTGTGGGCTTGCCCGATAGACCGCAATTAGGAGCACCCCGTTAGGATGGTCATCCTTGGAAGCTTCTCAGGACTGTCTAGAGTTTCGGTGTTAGATCCTCGCGCTTTCGTCTGCTGAGAGGGCATCCGGGTCTTGTTCCTTTTGCATTTTGAGGCGGCGTGAAGGCATCCGGCTTTTTCTGCGAACGCTCGTGTGTTTTCAGGGAGAGTTGAAAGTGGCCACAGGGAAGGCGCCTTTCGCGTGAATCCAAGCACGGGCCAGAAGGAGTTTGTTGATGGCGGAGGTACTTTTCCCTTTGCCCTTCTTTTCTGTCTCGTTTGGTGCGCCGTGATGTGCGTGCTGCGTTTTTCTGGATACCCTCTATTGGCTCAAGCGTCTGTGTGTTGGCGTTTGTGCACTGCGAACAGGCCAGGACCGCGCAAGAATGTTTGGTGCAACTGATTTCATCGATTCTGGTGCTTCTGCCCGCCCGAATTTCAAGGCAGACGGGCGTCCTGAGGGCTTCAACATGGCTTACGCAAGGCAAAAATACGAAGCTGGCGTCCCAGCAGGTACTTTCCTCCCAGTCATCTAGCAATCGGGGGGCTCTGCATCTCGCTGGGGCTGTCCTCACCCTGGGAATGCATGCATGACGCATAGACGTCATTTTCGCACGTTGGACACCATAAACCGTGTTCTCTGACTCAGGGACAGAGCCGGTGATGGCGGGAGGCCGGATGGATGTCAACTACGCACAGGAACTTGATCAAGGGTTTCAGGGGCTAGATCCATATGGGGAGCTCCTTGAGCCTCCTAAGGTCCTCCCCAAGGAGTACGTGGAATTCGATGGGGGTGTGGACCTCGCACGGATGGGCTTGGCAACCGGAGGCCAAAGGAGTAAAGTCATCAGAAAGAAAGAGCCTACAGATGTGTCTGCCTTGCAAGAACCAGACGATGGCTCGGGGCCCACAGAGGCGAGTTTCTGCAAATGCATTCCTTGGTTTGCTCATGCAAGCCCTTGGAGAGCCACGATGCCACCAGAGGAGTCACTGACTGGTTCTGTGTGGGGACGTTCTTGAATTCTGCACGGATTTATTTCAGTTGGGTCTTGTGAACGAAATTGTCTTCCAAAAGGCACGACTTGCATGCAGCTTTGTGCCTCTACATGGAGAGTGCTACACAGGGGCAATCTAGTGTTTTGCCTTCTGATGTATGCAGCAGGAACCGCGTGTCCCGACGGAATGGAGAATGCCAGTGTCTAGCGGAACCTACGCCGCCGAACAGGTTGCCAAATGGAATTGGTATTACCGCATGGTATGAATTCTAATGTAGCGTCCACGTATTCACACTCTAGGAGGCATGCGGGCAGCTTCAGCTAGGCATTCAATTCACTATCCTCACTGCCCTTCTGCAACATTTCATTTACGTGTGCTCTCACCTGTTACTGCAGGAACAAGTGTATTTCTTGTGGCAGCAGAATGTCTTCCCAGTAAAACCGAATCATGTGTTTTGTGGCTTTCCAATCCACCTAGCGACGGCAGGTGAGGCCCCTTCTGCCCGAATGAGCTTTTACCTGGTCCTGCATAATTATAGCATAATTCAACCGAACAGGCCTACTGGATGCGTGCGTCACACTTTTGTGTTGTTGGAAATTTGCTCTACAGATACCACGGAAATTCGGAGCTACTTGGGGGGTGCCAGGCGTTTTCGCCGCTTGCTGGACATGCCAGTCGAAAACATTTCCTACGTGGTGACTGGCAAGTGCTTCCCGTTAATGGGGGGTGTCATCAGCACATGGCTCTTTTTCGGTGCTCAAGTACCCCTGGCGGTAAGGCCTACCGGTTTCTGTTGTTGCACAAAGTACAACAGTCTGACGGGCCGTGATTTGTGCTTCACTGAGGGTCTTTGAGCCACCGACGTAGAAGGCTACCTTAATTCGCCCAATTCCATTGCGTCCTCTTTCAAGCTGCCGCTGGCTATGTATGCCTCATAGCAACACCTCTGCTTTGTCTTTCTGGTGTGCTTTTTTTCTTTCTTTCCAGTCCGCGCAAGAACGAAAGAGCCACATGAAACGTATAAAGAAACCTCCTCACACAAAACAAAGGAAGAATCCTGCAGTGGAAGCCGAAGACGGAGGCCAGGTGGCGGCTGCGAGAGCTCAGGCTCCTGGCTAGGGCATGGTACAAAACCTGTAAATCGCTTAGCCCGAGTAACGACCGGGCGCCTAGTATATGTGCAGCCGTAAAAAGGTGCAGGATGTCGGGGCTACGACACAATTGCCTGCTGACTCGCGATTTTTTTAAAAAAAACTTTTTCGCTTCGTGCTTCGTATGCGCGAGTTCCGAAAGCCTTACATAGAAGTGTACATGATAACTGGCGCTTTTGTTTATCGAAATTTCGGGACACCTAGCCTATTTTTGTAAGGTTCGTATGTAACAACGGCAGGTGGTGCAGGGGTCTTGCTTGAGAACACGCCCCACACGTGCAAGGTCTCTTCGTCTGGGAGTTTGCCGTAGACAGGCTCTGATGTAAGGGTGTAGGGGAGTACTCGGCTTTATTGATGCTGTGGCCGCTCTAATGAATTAGTCTTGAGGTTAAAATCAATTGCCTTCCATCGCCATCGAGAGGGTTATTCAAGGATGCCTGGCTCACATCCAGGCTCTCAAAAATTGTGTATGGCGACTTGGTGTCCGGCACAGCAGGAAGCAGGCAGGCAAGACGGCAAATGCAAAGTGGTAGCTCGTATATACTACCAACTATGCTTATGGATTTTTGAATAGGATCTTGAAGTATTCTATAGACATAATGGGACGTTTCCTTGGTTGTAGGAGGCAGCATTCCCCAACTGAATCAGCTACGCCTACCCAAGTTCACCACGTTTGCTAGTGCGCCGAAAAACAATAACGCGAGAAACTGAGGGAAAGCCTGCACGTAAGCTGAGGAGCGAATCAAATCTGCTCAGCGACTGGACGCCCTGCAGCGCCTCCAGCTGGCTGAGGTCTGTTGCTCCTGCAACCTTTGCAGCCACTTTATCAGATTTGGTGGGAAGAGGCGGCAACCGTACAAAGCCTTCTCGGTAATACGGTCTTTTGCTCAAAGGCAAGAGATGCATACCACCAAATTCGCGAGCAGAATGATGTACGTCAAGAAGACTACTGTCTGAGTCAGCTTCGCAGTCACTGTCATTTCCAAAGGCATCTTTAGGTGCACCTTTTCCTCGGCTTGGCACATCTGGTAAAATAGATTTGAAGTTATTTGCTGGTTGCCATTCCACAGGATCCAGGGTACTGTCATCAGTCCTGGTTTTCCTCCTTTTGCGAATTCCCACACCGTCATTGTTTTCATCACTTGTGACTGCTGATGCAGCTTCGCGGGAATGCGTTTCTGAGGCTGGCGAAATAGAAGAACTGCCCCCTGCCTGCGCTTGGTCTTGACAAGCTTCATAGTCGACCCCAAGAGGCAGTAAATCCGCATCCGGGCAGTTTAGTCCCCAAGTCTCTAGTCTGCGGGAGAATTGAGCAACGCAGCGACACGTGCGGTACTAAGTATTTCATACAGACTCGAATTTGGCGAATGGAATAGCTGCACAAAGACGTGGAAACATATTGCTGCACCCAGCTACGTCGGTACAGCAAGCCAATAAATTTGATTATCTGGTTTCTTCCACATTCATCAAAATGAAGATGTAAAGGCGATGCGACGAATCAAAAGCACGGGTTGAAAACGAACAATACGCAAAAGAAGGGCTAAACAACAGTGAAAGCGCTCTTGACGTATCAAGGAGCACCAGACACAAGCTAAACAATACATAGGCTTACGGCCTTCCTACTAAGCCCCCCTCGGGGTGGCCAATAAGGATATATTCCTGCACCTGGCACGGGCAGCTGTGGTGCTGCTGGGGCATTGCACCGCCCAGTTCAAGAATGCTTCTACAACAGGCACAGCAGTTGCTGCGGGCAGGTGCGGTCCAATCGACATTAAACGGCATCCAACAGCAAATGACCATTTGGGGACAGTGTTGTTGCATCGCCAAGCGGCACCCAACAGCGGTGGGTGCCAGGTGTTGAGGGCACCACTGCAGCTCTTGGCGAGGCTCAGAAGCAATATATGTAAATTGAGAATTGCTCGGTGCTTCTCTGCTTGCAGCACTTTCGTTGACCATAGTACACTGCAAGTGTACGGCAGAGGTCAGTAGCCTGTTGTTTTCTACAAATGGGCCTGAGCTTCCCACATCGGCATTCGCATCATGTTTTTCTCCTATATTTCTGCGATGCTGTTTCTCTCGCTGTTGCAGACGTGAGTGCAACGCACAAGATTGCCCTTGCTGACGTTGCTGCTGCTGTTGGACCAGCGTAGTGCTCGTGGTCTGGGAACGTCCTTGGTGGAGCAGCTGCTGAATTCTCGGCATCAGGTGAGCGGCCAATGCCCCTGTGCCGGCTCCGCATTCTAAAATGCGAATAGGCCCTGTGGGATCCCAATTGCTGCAGCAGCTGTTGTCCGTACAAGTTTTTGCGATTTCTGATGCTCTGCAGCAGGAAGTGCCAGCTCGTCCAATCATCTCACTTCGAAGAGATTGTACTCTGCCTGCCAAATAAGATGCAAGATCAGCTACTAGCTCCTCCCTAAGTGACAGCATTTGGGGCAAAGCACATATGGTTTCTATTCGTTACAATCAAAATCGCATCCTCTTTCCATGCATTTACGAACTGTCTGCTGGTACAATGGGGAGAGCACACGGATAAAATGAATAGTAACAATGTGTGGCACGATATCAAGCGGGAAGTGGCATCCAGAACCCACTGCACACACTATCGGCAACGGCAAAGAAGAGCGCAAGAAAAAGCGAATATGCACCCCCAAGTAACCGAATGCCCAACGGACACCAGCGCTCATAAGAAGTAGGTGGATTAGATAATTTAGAACAAAGCTGGGAAGAAGCAGAGTAGGAAGGAAGAAGCACCATGCGCTATCTTACGTGGGGATGATGTAGATGGGGAAACTTCGATCGGCAGTGCAGAGATGCCACCAGCTTTCCTCAGATCCAATCTGCATCATACCAGCAAACAAAAGCATCCTAATGACTCAGTGTCGCAAAAAGTAGCGTGCAGGTGGCTCCTGTTAAGCATAGCTCTATCTTAGAGTGGTAGAACAGAAACGCTCCGTAGAGGAAAGGAATGCAACAATTCATTTCGAGACATTTTCATGTGCTCAGCATGATATCTGCAAAACCCATGAGTCTACGCGCCCACATCCGACGAATTCATAACTACCAGCTCTTTGAATAAAGCTCGCAGCACCGAAGCACTTGCAACCTTGCCCGTAGTGCCGACAGTAATGACTGTAGCTGCTACGTCAGGCGTTGACGCTTCGTGAATACGAAGCCTCCACTTCCACGAGATGCTATAACAGAGGCCGGTTTTTCTAAAATACTGAGTCGTTCTGTTGCTCTTTCCCTACTTCAGGCATAAAGATTCATCACTGATACTGCAGCAGGTTGTGAGACGCATAAGCCAACTTACCTTATGCTTTTCACTGTTTTCTGAAGCCATGGATACGTCACACTCAAGCAGATTCAAAAGCTCATTTTGGGAATAGAGTCGCAGCTCCGGCGGCTGCATACGCCGAAGTGCTGCCTTAAGGTGCGGGTGAAGCAAACATATTTCGCAGATGCACACATGACGAGTACTTTCCCCCTTATCTGTTGCATAATCCATTTGCTGCTGTAAGGTTCTTAAATACAGCACAAAGATCGATTATGACATCCTGTTTGATCTACTCCAGATGGCAGCTCTTGCACGAACATTACGCATTTTTTGCCCCAAGTCCTCCGCTTCAAACTCAACCCGCTGAATCCGCTTTCTAAGTAGGCCTCCCCCGCCAGATCACTTGCTGAGCTCGGAGAGCAGTCGTTGAACTCCAGGAGCATGCAGATCACCAGATATAAAACAGCATTTCTGACAACTGTGCTGCCCGTATTGATCATGGCGGAAAGGCTGCCTCCATCTCAGGCTGTGTACTCTATGGGAGTCCAAGGACACGTAGGAAAATCAAGGTGAGAAAAGGCACGAAGGCCTGATTGTACTGAATCATTAGGCAGCCCGGTCAAGAGGATGGCAAAGTGGGCCTCTAGCTGTTTGGACGTAAACTCAGAAGTCAATAGTGCTTGTAAAGAGTTATCATAGCTCAACTATTAAAATTGCCGCTATCTACGGAATTTGAGTACAGTGCGTTCAAATATTTTTCGGCGTGACAATGCACAGCATCGACGTGCGTCGTTCACAACCAAGGCTGATGTCCGGTGCTCGCAACAATAATTCTCGTGCTCGTAACAGCTTAATATGTTGAGGAATATGATGAGCGTATTCTTCTGAAGTTTGAGAATTCGTAATGCCCCTAATGTTATTATAGCTTTCCTATTGAGAAAATTACACCTTGGCTCATCGGACCGCACCGGATTAAGATGACAAGCAGCCTTGTCAATCAATTACAGTCATTTTGGGGCTTCAAATAAAGCGGAGGTTGTTCGCCTCCCAGAAAGACCACTCACAGTGATAATGTGCCATGCCTTCACCTAGTCTTCACACAATGAGGGGATAAGAACAATGTGCGGTGAATTCCACTTCCCACATTATGCAACATGTAAACAGCAGAGTTGCCGTACACCTTAGCTCTTCCTATCCCACAGACACATTAAAAGGCCTTCAGGGGCCTTATGGAGCTGGGTGGCAGGAGCAGTAGTAAATTCTTGACCAGAGTAAGTAGGGCTAGAGCGGCAGAGACAATGTGGATCCAGTCAGAAAAATGAATCGGGAATACGGGGGCTGCTGCGTCAAGTGATGATAAAGGTACAGACATCGTAGTGTGGTACGTCAGAGCGCTATCAGCAATAGTGGCGACTGCTACAGGAAACTATCGTCATTGTGCATTCAGCAGTGGTACGGCATGCAGGGCTTCACCAGTACCTCCGCTGCTGGTGCTGGTTATACAGCTGCTGCTGCTTCTTCTTCTGATAGTGCACTGCCGATTTTGGTCTAAGCAGCAGCTGACGCATTATTTATGGGCCGGACGGAGCCAATGACTTTTTTAGATTTTGCGAACTGAATCAAAAACTGAGAGTATTAACGAGTCACTCGATAAAATGTTTTGCAAATCCCAGAAGGTCGCGTCACGCACAACGCCACGCGATTTGACGTTCTGTTGCAGTGCCTTCCCGACACTCCCTGTACAAAGTAGTAAGCTGTTTTGAGTATTTTAGAAAGTTCCGTTTTGATGCTTCCCTACTCTGGCCGTACTTTCACTCTTCAGAGAGATTTCCCCCCCCAATAATACTTAAACTGAAGTGAATATTGCATGGAAGACAAAAAATGCACACTCCTGTACAGTCAATGTGGTCAATGGAAGTATCCCACGTCGTCCTCTCTGATCAATCCCGGGGCGGCTTCCCATTCAATAGTAAGCACTAAAACTATGAAAAACAGACGCGTTGATGAAGAATGCCTACAAAATAAATCCATTGGGATAGATAGCAGAATGTCGCCCAATGAGCATGCCCGTCTATCACCGATAGCACACGGTTAGGCCAGGGAGAAGTGCGCCACTTTCTCAAGTGTCATCGCCAGCCTTCGTGCACAGTATTTGGCAGCCCTCTGCGCTATATTTTTCATTGACGGTCGCTGCAGAACAACGCTCCCCATGTAGTCGTCCCCGTCGTTATTTTGGGCTTCCGATAAAACACCACCACTCCGTGAAGCATTCACAGCCCCTCTCGACCTCGTAGTCTCGCCAGTGAGAAAAAAGAGTACGGGGGTCATCCGCAGCTATGAGATATAGCCCACATGTATACAGCGGCCGCAACCACAAATACAGCGTTCAGTATGTGTATAAGGCGGCTCAGAAAAAGAGTCACGTTCCTGAAGAGGAAAGAAACATTGTAGCACATTGTAAAAGTACAGCAGCTCTTACTCGCAAAGCGTATCTGCTACTGAGCTGCTACACTGAAGGATTTGTGTAAGTAAATAGAGAGAAAACAGTTAAAAGAAAAGAATACACCCTCTTCTTTCGGAACACCACGATGGCTACTGCCCCCAGGGCGTTAGGAGAAATAATTATCTCACTCCGTATCATTAAGACTCCCACGATTATACCCCGCACCAAAAGACATTCCAAGGGTCATTCCGGCCAGATGGCCGACGAAATCTGCAAAAACATCAGATGCCTAACGGGAGAAATGCACAGATGCAAGTTTCTTGTGGCTTGCTACTGCGGTTGGCTTTTGTACGTGCCAACTCCTCTCTGTAATTGTACTCATGTACAAAGCTTTCAAAGCAGCTACATCGCAGTGAGTAAATTAATGCACCTGTAGGGGTGAGCACTGAGAAGACGAAGAAGATAAACAAAAACACCCTGAGCAAAACACAAATATCCCTCAACATTGACGCAAAGGTCCAATTTCTTGAGGCAACTCAACCCTGCACAGCTCTACAAAACAGCACCCCACTAAAAGAGAGGGCACATTGCGTACACAACTTGTGCGATGACGGGACGCCGATTTTCTACGCCTGGCCAAATTATTGCCAGTTGTGCAAGCTGCAAAGGCAAATACACAAACGCTGAGTGAAGCAACTGAAGGTGCACACCGATACGGTACACGCCTACAAATCTTTCCCTCGCGCGGCTCTTTGGATAAAGGGACGTTGTACTTTTACGTGCAAGTTTAATATTGGCTATAGCTGGGAGGGAATACTGTGACGTATCATGATCATACGTCAATTCCAATGAGGCCGAATATAGCTGTTGACGCCCCGACCTTCAGCTGCGGTTTAATGACACAAACTAAGACACCATCTGCTGTCCCAATCATCCAACCTCTGTGGTATTCAGCTTTACCGCAGCAACAAAGGCGTGGCCGGTTAGCTATGCGTGAAGGCATCATGATGAGTAATGTAGTAGGGGACACTGCATACCACGTTGCAGAAAAAAACGGCGTTGGATATCAAGTTTGCCAGAATGCCGCACACAAGATACGCAATGAGAATCCGAGGGGTGCCATATCTGCGGCACACATCAAATTTGAAGTGCCATCAGCTGCCTGAATTAAGTCTGTGACCTCCATTTAGCAGGAGGTACCGAAGGCAGAGCTAACAGTATCTCAGGAATGCTGTGCGACCTGTGTCAACCCATGGAACGAATTTGGGCACAGCAGCAGCAGCATCGTGCAGAACAAGGTGCAGCCCACTTTGCTTCCTGCACCGCTCCTACACGAATTTGCATGTAGGCGTTGACCTAAAGCTCACAGCAACAAAACACTGGATGAGTCATTGCTGCTATACCGTTCCGACGGGTGGAGGGGAACTCTGCCGCCTATCAGTGAGAGGGATGCCATTGATGGTGCAGGATGGACACAAGTGTCCTAGCCCACCAGTAGATGCAATATGCTGTTGTGCAGAAATATCGGACACAGCAAGCGCCAAAACTGGCCCCTGCTTATATCCTCGGGAATATTTGCGCCAAACATCGCGAGAGCATGCCTGCAATATCAACCACATTCAAACGATTATAACATCATAATCAATACACACAATACGCCTAAATGTCACAGAAGAAACATCATAAAATGGAAAGGACGTTTATACGGCAAGCATGAGACAACTAGGGAGCTCCTCATGACGGCTCGCTTAGAATTTCCCGTTGAACTAACTGGGAAGGGCTCGTCACGTCGCCTCTGGAGTGATCGTAAACCACTGAAGCGATGTATATGACTACATCGATAATTGTGATAATGAAAACGCAGTGCTTGAAGCTGAAGTGAGGAAACAAATATTCCAGCACATTTCGCGAAGACGGAGGGCTGCTTCCGTTCATGAATGGGAACGCGTTTCCCCCGCCCACAGATGTTTGGGAGGCCATCTGTGGGCTGTAAGGCTTGTCCTGCCTTTCAAGATCGGCCAAAGTGTGGATGTGTGCCATTGTTGCGCTGAACCGTGATGGTACCCCACGAGGGGGAACTGAGGTTCTGAGAAACAGGATGCACGCATATATTTGCTGCCTGTTGCAAGATAATGGGGCACTAAAAACATGAAGCTACGAAGTGTCTCCTTTTGACCGAGAGACCCAGGCTGTGCCGTCTTTTCGCCTCCAGATCCCCCCCTCGGCAGGAATGCCGTCAGCCTTGTGTTACCTTCTCAAACCCATAAGAACAAAATAGCACCGTACTTGGTTCAAATACAATGGTAGAATCAAACGGAATTAGTGTATTCCTGCTTTATAGTAACCGAGAGTTATCCTGCATCCATAGGTACGACGAAAAGCTCGCAGTACGCGGGACAGGAGCCTGTGGGCCGCAGCGGACTTTCGACACTTGTAGTTGGTCCACGCATCAAAAGATTACCAAGCGATGTATAATGCTGAATGTTATTAGAACGCGAGCACCAGCCATTGACTTTTATGAACCGACTCGGCGCGCCCCAGCCCCCCTAGCCCCGCCTAGCGGCGTGACAGTTTGATGGTAAATGAGATAAAAACAGAAATTCCCTGCTAAACTCCAATCAATGTGAGCGGCTACTCACAGCGAAGGACTTCTCCTGGGGGTCGCCGGCGTTAGTACCATGGCAATGATCGCCCTCAATGGAGCAAAGTGACCTGCAAGCTAATTGGCGGCTTCCAACAGCAGGCTGCCTTATTGTTCGTCATAGGCGAATCTGGAGTAGCATTGAATTAGTGAACCAAAATATTTTGCACAGAAAGTTGCGGTTGATACATAACGCTTTGCCCCTGCGTGTCCAGGATGCAAAGATTGACCATGCTGGTCCCCAACACCCCAGGAATGGTGAGGGACCAAACTTTCGGACGCTGTGCCCACCGACAGGCAAGAAGACGCGGAATAAAGAGTCTAGTTCGATTCTAGATACGGACAGGAGACGCTGAGAGCAAGAAAGCTCAGGTTCTTGTGTCCTGCCACTACGGAGCGGGAAGGTAAGAGGTGCTGCTATTTTAATTAGTTGACCCGATGGGGATAGCTAGTACGTCAACATTCCCACGGTCCCCAAAAGAGACGCTTATTCATCCGTGCTTCAACCCTTTCCTAGGGGAGGTTCCTATTCTCCCATTCTCACCGCTGTCCTTTCACAAACTCGCCAAAGCCCAAAGCTTCTAACTCGGCGAGCAAATGGCTCCCTACGGGTGCGAGTACTGTCACGTGTCGTCCTGAGTGGATCACAGATCTCCAGGAAAAGCTTTAAAGTAAGGGTTAGCGGCTTGGGCAAGGGTAGCGGCCCAGCTTGAGGGCTGGCTATGATAGGGTGAACTTGAAAGTGTTGCTTTTTGGAATTGTGAGGAAATTCACCTGCAAATGTCTTCCAACATATCCTCCTGACATGCTGCGGCAGCACAAGGCATCTCGTTTTCTGCGTCGACCCCTTCAAGAATGGAAGCAGTGAAGATCTACTTCCTATTGGGTCTGCGTGATGGCCTTGTGCCTGGCGCCAGCCGTGCAGGATCCTCATGTACAGCTTGTCTCCTTTGAGTGGACACTGAAGTCCTAAATGAGAACGAAGCATTAAAATTTGAGGAAAGTCAATCCACAGAAATTTAAGCAAAAACCTAGGCTACCAGACACCAAGCAATGTAACACATTCCTTTTAGCACTATGAAACCTAGGAACCCTTCCTTGCATTCTGATAAGTATGTTGAGAGAAGTCATCTTTGTCCTAGCAACACCGACATGGGCCCCCGCTAGGGATACTAAATTTTTCAAAATAAAGAGTAAATGTAGAGTTCAACCTGCACCTGATGCAGCTACCCCCAGACAGCTCATGACGTAGCAACAGCCTTACCAAAAGCACAGTGAGCACGAATTTGATCGGGAATACCTCCCAAATCCGTTTCTAGAAGGAGTAATAAGACGCTTCGACCGAGATTGTAGCTGTCAGTGTTGATAGTGTCGTCTCTATGGCCGCTAGGACACTTTGCAGTGCCCAAAAGGGTCCAGTTTGTGAGAGCAGCGGAACCGCCCAAGTGGAGTGCACATGGGATGGCAGCACCTAGCGCCTGTTAGGTCCACAAAACACGCGAAAACCCGTCAGGGCGGCCCTCATAAGCAAACGATGTAAACAAAGTACAAAAATTAAGTGCAATGAGCATGCAGGAAAAAAAGGATGGAGCCTAGCGCTGTGGCAAGCACATGATGCCAAACCTTGTCATAGCGCAGAGGGATCTTTACAACCCCGCTTCGGCCAGGAGGAGGTCCTTCTACGATCGCCAGTAACTGCTGGGTCCCAGAGCCTCCCCTGCACGCACCCCACGCCTTTCTCCATGGCCTTACACTAGTGGTACAAAAGAGAGCATCCCCCTGTGGCTCAGCTTTACGATCAGGAGAGGTGGCATGAGAGAGAGCCACATTCGCTCGACAATAACATGCAAAGGAAAGGCGTACTGTGCTATAGCCTTGCGAAAGATCGCCGCTCCTGCGCGACTGCGGCAGAATAGAACCGCTCCGCTGCAGTGGCCACCGTGAACTACCACCGTAGGCACCTGCGTTACACAGACACTCCACCAAAAATACGAGCTCTAGACTGATGTGCTCAAGACACAACCAGAAAATCCGTTGCAGCAGCAGCCCTCACACCTTCCTGAGCTAATGATACTGCGAAAATGACCCCAGAAATATTTAGCTCATTTTGAAGGCATATGTCCGTTTCAGAGAATCAGGTAGGCCCTGTCAGTATGTCTTAATACACAGACTAAAGCAGCTACTGAGCTTGAATATATACGGTCAGTCAACTATTTCTTTGCGCCCCCCCCTGGCCAGTACTGTTGCTGCTCCTCGGGCGAGCGCTAGATTGCCCCTTTCAAAAAAGGTTAGCTCCAAAAACCAGAGCGCATGGTTTTGTGTAAAAGCAGAAGCTCAAGAGGACGAGGCCATTTCACGTACTTCTGAAACTTCTTTTGAAAATGCGGGTGTATACGGGCTGGTATTCAATAACTTGGGTAGCTGGTGCTGCGGCACATTCAGAGACATCCGCAGATACAACTCTCTACAAATTGTTGAATACAGTGAACTTTCTGCCAGTGAGGTGAATACGGAGCGTTGTCTGGTAACCACAGCATGGCAGCGCCTCCTACGAACGGAACACGCCGTACCTAGAGCATTCTCCAGGATCAAGGGAGTATGCAATGTACAGGGCATAGGCGTTGATTTGTGTCTTGGGATTAGAACTGCAGAGGCATGTGCCTATGCGTACGGCTAGACTCTCGGGAGCTACACCAGATGGCTTGTTAATCGCGATGAAATCCTCGTCTGCAAATAGCACTAGCTTCTTGTTAGCTGGCCAAGGTGTCCTTGAGTCCTCTGCGCAGCTGCCCAAGCTTACAAATGCGTCAGGTTTTTCACCTCTGCAGGGAAAAAAGAGGCGCTTTTCTTGCTCGAGCCGTGGCCCCCTGGGTATGCGCGCGCGCCGCTGCCGCTCCTCCGCAGTGAGCCTGCACGAGCATATGGGTGAAGGGCAAGGCACGCGCTAGCTGGCCTGCACCTATGGATGACAAAACATGCTGTATGTGGGCAACTGGTCGCAAAAAGCACAAACTGTGACACTCTTGTTATCTCAATACTTTTGCTTCAGGGATCTATTATTGCAGTCCACAGACTCATACCTGCCACGATGGACATTGAAAGCTTACTTTTGGCGCATAATTTTTTGCGCTGATGACCAACAAGAGCCGCATTGTTTCTGCAACAAACGCGTTACGCGTTGTGAGGAGCTTCCAGTTGTGTCGCTAATTTCCTGAGGATGCAATGTGCTCTGCTGAGATAACCCTGCACTCACTGCAGCACAGGCGCACTAGAAGGTCCTAGGCATCTTTAAAAAAGATATTCCTTGCAACCACACCAGTACATGGGGAACGAGTACACAGGTAGTCTAACGCATCAGCATTTTATGGGGTATTAGACCCCACTTGCATGGATACTTCCGTTCTACTAAATGTTTGGCAGCTGTGGATGTAGCGTTCTACCTGTCGCCCTTTTAAATTTCGCTTGTTCCGAAGTAATCGTACTTGGTGCGTCCTGTACTCCTGCTCCTTCGCGTGCACCGATCTCAGCAAATCTGGTAGATGTAATGTCGGTCGTAGACAAGCTTTCGCCTCTGATCTCGGATTTTAATGAGCTCTCTTTCACTTTATTGAGATTGTACCTGGGAAGATCTCGCAGTGGGGAGTAGGGCTTTGCTTAGGTTTCTTCGGACGCTGCTATGCTGCTGGGCGTCTCTGGGTGTATTGCCTGGTTCACTGTGTCATGCAGCGCGCAGTTGCCTATGAAGTAAGTTGCGAGTCCCGCTTTCCTTTCTTCATTTTTCTGAGGAATGGCAGGCAGGGTTCAGTATCTGCCTTTGAGAGCAATGTCTCCGCATAACTTCTGTTCCTACAACGTACCGTGTCTCGGTGCCTAATTGTTGGGTCGGCCTTTGGCTAGGTCTCCTCAAGCTACCAGGCACTGGGTAGGCGTTTGTGCCCGCGACCTTTGGCAGCAGTCTCAGGCGTCCAATCGTTATCGGCAACATCCGCATTGAAGCATTTGCCGAGGGTAAAAGGCCCCACGTTCCTTGGCGGCCGCGTGAAGGGTGCCTGAATACTAGGGTCCAGGGAAGAACAGCTTCATCAGTGTAGCAGGCTGCAGACTCAATGACTGACACTTGGGTTTGTCTGTATTGTAGTTCTCATGAAAAGGCCAATATTCAGGTAGGATACGGTGGAGCCCCGAAAGAAGGCAACAGAGCCGTTGGAGGTTTACACGAGACTAGGATCTTCGAAGGATGTTTTACAGGCAAAGGAATCAAATTTTGCCTTGTTGCTGTGGTGATGAAATTGTGGGTTGCATTTAGTGCGTAATTTCTGGTGGCTGGCAAGGCCCAATCGACGAGGGCCCACATGTTTCACGATCAACTCACCTAAAACAAAGGTTTGCTTAATCTGAACCAGTCTGAAATTATAGCTGTAAGTAAATCAACACACTTCAACTTCATAGTTCACATAGGTCCAACTAATGAAACTTAATTCCTCAATGTCACTTTCAGACTAAAGCTAAAGAACGCCTATCCTTGGCGCCTCCCCGTTCCTCCCCGGCCTTATTCAGACTGCCGCTGTTGACGGCTTCTCCATTCCTAACAAAGAAGTGCAGAAAAAGGCAGGGATATAAGTAGCGTGGGCTTTGTTCGTGTGCGTTGCAGCGTTAACCGCAAAAGGGGGGGCCTGGGAGGCCTCGCATCGGTGCCTCTTGCCATGCAATTGGAGTTGCCAAATTTTGTGCATCAGTTATTGTTATCGACGCCGTAGCACCCCCTAAGCCGAAAGGCTGTTCCTGGCAGCCGCTTTGTCCTACTTCTCTTGACTGGACGACCAAGAAGGGGCCAGCTACAACACCCCAGGAGCACAGGAATCTTGAGAGACGACCATCACGGGACCGTATACATAAACGATTCTTGATAAGTGCCAACATCGGCAGAAGGTACGAAAGGCCTTTTCAGTTTGATACACTGCGCGGTGGGACTATTGTCAGTTCCCCGCACAGAACACCAACGTACTAATAATACCTCCAAGTGGCCAAAGGGGCAAGTTGACTGCGCTTTTCAGTCAGCCCCCTTCGAGCCCCCTCCCTCCTCCCCCTGTTCCATGCTGGTGCCGAAAGCTGCAGACACTGCACGTAGTGACGTCCCTCCCCCACTCTAAGCACTACAGAGAGTTTCCGCTTCGTCACGGGCGCCGCAACCCCCACTAACTCTGCGTTTCGAAAACAAACAGCTAATGCTATTCCGTAAGGGGCTGCGCAAACGCTCTGGCAGCCAGTGTCATTTTTCAAGGCAACAGAAGATAAGCCGTGAGCAAAAACGCGTTGCCTCCTGCTGTCTCCTGGGAGAAGACGCCTATCTCCTCCCCCTGGATGCTCTGAAATCGCGCTCATCATCTGAATAGTTACGACGACGGGGGCTAAAAAGCACAGACACGCACTCACAAAACAAAACTAGATGCACACAACTACCTGGCTAGCACACATCCCGCCTTTACAACCCGTAGGAATACCCAGCGACCAGTCCTCTATAACACTATAACGGTGATACAACCTTGGGACAAAATGCGTGGTCTCTCTTGGCAGCCTTTCAGCTAGCGCAATACCTGTAGGACCGTCTCCGATCGCCGCTGCGGCTGCGACTACGGCCTCTTCGACCGTGATGGTCATTGTATTCGCTCCCCTCACTGCTGTAACCGGGACTGCAGGTGTACAACCACTCATCGCATAGCCATAAATGCCTCTTTCACGAACTTGCAGCTAGCGCGCACATCCCAAAATACAAACCAGAAGGCAGGGTGACACACGTCACTGTTCGCACGCACTCTAGCTGCAGTGGAATTCCGGGGAGAACAGACCAAAATTTCCGCTTAACTAACCTGCGCCGATAATCACGGCCCCTTATGCCGTCAGGAGACCCCCGGCGCCTCCTTGACCCTGGGCTTGGTCGGCGTCCTTTGGCACCCGGACCTTTTGCTATTTCCACGCGAAGGCTGCACATCATACACCTTGACAGGAAGACACCCTTCACATTTGCACCTCAGTTATCGGCCTTTGCCTTCCTTCCCGTAGCCAGCGCTAAGTTGGCGAATTTGCGGTGAAGAAATACAACACGCCGGTCATACAGACGGCGCGCGTCGTCAGCAGTAACAATCACCTTACACGCAACGCAGCAACGGCAAGAACCCCCAAAGATAAAACATCACATTACGGTCAGGGAAACGGGATGCACATGTACGGCAGCCGCGTTCAACCGGTTTACCCGACAGCCAAGTCGCAGCGCAGACGCAGAGGAGAATAAAGGACAGTAGGGCAAGGATGGATGTCTTAATGATTTTGGTCTGGGGTAGCGCCCGCAAACCCCAGACCATCATAGGCCCGTAAATGGAGGTTAGCAGAGGCGATACGCAGTGACGCGGCGAGCCTACAACCAGAGGCACCTTCGCATGCAGTTGTCCAGACTCAAGTTGCCACTAATTATACGCATTCCTCCACTGAAAGACACGATAGTGGCTCACTACTTCTCGCGATGCAAAATGCCGTCTGTCGCCTCGACCGCGTCTCGGGCGTCGCGTGCATCCTCGAATGTCTGAGTGTCACGCCAAAACAAGTAAAGATCCAGATACAAATCTTGCTACCAACATATGTGCCACTGATATTATCATGCAACCACTAAGAAGTACCCTGGGCCTGAATGCACCTCGGTCTTGTATGCTGCAGTCCGGCCCTGTCACAGATATACGAGCTCACTACAAATGCAAATCCGGGAGGGTTCCGCGCTACCCAAATATTACTCAGTTTCCCATAACGTCGGAATACTTCGTCAAGCTCTGAAGAGGTGGTCTCGGGGTCCAAATTTCCTGCAAAGAAAGAGCGATGCCAACCCGTAGTATTGCACTTTCACCCTATTTCAAAGGCGGTGCCCTGTCCAATCAGTGATCTACAGCAAGCCCACGCCTACCAACGTAAACCTTCCGCCCGACGGTGAGCTCATCGTCAACGCGATGCATTTTATCCTGAAGACACGTGCAGGAGAAGCATTGGCAAAAACGAACAGTCCGCAATAAACCCTCGTGCACAGTGCGTAGTCATTTAAGCCCCCACAGTTTCCAGCCTTATCATGGATACTTTCTAGTTATATGACGTAAAGGCTGCACAACCATGGAGCAAACTGACGCAAAAAATAGGTTGGAGAGATTGGCGCGCCCTGGTGAAGGTTCCCTGTGATGGGAGCAAACCTCCGTATACTGCGCAATTAATCCTAATGCTAACCCCAATCAGCAAAATTCACTACAAGCGTGAATTCTCAATGCAGCAAAAACGCTGAATGCAGGAGCGAAACAATACCATTTATGCCAAACGTCCACGGATGCATGCCAGGCACTTGGCGTCCGTACAGCAAGGGACCTTGAAGTAGCGGTATAGCTCGTACAATATATTGCACCTTTTTAAAAACACAAATCACTACAAGGGATCTTCTTCGACCTTAATGCAGGTTTTTTGGCGTGCATTTTTTCCCAGCCCCTCGCAGCCCCACCAGAAGTCAGACGTGTGGTCGGATGGCTGGCCCACGTGCACTACCCAGCAGCAATGCTTGAAGATAATATTTTATTTGATGCCATAAATGTGGGCATTGAATAACTTGGACTTGTGCTCCGATTTTCGAGGAAATGGGCGGTGAAAGTTCTATCGACGCGTCAGGCAGCATTAGTATATTTGCATCCGATACGATGTAGATACTAAACTCCTTTATCAAGAGTTGTATGTGGGTGACTGCTGTTGCTGCAATATCTAATATCAGCATGTGGTGCCACCCTTATGTTTGCCTGCAATGTAACGAGAAAGCTGCGATGCGACTTGACAGATTCCAAAAACAGCTTACTTCCCTCCCTGCCCGCATCCTTCAGAGTTCCTAAGGCATGGCAGAGGGACTGATTAGGTGTGTTTAGCTGCACTCTATAAGCACTCCAAGCATTTGCAGCTAGTTGGACACAGCATCCAATGCACACGTACACTTTGCGCCTGCTCGTATGTAGCTGACAGCACCCTGTGTTCCAATAAATAAATGAACAAACAGGCCAATTGATCAATTCCTAACTCATTCTTTGCTAAATATAACTAGTGTAGTAGAAGGTGTCTAAGTGTAAGTTAGCCCAGTCTATTGGCCTGCTCATCGCCCCTCCGTTTCAAGAAGCGCTCTCACTTGTTCCCCACATGTACATCGAGACAAACTGCGTGAAAGGCAGCAAAAGAATGACATACGCAGCCCAGCAGCACGATATCGGCGGCTCAGTGATCGACATTCATCGAAGCGCTGCAATATTTGGGCCATCATGCAACAAAAGGAAGTCAAGTATGTGACGGAAATCCAAACGTAAACTCGTTCAGCAGCGCCTTCGCGCTTTAAAAGGCAATTCCTGTCTGCAGTTTCAGCCAGCGCACGTACTATCATCACCTATTTCAATACCGTAAAGAAAGCATAAGGAAGAATGCAAGGTTAACATACCTGAGAGTATCTCCGCATAAATCTAGCGCAATGAACACCTTGACACTAATAATTTTGAAAAGTTTTAAAGCAATACTCATAGTTGAGAGTTGTCTTTTTAGGTAGACCATGCGTCGCCTAATGACTGTTATCGAGGGAAGAGGGGAATACCGTCTGTGCCAAGAAGTGCTGTAAAACAAGCAGAAACGCAAAACTTCCCGCAGGAAACAAGGACCCCCATCTGCTTCTCTATAAAACGCTTATGTTGATATTTTTCACCCCTTTTACCAAAACATTATGCCTATTGTGTCCTTAGTACCCATATCTCTTAGATTTTCAGTATCTCTATGGCTCGCTGAGGATCCTTTGCCTCCGGTAGATTGCAGGCGCGGCAAGTCCGCGAATAGTCAGGGAAGCTCTGAAACCTTTAGAAATCCCATATTGATAGTTTTGTGCCACCCCCAATTTTGTGAGAAACTCGATAGAGCAAGAAGTGTATTGATTCGTGGTAGGGTGGGCAAATGGTCTTAGCCACATGCTTGTATTTTTCTTTGCTTGGTAACTTACTGGTGCATCTCGTAAAGTCTGCTGATTCCAAAAGACAAAAGCATCGGGTTCAAAACAAGGCCAAACGTGACTGATCGTAATTCCATGGTTCGGTCTTTTCGTAGTGGGCTAAGCTACACCCAAACACTTAGTACTGCACTAGTTTTGTTCAACTGATAGCTCGGCTCATCTGTTCGCATATCGTACTTGCTTCGAAGAACTTATAGATCGATACATGGAGACTCGATGTTGCCTGCCTGTGTCGTATATACGACATGCAACTGGCTGTGAGCTCTCGGAATGCATGGAGGCTGCAGCTACCAGCACCCTAGCTGGCTGTCTCCCTTCCTATCGGACCTCCAAGGGGCACGGACAGTGTACAAAGGGAGCTCTTTTGGAAGGATACTTTGTAACTTTCTATTAAGATTGTTCTGAGTCTAGAACTAAATATATCTGTGAGAATACCTTAGGAAAGGCATGACAGTAGTTAGCATTGCATTGCTAGATGCATTTGCTGGCTGTTCATAGACTGGCTGTGGATACAGTGGGGTGTCAGGTTTCCCACGAATAGCTGCCGTACTCTAATGCAGTCCATTTGGCAGTTCATAAAAATGATATTCTTTGGTAGCGGCGTAAGAGAAAACAGCCCTTCGGCAAGTGAGATCCACGGCTGCACACCGCGTGCTGTTTGCAGGTGTCGATTTGGTCGTGCCGACTAGGAATGTATGGTGGCCGTATGGATGGGCAAATATTTCACAGATTTCATCCGCACGTTTTGTATGCACCTCGCGTTAAATCCCGCAGATCTAACGAAGAAGGGTTTCCTGGCGCATTTTGTTGCAGGGAGAAGCGCTTCAATGGTGGCTTTATTGATGTAGAGGACGCCTTCTGCTTGGGTAGAGTACCACAGTTCAAGCCTTCACAGAGTCTCTGGCCCGTCTTTGGATGCAGGAGTTAGTACATTCGCCACCTTTGGTAAAAACGAAAAGGTTGGATAAGGGTAATCAATCACTTTATTGATATATCGGGAGATGTAGAACTCTGGCTCGCAAAAGCCACAACATAAAGGAATATGTGCTTTTTCACTGTCGTATACATCGCATTTCCGAGGTACCGCATAAGGTGTTCGTAGGATGGGCAGCGACTCAGCAATTGAACCATTGGCCGTTTAGGCTTTCGCATGATGGACTAATTGAGGCTTTGCGAGCAAATGAAAGCAACTCCTGCTTTCTTGGCTACAAATGACGAGCCATACGGGGGGCTAGAAGTGACGGATGTGAGGGGGTGCGCCAACCTGGCCTAGCCTATAGTCTACGTTGAACCAAAACTAGGTGAGCAAACCAGCACTCCTAGGCAGATTCAGACAGCCTCCAACAGCGCACCTGCTACGATTGTAGGAAGACGGCTCTGGTAATCTGGAGCTGCAAGCACATCCAAAACTTCTAAGCAATTAATCAACGGGAGACACCACACCGGAAACAGGCTGCTTGGCGAACAGAGAAGGCGTGTCACGGGAGCCGAAAGTTGTCCACGCAGGCTGCAGAGCTGTGAATGCGGCTGCAGGGGGTAGAGCCGCAGTTGGAGACCCACCACGGGATCTTTCAGCGCTTATGCAACCTCACATTGATCAATCCTATTACCTTTGGTTAGGAGCTGATGTGAAGGGGACCTTTATCCAAGGAGACAAAGAAGTGCAGTCTGCTTGCTCACCCGCTAGCGCAGTCCCTGCCCTGAGACTCAATTCAGCTGACAGGAGGCAGAATGCAATGAATCACAAAGCTATGCCGATTGAACGGCATCTCGAACTGGAATCTTGTCCTTTTAAAATTATTCGTAACCTATGCGCTGGGCCCCTGCACCATAATACAGTCTGAGAAAGAGAGTGGGTGTCCGACGCTGCAAATGCTACCACAGCTTCGCATTGCGAAGGTAACGTGCCAGGAAGTGCTAGGAAGATTTATCTTGTGATTTCCTCAACAACGTTCGTTTACTCAATAGACGTCGGGGTAGAGCTGGTACTTCAGCAAGGCGAGGCCGAGTCTACATGTGGCCTGAGGTCGTTCTGGGCACGCATTATCTCCTAGCTAGCTTTTCACATATTTGCTAGTAGAACATTGCATTGAGCGTCTAACAAAGAAACAGCAAGAATGAAAAACATCAAGGCGGAAGTTGCGGATGTGCTCAACAGCGACGAGCTGCCAGCGGGCTGGCCGGTGACTGGTCGTCCAGCTCGCCGTCTTGAGCTAGTTCCAGGGTCAGCCCTAAGCTCTATTTCGCAACATTTCGAAGCCCGTAGCGCATAGAAAACGTATTGAGTGGATTGTCCGTAAATGGTTGAAAAAAGGCAAAGTGCATGAATCGACCAGCGCCATCGGGCACAACCGGATGTTGGCGCTCAAAAAGGACGGACTTTGGCATATGTGCGTCACCTTAAGGCCCTCAACAAGATTGGTGCAAAGCGTAACTTCTTAGTGCTTCATATTGACGAGTTATCAGACCAGCTGCATGAATCAATAGCCTATAAGACAAGTGACTTTCCTAGGCTCTTTTTCACAAGTCTTCATTTCACCCTAAGAGCAGGCACAAAACGATGTTGCACACTTGCACAATCGAGTATACCTGTACGCCGGCTAAACATGTTGATGTCTCAGCGGAGCTGCAGCGCCAAGTCAATCGTGGTTTGATGAGAGTATCAAGAACGGGTAGATGGCTGCACAGATGGACGACGTCTCGGTACTCAGCCGAAAGAGTCAAGAACCCCTATAGTGCTTAGGTGTGGATCAGCTGTTCAGGGACAAGCAGTGCTGCGTAAAAGGTGCGCAAGTGTTTGGTTCCGTCTAAGACCTGGATATAGGAGGCCAAGGTCGCAACAAGGACGCTTATCAGCCACCTTGTAGCTCCACCAGTAGTTGCGCTGCTAGATTAAGAACTCCACGTCTTCCTAGCAGCGCAAACCATTGACGAAGCGGTTGGTGCTAGTCCCTTCCAACAGCCTACAGGTTTTTTGGAGCCCCACAATATTACTTTTCAATCTCGCCGCTTCCCCGAAAAAAGCAGCGGTGTCCAGTGAGGAAACAGCAGCTTAGCGCACTGTAGTGGGGAGTGGAAAAGGCGAAAATTATTTGCATGGGGGTCACTTTGCTTTACAAGCCGATCATCAGTCTTTAGTGTACTTAACAAAGAGTATTCAAGCCTCTGACAATCCAAGAGTCGTTCGGTGGCTTGGTCCTCCCTGCCAGGCGACTTTACAACGAAACTTATTAACGAGCTAAAGAACGTGTCGCTGATGCACTCTCGCAGTGCCCCCGCGATTCGCTAATGCGCAGCCCAATCGCTATTGCATTTGGTCGGTAGGGGCGTGTACCGAAAGTAAGTGATTATTGGTTTCGGCACCCATTCATCCGGCTTCTTTAGTGGTTTTGCGAAAAGCGAGTGGTTACGTTCTTTTGGCTCATGGTGGGACGCACATTGCACGGGTGAAACCGTAATTGTTCTGAAGGGCTCAGACAAGTAAAGTAGGGATAGAATATGCATTGCCTGTTTCAGAATATCAGTAGCTCAGACTGGGAAATTTTTATACACCTGGATTCTTGCAAAGGCCTCCGAATCCATGCCAGGGTTTAGTTTCATCTGATTGGACTTTCTTGATGGACTGCCGGGTGTCAAGAGTCAAGATAGCATGTACGCCGTTGTTGACAGACTCAGCAAATATGCTTATTCCAACCTTTAATCCAGTACTATCACACAAATTCGTTAAAGATTTTCGCCTATGCCAAACACGAATTCCCCAGGAGCCCTCACGGATAGGAATCCGACTTTCTTTGGTGCTCTATGGCTTGCCTCACAACTTACCTACACACTGGCTGTACTAAGACAATTTTCGAACCACTCCGCGCCAGATGACCAGACCAAGTGCACAAATAGAATTCTTCTGTAGTTCATGTGACTCCACGCTTGCAAAAATTCATTTGCTCAGTTTGAGGCTTTTCCTGTGTTGAGGGCGTTTAGAATTCAACAATACACCCGTCTACTCCTTCCTCTCCCGCATCCCTTGTATACGCTGAGGATCGCTTTCCGATCGGAGCCTGGACCCGTAGGTCCAGAATTAGCAACTCACCGTAGCCACGTAGAGACATAAAGAATAACTGGATAGTGTACGCGGGTGTATGCGCAAAGCTGAAGAGCTACAAGCACGGAGCTTGGATGAGTGGCGCTTGGCTGTGGTTGAGCCGAGAGATTTGTTTTTGGTTGACCCGCAGGTTTTACGAGATGACTAGATAGCATCTTTCGTAGACAGGTGGCCAGGACTAATTGCCATCCCAACCTACCTCGAAGCAATGCATTGCTTGTTCTACCGAGGTTCCTGACCCGTGTGAAGGCGGCGGATTTGATGGAAGGCGCAGAACTGCTGAATGTCGAACCCTTGAGCGCTGGTGGCACACTGCACAGGAGTTGCTTGCAGCTCTCAGTATTTGACGAAAGAGCTGCTGCGGACCTGGTTGCCTGCGGGGGGATTTGTGGCTCTGTTTTACAGCGCTATTCGGCACGAATGGTAGTCCTCTCTTCCGCCGATAATACTTGGTCCTCAGCACATGGTTTACCTGAAAGTAGCTACCTCCACGTATGAATATTGCTATTAAGGGTCCCATTTGTGGTTTTTCGATGTGTTCATTGCACTCATATTCATGCGCAGGCATTCTACGATATGTCAACCCTACATTTTTCCTTATAATCCTTCAAAAGGCTTTAAGATAGGTCACGCTACATGCGTCAACCGTTCGTTATTGGCTAGTATGAGTGCCTTTGCTCCAGTCGACTTCACTTCAACTCTTAATGTGCACACTCGTTTCTTATGAGAATGCGCGGTTTTCATGTTTCCGCCCTTCGAGGAGTGGCGACAGCTAGGGTATCCTTTTACTGTCGTGCGCGTGCTTTTTGAAGCGAGGAGGGACTAGGGGCAGGGGATATATGCCGGGCTAAGTTTCGAATAACTCCCCTCTACTACGCCAGTTATACCTAACAAAGGATGAGTAGGTATTGACTACCTCGCTTGCCTGTCCATATATTTTCGTTATTGTAGAGTACTATTAGCCTGAACAAAAGACGCAACGTGTGCACATGCGCTGAACGGTAGTTTCAGCTAGTTGCGAATGCTTGCAGCGCTTAGAGTTTGTGCCTATGCGCTACGCATCCTAGCAAGATTGCTGTCCCTCTGCTTTTCCCTAGTCACTCTAAGAGGTGTGGGTCGGGAAGGAGCTGTCTTGGTTCACGCTCAGTAAGTCCCTGTTAGGCTTGTATTGAGGCTGGAGCTAGTCTCTCAATGGAAACCATAAATGGAGTCATGTACAGCATTGAAATGCAAGCGAAAAAAAGAAGCTGGCACACTTATTACCAAATGTTCATGCACAGTCGCACTTGTGTACACACTCAGTGGTCATAAGGAGGCTAGTGTGTTACGGGAGAGATTATTGCGTTCTCCTCTTGCAATGTCAACATGGCTGTAGTGTCTCGATCTCCCGTTCGACAGTACACACAGCTGCGCCAAAGGACGATTCAATTAAGTCAACATCATAACTGAACTACTAAAAAACACTTATACACAGGTAAGTCTAGCAGGTGGCGAAATTATCCCTGGTCGTGCATGCACGCCAACAGTCTCCCACAAACGTCCTTTGGTGAAGCCCAAGGAGCTGTCTAAGGCTTGCGTGTCTGATCTGTTCCTTTATCTACCTACAATTTTTAGCGTGAGCACTAGTTTATTTGAAGTGATAACTGTTGCGCTGGAATGTTTTACGGAGAGGCACCATCTCCACAGTTGTCTCTTGGCTACAGGAGAACCGGTCTGGTCCGTCGGCCATGCGGCTTAGTGTACTAGCAACTGTGGCTCAAACAAAGCTGTAATCTTTTCAATTTTCTGTTTCCGAATATAAGTGTTATGTGTGTAACTGATCGATCTTCCCCATGTTCATGGGGACTTTGGTTTTCGACGGACGACTCTCGTGCAGCTCCCACTCGCCTCAGTCTATAGGGCAGAAGGCGGAGTGCAGCAGGAATTGTGAAGTTGGAGAATATGCCTTCCCCTAATGAGCAACCAGGAGGCATGGGACTTCTGCTGATGCAGGGAGACGGAAACTGCAGGTACTTATGTTCCTCGCAAAGGAAGACAACTACAAACTGAGGCGATTCAAGTTCTTGGCACTAACAAAGACAAGTGTTTTGCACCACAGTCATTCAACTCAAATATGCTGCTATTTTTGCCATGAAAAAGCCCGCTAGAACACACATACCTAATTAGTGTGAAGTATTTCATTGCACAACCTGCAACGTAGAACGCCCTGTGGGCCCTAGTTGAGGAAGTGCATGGTGTACCAGCTCTCGGTTTATCTGTATGCTCCTGTGCATGGTCTTGTACCAGTGTGATACCCAGCAAAAAAGGAAAAAATGAGGAATTCCGGCTGCGGGCATCGGCTGCCCGCACGCAAGCTGGTAGGTATCCCGCGACGCCACATACATGTGACAAAGATGGTGGAGGTACAGCGGACAGAAGTGACATATGTCGATGTCTTTTATTACTTCTTTATCGGTCGTGCTATTCACAGATCCTCCAGGGGTGGATGTATTTCGTTTTCCGCACTCGCGTATGGCGACTGTAATATCAAATTGTAACAGGCAACTGCATGTGTGGTGTTGTGGTCCCAGTCTTAAATGTAGTGTGCGGAATCGAAGGCATCGATATGCAACTGATGCCAGCTAGTTTCAAGGTCCTTCAGTCTGACTTCCACTGGGCCCTGCAGGACCTTGGCTCGCTGGTGTTCTACCAGGTGAGCGTTTTCTCTATTTACATTTAGAATTCACACCAGGTTTCAGCGCCTGCCAGCCCATTCCCGTCTATATGGTTGTTCACAAAGCTTCTTAGCAGGTTTTTGCTCTGCATTTACTTCATTACTGTGCATTGTACTTCATTTCTGTATTTCAGAGCGCTTCCCAGGCAATCGCCGGGCTGATTTGGGGTGTGCTCGCTGATAGGAGCTCCCGCGTGCAGCTACTCTCTTTGGGTTGCGCTGGGTGGGGAATTGTATCCATTTTCTTGGGAAGCTCCACAGCTTTCTGGCAGTTTGCACTCCTTAAGGTGCTCAATGGCATCGCCATGGCCAGGTAAGTCTTAATTCAAAGGGGGATTTGCAGAGGCTAGGCTAGCAAAGACTGACGACTACTAGTGTGTTGATTTTTGCAAAGGTCCTATAGTTGCAATGATTAGCTGCTTGCAGAGAAATAGTTAAGTGTGCTGTGGGCATTCAGTATCGGCCCGGTAGCGCAGTCGCTGATTGCCGATTTGTTCCCGCCCACAATGAGAGGAGAGCACTATGGCTGGCTGCAGCTCTTCCTTTGCGCAGGTACTGCTGCCTTCTGTCAGGCTGTGTGCCAGCTTTTAGCTCTATCAATCATTTTTCCTGCCCATGAGAACCGCCTTGTACGTAAAGTGACGTGAGCGTATACCTTCTTGATATCACTTTTTGTGCCGTGGTTCTCAGGATGTATTATGGGGGCGATGATTGGTGGCTCCGTCGCCAATATTACAGCCATAGAGGGCGTAAAGGTGATTGCACACTGTGCGCAGCAACAAGTCCCATGAACTCATTAGGCTGCATTTGCATTATTCTGTAACCATTCACCTAGCAAACTGGGCTAAATCTGAAACAGCTGTTCTGCTTTCATACTAGGTTCTACGGCCCTTTCCGCTTGTATTTGCGCTCTTATGCAATCATTAGGGCTGGCGCCTCGCCTTTTTTTCTGCTGGCGTGCTGTCGCTGTTCGTTGCTTCCCTCGTCCAGCTTCTTGCGAAAGAGCCACCACGCAACCAAGTGACCCTAGTGAATGAGTTACCATTAGATCTAGTCAAAAACAGCAACAAGCAACAAAAAGGCGCTTTCACTGATTTTTATCAGCGCTGCCACAACTTTTGCCGCGCTGCCTTCAGCAGAACATTCCTGTTGCTCCTCCTGCAGGGTGTCTGCGGTTACATCCCACTGCATGCTTTTCAGTTCTACACGCTTTACTTCCAGTATGTCGGAATGCCGGACTGGCAGGCCTCTCTGCTTACAGCCTGTCCCCTGGTGGGAGGACTCTTAGGATCACTCTTTGGGGGATGGTTGGGGGATCAGGCTGAGCGGTGGAGTGAGTTCCACGGCCGGCCTCTTGTTGGGCAACTTGGAACGCTTTTGGCCCTGCCGCTGATTTACATCGGGCTCCTCGGGATCCCAAGAAGGCCAGAGTTTTTTGGTCTCTATGCCATCGATATGCTTGTTTTGGGTTAGTTGAAGTTTGTTCCTCTCTTGACTGCGATGCAAAAGGCGCCTTGCACATCGCATTCCACACGAAGAGCTCTTTTCCCACCGAACGTCAAGTCTTCTGGATCTGGGATCCACCATTTGAACAGCTGCATTTCTTGCTCCTTTTATTGTTGTGGATCTGTCAGGTTTCGCAATATCTTGGTGTCCTAGCGGAGTGAACAGGCCGATCCTCTCAGAAATCGTGGAGCCGGATTCGCGTGCTACGGTCTTTGCCACCCAAATTGCTGTTGAGGGCAGTGTCTCCGCCCTTCTGGGGTCTCCCGTTATCGCTCTTCTTGGTGAGTTTGCGGCCCATACAAAGCCCTCACACCATAGGTTGGTGCGTTCTACAAGGCTCGTGCCAGTATGTTCAGCACGTTTATTCAAGCCGCGTACTGGGGAGAAAGGGACCTCTGACTGTTATTCTATCATGCCAATCCTTTGTTTCACCGCACAAGGAGTTTCGCGTAAAAAAACTATTAACATGAAAATCGTGCCATGCAGGTGCTTTTCTCATTTGACACAGCTGAATCGATCTTTGGATATCGGACAGGTGTACCATTCCACGCTGCGGTAGAGCGAGAAAGAAACACGGACGTGAGACATTTATTTAACTGCATTGGCGACCCCAACTCAGACAGTTCCTTTGGCGGAGCATTCAAAATCTGATGGATATGGTTCTTGTGCCCGTTGCGCGCTAAATGGATGAACCAGGTGGCAGAGCAATTCGTATTGGTGCCTAATGCAGAAAAATTATTGATCTCCGTGGCATTTTTTCACAGGCGTTAGCAAATGCGCTTCTAGTTGCCACCGCATTTCCGTGGACTGTATGTTTCTTCCTTGTAAGTCCAAATGTTTTAAACCGAAACTTTAGCGATTTCACCAGCATCACTCTCCGTTGCTCCGAATTGCTGCGTTATACCGCGTATGTTCCAATACACATTTCCAGCTGCGCGCTGTTCCACCTCAAATACTGCAACGCCATCAGCCTAGTGGAAGGTCACGTACACGTAGTCCTTATTTAAATGGAAGCTGTTTGCAGTACGTGAATTTTGATCTACGGTGTTGTGCTGCTCTACCGTTGTTTGCGGATCAGTACGGGCTAATGCACTTCACGTACCCCAAAGATGCTATTGCCTACGAGACGTTCCGTGCGGCAAGCACAGGGATGCGGACACGCACCGACAGAAATTACACCCCGCCCCCAGCAGGGGACCCGATGTCTGCTAGTTCCAAGTCGTCCAAGTAGCAAAACCTCGAGAACTCTGGAAGACATCACTAGCAGCGGAGGCCACATTGCCGACGGACAAGAGGAGAAAATCGTGAATCACAGTCGCATAGAGCTTCTTGCCACGGAAAAGCACCATGCAAATTCCAGTGCCACCAACCTGCATAGACGAGCTATGGGTTCCCTCTGGAGCCGTGCGAGGACTTCACATGAGCTCCAGATGCTGTTGCTGCCGGCTCTTCAGCGCCTGCGGCCGTTGTTACCTTATTGCTGCTGCTTAAACGTGAGGTTGGAGAAAAACGTCGATCCTACCGGCGTTTGTAAAGGCACGGCTGTAAGAGCTTCTCGGAGAGCTCAGGGTCGTGTCTACGTAGTTTTGAGCTTCGAATATCCTTGGCAAACTCCAGAAGAACGAAGAACGACGCTAAGTCCTCCTACACATAAACAAAGTGAGTAACATATAATTGAAAAGCTATATGCGCAAGCTTTCCGTGCCACTGGCTAGCGACCAGCGGGCTACCTGTTGGGCGCTGAGACTCCACCTGCGCTCATCAATATAGCTAGCAGCAACACTTTCGTGCGGCTTGCACCACACTTTGACACTCTTTTTAGGAGTGTATGAAGGGAACAGACCCGTGTATTGTTTTTGAATCCCAAGCCTTCAACAGCTTCGATAAACGCTTGCAATGACGCAATCCGCGAAGAAACTTCCACTATCAACAGGTAGCCACTGAAAGAAAGTCGCAGCCATAGGTTTAGTGATTAGAACTCAGCGCGCTTGGGATTGACGCACCACTGCACAAAGGTGAATGCCTGATAGACTGGTCAACACAGCATAGCATTAGGGCGCCATATGTCGAGTTCCTGTCTGTGAGTCCACGGGGGTTTTCGATTGGCAATAAGTAATGATGTGATGTCTTTTAGCTTCCGATTAATTGCTTTATGGGATTTGCACTTACACCAACCGCGTCAACATGCGGCCATTCACAAATGGCTCTAGACTGTGAAATTAGACTTGGCAAAGGCACGCGTGCACATGCAAAGTACCTAGGCTTCAGGACTCTATGAGCTTCCTTTAAAAAAGATGGCCAATCCTTTCCCATCAGACTTAAACAGAAAATCGCCACGTCTAAGTGTCCATTTGGCAGGGGAACCTGCAGTTCGAAACCAACATCGACACAAGCAGCCAAAAAAGCGTAAGTAACTCATTGCTGTGTCTAAGGTTGGGGAAGTTAGCTTCACCAGTACACAAGCAGATAATGAGAGCTTGCAGGTTTGCTAAGAAAGCGCACTGTCCAGCTAAGTGTACACAAATCCAGGTCGACATACACTCGAGACATCGCAGGCAGTGATCCGCTCGTTTCCCGCCACCAAGTCGAACGAGTAAAACTGCCTGAAGCGGAACACCCTAGTTATGAAGTGCAATCTGAAATGAAGCGAGCGCCCGCTGTAACTGTACCAGTATACCCAATTGAGAGCAAGCAGCTGCAATCTGCTCTTGAGGCGAACGCTTATCGCATAAACTTCACATAGGCATCCGCATTGAAAAAGATCCTTTACCGTTCGGGAAATTGGAGAGCCAGCGTTGCCTCGCCGCATCCAAAGTCGCCAACGCTACAGCGCAACGGAGGAAGAACGCATGTGTTTCACTGGAACTTATCACACATTCGTGGGAGAAGTAGCTCTACCGTCTGCTTTTGCTTTACACGCTTGACAGCAACCATTGTTGTAGTGAATACTGGCACAGGTGCGAGGGTGAGAAAAGCGGAATGCTTTGTTGCGATAGAAGATAGAACCTACACCCATTCCTTCGGTTGCGTCTTGAGCCAACTGACAACATAAGTCAGGGGATTCAACGGCCATCGCCGCACTTGTGCACGATACCCCGCGTGGTACTGAGAAGGCAAAAGATATGGCACGACACAGCACAACAACATTGCGCAGTGTATCTGGAAAACAGGGTTTATTGGCCCTCTGCAGTGCGTGATCTAAATAGCCATACTAAAGCAGTCCTTATCTTGGTTTTACAGAGAAAGCGCTATACTGAGCACTTCCCCATTTCCTGCCGCCTGGAGTGTCTGGAGAGCAGCAGCCAGGGGCACCTGTGGCTCAGCTGTGCTGTCTGCTTCGGCGGTTGTTAACACAGAAGTCTCGCCTTAGTTAGCACTACCCAAATTACATGACAGCGGTCAGCAGAGGCAAATGCAGAAAACAGCTTATGCATGCACTAGCTGCTAGCTAAGCACCCACCAGCAACTACGAAGAGCGAAAATAAGAAAAGATGCAGAAGTGCACTTGGGTAAGCAGCAGCCATATAGACGCACAAGATCAAAGAGTTTGGGGTCCCTCTGGTAGTAGTCCATGGCCTCCTTTCCGCTTCTGGTGTACAAAAATTCATTGAGGGAGCGGAAGCGGCTGCCGTGCAGCCGATCCACAAGCGCAGCAGCACTATTAGCTGCTGCCCCTCGAGCTGCAAATTGCTTTACCAGTTGCAACTTCTGCCTCTTCGCATGAACATCCTTGCATGCCTCATCCTGCAGATCCATGCTTTCTTGTGGAAACTTATCCATTCCTGAATCTGCCCAGCACTCTAAGGCACGCTTGCTGGTTTTGGTTGCTGTGCGGTTGCCTGTATCCGCCCCATGGTGGAATTCTTCGTCGAAGGGCCTGGTGCGCTTTTTTTCCGAATGTTCGCTGCAGCAGTTCCGCAACAGTCCATCTTTGCTGTTTGGCTGCTGCGAATGGCCTTGTTGTGGATGTTTTTTGTGGCTGCGTCTTTTACTCTTCTCGTGTGGGGCGGCGCCACCAGAAGTGTCAGCCCCTAGGTGATGAACTCGAGGAGATCTATCACGGAGGCTGACAAGGTCTTTAGTCTTTTCCTTGGGCACCTCCACTGCCTGTACAGTAGAGGTTCGGCTTCGCTGGCCTTTGGCGCTGTGTTTTTCCGCCCTTATGGAGTGATTAGGGCCCTGATTGCCACAACAGGCGTTGGATCCGGGGACGGGTGGAGCGAAATTACAATTCCGCTTGTCTAATGATTCAGGAGTCACCAGTTGCTGCGCATGGATGCCGCCACCTGACCCAAGGGCATGTGCAGCTGCTCTGCGTTTGGACTTGAAGCGCAGCGATAACATTACACCAGCAGAACAGTAGAAGACCGAGATCGGGTCCCTTGATGAGATCTTAGTGCCTTTCCAGTAAAGCGGAGTGGGCGCTGAAGGCCCTTTAGGATGCCATATGTTATGTACTGCGCGCACTGGCGACTGTTTGCACCTTTGGTAGGATTGAAGCACGTTACGTGCCCAAACACGGGGAAATAAGATGGTGATACGCCATACATACGCCGCGTGTTTTAGGAGAGGACAAAAAGAACGTAGTATCGTAGACCCCAACCGTCAGCATGCTGACGGCTCGAAGACTGTACAAAATACATCGTATAATAACGCCAGATATCGGCTCTGCCTTCAACAATGATAGAGAAAAAGATTCGTGGAGTAAGAATAGCAGCAGCTCTTATTAGAAATGATGCGCTATACAAATGCTTTCTTTTACTACCTCGACTGGCTCACCGCCACAGACCGCCCCTCTCCCACAGCATCTACAGACGACAGGCTGGTGTAAACATCGAGTAGCCCTTCGCATATTCACGTATTTTTTTTAATTTTGTCCATAATTTGTATGGCCAAACATTCCTAGGGAACATTAGTGCCACCTAAGGCTGAAAAGTCCGTCCTAGTTTTTGCGCTTCGCCGAGATGCCAGGAACCGGTCCCGTTTGATTTCCACTCCTCGTCTCACAGCCATAGCAGGATATTTGTACGCATTTTAGCCTCCGTGGAACGGTGTTGGTTGGACTTCGTGCGTGGCCGTAAGTTCGAGATACCCGATTGCCACAATGCAGAAGCCTGTGCCAGTAGATGCCCAGCGCTCCTTAATGGAGCTGCAAGCATATCAGCCAGAGTATGACGCCGGTCTTTACATGGAACAGGCCCCTGGGATTCAAGCTACTCAGTGGCCTCCGCATTCCGTGAGCGCGCCTCATGGAAAGGGGGAAGGAAGTCAAAGCCGAACGATGGCGATCGCGCTGATGGCGCTAGTGGTTTTGATCGCTGCCATTCCAGGAGCCTTATACGTTCTACCTAAGAAGCAGACTAAGGATGTTGGCCTTCTTGACGCGCTGCCGCCTGATTCTCTCATGGATCCCTCGAGCCTCAGCGGCACTGTGAGTCAACTACGCATAAGATCCGATGGCACGGTGCCCGTTGTTTCGGACCTGAAAGAGCGTTTCCAGCAACTAAAGTACATAAGCGGATTTGGCCTGATTTACCCCACTGAAGACGAATCCTGGAATGATTCACTGCATCACTTCCAGAAGGCTCTGGAAATGTCAAAGAACTTTGTCCCGCCAGAAAACATAAAGAATCCTGAGGAACGACAAGAAGCATACCGCCAAGCCATGGCAATGGATTTGGCGTGCTTAGAGAGCGCAGCTCTGCAACTAGAAGCGCGGATTGTGGAAGGCACAGAGGCAAAAGTTGGTCAATATGTGGAAGAGGCCATTCAGCGCCATGAATTAAAGATGCAGGTGCGGCGCCAGCAGGCGAAAGCAGCAGAACTCTGGGAGAAGAAGGTGAAAGAAGGGGCTCTAGGTGTAGACCGTGAGCTCCAGGCGGGGCTTCTGCGGCTCCTTGGTGCGGTGCGTAGCAGAGCAGCCGCGAGTGAGTATCTCTCACAAGTGAGGAAGGACACTTTACAGGAAATAGGGGAGCCTGTGGACGATCATGAGGAAGACCACGCATACCAGGGGGTTGGGAAACTCGTCGAAGCGGGGCAGCATGTGGCGAATTTACCCGTGATTCAGGGACAGGTTGGGTATTGGCTGGATATGCTTTTTGTGAGTATTTGAGCGTTGTGAAGCTCGCTGCTCGATCTTCGTGTTCGAGCTTATCTGCATACTACAGCATATGAGGAAGCGCACGTAATTTTGGGGCTCTAACCGATAACATCACTGTTCTGTTGGCCAAAAGATGCGTCTATCTCGCATCGAGACTCATTGCTGGTCGGGAATACTGTTTTTGACGGGGTAGACAATGTCCCAAAGAGGAAACCGACGGGCTACCACCCTCCACTGGTTAGATCTTCCTATAACAAGTAAATTTTAGTGTGCTTTTTTTCGGCATTTCATGCTGCCTGGTCTGAAAAGGAGAGCCATCTGCATGCTTGAGTGCAAGAGCACTGCAGTACTTCAGCTGCGGTGACCCAGCGCTTTACTATTCCACTGCATATCCATGCCCTACCTCTGATGGCTTTCCATGCATGTTAAGGGTGGATAAATTTTATGTTGAGTGGGGCTTGCCAAAGAGGATTCGAATTGTTCGGTCCCACCAAGCTGGTGCAATCCACTTGTTGGCGGCAACGGCACGTTGGTTTCCACCGGAAAGATCCTTTTAATATAGCCATAAACAAGATTGATGTCATTGTTGAACGCTTACGCGAATCAAACACGTGGTTTTCCTTTACTCAACTTTTTCTCCATGTTTGAAACCCAAATTTTAGTCTTTCGTACACGGTCTTAGTGAGGATACACTCAACTCCTGATACAGTGATAAAGTAAAAACTTAAGAGGGTACCGAGTGTTTGCTCTGAAAACAACTTCCCTTTCCGCATACCCGCGCCCCCAAGGGTTCCGACAGGAGGGAGAGGGAGGAATAGGGCGCGCAGCTGTAATCTCTTAGCACTCCGAGCAGTCACTAAATTTCACGCATGTGTAAGGCACACGCATACAAACCTTGCGTCTTGTGTATCAAGCTGGCCGTACTCTACAATCGATTATATGTGCAAATGGTCAAGCCAGGTAGTTAAATTCTCACTAATTCCTAGGTATTTTTTTAACTAGTGCAGTGGAAAATGTTTAATTGTAGCTTTCCCCGCCTGCATATTTCTTATGCACTGCTCCAGCCGCGTGCTCGTACACTTCGCCTTTATTTATCGGAATCTCAAGTAATCTGAGACTGTAATTCCTTAGCCCAGTCTCTGAATGTGAGGATCTTAATAAAAAGCTGGGTAGTGCAGCACATTGCATCTTGCGCAAGGGAGTTCCGCGTTCTCAGTCCTCGTTTGTGCTTAGCGAGGCACCTCTACAGCTGAAGAGCACTGCTCTTCGCACATTTTCGATTCGCATCGTGCAGGATGTGGGCGGTTTCCCTTCTTGCATCGCTGTATCTGCTACACCTAGCCAATGACATGCTTAGATACTTCCCCTACGCTGCTCCAGTTCCCCAGTTCTCTCTGCTTATCCAGCATCAAAGCGGTTGCACCAACCTCTGGAAGTTTATTGTCATTTTCCAACACGAATAGAACGGAACGAGCCATAATTTCTCTTAACGTCCTTTGTGATGCGAAGGTAGTTCTCCTGCCGTCCACAACGGTCCCTTGCGATGATGGCGGGGAATCCGCACGACGCCTAGTTCAATCAAAAGACATAATTATTGCTCTCTAATGGGGAAGAGTTTTACCTATGGTCTTAAGTGGGGACTCCTAAATCCAGGCTCGATACAAAACTCACAAAAACTTATTTAATGTTTCCAGAGGATCGCCTTCCCTCCGTGCCCTCGCCTCCGATATGAGGGTAAAAGGGCAGCTAGGCTGCGCGTAGCGGCACCCTCAAGAGCTCCGAGTATTTGCAGCCGGATACACAAAGCATCAAGCGCACATGCACACAAGTGATAATTTCCCTACCAACGTAGCGCCATCCTGTGCAGTAAACAAGATATATGAACAGCCAAATCATATGGTTAATGCTTCACTGGTTCTTTATTATATGTAGTGTAGTAGTAAGTGCAAAACTGTAGCACTGCCAGCTACACGCTGCATCCAGAATACGTCGTCACTAAAGGCATTCGTGTATTGCATCATTCCAATAAGAGAATGTCTGTTAGCTTCACGTTGACGTCATGTGCAACCCTCATCTTTGCATAAAGCTGTGCGCATTCCCTCACCCGAGCGGCCTCTAGGGTACGCATTTACTGCTAAAGTGGCAAGTCAGCGAAATATTCCATATTACCGTCTGATGATATAACCAGGAAATAACAGTACGTTTTGAAGACCAAGAAATCGAAAGACCACCCAGCATCTCCTGTTACTGCAGCCTCTACGCATTCCTGACAAAACTATAATCTTTATGTGGGGCGAAGGTTTGTGGGATCTTTTGTTTCCATCGGAGTAGCTAAGAGTACCGCGCCTCCCCACAGCGGCACCATCTACCGACCATGCGGCAAAGCAAGAGTAGAAAGGCTACCTTTAGCTCTACCCAGCGATTTTACGCTCAAATTAAATATTGTTATAGCTGTGCTAGCATGCAGCTACCTGGTTGCGCATCCCTGCTGACGCCTGCCTCAGGGAGTTCGGGGCTGCACGGGGCCCCCTTGAGGATGCATGTACATGGCTTTACCTGACAGGCCCTGTAGTTATTCCTTGCCTTCCTGATCCATAAAGGCAAGCAAGTGCTAGTAGGGCATTGAAGAAGCTACAAAAGGCAGAGGGAGGCAGGCAGTAGATGGCTACGGTGCGCAAACCCCGCAGTCCTCGGCCAAAAGGAAGGTTTTTGATATATCTGTGCTTGTTTCAAATTGTATTTCGGATGCGCGTTTCGCCCTAAAACTGCTGTGTTCTTGACTTTTTCTTGCTTGGTTCTCATAGCAGCCATTTGATCGGTGGCGAAAAAGAAACTTGAAGGCTCACTTGTCGCCTCCCGTGGCTGCGTATTGCATTGCGAATCCCACTTCCGTGGGCCTTCTGTGTGCATCTGAGGTATCTTCTTGGGCAAAATCGGCGCTTCTCAAGTCGAGGGCTACTGCGTGTGTTGTTTCTTCCCATTTCGATCTTCGCCAGGGGCTGCAGGCACGGAGCTTCCGATTTCGCTTTCCATCCCTCAATGGCCAAGGGAAAGCGGGGCAGCGGCCGTACGGCTGCTCAGCCTTCGAGACCCTCTGGCACCTCGACTAAGGCCGAAAGGCGTGCGGCGTCGTCAGTCTTGGAGTCATCGGCGATACCGGATGGGGAGCTATCCGACGGATCCGCTGATTTCCTGCCTCTTACTGGGGGCCGCGATGACGAAGAATCTAGTGAATATGAGGCGCTTCTGATGCGACAGATGGGACTGGAGGGCGCAGAAGACGCTGCGGATGAAGAAGACAGTGGAGATGGCACAGGGGAGGGGACAGAAGATAACGAATCAGATGAAGGGCAAGGGGCCGAAGCAGGTTCAGGTACATAACTCATTCCTCTTTCGCCTCTGCATTGTGGTGATGAATGGTTTGCGCCTTCTATAACCCCCAATCTGAGCAGTCAAGCCGCGACGCTGGTAGAGACCAGTACTACTGCAGATGCATGGATTCGGCGATGCTTGTGCACGTTGCATGCGTGCACACACACGCTTCGCGTATCGGTTGAACACACATGAGCAGTTTCAGGTGTAGCCGCTTTCTGATGCAGATGATGGTGAATCTACGGATGACGGGGAGGCGCGCACTGCATGGGGCCGCCGGGCGAAGGACTTCTACGGAGGTAGTAGCAGTGACGAGAGCAGTGAAGACGAGGAAGAGCTACAGTTGCAAGTGGCGGAGGCTGTCAGGGTGAACGAGGTGGAAGATGTCGAGGGCATGCAGGAGGAGCACTTTGGTGCAGATCCGCGGGCACTCGAGGGGCTGCGGAAGCTGCTGGACATGCAAGGAAAGTCACTGGCCTCAGACAAGGCATCAGAAAAAGCGGGCGATGAAAAGACGGAGCAGGAGTTTCTGTGGCAGGCTCGACTAGATGCGGTAAGGCTTGCGCTTGCTGCAGCAGACACCCCGAGCAGAATGCGCCCATGGAAGCCTTTTGCTGTATTAGGGAGGCGCACGTGGCACCAGTGGGTGGAGGCCTTTATGCGGGGCCAGCAGTCGTGCAACTTGCATTTGGACGATTAACCCCTGTAGCAAAAAAGGTTTGGAGCAAAACTGCCTCCTTATAGGCAGCAGCAGCGTTTGAAACTGCACTGCTGCGCGGCAGATCCAGTCTGTCATTCTGGCGAATTTGGCGGTAATAGGACGTGCTGCAGAAAAGCACGGCCACGCGCGAGATTTGCATGCTAGGGAGCATGCCTCGATACACGCTTCAGATACAGCGCATAAATTCACGTGGTGGATGTTGCGTAGCTTTTGCCTGCGTGTCATCGGGTGTCTTCTGTGGGCTGCACAGGAAGTCGGAGCCATCCTCGACGGTTTCTCAATGTACGCGGACCAGCAGCACCAAAAGGCACAGGCAGCGGTAGTGGGGCTTAGCAAGGAGGAGCTGGAGAAAGTTGTTGCGTCTGCACACCCCGAACTGCAGGGGCTGTTGCGAGAGCTGCGGGAGGCGTTGAAGGAAGTCAACGAAAAAGTGATGCCTCTTGTGGCGCTTGCGCGGAGCAGGAAATTTTTAACCAGAGAAGTGTGCAGGGCCGATGTTCGGGCTTTGGGGAAACACCCATCTTCATGTGTTGTGTAGTTTATGGTTGCCTTCGTGCCGGGAACTGTAGTGCAGAAAGAGTCCCACTGCGGAGGCAGTGTGTGGTGCTGCACGTGTATTTGTGCATGAAGTGTCTGTTTTTAGTTCAAGACGTGTTTTTGCATGCGCTTGGGTAAACCGGCGTGGACGCAGGGCGTTTCTCTGTTCGACACGAAGAACCAGCTGCTGCTCTCATATCTGAGCTACCTGAGCTATTACGTGGTTTTAAAGGCGCATGGCGTCTCTATCGCCAGCCACCCGGTGGTTGAGAGGCTTATTGAGTCGCGATTGCTGCTACAAAAGATCCGCCCCGTGGAGGCGGCGCTCAAGCCCCAACTGGAGCAGCTTCTTCTGATGGGCCGAGAAGAAGGTAGGCATAGACACACTGTTTGCTGTTGTGTGCTTTCTTTTTTCAGCTCTATGGGGTAGTGGCGTGTGTTAGCTCTGTAGGTGTAGCCACAGCTTGCTCCGAAGTGCCGCGTGGTCCTATGGTGTGCTCCTCGCTGGGTTTGCTCATGAACGCCAGTGGATATCGTCGGTGTCTAGCCGTGGCTGGCACAATGTCATTGTTGACCTTCTGGATGTTCCGTGTGCTTCAACTCCGTTCGTCGTTGACTCACTTTCTGGTGTTTCTCGCAGGGTCCAAGGCTTCTGCGGCAGCTCCTCGTGCCAGACCCGAAGCTTTCGCTGCTGTTGGCGAGTCTGACGAAGACGCGGAAGAGCCTGATTTCCAGAAGGAGGGGACGGAGGACGGGGAATCTGGCAGCGACGGCGAAGCTCATACGGACGTGCAAACCTATAAAGCACCCAAAATGCTGGCAATGGAGTACACTCAGGATAAGGCAAGTCCAACGCTTGTTTGATGCTCCATGCTGGTACAGGGCGTTAAGAAGAACATATTTATATGTATATATATTCATATACATGTATCATGGGGCCCCTAGGTGTTGCTTGGAGCAGCATTCTTTATTCTCTCCTTGCGTTTCGGTTGTAGAGTGTCGTCGGCCGTGAAGCTATGTGCGTCCCTTCTATTCAGGTCTCCGCAAAGGATAAGGCTGCACGAGAATTGCAGAGGGCTGCTGCTCGGCTGCAGAAGAGCGAGCTGGTTCGCGCTGTTCGGGCAGTGGCTGGCGATGCACCAGAGGAAATTGGAATCGAGCGGTGGCTAGCCGCCAAGGCGCACGGCCAGGCTGTGCGGGAGGCTGGTCTTCTTGGGGCGAGCAAATTCGACGATGATGATCAGGAGCTGGAAATGATGAGGCGTTCTCTCTCCAAGAAAGAGCGAAAGGGTCAGGACATGGCTTTGAGGCCGAGACGCGTCCTCTTTGCATTACTTTTGGCCGTTCACCGTTTGATTGTCTGTTTTTCGTGTGAAATCGTTCTCTACACTTCTCGGTATAGACCAGAAGGGCCACTGGCGCAGGGGTTAAGGTATTCGCAATGAGTCCTTGTATGCTCTATGCTGAGCAGAAGCGTTTTACGTTTTATACGGCCGAGGGTCGGCAACAGGTACGACGTCTCATTGCATGCCTGCCGTCTCTGCTGTTCCTGACTTTCTCACTCAGCACAAGCGGCTCAACGCGCCCTGTTTGAACGCCGTGCTGCTGCTGCTGTTGGCTCGACTTTGGAGGATTTGGCAATTTTCGCCGATGAGTCGATTGCGCTAGAAGATGATGGGCTTGAATCTGTTGCTGGTCCGATACAACGGACGAAAGCACGGGGGGCTCTTGGCCATTACCTCAATGCAGCCAAGCAGGCAGCAGACGAGGCAGCGAAGACTAGGAAAGCCAACGCGGAGAAGTTGGTACTTTCAAGGCAACAGAATGTTCAGCATCTTAGTCGGCGTGTAAACGACACAGGCAGGTGCGTAATGCCACTCCTGTTGTAGCAGTGGCCGCCTCAACACTCTGGCGGCCCTAGCGCCAAGTTCAGTAGATCGAGTGCAGCAGTATCCGTTTTGTAGCATTGGCCAGCGCACAGCTGGGATGATTTAGGGAGTTGAGTAAATTTTCATGTTTCCAGCCCTCAATATACATCTACACATAATCAATCGCTTCATCCTTTACCGTCCTTTTTGCTTCTCCGTAGACACAGGGCTCCTTTGCCCAGTAACGATGTTGAACCGGACGAGGAGTTCGAGGCCCTCGCGGGCGAAGCCAGAAGAAAGAAGGAACTGAAGAAGAAACGAATGCAGGAAAAGGCCATGCAATTCCTCCCACAGATCGAGGAGGAAGTGTCGGGTCAGAGAGGTGAGCAGGGAGGTTTGCGGGATCACAGGTAGTTCGTATTATCCCTTCTTTTATGCAGATATGTATGGGTACAGGGTTCAGACCGATACGCAAATATATACATATTGTGCTAGTAAGACAGCAGAATCAGGAACACGGGCGAACATGATCAGACCAGCTGCATTGATATTCCTACTTATATTAACCACAAGAACCCCTTCACATTTTCGCCATTAGCGCTGCTTTTATATAGATTTTAAGCGCCAAAGTGCACGTATGCAAGTGCCTCATTGATTGGCATTACTGTAGGCATCACTCGCGAGATCGAGAAGAACAAAGGTCTTATCAGAAAGCGAAAGAAGTTTGAGGGGAATGCCAGGGTACACAACAGAATGAAGTATCAGCAGAAGTCGAAGAAACTGAAGGTAAGAAGCTTTTGGGTATCTGAATGTAGAGGCAGGGTGTCTGAAGGGAGCTTGAGAACAAAAGTATCCGGACCTTCGTGTCAACTATTTAATGTGCTTCTTTCTCAGTCGATTCGCCCGGAAATGCGCGCTGTGGAGGACCGCAACTACGAAGGCGAAACGTCGGGTATTCGAACAAATTTGAAGAAGTCGAGGACTCTTCGCTAACTCCCTTACCCTGAATCGTTCGCATAGAGGGGTTCTGAATGGGGCATGAACCACGGGTGCTTGTCGATCAGCGTCAGTTTTAACTCGCACCCGGGAATTTATTTTGTGCATTTTTGCACATTGCCTCTTACGGCGATATCGCCAGTTCGTGATTCCCCAAGGTGTTGCCGAAGACTGGCCAGGTAGTAAATTCTTTACAAGCGCTGACAATAGCATAAGTTGGGGGACGGGGAGAGGCCATATTCAGTGTACCAGGGAGCATGTGAAACTAGGGCTAGAAAAAGCTGTTGGCTTGGGTTTGAAGAGAATAATTCAAAGTTCACCTTCCCTCCGCCGGAGGTCGTCCGAGAGAGGAAAGGGTGAGACATTAGGCACTAGCGTGAAATCTCTGCCTGTTTCCTTCTTCGGCAGCAGCTTCTTACTGCTTACACGAATAGGCCCTTGCCCCTGCGCCGGAGCCGATGAGAAAAACGATGACCTGAAGGCTTTGATGCAGCCAGCGTTTCCGGCTTTGGTCGCGTTGGACAATATTAGGCAGAATCTGTTTATGCCGTCGGGTCATAAGGTTTTACAGATATATCGACACTGTAATCATGCTTCTCTGGAGTGATTTCAAGCGTCGTCCCTTTTTTGGCCACGAGATCGCCCTTCCTGGGGGTTCTCTCCTCATCTTCAAGTTTGGCAAAGCCATCCCAGCCGAGGTGCACAGTGGCATCCAAAGTGTATTTTGCAGAATCCGGTGCGGTTGGCACCTTGGCGCAAAGGAAGGCGGGCACGGGTTTACCGGGCTCGTAGATAGTGCTAATGTCTCCAGCAAATAGAGAAATGACCTCAGGCTCTCCCGTTTCGGGGTTGATTTCTTGCAGAGTCACCGCTAGGTAGGTAGGCTTGGGTAGGGGCTTTGGGGAGGTCATTTTCACAAAGGCCTTCACTGCAATGCCAGTAACCTCGTCAGACATCGGCCCAAAGTTGCAGTCAGCCACAGAGGGTTCGCCGGCTGGGCCCTGCTCAACCTTCGCCAGAGTGAGGTCAGCCTCATAAGAGTCGCTGCCAGTGGTAACCACTGTCTCCCCAATGTATTCCACCTTGTTGCCCTCAGCTGGGTCGACGATATGGGCCTTGAGGGAAGCCTTCTTCGATTCCAGTCCTTGCAGATCAGCGCAGAAGTTGTACGTAATGTCACTGTTAATGGAGTAGTTATCCAGGGAAACCTTGTGACTGTACACGGGGGCCTTGGTTGACGAGGAAGAGGCTTCCTCAACATCGATGGTCAGCACAGCTTCCTTTGAAAGCTGCATGGGTTTCTGGTTATCCTCAAAGGTCGCGTGCCCCTCAAAGTGCACTGCTCCATTTTCGCACTTAGGGGTGTCAGGGTCCGCATGAACAGCCAGGGCGACCGCAAGAGCCACAGTGATAAGGTGTTTGGGTGCCATCTTGCGATCGTGCGTAAACCTGCAACACCATACATCTTGAGTGACACCATGAAACACCAACTGCGGCAGACAAGGGACACTAAGAAAAGGCCTACTGAATCATTTAAAAGCGCATAAAGAGCTCATAGGTGTAGGCGAACAAACTCGACTAGGCTGTGGAAAGTGATACTATGAACTATGCCAATGCTCATGAGGTCAACAGTGCCAACCAGCGCTATAATCGGCCAGACTGAAACAACCCAAAACAAGGCCAGTAGCCCGTAGCTGTGTAATTCACCTGTTGTTTCATATATATGTTTCTCTTCTAGACATATATTTCTATAAAACTGAGGAACCTGGTTCTCCTACATGGGCTGTGATGTTGGAGGGTGACCGGAGGTGACGGGGGGTGGCGCCTATCGGTCAGGCGCCGGTAACCTTACATGCGCGCCCAAGACTCCAGTATGCCGAAAGGGATTAAAATACTTAAGTTCAAACTAATAGATAGTAAAAAATTGCCTTTGACAGATTTAATAGTGGCGCTTTCGCACAAAAGGGCATATCTACTTGCCGGTGACCTGTTTCCACTTTGACAAAACCCAAATTCTAAAGGCCGAGCAATGCCAGCCTGATTCCACATTGAAAGGGGCATTGCAGTGCCATAACTCTAATTCTAATTGCTTCCCATACCATTATATTTGGGTTTGCAGAGGCCTGTCATTGAAAAGCCCAGCGGGGTTCTCTGCGGCCCGCGTTGAACATAAGCCTACAGTAGTATGTTGTCAACCACGACAAATAAATCCCCACATGTTTAGCGTTAGTCCATATAAACATAGTGTCGAAGTTTTCGATTTCTATGAGGGCGGTTCAGGTATATGGGAAGAATGCAAGCCTGCATATTCAGCGAGTACAACGCGCGCAACGCGGCGTGGTAAAATTGCCATTTCTAACCGAGCATCTTCGTTCACATTTAGTGATTTGGTTTATCGAATTTCAATACATTTGTTTTTCTTCACCTTCTGGCCCTTTGTAGTGCGGTGCCTCTCGGAGCTGGACCATCGCTTCTGTACTACTGTAGGTCAGCCTACCTCCACACAAACTTTTGTACACGTTTTCTCCAGCAGTTGTAAAGGCTCACGAAAGTCTTAACGAAGTTTTGAGTTTCTTATCTGGCGTCATCACCCCGCTGCCCCTCGCTGTCCAAATGAACTCATACCAGTAGCTACGCAGATCAGAGAGAAACCACTGAATGATCAGAGGTACAGCAAGTGCTGTTCAATTCATTTTATTGATATCAAACTGCAGCTGAATCTGCTTGACGCTTAAGTTCGCTGTCCTATGAACAGGGCTGCGACAGATGCAGAAACTGAGCCAAAGGAGCGATTCTCCGTTGGCTCAGAAAAGCTATTACAAAATCATAAAGGGAATTCAAGGTGACAAGCTTGAGAAAATCAATGAATGTCTGTTCTGCTCCATTCCCAAGACTTGATTTCACACGAAGGGGTCTTGGAATAAATTATGATGCCACATCTTAGCTGCGTCTCGCATCATATTAAGAACTCTAGTGGGTTGAGTGCGGGAAACGGAAAGCCCTTTTAAAATTACTCGGTAGCCTCTATGACTTCGCGTCATTGGCAGCTACGCACTTCCCTACAAAGACGTAAGTTTGAGAGTTACAGCTGCTACCACACCACAGCATGGCTTCACGGAGCTGCTCTGCGCTCATCCACGAGCTGTGGAAGAATTGGGATGTCAGGTGTCACCACAGCCGTTTTCTGGATTTGGTCAAGCTATTTAAAAAAATTATTTCGATTAAGCAGCAGTCTAGGAGCGAAAGCTCCATGGCAATGGAAGTTGACGGTGGCGCAATGCCTGTTGGGGCGGCAGAGGTGGGCTTGCAAACTGATATGAAATATGTGGCTTCATAGGTGGTTAAGAGGCACGACTTGTCACCAGATGAAACAGCTTTACAAACGCTTTAATAAGGTTCAGCAGAGCAGAACAGTACGATGGCCGTAAGGATGCGTGCAAACTTGAAACTTCAATCAGCTGTTTGGAGATGTACCTCGCTTTGCACTCCGCAGATTAAGACAAGTAAGCGCTTCCAGGGTCATGTATATGGGGGCCACGGACATTGATGTTCTTTTTTCGTACAGAGGGAGTCATCTGCCCACAGACTTTTTCACAGTGTAATCCTTTCACATGTCCCAAGTTATCGCTTTATGCAAAGCTTAGCTCATTTGCAAGATTTGGAAGAGTTGAGAAGACTTAGACAGGAACATCTATCAGTAGGTGAGTACATCGCGAAATGTTGAACTTTGATGAGCAATAGACACGGCGTGACTTAAAAATACTTCATCAGCGGCTATTCTTGGTTCAAAGTGAAGTGTCAGTTCAGATGGTCGCAGGATGGGCAGCGACTCAGCAATTAAACCATTGGCCGTTTAGGCTTTCGCATGATGGACTAATTGAGGCTTCACGAGCAAATGAAAGCAGCTCCCGCTTCCTTAACTGGAAAGCAGGAGCCACATGCGGACTTAGAAGTGACGGATGTGAGGGGGTGCGCCAACCTGGTCTAGCTTATAGTCTACGTTGAACCAAAACTAAGTGAGCAAACCAGCACTCCTAGGCAGATTCAGACAGCCTCCAACAGCGCACCTGCTACGATTGTAGGAAGACGGCTCTTGTAATCTGGAGCTGCAAGCACATCCAAAACTTCGAAGCAATTAAACAACGGGAGACACCACACCGGAAACAGGCTGCTTGGCGAACAGAGAAGGCGTGTCACGGGAGCCGAAAGTTGTCCACGCAGGCTGCAGAGCTGTGAATGGGGCTGCAAGGGGTAGAGCCGCAGTTGGAGACCCACCACGGGATCTTTCAGCGCTTACGCAACCTCACATTGATCAATCCTATTACCTTTGGTTAGGAGCTGATGTGAAGGGGGACCTTTATCCAAGGAGACAAAGAAGTGCAGTCTGCTTGCTCACCCGCTAGCGCAGTCCCTGCCCTGAGACTCAATTCAGCTGACAGGAGGCAGAATGCAATGAATTACAAAGCTATGCCGATTAATTGGCATCTCGAACTGAAATCTTGTCCTTTTAAAATGATTCGTAACCTATGCGCTGGGCCCCTGCACCATAATACAGTCTGAGAAAGAGAGTGGGTGTCCGACGCTGCAAATGCTACCACAGCTTCGCATTGCGAAGGTAACGTGCCAGGAAGTGCTAGGAAGATTCATCTTGTGATTTCCTCAACAACTTTCATTTACTCAATGGACAGCGGGGTAGAGTTGGTACTTCAGCAAGGCGAGGCCGAGTCTACATGTAGCCTGAGGCCGTTCTGGGCACGCATTATCTCCTTGCTAGCTTTTCACATATTTGCTAGTAGAACATTGCATTGAGCGTCTAACAAAGCAACAGCAAGAATGAAAAACATCAAGGCGGAAGTTGCGGATGTGCTCAACAGCGACGAGCTGCCAGCGGGCTGGCCGGTGGCTGGTCGTCCAGCGCGCCGTCTTGAGCTAATTCCAGGGTCAGCCCTAAGCTCTATTTCGCAACATTTCGAAGCCCGTAGCGCATAGAAAACGTATTGAGTGGATTGTCTGTAACTGATTGAAAAAAGGCAAAGTGCATGAATCGACCAGCGCCATCGGGCACAACCGGATGTTGGCGCTCAAAAAGGACGGACGTTGGCATATGTGCGTCACCTTAAGGCCCTCAACAAGATTGGTGCAAAGCGTAACTTCTTAGTGCTTCATATTGACGAAGTATCAGACAAGCTGCATGAGTCGATAGCCTATAAGACATGTGACTTTCCTAGGCTCTTATTCACAAGTCTTCATTTCACCCTGGGAGCAGGCACAAAACGATGTTGCACACTTGCACAATCAAGTATATCTGTACGCCAGCTAAACTTGTTCATGTCTCAGCGGAGCTGCAGCGCCAAGTTAATCGTGGTTTGATGAGAGTATCAAGAACGGGTAGACCGCTGCACAGATGGACGACGTCTCGGTACTCAGCCGAAAGAGTCAAGAACCCCTATAGTGCTTAGGTGTGGATCAGCTGTTCAGGGACAAGCAGTGCTGCGTAAAAGGTGCGCAAGTGTTTGGTTTCGTCTAAGACCTGGATATAGGAGGCCAAGGTCGCAACAAGGACGCTTATCAGCCACCTTGTAGCTCCACCAGTAGTTGCGCTGCTAGATTAAGAAATCCACGTCTTCCTAGCAGCGCAAACCATCGACGCAGCGGTTGGTGCTAGTCCCTTCCAACAGCCTACAGGTTTTCCGGGACCCCACAATATTACTTTTCAATCTCGCCGCTTCCCGGAAAACAGCAGCGGTGTCCAGTGAGGAAACAGCAGCTTAGCGCACTATAGTGGGGAGTGGAAAAGGCGGAAATTATTTGCATGGGGGTCACTTTGCTTTACAAGCTGATCATCAGTCTTGAATGTACTTAACAAAGAGTATTTAGGCCTCTGACAATCCAAGAGTTGTTCGTTGGCTTGATCCTCCCTGCCAGGCGCCTTTACAACGAAACTTATTAACGAGCTAAAGAACGTGTCGCCGATGCACTCTCGCAGTGCCCCCGCGATTCGCTAATGCGCAGCTCGACCGCTCTTGGCTTTGATCAGTAGGGGCGTGTACCGAAAGTAAGTGTTTATTGGTTTCGGCACCCATTCATCCGGCTTCTTTAGTGGTTTTGCGAAAAGCGAGTGGTTACGTTCTTTTGGCTCATGGTGGGACGCACATTGCACGGGTGAAACCCTAATTGTTCTGGAGGGCTCAGACAAGTGAAGTAGAAATAGATTATTCGGATTCTCAGCAACTAAAGCAAGGAAATCGTCACTTACCCAAATTCTTGCAAAGCCCTCCAGGTTCTGGAGAGGATTTAGACTGACCTGACTATGCACTTTATTGTCGAATTGCCGGGTGTCAAGGGTCAAGTTAACATAGACACCGTTGTTGACATGCGCAGCAAATATGATTACTTTTCTTCGTAACCAGCACTGTCACGGCTTACAACGTTCCTCACTTATTATTATTGCATTCCAAAGCCTTGCAGAATTCCCAGTAGTACCAAATATCATGACCAATAGGGATCCAAATTCTCTGTTGCGTTGTGACGTGCCCTTACAACCTGCCTGTGCGTTGGCATACCATAATATCGCGAACCACCTTTTGGCAGGTGGACAGACAGAGTGCATCGACTCTGCTCTTCGGGATGGCGTGCGCCTATACGCCCACCAAACGCAAATTGCGTGGCTTACTTTTGTTCCTTATGCCAAGTGAGTTCAGAATGCACAGTACATCAGTGTACCCTGTGCTCTCCCGCGTCTTTGGTCCATACAAAGAAGCTCCTCTCCAATCCGACCTTGATCTGGCGGTCTGCTATCAGCAACTACACCTAGCAACGAATGGATGTACACAACAGTTGACTGGTGCACGCGTATGTATGCGCAAAGCTGAATAGCGAGATGCACGGAGTGATTATCAGTGGTGATCTCCGGTGTGCGGTTAGCTGGAAGATTTGATTTAGGTGAATTGACAGGCTTTGCAAGATGTACCAGAAGGTGACCGGGCGAAGGCAATTGCGGACAGGTTAATAGGTCCACTGCCATCCCTTCACGAACGAGTGCTCTTCTTGCTTTATCGATTTCCCTGTAAGTTGATCATGCTACCGAATCACCATTATCGCCTTCAAACTTTTCAAAACTTTCCTAAATATTTGCGGACTTTGCCGGGCATGCCCTAAAACCGTGTGGAGGCGAAGGACACCTCAGAGAGCCGTATAATTGCTGAAATTTGGGACTACCTGGCGCCGAGAAAATATTGGACGAAACTCTTTAGTGATGTGGAGTGTGGAACGACACCGTTAGTGGCTGACGGACGAGCAGTTGCGGGTTTTGTTGCCTGCGGGAGGATTAGTGGTATTCTGTTTGGTTCAGCGTGCTAGTCGCTGTGAAAGCCCTTGTTCACGTTCCTTCAATATTACCTTCCCCAACGCATGCTCTACCTATCACAGCTACCCTCCTTTATAGGTAGCGCTTGAAAGGTTTACGGGTTTTACCATTGAGGTATTCTGTACACTCAGACATAAGCGCGGATACCCAAAAATTTTCACCATGTGTTTATTTCGGACTTTGAAGTTAACTACGCTGTATGCACTGGCTGGACTGTAACGCAGAGATTTGTTGTTTGAGGCAGGAGGCACCGCTGGGTTAAGGCGAATTTGGTTTCCTTTAATATATTGTATTCGTGTTCTGTTATCTCTTTCCAGGAGGCAGAGAGAGTGCAGCGCTCTGATGAGGGCGAGGCATCGCACCGCCTCGATCATGCTGCCTTGATCCTCATTCGCTTTTAGCTAGTGTGTGAAATTTCTTTTATGTAAATATCTCCACCTCTACGCTTACTTTGACTTTCTTACTCGGACTGTTTCCGCTTGTATGCCTGCCTGGGGAGTGGCGATGGGACAAGAAATTTCCCGCTGTCGCGCAGGGTTGGTCCCAACTTACAGATACGTCCCATGAAGGTTGCATTATTAAAGAACAGGGGGAGAAGGGGGAAGATGTGTGCGTCGGGATAAGCTACAACTTAAAATCACCTTCAACTGCAGTTGGTTTCTTGATAAGAAAGTAGTAAGGACTTGGCTAATTAATCTGCCTGTTCGTAAATCTATTTATTGTAGAAAAGTGCTAGCTTGAGCCAAGCAGACACACTGTTGTGTGCGTGTGAGGCAGATGCTATGTGCAACTAGCTGTTCATGCCTGTGACTGTTAGGGGGTGCAGCTACGTGTACCCAAACTAAGTCTCTCGTCTTACTGGGAGCTCTGGGGGGGGGCGTGGGTAGAGGAGGGGAGCATCTTTTGGAGAACACCCAAGAAACTACGATGAACTTTGCATTAAGTTTGGAGTTAAGAGTCATCCTTCAGAGACCTTAAATGGAGCGCTACAACGCGAAGGCTCAGTGCTCAAGGGCTACAGCACTGCAAGCCCTACGTGACACTTTCGCCCTCATGCCAAAGCCCTGAGGGGTTAGAGAGTGGAATAAAGGAGCTCTTTTGGGAGAATACTTATTAGCATGTTACTAAGTTTGCACTGAATCGAAGAGGGTCTCTTTAAGGAAAGTTTCGTTGGAGCGCAACACTAGCCCAGCACTAGCCAGCAAGAGCTTGGCACAATGCTGCTAGATTACGTACACGGAACCCCAGATAGCAGCCAAACTCAGGGCCAAGACTGCACCTATACCTCTTTATGATGTACAGGGGGCTAGTGAGAATTGCAGAATGCAAAGTGTAAAACCGAATGACTGAGGATAAATTTTATACCCTAGCGTGTCCATTTCTATGCCGGATATGCTGTACCTCCGAGCCTCCCTAACCAAGAGAGCTATCAAGAAATTATACGGGAATAGCTGGCTTTCACTTAGTTCCAATTTGCTCCTTTCCTCGTTGTTGCAATGATTAGTTTCTTTCAGATCCTTCTTACCACACGCGCATAAAGAAGCATAAAAGAATGCAGGGCTGGAATTGGGTATTAATTTATGAATGGTGTGCTAGCAGCAAACTTTGTCAGGCAGCGGCTTTACACCAGAGAATACAGCAGCAGCTCGAGCACGACCCGCGGGGATAAGATGTAGAATTCCTGCCTAATGGTCCCTTCCAGCCATAAAATGTACCAGTTCACATGCCAATCATGCTGTGTAGAAGCTGCATCTGCTACTGGAAAAGGAAAAAAATTTCCCTTGTGTTGGTGAGTGATCCGGCAGGGAACAGCTGGTGCAGAGAGCGGGAAGAAAGGTCACTTTTTGTCTCGAAGGAGCGCCGCTGTGACTAGTCTACGGATGCAAGAGGCAAAATCGCGCATAAAAAATATAAAATAGATAACGGTACCAAGAGGGCCGTCATGGCCAGTTACAATACAGCCCCGAGACAGGCAAGCGTACGGGAGCAGCCCATCCCGGCGCGCGCAGAGAATTGTAGGGCATGTGTGCGCTTCAATATTTCAAATTTGAGCCATTTCGTTCCGTTTGAATAGGTATATTTCAAGCTTTTCTGAGAGAGACTCTCCGCAGGTGCTGCGGCGCATGCGGTAGCGGCAACGACTATACAGCCGGAGCACCGCCATGGCTAGAGCAACTGATAAGAAAGCATCTTCCTCAAGCGCCCCCTGGGCAGCCAAGATCTCGGATCTCCTAATCTTTGCATGCGACAGCGCTGGCAGGAGCGATCTCTTGCCTTGCTGTTCGCCGAGCCGTCTCCCTCGAAGAGCGCGATGGTTGCCCGGCTCCATTGAGCCTCGATTGAGCCTCTAGGGCACTTTTCGACACTCCCCTGCCTCCCGTGCATGCCCTTCAGGCCGCTCACGCCTCGTGCGGGTGTGGCGATTGTTGCCACCACGGCTGTGCTAGCAGTGGGTAGATCGAGGCCAGTTCTTGAGGGGCCGTTGACTAGACGCTGTCGTCTCCGCTTCCCTCCATTCCAGCCACGAGTAGGGGCCCCTTTGGGCAGCCACAGGGCGGCTGCTGCGTCCTTGGCGTCGCAGCAGCTGCTCCAGCATCGAAAAACGCCATCGCGGGAGCAGTAGGAGCATAGGAGTCTTGCAGGAGCCCGTGGATACGATCGATAGCCGCCGCAATGCATCTCGTGGTGCAGCATTGCCCTGTTGGCGATCTTTAGTTCGAACGCGCAGCTGCGGCTCTCATCGGACGCGCTGTCTCGACACAGGTTTCCTCCCCGCGGTTCCATCCTCTCTTTGCAACCATTGTGGCCCCCCAACTCGGTGGCATATTTATATACATAAACATATATAAATCGACACGAGCGAAACGTGCTGAAACCAGGCAGAGAGAGCACTCAGACAGGCAAAGGCACGGGGTATTCGTTGATGAAAAGCCTCGACGAAGTCCGTTGAGTCTCCAGGTTCTTTTCAGCGGCAGGAGCCAGCCCAGTGCCGCCTTCTCAGGAACAGATCTCCGTGTCTCCCAAGCGCAGGAGCAGTTTCTTCTTGTCGCCACGTCCGTTTTGGATACAAATCTTCTTGAGTAGATAGCTATGGGACTGTGGGTGCGTCTGTGCCCTTGCGTCTGCGGGGCGGACTGGCCTGGGCAGTTGCTGCGGTGGTGTCTGCGGAAGCTAGGCTTTGAGGGATATTTGACGCAGCTGGATCGCCCTGAACTCCATCAGCGGCGTTTAGGGAACCTCGTTGTTCGCGCGAGAGCTTTTCAGCAGCAGCACCCGCATCACCCGCAACAGGAGACGGCAGCCAACGCCGCGTTGAATGTGTCGAAATGGACGAATTGCGTCAGAACCACGCAGTACACCTGGTGGTCCTTCCTGCCACTCAACTTCCTCGCACAGTTCACGCAGCCCGCGAACTTTTATTTCTTCGTGATGGCGATCCTGCAAATGGTGCCGTCTATCAGTGACAGCGACGGAATGCCCACCTTTCTCTTTCCCCTTGCCCTCGTGATGCTCATCACGGCTGCGAAGGACGCCTACGAAAACGTCAAGAGAGCTCAAGCCGACAGAACCGAGAACATGCGCGAGTGCTCCATTTGCATGCCAGAGGGCCTCCAACGCGTGCAGTGGCAAAGTCTAAAGCCTGGGGATGTCATCAAGCTGCACGCTGACGAGGCCGTTCCAGCCGATGTGGTGCTGCTCAACTGCTCAGACGCATGCGGTGTCGCCTACGTAGAGACTGTCCAGCTAGACGGAGAAACGAACCTCAAAAACAAAACGTGTCTTCCTCCAATCGCCATGAGGGTCATGAACGATGAAGATGCCGGAAATATCAACTGTAAGCGACGCGGCGTAAAACGGCCTCCAAAAACACAAGAACGGATACCCACACGTTCACGCCGCACGTGTGCTCGTGTTCTCTCTAGATAGACGCGGATCTACATACATATATCTATGTATATTTATATCTCCATCTCTTAACATACACAATACATATATATATGTATGTACGTACCTATCAGTATATGTAGTTCCATATCGCTCTGTCTCGCTATATAAGTCTCCCTCTCTCTACATACATACATATATATATATATATGTATGTATCTCTCTAACTCTATCTCTATTATCTCTCCAACTCGATCTCTATTATCTCTCTAACTCTATCGCTGTCTATGTATCTATATATATATACATATATATATCTTCCTCCACGCTGCCTGCACGCGCCTATAAAGCGCAGCACTTTGCGCATACCAATTTCTCTAGTCCAACAGGTAGCTAGCGGACTGTAGACGACCTGGATGCTCGAAGGCAGCGCACACGGAGCGAAAGCTTTCGCGATGCACGCCTTCCGGACGGCATTCGAGAAGCATATATATATATATGTGCAGTAGGATCTCGAGCGAGTTCTTTCGTTAGAGCTTCATTAATGAGGCAGCTCCTTTGCACAGTGAGGCCTCTATGCAGTGCTGCGGAGTAGGCCTCAAATATATATGTGTGTATCCCACGTTTCGGGTATTTAGCTCTTCAGTCGCACGCTGCCTGTGAGCAGGTGTACCAGCATGGGGTGTGTTTGCCGTTGTTTGTTGGCTGCCTGCACGTATTGCGTGTTTCTGCGCTTTCTTTGGGGGGTTTGCGCTCTCTGCCGCTGTGCTGCCCGTCGTATCTACTTGTGCATGCGTTCTGTTTGTGCCACCTGTCACATTCGGGGATCGCTTGCCTCAGCAGTCCGCCTTCGCATGCAGTGCAGTGCATGCAGTGCAGTGCATGCAGTAGAAAGGAGAGAGCTTACTGCGTGTCTCCCAGCCAGCAGGAAGCGCAGTGGGGGCGTGAGCGCGTCTGAATGCTGCCCCTTAAATCAATCATAGAGCATTTTTGAGGGGGCCTTTTTTTGAGAGTCTTGTGTTTGGGTGTTTGTATCCCACCGTCGACTGGGGTTGGGGTATTGTATCCGACAGCCTTGACTTGCATACTTGTGTGAGGGGTTTCTTTCTGCGCAAAAAGTGTTGCTGTGCGTGTGTGCATGCATGCATTTTGCGCGAAATGTGTTGCTATGTGTGTGTGTGTGTATGCATGCCTTCATGTATTTTGCGCAAAAAGTGTTATTGTGCGTGTGTGTATGTGTGTGTGTGCATTTTGCGCGAAATGTGTTACTATGTGTGTGTGCATGCATGCAATTTGCGCGAAATGTGTTGCTATGTGTGTGTGTGTGTGCATTTTGCGCGAAATGTGTTACTATGCGTGTGTGCATGCATGCATTTTGCGCGAAATGTGTTGCTATGTGTGTGTGTGTGTGTGCATTTTGCGCAAAAAGTGTTGCTGTGCGTGTGCGTGTGCATTTTGCGCGAAATGTGTTACTATGCGTTTGTGTGTGTGTGTGTGCATGCATGCATGCATGCTGCAGTGGAGGTGCACTATGAGGCTCCCTCCGCTGAGCTGTACAAATTCTCTGGGACGTTGCTGCTGCTGCCCCCGAAGGCACGTTCGTCGGTGCTTGTTGCTGCGGGAGGAGAGACTCTCAATGCGGCTGGCTCTGCCGGATGGAATTTGCATCCTGCTGTTTCGCCTTTCGCGTCCACGCACAGCAGTGGTGGCAACGGGGGTGTTATGCACGAGCTTCCGGATGGGGTCTGCCCCCCCCCCGAAGAGCAGCAGCTCGACAGCGAGGTGGAGAGACGCGGGAGCAACATGGCGCCTAGTCCGAAGGATTTGCCTCGGGAGAACGAGCAGCAGCAGCAGCAGCGGCAGAGCGGTCTGCACGGTCCAGCGGGAAGCCTCTCGCTGACTATGCAGCCTCCGCAGCAGCAGCGGCAGCAGCAGCAGCAGCAGTACGCAGTAGACATCTCGCAGTTCATCTGGCGAGGTGCAACAGTGCGCAGCACTGAGTGGATGTATGGCCTCGTGGTCTACACTGGACACCACACACGCATTATGAAGAATACCAAACAAAGGGAGCTCAAATACTCCAGAACGCAAGTGGTATACAATCAGCATGCCGTCTTCTTGGCAATTGCACAGGTGAGTTTCGTTGGCTGCGACTTCTGCCTGCCTGCTCTGAGGCTTGTGCATGCATGCATTGTGGTGTGGCGCTCTCGCTGCGCTCCTGTCGAGCCCTTGGCTGCTGCGGATCCTGCGTTTCGACGCTGTCTCGCATGCAATTTCGAGGAAGAGCATGGGTGTGCAAGAGGGAGAGGGACGGACAGGGAGGCTTGGACGGTGTTCTCTTTGTCAGGCGCCTCCTGTAGAGCTGTCTCTGTCTTTCTCTGTCTCTGTCTCTCGCTTTCCTTCTTTTTCTCTTTCTCTCTCTAGGTTCATCTGCCCTCTCCTGCATACCCTGTTGAGCTCGTGGTGGTGCTGCGGCTTTTCTAGGGCATCTATGTACATGTTGTATATGTAAGTGTGTGTGTATATGTATGTCTGTATTTGTCTGTGTAGACGTGTCTGTGTAGACGTGTCTATGTGTGTGTAGACGTGTGCGTCTATGTGTGCGTATGCGCGTGTGTGCGCCTGTCTGTGCTGTTTGCGGTTCGTGCAGTTTGTCCTCTGCGTGATTGCTGCCGTCGTGTATGCCTCGAAGAATCAGCACATCTCTGACAATGCCTGGTATCTCGATACGCGTTGGGAGTCTGGCATTTCCAATTTCTTGTCGTCGCTCGGCGTGGTGAGGCTTTGTGCGTTTCGTTTTCTGACGCACCGGTGCATGCATGCGCGTGAGATTCTCTCGCTGGAAGCACGCGGCTGGTGCAAAGTGCTCCGCGGGGCTTGTGGGGGGTGTTGTTGCCACCAAAGAGTGCTCTCGAGTGCTCCAAAGACGGCATTTTCTCGCGGCTTTCGCAGAGCGTGGGCTGTGCTGCGTGCGGCTTTTTGCGCGCGGATGCAGGCTTTTGGCCGCTACGTGCTGCTGCTGAGTTACTTCGTACCGATAACGCTGCTCGTTCAGCTGGAAGTGTGTCGGTGGTGTCAAGCGGGATTCTTGTCTTCGGATATGCGCATGAAAGGGCTTGAAGGCTTTGGAGGCGCAACGGCGCAGTCTGTTGCACTCATGGACGAGCTGGGAAGTGTGACACACGTCTTTTCAGACAAAACAGGAACGCTGACTCAGAACCTCATGCAATTCAGATGCATCGCCATCGATGACGAGCTCTATGGATACGATGAATTCCAGGAAGAGGTAGGCTCCGCCGCTGTCTTGCGCGGCTTCTTGTGCATGCAGTTGAGACTGCAGGACCCCTACTTGTGTAAGGCTTCTCTGCAACACCCTTCCTCCTGGAGGATCTCTCTTTGTGTGCTCTGCTGTGTGTATTCTCTGTTGTGTGCGCTGTGTGTTATATGTTGTTGTGTTTCGTTGTGTGTTGTGTACTGCGTAAATTGTTGTGTGTTGTGTTTTGTTGTGTTTTGTTCTGTGTTGTGTTTTGTTGTGTGTTGTTGTGTGTTGTGTGTGTTTTGTCTTGTGTTTTGTTGTGTGTGTTTTGTTGTGTGTGTTTTGTTGTGTGTGTTGTGTTGTGTGTGTTGTGTGTGTTTTGTTGTGTGTGTTTTGTTGTGTGTTGTCTGTGTTTTGTTGTGTTTTGTGTGTGTTGTGTGTGTTTTGTTGTGTGTTTTGTTGTGTGTGTTTTGTTGTGTGTGTTTTGTTGTGTGTGGTGTGTGTTTTGTTGTGTGTGTTTTGTTGTGTGTGTTGTGTTGTGTGTGTTGTGTGTGTTTTGTTGTGTGCACTGTGTGTTATATGTTGTTGTGTTTCGTTGTGTGTTGTGTATTGCGTGAATTGTGTGTGTGTTGTGTTTTGTTGTGTGTTTTGTTGTGTGTGTTGTGTGTGTTTCGTTGTGTGTGTTTTGTGTGTTTTGTTGTGTGTGTTTTGTTGTGTGTGGTGTGTGTTTTGTTGTGTGTTGTGTTGTGTGTTGTGTGTTGTGTATTGCGTGTTGTGTGTATTGTGTGTGCGTATAGACATATATATATATATATACATATGCGTGCATGCATGCATATGTATATGTTCGCAAGTGCTTGTGGGTTGTAGGGGGTGCTGGTGTTTGGGGGAGTCGCTGCATGTCGACAGGCGGTTAGGTAGCTGCGTGCTTTGGACCTACGACGTTAGGGGTTGGGTATTATGTCTTTTTTTTGATGGTGACATTTAATTGCGATTTGGGGGGAAGAAAGGGGAGCTTGGAGAAGGCCTTTCTCAGGCTGCAGCCTGGCGCCGTTGAGGGGGGTGCATGGTGTGCGTCTGCAGAAATCCTTCGTGGTGTCGGAGAGTTGCAGCGAGATTCGCTGCATGCAGTCTCGCGGCTCGTCGATTTCTCTAGGAGGCGATCAGTACCTGCACAAGGGGGTAAAGAGGCAATCTACGGCGTTAGACAAGACAGTTTGCCCAAATAATCATGTATCCTTTAACGCCAAAGCCTTTGCAGATCGCATTGCTGCAGCCTCAGACTCCCACCAACGAAAGGTAACGGCTGCCTGCCTGCGTGCCTCTTGCACACACAGTCCCCCCCCCCAGTCTGCGTTCCCTACCGACTGTGCTTGCGTGCATGCATGCACAGTTGCGGTCTGTGCGGAGCGCGTGCGGCTTTCTTTTAGTTTCTGGGGTGGGATGAGGAGGGGTACGACAGGATGTCGGGAGGAGGGTGGATGCGAGCGAGGGGAGGAGGAAGCTGCATGGCTGAGTTGTGGAAAGGCTCACGCGTCTCTGAGTGTCATGCACACACCGACGAGGAGGAATCTAGAGGTGACGCAGGCTGGCTGGTGTTGCTTTGTCTTAGGCGCGTGACGCCCTCATGGTTTTGGCCCTCTGTCACTCGGTTCTTCCCAAGCCAGCAGCGCGTCTGCCTGAGCCTCTCGATCTCGGAGTTGCCTCTGAGAGGACTCATTCGGAAGCTGAGGGAGAAGCCTCCCCGCTGCAGCAGCGGATGCAGCAACTGCTGCAGCACCAGATGACGGAAGGCGAGAATCAGCGGCAGCTTCGGCTGCAGCAAATCGAAAAAGATCGAGAGCAGCTGCGCAAGCAGCAGGAGAACCTGCAGCAGCAGGTGATAGCACAGGAGGAGCAGCAAAGCGCTCTGATGCAAAATTCTGAGCGAACAGCTGGGCTGGAGCCTCAGTCGAGTGGTGGAGATGCTGCTCCTGCAGAGGCGGCCTGTTCTTCGCCCGCAGCGTTTTCTTTTCATTCAATTCCACTGCAGCCAGAGTCACTCAGCAGCGATGTTGGAACGCCTTCGAGCAGGCAGATAGGTTCTCCCATTCTTGCTTCCTCTCGCAGCGATGCTGCTGCTGCTGTTGACACGCTTGGCGGGGATGCATCTCCTCCTCCTCTTCTGCTCTCGCAGACTGAGGACCATGGACGTTCTCTATTCACCAGCAGCAGAAGCAGCAGTCGAAGCAGCAGCAGCAGCAGTCGAAGCAGCAGCAGCAGCAGTCGAAGCAGCAGCAGTAGCAGTCGAAGCAGCAGCAGTAGCAGTGGCAGAAGACAGTTCAACGGCTACTGCGGCTGCGAGTATAGCAGCAGGTTGACTAGCCGCAGCAGCAGCATCAGTGATGCGGAGGAGAGCAGTTGCACACTTTCGCGAGAAAGAAGAAACAACCACTTTGAGAGGCATGGATCGTCTTTGCAGCAGCTACAAAGGCACACCAGCGACGGAGAAGTCTTGACGGCTTCTCGATGGCAGTACAATCGAGTGCCTTCGCTGCATATGGAAGATCCCCGCATCCTTAGTAGGTGTTATGCCTGCAATGTTTCGTGCAAACTTCGCTGCCGTTGTGCCTGCAAGCTCGGGGTGTCGATTGTTCGTGGGATCCACTTTGAGCACCATCGTCAGTGCGCCGTGATATACGTGTGCGTACAAGTGCTTGTACTGCATGTAGTTGTACTGCTTGTGCTTGTACTGCATGTAGTTGTACTGCATGTGCATCTGTACTGCATGTGCATCTGTACTGCATGTGCATCTGTACTGCATGTGGTTGTAGTGCATGTGCATCTGTCCTGCATATGCATTAGTACTGCATATGCATCTGTACTGCATGTTTGTGTGCAGCTGCAATATCTGAGGCTGAAGGATCCGCTGTGTGTGCGACTGCGCTGCCGGGAGTCGACTTGCCGATTCAAGAAGAGCAGGCGCGGCAGCCTTTTGCAGCGAGACGGGGAACGTCTATCAGTCCTGGCCTTACACGCGAGACTCCCTCCCAGAAGCTGCCGCAGCAGACGAATGTTCAACTGTGCTGTTTTCCCTTGGATCCGGAGGCAGCATACGACGCTTCAAGTCCAGACGAGCTAGCTTTGACTGCCGCAGCGAAGCACCTTGGCGCAGAATTTATATGCAGGCCAAATTTGAACACGATCCAGCTAGCCGTGCGGTCTGAGCTCGCCTCTCAGGCGCTTTTAAGCGAAGCTGACGCGAGACATGTTGCAGCCTTGCGCGGAGCGTACCAGGAGAGCGATCGGCAGACGTCGGGGGAGATGCACGACAAGGACGTGGTGCCTGTGGTGAATGTGGAATTGTTGGAAGTCTTGGAATTCGACAACTACCGAAAGCGCATGTCGGCAGTCATTAGAGACAGGAGCGGCTTCCTCCGCCTGCTGGTGAAAGGGGCAGACAGCAGCATGTTCGCCATCGCTGCTCGAGATCAGGAAGAGACTCTAAAATTGTGCAAACAACAACTCGCAGAGATGGCACAGAGGGGCCTAAGAACGCTCGTCCTTGGGCAACGCTTCATCTCAAAAAGACAATTCGAGCGATACCAGGTGACGCTGACTAGCCAGCAGGAATATCGTCGCTTTACTTTAATTGGTGGACCGTGGCTAATGCAGGGGTGGATACAGCTGCCAGTTCTTCAGCCTTGCAGTTGACAGCCTTTGGGGGTGTGTATGTGTATGTGTTTACGTGTGTGTGAGGGGGTGGGTGGGTGGGTGTGGCGATCTCAGGC